GCGGATAAAAGCAGTTGTTCGCGGGTGACTGCAGATGTTCGCGGATGAAAGCAGATGTTTGCGGATAAAATGAGATGTTTGCGGATAAAAGCAGATGTTCGCGGATGATTGCATATGTTCGCGGATGAAAGCAGATGTTCGCGAGTGATTGCAGATGTTCGCGGATAAAAGCAGATGTTTGCGGGGGTGCACTAACCGGATGAAATCAGGCGTTCGCAGATAAAAGCATGTTTCTGGGTGAAACCGTATGAAAGCAGATGTTGGCGGATAAAACCAGACGTTTGCGGATGAAAGCAGATGTTCGCGGGTGATTCCAGATGTTCGCGGATAAAAGCAGTTGTTCGCGGGTGACTGCAGATGTTCGCGGATGAAAGCAGATGTTCGCGGATAAAAGCAGATGTTGGCGGATAAAATCAGATATTTGCGGATGAAAGCAGATGTTCGCGGATGATTGCAGATGATCGCGGGTAAAAGCATATGCTCGCGGATAAAACCAGACGTTTGCAGATAAAACCCGACAAAAATAGACAAAAAAAAATGCAGGTAATCGCGGATAAAAACAGACGTAAGCAGACGTTTGCAGATGATTCCGGACAAATTCAGATATAAACGAAACACAGTGAAGACGGTTAAAAACAGATGATTGCAGATGATTGCGGGGGTGCACTAACCGGACATAAAACACAACCAACCGGGTGTTCGCGGATATAGCGATGCGGACAAAAGCAGATGTTATCAGATGATATTTTTACCCGCTTTTATCTGCCTTTATCCGGCTTCGACGAAGAATTTATACCCGCAATCATCTGCTTTTATCCGGTTTTGACGAAGAATTTATATCCGCATTCATCCGTCATTTTCAGCAGGGATGATATTTACTTTATTGATACCAAAAAATGTTTAGTGCTGAAAATAAGTGTTTTTGAGAATAAAGTGTGTTGTTGGGTGTATTTCGAAAGGAAATCCTGGGTTGAGTTTTTTTCCGATTTTACAATAAAAAGTTTTAATCCGAATGAAGAAATAAATTGCATACAGTCTCTGTAAATATAAATTCTACCTATTAGATACAATAAATACACAATATAGTAGTGATCAAGTGAAAAGTGTAAACATTTCAATTCAGTAAAAATCGTCAAACAAATAAGTCGTCTAAATTTAAACAGCATTTAGCATTATTAAAAGCGTTGATTAAGAAAGTCTCCACTCAACGGTAAAATACCATTATATTATGTATTATATGTAATATTATGTTGCCATGAATTCGTAGGTATATTTTGTTGTTTAAAATGCAGTTGTCGGCGTTTTTTAGAGAACTCAAATATTAAAAATGGTTGATTTTAAGGTTATGTTTGTGCAAAAATTATTTTTTACTATTTTATTAAAAATGTCCAAACTTAAATATAAATTATATTAGGTAAAGTTATCATTAGTTAATTCTGCACCAACAAATGTACTTACCGAATGGGATCCTTTGGCAAAACATGAAAATGCAAAGATTTAGTTCTTTAATTTTATTTACAATTAAAAACACAAAAATTCACCATGATCCCTTAGATAAAATACACACACTAACGTAACTATATAAGCATTTAAGCGTTGAGTTTCTTAATCAATGATATTAAGAATAATCAATCGAAATCGAGTACTAAACCAGTTTTTTAATTTTTTCCTTGTAACGTAAAACACAAATACCTAGGTGACAGATAGATAACCTTAACTATTTGTATTCAAATGTCAAAAAGGGTCTTTTAAATTTAAAACAAATTTTAAGATTTTTTAATCAAAATACTTTATTGATCATTTTATATAAGTAAAAGGGTTTAGACTGTCAACGAAATAGGTTATGTTTGTATTGTTATTTTTGCATATACCTCCTTCCTTCGTAAGTCTTGACACGACTGTTGCACCAATAGTATCAGATTTGATAAACGATATTTTTAATTTATTTTTAATAATTTTAATTAGGTACGAGTGAGTTTTTGAATAAACAGTCAACTGTCAACTAATTTAAAATTAACTTCAGCCCGTGACTAAAACGCCATAAAGTCACAACTTGTCAATGTGTATTTAAAGGTTACATAGTGTCATGGAAACATGTACTATAATGAGGGTTTCAAACACAAATATATGAAATACTAAAGTTATTTTTTTGTTGTGTTTTGATTAATTGTTTGTTGTTTACCTGTAAAGCATTGTATACATTTTACCAATTTCAATTAGGTACAAACAACCAAAATGGTTTCTGCATCTGACAGATTAAGCTCGTTCCAGACATAAATAAGATTGCGAAAATAGCGGCCAATTTAGTAATTTGATTTTCTAAAAGAGGAACTAATAATAAAGACCTTAATGGAAAATTGCTTATTTCCAATAAATCAAAGCTATTATAGTGCGCTGGCTGCTGCAACTTAACTTTAATAGAAAAACGATCGATTTAGCGATACTTGAGTTTTTATTTTTAACTAGTCGATTTAACACTAATTGAATTATTTCTCTTGTGCTCGTATATCAACAGATGGACTATTATGTTTTATTTAGTTTTCGTAGTTAAAAGAACTATTTGAACAAATGTAATGTAGATAAAGTTCGTATTTTATATCAGGGGTCGTCCATAGATAAAAATAGAATTGTTATAGTTATCAATTAATTAAAGATTAGTTAAATATAGGTGACTACGGCCCAGGACAGATAAAGTATTCCTAGAGGATAATAATCTTCGCTTTGAAAAGAATTTATATAAAAGAAATTAAAATTTTATGTGAACACACGTGATTGTTGTCCAATCATTGAACTCCAATGGTGAATGGATATTTTGTTAAAGCCACTGGACGTTAGTACTTTTAGTGGCTTAATAATAATTATAATGTATATATTGTCTGGGACTATTAATGATCAGTAACTAGCAAATTAAAAGGAGAAAAAGTTTCGTGATTATCGCTTATCTTTTTCAAACCAAATTGATGTTATTTTCAAAGACAATTAAGTACTAGATTTTTCACAAAAAGGTTGATCCTAACAGAAAATAATTATTATTTTTTGTTTTTTATCCTTATTTTTTAAAATTTCAAAAATTTTCGCTGAAAATAATGTGTGATTTAATATTTGTAAAACCAAAAACGTTACTTTTTTACTCCAAAAATGTCCATAAGGCGATGTACTATGCTCCAAACCTCAAAGTCCCACCACGAACAGAACGCGGTCTTTTGAAAATTTGGCATTTAAGGCTTTTCAGGTTATGTATCTGTCAAAGTATAGTCAACGAAAGAAATAATATTAGGTTTAGGCGTTAAAAATATATAAATCTTTATAACATTAGAATAACAATGGATGGTTTAAGAATTTAAGAATATAAATACTGCATTTCTAACGTGTATGGTGCCAAATAAGTAATATTTTTGTGCATTTGGTCCAAATATCTGGTTTTCTCCATAAAATGATTTTAACAGCATTTATTTAAAAAAATCTAGCTTCTCTATTATGGAATAAGATTATCTACTTTAAAGGTATATATTATAACAAAAATATCATCTAATTTTGTAATTTTAAGGTTAGAAAAATTTATTTTGACCAAAATAAATAAGTATTTTGGATTATTTAAAAGACTGTATAATATGGTATTTAAAAATGTGTTAGTTTTTCTTATCCAGCTTAAAGTGTACCTACATAAAGTTTTGTCAATACAAATAGTTAAAAAGCTTTGACTGAACTTAATCTACATCAAAAAATCATTATAACTTTAAAAATTTTAATAAATCACATGTCATGGGAGTATTAAATATTTTCACATTGCAAGTTTCTCTAAAAATTGTTTGTTTTCTTATAATCTAACTTAAAGTAAGTATGCCGAGAGGTATGCACAAGTTTTGTCGTTAGAAGTATAAAAGCTTCAATTTAATTTGAACTATATTCAACAATTATTTAGTATACCTATATTTATTTATGACCATATTAACACACTCTTTCAAATAATCCACTTATTTATTTGGTCAAAATAGATTTTTCTAACCTTAAAATACAAAATTAGATGATATTTTTTGTTCATATACATTAACCTACCTTTGATAACAGATATTCTTATTTCATAATAGAGAAGTTAGATTTTTTTAATAAATGCTGTTTAGTTAAAACTATTTTATGGAGAAATGTAGACCCAATGCACAAAAATATAACCTATATTGCACCTTACACTTTGGAATTTCATTAAATGCAGTATTCATATACCTAAATTCTTAAACCAACCATTGTTATTGTGATACTATAAAGATTTATTCACTTTTAACGCTTAAACATAAGCGGTAACACTATAAATATTATTTCTTTCGTTGACTATACTTTGACAGATACATAACCTGAAAAGCCTTAAATGCCAAATTTTCAAAAGACTGCGTTCCGTACGTGGTCACGTGGTGGGACTTTGAGGTGTGAAGCATAGTACTTTTTCCGCCATTGAGGCATTTGGCATAACTTCATCGAAATGAAGTTTTACCCTTAAAAGTTCTTTTACTTTAGAATCTGATATTATTTTAGGCATAGTTATCTTTTTATATCGATATTATATAATAATTAACAAGTAAATTATCAATAATAAATATTACTGTCAATTTGACAGTGTTAGAGTATTTAATTAAGGTCCTTAGCAGAAGCTACCAACTTAACCCTTTCGGAGCCAAATTTAAATTACTGAAAAAAAAATTTTTTTTTCGTTATAGTTGCATTCATTGGTATTATTTTCAGATATTAAAAAAAAAAAAAAAATTTCATTATTTTTTTTTCATAATATGACATGTCCACTGGAATGGACAAAGTTACTTTAGAGAGGTCAAGTAATTATACGGTCATCTACTGTGTTTTATGTCTAGTCCACTATAATGGACAACATGTTTTTGAGACAAAATATTTAATATTTAAATATAAATGGTGTTAAAAAAAATGTCCACTCCAGTGGACATAGCGTACGAAAGGGTTAATAAAATAAAAAATGAACTGTAACTTCAATGTAGGTGCTGAGGAGAACGAGTCAAGTCTTGAAGATGACTCGACGATAAAAGACCATAACATCTGGTCTCAAAATTCATCACAAAATGGGTCCACATCAGATATTTCAAGCAGTTCAGCTGAAAAACCTGTAACCCTTAAAGGTTTCTATTTTGAAATATTTTTTTAGTTTAGTTTTTTTTTTTGAACTTTTTCTATTCATAGACAGTTCCACCAGATGCAACAGCGATTTCCAATGGATACGTAAAGAATCTCCCTTGAATAGTTCAACCAAAAAAACAATGGAAGAATCAGACTTACCTCTCACAATCAAACTGGAGGAAAAAGATGCGATAAACGCTTCCAACTCCAAACCTCCTTTAAGTAGATCGCTGAGGGATCGCACCCCCAAGAGGGAGAAGATCGCCAAAACTGCGCCGGGCAGTCTGGACAGAAGGCGCATAAGTCAGGGGAATCGCCAGGATAGAGATCAAAAATCTCGGTCCACTCACATGCTCAAAAGTCCACCCAGATTGGACGATTACACCAACAGCGGTTACCCTAGCGTCTGCCAGAATAGCTGTTGTTCGCCACAAGAGGGTAAAGTAATTTTAATAAAGTTTACATTCAATTTCCTTAATTTCTCTAAGAAACTTTCTTGACCCATTACTGGTAATATTCATAAGAAAAAATTGAACCTACAACTCGCCAAAGTTGTTTGTTTTGAGTGCGTTCCACCAACTTCAAATACCGACAGACAGCTGTTTCGACCTATACACGGTGCTGTTCTGAGAGGTGATTTTTGGACTTTCTGTAAAACCTCATTTTTTTTATATTCTTGTTAATTAGGTCATAACTAAAATTTTAAGAGCAAAATAAAAAAAATTTGACGATTTGAATTGTTTTAATTGGCTGTTTATTAAAAATATTATGCACTCTTTCAATTATCCAATTTAATTTAAATATTTAATATTTGCATAACTAAAAAAAAGGTTTTTACAATTTTTTTTTATATATTTTACTGTTTTGTTGCAATAAACGTTCAAACTTTTAATCTAACCTTTGACGTATACATTTATGTTCCCTTAATTAATATATCCTTAAAGGTCATGAAACTTAGATCTATTAAAAATTTATTTGACGTTTGAATTGTCATTTTCAGTATACGTATTCTATAATTTTTGTTTAGTTTTTTAAAGTGTTTTTTATAAACAAAAATGAAAAGTTGTAGTAAAAGTTACGAAGAAATTCATGAAATTTAACTAAGGACCGGTTTCTTCATCTTTAGTAAAGTTTATCGGGCCGATAACTTTCATGTCTTGGCAATATCTAGTATCCAAAGAAATTATTCGTCAAATAAATCAAAAATGAATAAATCGGCCCTACATAAAATGTGGCACCCTTAGAATTATTGTTTAATAAATGTATACTTTACATTTAACCTTAAATTAAAACTTTAAACGTGTATTACAACAAAACAGTAAAAGATATAAAAAATTTATAGAACTTTTTTTAGGAAATTAACTAATCTTTAATCTGATTTAAAGAGTTATGATAATATTTAAATAAAATCGCAAGTTTTAATTGGAGAATTGAAATTGTGCATACATATTTTTAATAAACATCCAATTAAAACAAAATTAACCGTCAAATTTTTTTTATTTTGCTCTTAAAATTTTAGTTATGACCTAATTAACAAGAATATAAAAAAAATTAGGTTTCACAGAAAGTCCAAAAATCACCTCTCAGAACAGCACCGTGTTATATGCTCGGTTGGTAAGCCAACAGAGGCGAGATGTAGGAACATCAGGTGATCCACACCGCAAGTATCACAAATTTCGATCTTCAGGTCACTGCTTGGAGAACTTCCACCGAAGACACGAGCGTCTGGATCCGCAGCGCTACGGCAGCTCGCCCATGCTCATGGACCACGGGCCTCGCACTTTCAGCGACAGAGGGAGCCACCCGGACATCTTCTCCGACTGCGCCAGTCGCTTCAGGCACGATACGTTGCCGTCCTGTTGCCAACCGTACCACGTGGCGCCCCCTTGCTGTTTCTACGGCGACAGGGGGTACCATTGGATGCAACCCCCCTATCCCAAGGTTATTAGAGTTAGGAGTCATGAAAGAGTTTGAGAAAAGTCCATTTTTTAGTTTTAAGGCCATTTGTAACGTGTTTTATAATTTTTCTTCTTTCATGCAGCCTGGAGAGCAAGATGAGAAGTTCAGGAAGGTTCAGTACGAGAGGGACAACTTAGTATTGCAAGTCCAGGTTCTTACGGAGCAAATTGAGGCGCAGTCTGATAAAATATCGGACTTGGAAAAGATGGTTCAAGATAAAAAGTATCATTTGACTGAGGCGGAAGAGAATCTACAAAGGGTGAGTTTTTCAACAAAAGTTTAAATTTGTATGCATTTTAAAATAACCGGTTTTCCAATAAACAGTGTTAATCTGAATGAAGAAATAAATTGCATACAGTCTCTGTAAATATAAATTGCACCTATTAGACACAATAAATACACATTTTAGTAGTGATTAACGTAAAAAGTGTAAACATTTCAATTCAGTAAAAATCGTCTAAATTTAAACAGCATTTAGCATTATGAAAAGCGTTGATTAAGAAAGTCTCCACTCACCGGTAAAATACCATTATATTATATAATATTATGTTGCCATGAATTCGTAGGTATATTTTGTTGTTTAAAATGCAGTTGTCGGCGTTTTTTAGAGAACTCAAATATAAAAATGGTTGATTTTAAGGTTATGTTTGTGCAAAAATTATTTTTCACTAATTTCTTCAAAATGTCCAAACATAAATATAAATTATATTAGGTACAGTTACCATTAGTTAATTCTGCACCAACAAATGTACTTACCGAATTGGATCCTTTGGCAAAACATGAAAATGCAACGATTTAGTTCTTGAATTTTATTTACAATTAAAAACACAATAATTCACCATTGTTATTGTGATTAAAAATTACTTAATTGGAGTTTAATTTTTAGGAAATTTTATCCAGATCCTCCCTTGAAACGCAAAAACTGGAACTGATGACAATAATGAGCGAGCTGAAGCTACAAAAAGCGGCCCTCGAGCGGGAAAATCTGGAACTAAGAAACAGCCACTACAACAATCAGGACCTCAAAAAACCTCCTGTCATACCGAGAATGTCGCCTCAACCTCAAATCACATCTACACCCGTACAAAACAATCAGGTAAAAAAGAGAATGTGAAATGAAGCAAATTTAAGTATTTTTTATGATTTTTTTCTCTAGAATTTAAGGATGTCTCCTTCGCCAAGTCCGGTTACAACAGCAAATAGTCCTAGGAGGGAGTCGCAGGATAATCATTCTAAGGTAGAATTTTTTTATTTAAAAAATAAATGATTTATATTTAAAAAAGTATGTATCATTCATCTTCTTCTTCGTAAATCTGAACACAGAGCAATGAGTTTAGGGGTAATGGCCTTAAGCTTACTTAAAAGCTACATATTTAGCCAGCTCATTATGTTTAAAAAAATCAATATGATTAAGAGAATCATTTATATAATATTTTCTTATTGAATATAGTTTTTTTAATTCATTTAGTCAAAATCAGAGCTGGGAGTATCATGAAAAAAATATACATAAAAGTAACTTAGATACTTAAAGTATCTTAGACTCTACGTTTTATATTGAACAGAACTTAGTTACTTTGGAAAAGTATCTTGTAACTTGAATCTTAAAAAGTATCTAAGTTACTCAGTAAAGTAACTAAGATACATTCAAGTAACTTAGATACTTTAAAGTAACTAAGATAGTTTTCATTGTAACTTAGATACTTAGATAAAAAATTGGGGGAATTCCAGAATGATTCAAAGTAATTACCTAACCCACAACTTGTTGAATTTTTATAATTTTATAGTTTTTATCCAAACTTAAAAGTAACTTAGTTACTCAAAAGTATCTTAGTTACTTAAAAGTACCTTAGTTACTCAAAAGTATCTTAGATACTTTTTAAAGTATCTTGTAACTAAAGATACTTTTAAGTCAAAGTATCTAGATACCAGAGGTAACTAAGTTATTTTGTTTAAAGTATCTTAGAAAAGTAACTAGATACTTTTCAGAAGTACCTTTCCCAGCTGTGATTGTCAATTTTTTACATTTATTTTCTTTTTTAATTCGTTTTTTCTTTATTTTTTGTTTCCATCTTTCCACATACATTTTGCTACAATACACTTAAAATTCTCCATATAATTTTTTCTTAAAAATCAATTAATTTATTTTCACTTTTTCTTCCACACTTGTTTCTTCTTTCATTAATATTTTATATAGGTACATTAAAAAAAATTATCCATAGGTATACTTCTAGAGTTCGTTTTCTATATAATCACAGATAATATATAATATCCCCAGAGTCACATATCGCTGGTTTGGTGCAAGACTATCCTAAGTCCATTTTCAAAGAATTTGATAAAAACACTACTAAACATTTCTATTTATTGTAACTAAATTGTTTTTTTGCGACATTCTTTTAAAAATTGTAAGGTTTTACAAGAATGACGCAAAAAACAATTAAGTTACAATACATAGAAATGTTTAATAGTATTTTTCTCCAATTCTTTGAAAATGGACTTGGGATAGTCTTGCACAAAACCAGCGATATTTTCATAATCTTTCATTCAGCGGTGTGTGCTTTTGGAACAACAAAACCCGAATGAAAAAAAAATATATATCACGGTGCTGTTCTGAGAGGTGATTTTTGGACTTTCTGTGAAACCTAATTTTTTTTTATATTCTTGTTAATAAGGTCATAACTAAAATTTTAAGAGCAAAATAAAAAAAAATTGACGGTTAATTTTGTTTTAATTGGATGTTTATTAAAAATATGTATGCACACTTTCAATTCTCCAATTAAAACTTGCGATTTTATTTAAATATTATCATAACTTTTTAAATCAGATTAAAGATTAGTTAATTTCCTAAAAAAAGGTCTATACATTTTTTATATCTTTTACTGTTTTGTTGTAATACACGTTTAAAGTTTTAATTTAAGGTTAAATGTATAGTATACATTTATTAAACAATAATTCTAAGGGTGCCACATTTTATTTAGGGCCGATTTATTCATTTTTGATTTATTTGACGAATAATTTCTTTGGATACTAGATATTGCCAAGACATGAAAGTTATCGGCCCGATAAACTTTTCTAAAGATGAATAAACCGGTCCTTAGTTAAATTTCATGAATTTCTTCGTAACTTTTACTACAATTTTTCATTTTTGTTTATAAAAAACACTTAAAAAAACTAAACAAAAATTATAGAATACGTATACTGAAAATGACAATTCAAACATCAAATAAATTTTTAATAGATCTAAGTTTCATGGCAACCTTTAAGGATATATCAATTAAGGGAACATAAATGTATACGACTAAGGTTAGATTAAGAGTTTGAACGTTTATTGCAACAAAACAGTAAAATTTATAAAAAAATTGTAAAAACCTTTTTTTTAGTTATGCAAATATTTAAATTAAATCGCTAGTTTTAATTGGATAATTGAAAGAGTGCATAATATTTTTAATAAACAGCCAATTAAAACAATTCAAACCGTCAAATTTTTTTTATTTTGCTCTTAAAATTTTAGTTATGACCTAATTAACAAGAATATAAAAAAAAATTAGGTTTCACAGAAAGTCCAAAAATCACCTCTCAGAACAGCACCGTGATATACTAGGGTGTGCCAAAAAAACTCGATATTTTTTTCCTGCTCTCCACCCAAAATATCGTAGAATATGTCCGAACAAATATCCTGTTAAAAGCGGAGCTCATAATTTCAATTTTAAGAGGTCCTCCATCGAATCTGAAGTTTTGCCGCTTAAATAACACAGAAAACTGACTTTTTTTACCTTATTTATTCTTGCAACCTAGGAAGAAATTTTTCATAAAATTCATGACCAAATCTTACAAAGCATTAAATTTGGACGAAAAAATCTTATTAAGCCGAATTTCTATTTTCATTATTTGATTTTTTACAGAGCTTTAAATTTAAAGTTAATAATACAAAAATGATGACTTTATGGCGTATGTAACTTTTAGAATATTGACGATACAAAAAATTCGCCTAAAACTTTTTTGTGGTCCATCAGACAAGCTAAAAAATTGCCATTTGACTTTTTCGTCTGACTTCAATAGTTTAGCTGAAAAAGGCAAAAAACGTAAAATTTTAAATTTAAAGCTCTGTAAAAAATCAAATAATGAAAGTTTTTTTGGCACACCCTAATATATACATAACACAAACATAACCATATTTCAGCCATACAAACGTCAGATCGACGTCCAATACGGCAGCCTGCCGCGGCAGCAGTTCCTCAGCAACGGCACCCAACCGACAGGTGGCAGCACGCACAGCGTTAACAACGCTGACTCCAATGCCAACTTGTCGAACGGCGTAGCGCAAAACCAACGCAACCACAAGGGCGTCGCTTTCGGTAGGACGCTCTACTCTCTGGTCGGGGTGAAAAATCGGGGATTTTCCGTTCCGAACCTAGGTGATAGCTCAGGAACAAGCCGCTCCTTCTCAAGCTTTATCGAAACTTTTCGTTGCCTTTCTATTTTCTGCGGCATGTTTTTGCTTTCATTGTTGCGTTAATATCACTTTTGAATTATTAATAAATATCATGCAAATTAAAGTTCTTGTTTCAGATAAAAATAATAGGAAACTTAGTTTTTAAATTTTAAACTCACCACAAATAGGAGATTATTTTTAACGACCAATTTTTCGATGTGGTTTTAAAGTTATAATTAAACGTTTCAAAAATAAAAAAATATAATGTGTTAATAACGCAGATAGAACGTTAAACTTTCTTTTATTAATCCAATCAAGCATAGTTTTGGCCTTTTGGACCGTTTTTCGCAAAAAAAAACCAAATTAAATTTAGCAGTAAAATATAATTTCAAATATTAGAAAAAACTTGTAAACTGTTGAATTAGTAAAAAAAAGTAAATACATTTTTTGTAGGAAATTTAGTTTTCCACAAAATATATACGTTATAAGTCAAATCTCTAAAATTAGGAATTTAAAATTAATGGTTTTATAATTAAATAATATTTATATTAATAATTTTTTCCACTAATTTTATTTTTTAGTTACCAAAAACAATTACTTAAAGGTTGTAAAATATTTCAAGATTAAATTAAATTAATTTAGATGTAAATTTAAATACATAGGTATCTACTAAAATATTAATTTTAGACTTTTTTTTATAGAAAACTAAATTTCCTACAAAAAATGTATGTAATTTTGCTTTGAAATCAACTGTTGACAAGCTAACATCAATTTCTTTTGAAATCAAACATAAAACTTACTTATACTTTATTATACTTTAATGTGGGGATGTGACTTTTATTTATACCCACATGCTTTTTCAATGGGAAAACGGTATTTTAATTTTTTTTTTATCTGAAAAAAATAGAAAAATTCCTAAAAATTCACTCACTTCATTTGCTTCAAATACTTTTACAAGTGTCATATAAACAGGTTGCACATTTTTTTTTATTTGAAGAATTACAATGTGGGTTAAGAGAAAAGTTTAGTAAAAAACGACAAGCCTATTAACATAAAATTTGTAAATTGCAAAAAAGGCCAGCAAAATATTATCGAAAAAAAACTAAAAACTTTTAAATCCAAAAATCATTATAACTTTATTATTCCTGGGAGTTTTGAAACAAAGTAAGTTTTACAAGTAAACATACACATTAATCTACATTTTTTTCCAATTTCTTCGCGACTATGTTTTGGGTTACCATCACCATCTTTTGTTTTATAATGGCTGCCATAACTATAACCATAATAGTTTGATACCTAGTTGGATTCCTTGATTTGTTTTCTATCTGACCCTGTAAAATTCCAATAATGCAGCCAAAGGAAAACAAAAGATGGTGGTGGTATCTCAAAATCCAGTAGGCGAAAAAAATCATAAATTGGATAAATAAACTTACTTTTTTCAAAATTACCAGGAATAATGAAGTTATAACAATTTTTGGTTTTTATCTATTTTGGTTTTTATCTATTTTGCTTTCATAATAAATTCATTATAACACCGCTTTCAGTACTGTAATGAGATACTTTATCCCATCCAAAATTTTGATTTTACAGGTTGGCTATACTTTAAACAGCATAATATTTTGCATGTGGGTTATAATATTTTTATGTCTTTTCTGGTACTTTTCTGGCAATAAATTTTGTTTAACACTAAAGAAAATAATTTTTTTCTTCTTTAACATTAACAGCCGCTTATTGTAAATAAGTAAAAGGACGGCATGGCGAATCGATTTTGACATTGACTGTCAAACCAATGACTGTGATACCAATTATCTAAAGTAAAATTCGACCAAATTAAATTTAAGGTATAATATTAATTTTTCTATAGAATTTATGCAAAATAGATAAAATAGCATAAAGAACTATTTCATTTTGTTAATGTCATTTTAATAGACTTATTATTATTACGCAACTTTTCTCTAATGTCACCGATTTTGTAGGTCTTTAAATAAAAACGATAACAATACATAGAAGGATATTTTATACCCTGTATAAAAGTTTGGAAATTTTTTAAATCTTAAAAATTCTGAAAAAATAGCAAGAAACTACTAAAAAATCACTCACTTCATTTGCTTGAAACACTAATTCTTGAGCTACTCACTTAACCTAAACCTAACCACCCATCTTCATATAAAAGTCCTAATACTAAATACTAAAAAACCTTTAAAAATTAAATATTACACTGGGCAACAGTAAATTGGTTATTTAAACAAAAAAGTTATTGTTTTTTACTTTTTTACTTTTTAAAAGAATACACTCACAGGCAAAATAATCGATGAATTTCAATCGCAAATAACTTTTTTAATTGATGTCGGATTTAAACGAATATTAACGAATATTGTAGATAAATTAATGGACAATCGCTTACATTTTAAAAAATTACTAAAAAAATAGACGTACGTTTATAATATACAGGTTTAAACAAAAATATGTTTTTTGCCATAAGTTTAAGACACTCTGTAGAGTGGCAAAACCGTATATTGTTCTAAATTAAGTTTTATTTATCAAGTCACATCTATTCTTAACAGTTTTGTTTTTGGTTCACCTCGATATATTAATTTTTGTGGAAAATATGGATTTTTTTAAAAAAACATTGCAATTTCCAATATTTTTCTATATGAATAACTAAGGTTGCTATACTTGGACATGTCATACACGGCTTTCAAAAGCTATCAAATTGTTTTTTGCAAATTAATGTTTAAATTTTGAAGTGTCTTCTTACTTAAAAAAATGGATATGTCTCCGACTGATGTTGCCAGAGCCATTAATTTAATCCAGGATGGACGGTCACAGTATTACGTGGCAAGTGTTTTAAACGTCACAAGAAGTAAAGTACAAAGGGCAACATCAGAGACATTTTTAATTAATAAACACATTAATTTACAGAAAACAATTTGATAGCTTTTGAAAGCTGTATATGACATGTCCAAGTATGGGATGATTCAACAAAACTGTCACTGTCATCCTCCATAGGCTATGGATGGACCATAGCAAACTTAGTTCTTCATACAGGAAAAACATTGCAAATTGCAATATTTTAAAAAAAAAATCATATTTTCCACAAAAATAAATATATCAAGGTGAACCAAAAACAAAACTGTTAAAAATAGATGTGACTTGATAATTAAAACTTAATTTAGAACAATATGAGGTTTTGCCACTCTACAGAGTGTCTTAAACTTATGGTAAAAAACATATTTTTGTTTAAACCTGTATATTATAAACGTACGTGTATTTTTTAGTAATTTTTAAAATGTGAGCGATTCTCCATTAATGTATCCACAATATTCTTTAATATTCGTTTAAATCCGAAATCAGATAAAAAAGGTATTTGCGATTATGTATATTTAAGAAGTTTTGTAAAAAAATCGTTGCCTAGTGTACCCCAACCCCAAAAATTCAAAAAAAATGTTCCATCAATTATTTTCGCAGCGGAAACCGACAAAGTCATCGAAGACGTCGCGTGCGATTCGCCGGGATCTCCCAACCTGTTCGGCAAGAACAACAAGGGCATCAAGAAGATCTTCGGCCGCATGAAGCGCTCCGGAAGCGGAAATTTGGAGGACTTGCCGGGCATCAACGAGTTCCAGAGGGGCGGCGTGCGCGCCACCGCCGCCGCCAGGCTGGGCTGGAGCGAGCCGCACCTGATGCCGAAGTAAGTGATCAAGTTACGATTTAATCGGTTTTAGAGCGTCCAAAATAAAGTGACATTTGATGTTAGAGCGTCCAAAATAAAGTGACATTTGATGTTGAAATTAAAAAAGAATCAGCTGTCAAACGCGTATGTTTTTAAGAATAATACGAATGAAGAAAAAAATTACATACAGAAGCACCAGAAACTTTTCTTTTCTAAATTCTAAAGACTAAAAATAATTTATAACACCTTGCTTAAGCAATGATTAGAAAGTTTAGAACCTCAACCACTAAGTTAATTTTTTCATCGGTTTTTTTCTTTCTGTTTACTGAGATAAAATTAGGAGAAGTTATATATAATAATTAATAAAAACGACAAATTAACAATTTTCATTGTTGATTTTGTCATTTTTGTAATTATGCTAAATTTAAACCAAATCTGGCAACTTATTATATACTTATATATTAGACTGGGCCACTTAAAAACTCGCATGAGAAAGTCGCTTTTCAACACTTGTAAAACAAATAACTATGTATTTTGTCATTCTGAATGACATTCTCGATATATTTTTCAAAAAAAAATAGTCAATTTTTTTGGCCCAGTCTATTATATATAATAAATTAAATTAGGCAACCAGATTAGCCTTTTTGGTAGGATAAAGGATTTTATAAATTATTTTTAGTCCTTAGAATTAATAAAAAAAAGTTTCAGGTGCTTCTTTATTACCTATTATTAATATTATTATTCAATTTTCTACTAAAATGTGTATTTATAAAGATTTCATTAAACGATTGATAAATAATGAAATATGGTAATTTTTATAAGGAATTAAATAAAAAATGGAAAACTGTGGTATTTTTTATCTGTGGTCCAGGTCATTTAAAAATTGATTTGTCTCTAAAAAATTCTAGTTTTGTAGACTATGTAGTTTAATCTGAGAAATCCTAAAACTCGACAAATATTTTTTGTTTAAATTCGCTTTGTTGTTCAGACCTGACAAGCCGTTCGCAGAGTGGGACACCGAGAACATTTGCGACTGGCTGCAGGACCTCGGTCTCGACCAGTACATCACCGAAGCGAAACGCTTCGTAAAATCCGGGCAGCATCTTCAAGAAACCGGCATCAACGAAATCGAAAAGGAATTGAACATCAAAAACCCGCTGCATCGCAAAAAACTTCAGCTGGCTCTCATCGACACTGACGTGAACAGTTCGAGCGACCCCTACCTGTCCATGGCGGGAAAATTGGACACCGCCTGGGTGCTAAGGTGGCTGGATGACACAGGTCGGTAAACAAGTCGGAAATGTCCCAAAATAGTTAGCACAAAAAGGCACTTCTTGCCATAAAACATTTTATCTTCAAAGCACTTTATATAGGTCAATTTAATTCAACATCAAAGCGGCCTAACCTCACTTTTTAAGAATCTCATTTATTTATTAGCTAAAGATTACATTAAATGTACAATAATTATTATTGCTTTTAGAAGCAGTAATAGTTTGACAATACCTAGCAACATGATTTAAGTAGAAATGGATTTTTGCCATTACATTGAATTTAATTAATTGTTTAATAAATAGGTACTAATTTCAATTTGTTTGGATTTTTATTTAAAAAATAGGTAGTTTGGAATGTTTAAGCTGTGTTTAACATTTAATTTCACTGAAAACTTAAAGCAAATTAAAACTTAAAGATAATTTAAATCGTAGAAAAAGAATCGTGCGTTTTCATGGTTGCCTAACCTCAATTTTTTGTTTTATTATTCATATTTAATTTTACAATAATTTAATGAAAAATATTAAACATTAACAGTAAAACAAACAAATTAGTGCTTATTATAAATAAATTAAACCAGTTTAGTACGTTAATTTCTTATAAAAGGATTAATTTGTCAAAACAATACCCCTAGCGAGAAAAAATCAAACTAATTACTTGCCTCCTAAAAAATTTTATCGGCCTAGGCCATAACAAGGTATTTCTTTATCGATTGTTGACAACAATAAAGTTTAAATTATAGACCGCGTGGAGATAAACTCCTTTAATTTTATTTTATTATAATTTTAGGTCTTCCTCAGCACAAAGAAAACTTTTTGATAAACCGCGTGGACGGCCGAGTTTTGCACAGATTAACAATTGACGATCTGGCGCTGTTGCATGTCACATCGCTTTTACACGTTGCCAGTATTAAAAGAGGGATACAAGTTTTACGAGAAAACAATTACGAATCGGGTAAGTCAATGATGATTTTCTATGGCAGTGTTTTGTATTCTAGCTTCTAGAGGGCATTGTTAATTAGTAGATAATATTCCCTATATTTATAGGAGATAATGAAGGATATTTTTTTCTTAGGTTGCCTGCAGAGGAGGTCGCTACCTGATGATCCGTGTCAACCTACGCCTAAAGACATATCCTTGTGGACCACACACAGGTAATTTTTTTTTTTTTTATAAAAGTTTGGATACAATTTTCTAAAAACGTTTTAAAAATAAAAAGTTAAAATAAATTATTACACACAGCGTTTTTAAATGCTTAGTAACTCGAAAAAGGTTCGTCGAAAAAAAAAATTGTGCGAAATTTACGAGACACCCTGTATATTTGACAATTTGAAATTTGGCATTCCAGGGTTTTTCAGGACGGAAAAATTAAATTTCTTAAAAAATCTTGCACACTTTGCATACGTTTAAATGGTTTTTGCGCCTTAGTGTATTCAGTTTTTTTGTATAATTAGACCTTTTATTGTTTTTTACTCTTCCCGAGACTTTCGCTACATTCAACATACTGCATGTTGTCTGTTGCTTTATTTTTGGTTTCAGTACCTTTTTTATTAATTTTTTTTTCTACTTCACTTAATTTGATTCACAAAACATAATAATTTGTTTTCACAACTCATTTTAAGATTTTAAATATCACTGCATATAGAAATGTCATTGAAACCGTTAAAAGCGAGAAGCGTTACCATATAAACCGACTATCACCAACTCGCAAAGTTGTAATAAATTTTGCAGCGTTTTTTTTAATTATAAACTAAGTACTTTTATTAAAAAAAAATTACATTTTCAAATAAAATATTTAAATATTTTGTATAGAAGTCAATTTAACATTTTTAAATATGATTTTGACATTTGAATGCTAAAAACATAAATTTTACTGTCAAAACCGTATTAAGATTGACAAACTTACTTGTATTGTAAAAAACGTAGATTAAAATTCTTAACCAGTGAAAAAATGACAGATGTCAAAAATGACAGGTGGCAAATTTTTCGTTAAAAATTCGCTAAAGAATTTTCGGACCTCGCTATAGAAGTTTGATGACTTTAAATACGATTTACAATGTTAAACACATTAAAAAAAAAACAAAACAATATTTCTACTTCTAAATAGGGTTATGGAATGGCTGAGAGCGGTCGATTTGGCGGAGTACGCGCCTAATCTGCGCGGAGCAGGCGTGCACGGCGGGCTGATGGTGTTCGAAACGAAATTCACGGCCGAGCTGTTGGCGGCCCTGCTCTCGATACCGCCGGGGAAAACCCTGCTGCGCAGGCACCTCAACACGCACTTCAAAGAGCTGCTGGGCAAGGATTGCATACAGGAGAAGCGCGAAGCTGAAGCCACCATGGGGTACATTCCCTTGACGCCGGCTTCGAAATTAAAGGTACGTTCCTAGCAATAATAACATGTAAAATGTTTAGCAAAATACACTCACGTGCAAAATAATCGATCCACACAAATTTTCGATGAATTTCAATCGCAAATAACTTTTTTATTTGATGTCGGATTTAAACGAATATTAAACAATATTGTAGATAAATTAATGGACAATCGCTCACATTTTAAAAAAATACTAAAAAATAGACGTACGTTTATAATATACAGGTTCAAACAAAAAGATGTTTTTTACCATAAGTTTAAGACACTCTGTAGAGTGGCAAAACCGTATATTGTTCTAAATTATGTTTTATTTATCAAGTCACATCTATTCTTAACAGTTTTGTTTTTGGTTCACCTCGATATATTTATTTTTGTGGAAAATATGGATTTTTTTTAAAAACATTGCAATTTCCAATATTTTTCTGTATGAAGAACTAAGGTTGGTATGGTCCATCCATAGGCTATGGAGAATGACAGTGACAGTTTTGTTGAATCATCCCATACTTGGACATGTCATACATGGCTTTCAAAAGCTATCAAATTGTTTTTTGCAAATTAATGTTTAAATTTTGAGGTGTCTTCTTACTTTATAAAATGGATATGGCTCCGACTGATGTTGCCAGAGCCATTAATTTAATTCAGGATGGACGGTCACAGTATTACGTGGCAAGTGTTTTAAACGTCACAAGAAGTAAAGTACAAAGGGCAATATCAGTCGGAGACATTTTTAAAAGTAAGAAGACACCTCAAAATTAACACATTAATTTACAAAAAACAATTTGATAGCTTTTGAAAGCTGTATATGACATGTCCAAGTATGGGATGATTCAACAAAACTGTCACTGTCATTCTCCATAGCCCATGGATGGACCATAGTAACCTTAGTTCTTCATACAGGAAAAATATTGGAAATTGCAATGTTTTTTTAAAAAATCCATATTTTCCACAAAAATAAATATATCGAGGTGAACCAAAAACAAAACTGTTAAGAATAGATGTGACTTGATAAATAAAACTTAATTTAGAACAATATACGGTTTTGCCACTCTACAGAGTGTCTTAAACTTATGGTAAAAAACATCTTTTTGTTTAAACCTGTATATTATAAACGTACGTCTATTTTTTATTATTTTTTTTAAATGTGAGCGATTGTCCATTAATTTATCTACAATATTCTTTAATATTCGTTTAAATCCGATATCAAATAAAAAAGTTATTTGCGATTGAAATTCATCGAAAATTTGTGTGGATCGATTATTTTGCACGTGAGTGAATATGCCAGATTTTACATGTTTTTACTTTTAATACCTAGGTTCCGAAAAAATCTCAGTTCTCGTTAAAACGCAAAAAAAGCAAAGGCGAAGCGGACTACGGCGATTTAGTGTGTCCGCTTAACCCGGACAAATCAGGTGAAATAAATGGCTCAACTCTTAATAGCTCGATTGGTGTAAGTTACTAACATTTTCTAACAATTTTTTCCCACCTTTTTAACTTTTGATACAAAACGGACTTAACTTTGATGCAACAAATCTATACACGCCAAAAATATCTACACATTATTTATTATTAGTGGCAAATATCCGCAATTTGTAAGTACAATTATTTAGTAAATAGGTTTTGGTTTTTTTTCATGCTATCCCTATGGATTCAGATTCCTGAAATTTTAATAATTCACTGTTGAATATATTTATAGTCATTTTAAAGTGACTGAACTGGTTTATAAGGTGTGTTTATTAACTAACAATATTTTGATATTATTGTTCAAAAATGTCTTTGCAAAATATTTTTCACTATACTCTCTGAACATATTTCTGAGAAGGAAATAATGCGATATAACTATAGTTGTCGATTTTATTATTAAAAAACATACGTTTTTCCACAAAATTTTATGTATATATTAAATGTTGAATTATTTATTTTATGTAATTTTTCTGTGCAATATTTTTGTGACAAATTAATATTTAACTTAATATTTCTTATACAATTAAAAAGTAAAACGGTGTGCCATAATTAATTTTATGTTTCCGCATAATTTCACCAATAAAAAATGATACAATTAATTTTATATGTACCCATAAAATTCATGCACTGAAATTTTATTATGACTATATAATAAAAAATTTAGAATAAATTTCATGTAGGTACACAGATAATATTATTTAATTAAAAAGTGGCAACTGCAGTAGTTATGTTTAATTTATCAACATCATATTAATTAAATCGGTGAGATTAAGATGAGTACAAGTCCAAAAGTTAAAATTTTGTCAAAAAATTTAAAAAAATCTGTTTTATAGTTCTAAATGCTTTTTTGAGATAATATTTTAACAATTTTATAAAATATAATTTTCCATATTCTCTAAAATATCTTCTCACAAAAATGTATTTTGAAATTTAAGATTGATTTTAAAAATGACTTCTCAAAATTAAATTTTTTAACATTTTAACATAAAAATTCATTGCATTAATTTTATGTGTACACATAAAATTAATTGTAAAATAAAAATGATTGTTGATTTATAAATAAGATTGCAACTTTAAAAAAAAATAGAATAAAATAAAATAGTTTAAAAAATAGTTAAAAAAAAGTAAAAAAATAAAGAACCTACAATAAATTTGAATTAAATTTATTCATGACATAATTTTATTTAATTATTATGTCAGACAGAATTAAAATTAAAAAAAAATTATATATTTCATAATTTTAAAAAACCTACTTCAATTTCCTTTAACCTTTAAACATTTACGATAAAAAGTGAAATGGCGTGCAATATAATATCAACTTTTGTATAGAGGTAAATTTGGTTATATCGCATTATTTCGGTTTTAGATATATGTGTTATCATTTTGCACAGCATTTTATGGACACCAGAAAAGTATAATGAAAAATAAGTTTTACATATAAAATAATTTGAATAATAATATCGCTAATAGTTTTTCAGTAGAGTGAATAATATTAGATGTAGATTTAGAGCAGTATAACTCAACTAAAGTACTTAATACACTGCGCGTCAAAATTAACGCATAATAAGTAAAAAAAAATTAACTCTAAAACGCCTTTACCAATCTTTATGAAATTTTGTATAAAAATACTTCAACTTATAATTCAGTTTACGTGTTCGAGGGTTTTTCGAGAAAATATTTTTAAAGCCCTTTTATTTAATAAAAAAAAAACGTTCAAATAATAACTTTTAGGGATTTTTTTTAAGTAAATAAAAAATATGCTGTTGTGGTCATTTTTGACGACTTTGAAGCGCTGTATTTTTGTTACTGTTCGTTTAATTTGTACAACTTCAGGGTATATTAACAAAAATATGGTCTTTCACAGCATATTTTTTATTTACTTAAAAAAAAATCCATATAAAAGTTTTTTTGGGCGTTTTTTATTATTAATTAAAAGGGCTCAAAGGATATTTTCTCGAAAAACCCTTGAACACGTAAATTGAGTTATAAGTTAAAGTATTTTTGTAGAAAATTTTATAAAGATTGGCAAAGGCGTTTTAGAGTTGGATTTTTTTACTTATTACGCGTTAATTTTGACGCGCATTGTAGTTATATTGTAATTTAGCTCGGCTAAGTTGATTTTTGCTTTCTTTTTAATACAGGCTGTGGTTTTTGGTAATTTTTACTTGTAGGCTGCCATATTAGAGAATGTTTACTTTATAAAAAATATGCTGGGTATTCTTACTGTAAAACATCGGGGGTTTTCCTAATTGCGTCAATTTCTATTACCAACCTAATTACTGCCAACCTAAACATAATTTTTGTAGAGTAAACAACATTTTTACAGGGTGTTTCCCAAGTTCATAAAAAAACAAATTTCATGCCCTTAAGAAACCCCTGTTTTATTTACTAAAAATGCTGTATACTGATGAACACACGTGTTTGTTAGATGACGAGGACAACAGATCTAGAGGACGGGGTTGCCTATCGTCACGTTGACTTTAGAGGGGCCAGATCGCTGCCATCTTCCATTGGAAACTCCCCCGTGCCCCAGAGACACGTTTAAAACAAAACAATAAACTTGCATTTTTTTTATATTCCATTGTATAGCTAGCTATATACATTGCCCCAGATGATCGTCTTCCTGTGTAAATTTTTGCCTTAATGCAGATTGTTTTTGATTTTGGACGGAAATTGAAACCATATCGGACTGCGCGTGCCAAATTTTAAGTGGTTGGCAAAACTTGTTGTTGAATGCATATTTATACAGTATTTACATATTATTGTTACCATTTATATAGATTTTAGCGAGAGTAGTAAGAAATGACCAAAAATTAATTTAAAACTTCGAGGACGAAATATCGCGGTCCCTCAGTATTATGTAACACAACTAAGTATGTTCGGAATTGTAAAAAATAACAATAATATTAATAATTAATATACCAGGTGTATGAGATTTTCGTTTAGTATTAATTTACAAATAAAATAGGTTTGTGTACTGATTTTTTTGTTTATATCCATTGACTAGGAACATTTAATTGCTAATAAGTTATTAACTTTTATGTGTTGTCTCTTGAAATACTTTTATTACCTATAATATTATTATACCTGACAAATAAAAATATGTATAATAAATAATGAAATTGTTTTTTTGTTTTAAAAATATATTTTATACACTCCCTGAAAAAAAAATTCCCCTAAATTTAAAATTCAAGATTTTTAGTCACGGGCTGAAGTTGGTCTTATTATAAATTGGGAAAAAGTGAGGTTAAATTCAGGTGACAGTTGACATATGTCAAATTTTTAACAAATAAAACTCTGTTTTGTCTACCGTCTAACGACGTTGTTTAAAATTCTTGTGCTTTGGGTTTGTGCTGTTTAACACATTTAAAATCGTTTTAAACGTTGTTTTAAAGGCACTTGTAAGACTTAAGAGGCCTTTAAGTGCTAAGAGCATAGAAATAACACAACAGTGTTATTTCTATGGCTAAGAGCAACTTCTTTTGTAAAAAATAAACCCTGTTTTATCAGGGCTGCCTTCAAACTGTCAAATATCAATTTTAAGGTTAATTTGTGGGAAATTTGTGGGTTAACAATAATTATGGTAAATAAACAATAAAATTGACTTTTGACAGTTAATAATAAAGCCCGTGACTAAAAATTGTTGCCAATTTCTGGTAGCCGTGTTTTTCTTCAAGGCGAATGATAATATTAAGTAATAAGTATTGGAAATAAAAAACATATTGAAAAAAATGAAGTTTATTGTTAAGGAAGAGATTCTCTATGGTGGTGGTCGGTTGGCTTAAGAATAAGTACGTTGTCACCTAAAACCCAAATAAAAAGGATATAAGAACATTGGTTGGAATCATGTTCCCATCCCACATAACACAATATGTTTTAAAAATTTTGTCGGGCTGTTTGGAGAACAATATTTATAAATAAAAGGTTGATGAAATATGGAAAAATTTAGGGAAAAATGCGACGGTAAGTTAAAATACAGGTATGTATTATATTTACTTTGATTGTTTAGATTATTATTGCTATTTGGGTGAATTTCACGAAATGTCCCCCGATGGTGTTACCCCGTGATATTTAATAAAACTAAATGAGTTTGACCTACACTTTTATTGTGTTTTGATCTTTTATAATTAAGTAGATATTACAGCTCAGGTTCCAGATTTTTAACCGCAATTAATTATTTTGTACAATGTTTTAAAAGTATAAAACCTATCCTCCGTGACTGTTACTCTTTCTAGGTTAACCTATATGTTTTCAAATATCTGAGGTAGAAAAAGCATACTAAAAATATCAGTTCACTAAGTAAATTAAACACATCCAAAGCAATCGAATCAAATATAAAATATTATTAAAAATTAAAGAAATAATTTTTATAACTATTTATGTAGGTGTTACAAAAATTGATTCTATCCTCCGTGAATCTGTTTTCGCTTTAAATTTTATGCAACGGATGGCGCTTTAATCATTTTAAATAAGCAAAAACCTCTGTTAACGACATTATAGATGCATGTGATTTCTGAATTTATGTATGTACAATTGTATTTTAAAAAAATATTAAGGTGTCAAAAGATACAATAACTTATTTCAACTATACAAAGGGATGTTTAAAAAAAACATACGAAATCCTAACCTCCGTGAAGCTATCTTCCGTGAAGCTCTAATATTCAAAATGTAATTCTTGCATATGCAACCACTTATGTTATGTTATTACTTCCCAAAAACCCCATTCTAGACTAACAGTAAAACAACCAAAAATAAAAAATAATCATTTTCACTTGGGGGACATCTCAATATATTCACCCATTAATGAATTGCAGTGTACTGAACCTTAAAATTTTATTGCCACCCTATTGAAGACGATTATTCTATCGGTAAATTTCTTATTAACAAAAAACAAACATAAACCTAATAAAATCGCTTAAAAAAATATTATTGTTTTTTAATTCTTAAAAACAAAAGTCATTTCCCCAAGCGGGAATGAACCGAAGACTTAAATTTAAAGAATTTAATGCTAAAGCTAAATTTAGAAAAAGTAATTCTTTTACTTTACTTAAGTAAAAAGAAACTTAAAAAGATAAACCAAGACTGTAGAAAGAAAAATGTTTTTTATTTCTGTATTTTTTCCAAAGAATTATAGTTTTACATATTTTTATTTATATCGATTATTTTTTTATATTTTTTTATTTATAGGCGCAACATTTTATCAACATTTACATTGTTAAAATAAATAGGTATGGAATGAACTATAAATATTTTGAAAATATTTACAGATGTTTTTGTGATGTTGAGGAAACATTAATAAAATATAAGTGCTCATTCATAATGGACGTAACCATAAGATGCCCGTAAGAAATACGTAAAACGTAAAGTTGAACATTAACAAAACCAGTGTGCCTGTTTATAATGAATAGCCGTAATTTTTACGTTTTACGTTCGAACATAAGATCTTATGGGTGACCGTAAAAAATACGTAAAGTTGAAATCATCTCAACTTTACGGGTTTCTTATGTGTGAATTTTAGTAACTTTCATGATTTCATTAGAACATTGTTGGTAGCAATCAGGGTAGTAGCCATGCAAACAGATGACAGATCTTTTTCAAGTGTATTCTGGTGTATCCACAGAACAAACAATCTAAAGAACCATTCATTATCCTAAAGTTTTAGTTTGAGTATTATTCGACGAAATTCGCCCTTTTTTTCTTCTCTTTGCCAACGTATATATCTATCGCTCATTACACTAATAATTATAATAACACTGATAGTTTTAACTTAATTTATATTTATAATAATTATAATTATTATGCCTTAAAACTTTTAAGTTTTAAGACATAATAATTAGACGAAATCTGTCAATGCTGCCATTTTAGTGAACTTGGACATGCGAGCCTTATTAATATATACATAAGCCATACGTTCATTATAAACACAACTCATCGTTACGTACAAATTATGGTGATAGTATGTTTACGTTTACGTTTACGTTTACGGGCATCTTATGGTTACGTCCATTATGAATGAGCACTAAGGTAATGTATCTAAAACATTAACAAAAATGTTTAAAAAATATTGTATTATACAATTTGTATAAATATAAAAAGTGAAACATTTAAATGTTGTAAAAACATTTTAGAGGCATTTAAATGATAATTACTCAAATTTCTAAAATATTTAGGTTATTTAGCAAAAATATTCATTCAATATTTTAAATATATTTTTGTGTTATGTGGGATGCGATAGTGTCGCCACTCTGCGGCGACAATATCGTAACTTTTGGGTAAAGTTCTTAAAAAATTAACTTCCCTAGTAGCAATTCCGGAAAAGTCTTGGCCCAGCATGGGTCAAGATACTTTGGGCAGATTTTTGCTCAAGAATTGTTCCAGATTCTTGGCCAAGATTATTGGGCAAGACTCGAGCCAGACTGTGGCCAGAATTTGACAAGAATTTGACCAGAAATCTGAGGCCATCCATTGCTGAACTTTGGGACTATCCTATAGAGTAGAGGTTCTCATTCTACAGTAGTATCATTCACAATAATGTATACTAGTCGAGAAGTGAGTTATCTGTAGGAAATGAGTATAGTTTTTTTGTTTATGTGAAAATACGAATAAGAGCTTATTGGATTCGTCTTCTAGCTGAGAAAAAAATTGATTTTTTGAAAAATAAAAATTGTTATTTCTAAAAATCAAAAATTAAAAAAAAAGTGTGTCAGCTCTGACGCATAACTAGAGTTTACTCTTTATGAACATGAAAGATTATAAAATACATGTTTATTTTTACGGGCACCTGTTTTTTTTTTAACATAGAAAATTAAAAACTTAAACTCTTTCAAAATTTGTTTCGTTTTTAATTCTATTGTTTACCAGATTTATGGATAAAAACCGAATTTACTGGAAAGAAATCGTGGAAAATTAATGTTTTTAGTAACATTCTTAACTTTTGAAGTTCAACAAAATTTTGTATTGACCAAAAATCTTGAATTGAAAGTTCCTATTTAACGTGTAATCGTGTAAAAATTCTTGGCCAAGAATCTGGTCAAATTCTGGTCACAGACTTGTCCAAGTCTGCCACCAGTCTGGATAAAGAATTTTGATCAAGAGTCTTGGTCAAGAATTGTCCAATTCTTTACAAAGTGCTTCTCCAAGAATCTTGAGAAAGAATCTTGTCCAATTCCATTGCTACTAGGGTTTCGTTTTGTTCTTTGAAGATTGCGGTTAGAACTGGTCAAGGGCAAACAATAATACAAATAAAACAAAAACACAGTAAACATTCAATTAGTTTCTTTAATATTCATTAAAAAAAATTGAACCTACACCTCGCCAAAGTTTTTTGTTTTGAATGCGTTCCACCAACTTCAAATACCGACAGACAGCTGTTTCGACCCATGGGTCTCAACACCTGATGTTCTTACATCTCGCCTCTGTTGACTTAACAACCGAGCATATAAGCTCAGGGAGTAATTTGTTTTGATTGTGTTCAACTACACCAAGTTGCCCGACACTGATGAGACCCAACGCATTCAAAACAAAAAACTTTGGCGAGGTGTAGGTTCAATTTTTTCTTAATAACACAGTACCTTTACTTTCGGTGGGCCTGGCCGCGTCGATGGCCTTCCTGCCCTCTTTAGACGCCTGCAGGGCCTGCTCTTCGGCGGCCGTCAGGGTGGCAAACCTGGGATCCATGGACAGCCAGAGCGAACTCAGGCAGTCGTCTATCGAGTAGCGATTGGAGATTTTGGGCTCCAAGAGGTGCGGTAAAAATTCCTTCACTTGCGGCGTCAGCGAGTCGACCACTTTCGAGCGGAAGTTCCACCTTTTCGATACCTGCTGCTCGTACAGTTTTTTTATGTGGTTGTCGTCGAACGGCATCGCTTTGTTCAACATCACGTAGAGGATTATGCCCAAGGACCATATGTCGCCGTTTTTAGGCAAGTATGGGGCTCCTGGGGAACAATTTTGTTTTTGTAGAAATAAGGGTAGATGGGGCAAATTATGCGCTTTTCAGTGTGCGTGGTTCAGTTTTTTGTTTCTCAGTGTAAAATACCAACTTTAATCAAATAAAAAATGTTAAAGAAATTAGTTATTTGGAATTTTACGTCAAAAATGTGAGAAAAAAGTTAAAATATAAGATTTTATAAAAAAACTTTGGAAAAAACAAAAATTTTTTCACAAAATTTAATATTTGGTGGTTTTTCAGGAAGGAAAAATATATTTCTTAAAAAAATTATTGGAGGTTGTAGAGGGCGCTGTCTGCGACACTTTGCATATGTAATGTTCAGATGTTTTTTGCGTGTATTCACGTTATAATTAAAATATAATTTTTTTATCTTTATTTATAACCTACATACCCGGACAACAATCGGGATTTCCTGGTGAAGTCATGATGATATCACAACGTGATTTTTTTTATCACGCTGTGATATCCTGAGTGCATACACATGCTTCATCACAGTGATATCATGTAGAACTCACGGTGTGATATTTGCAAAGTTTGCGCATGCGTATGAGCCCTGCGAACTGCGAATTTAAAACCTAGTTTAACACATGATTTTTTATGCTATCGGTGTTTGGGCATAAAAAATCATTACATGATTTTTTATGCCATCGGTGCACCGACATGTTTGGATATTTATTTTTGCGCCACATTCGTACATTGTGAGAAAATGTATGTTAACAAATGAATTAACAGTTTTTGCGGTTAAATACATTTAATATTTTCTTGGATGTAAATTAACTATTAATTTAAATCCAAAAAAATATTGAATGTATTTAACTACAAAAACTGCCATCGTTGTTTGGATATTCATTTTTGCGACACATTCGTATATTGAAAGAAAAAGTATGTTAACAATTGAATCAACAGTTTAGCATTCAATATTTTCTTGTATTTAAATTAACTATATATAGTTAATTTAAATCCAAGAAAATATTAAATTAAACGTGGCGCAAAAATGATTATCCAAACACCGTTGGCATAAAAAATCACGACATGATTTTTTGTGCCATCGGTCAATCGCAAACAGCGATGGCATAAAAAATCACGACATGATTTTCATTTCTCACGCAGTGACATCCGGATGATGTCCGTATGAATAAAATTTGTGAAAATTACGACGTGACCTTCGTTCATTTATCATGCTGTGACTTCCGTATGATATCAGTATGAATAAAATTTGTGAAAATCACGACGTGATGTTCGTATGAATATCACGAATGTTGTCCGGGTATATTAATTTTCTTAAGAAATGTAATTTTCCGTCTGAAGTTATTTAATAAAATTGAAAACGAACTTTTAACTTGTTATCAACTTTTGTATATGGGTGAATATATTGAGATGCCCCCAAGTGAAAATGATTATTTTTTATTTTTGGTTGTTTCACTGTTAGTCTAGAATGGGGTTTTTGGGAAGCCACCAGGTCTAGTAATAACTAACATAAGTGGTTCTGCACTAATGCAAGAATTTTAGGAAATCATACATTTTGAATATTAGAGCTTCACGGAAGATAGCTTCACGGAGGTTAGGATTTGCTATGTTTTTTTTAAACATCCCTTTGTATATTTGAAATAAGTTATTGTACCTTTTGACACCTTAATATTTTTAAAAAATTCTATTGTACATACATAAAATATTTATAAAAAAATCTACTTACTGAGATATTACACTTCACGGTGGATAGGTTTTTAAATAGCAAATTAATGAACTGAAACTTTTGAATTATAAAACAGCAACACTCTCATCTGCATATAAATACTAACTGACCTTCAGGAATCATATGTATCTATAATGTCCCAAACAGAGGTGTTTGCTTATTTAAAATGATTAAAGCGCCATCCGTTGCATAAAATTGAAAGCCAAAACAGATTCACGGAGGATAGAATCAATTTTTGTAACACCTACATAAATGGTTATAAAAACTATTTCTTTTAATTTTTAAAAATATTTTATATTTGATTAGATTGCTTTGGATGTGTTTAATTTACTTAGTGAACTGATATTTTTAGCATGCTTTTACTACCTCAGATATTTGAAAACATTTAGGTTAACCTAGAAAGAGTAACAGTCACGGAGGATAGTTTTAGACTTTTAAAACATTGTAAAAAATAATGAATTGCGGTTTTATTTAGTTTTATTAAATATCGGGGGACATTTCGTGAGATTCACCCATATAAGTAAATTTAGTTTTGGTATCATTTTGTACAGACATTTCAGGGAAACCTTGTAGAATGTGAAAACACATTTTAAAATGTAGAGACTCAATTCAGAAAACATATTTAAGGTGTTAACAAAATCATAGATACATACCTTTTAAAATTTCTGGAGGAGCATAAGACAAAGACCCACAGTAGGTTGAACTCAACAATAATTTACCATTGTTGTCGGACACAAATCTGGCGAACCCAAAATCGGCCAGTTTCAGATTAAAATTGTTGGTTATAAGGCAATTTTCGCATTTCAAATCCCTGTGGGCTATATCCATGTTGTGCAAGTACTGCAAAGCCAGGGAAAGCTGCCGAAACCAGACCCTCGCCTGCGCCTCGCTGACGCTGCCTTTTTTCAGAATGAACTCCAACACGTCGCCGTTTTCCGCGAAGCGCATGAAAATAAAGTACTTACTCTTCCGTTGGAACACGCTGTGCACGTGTATGATGTGCGGGTGGTTCACGCGAATCAGGATGTCCAACTCTCTGGGCAGAAACTTTTTAACGAAATCTTTCGGCGCTTTAGAGGTGTCGATTATTTTGCAGGCCAGTACCCGGGTTTTCTCGCCTTTGTCTTGGAACTCGGAGAGGTACACTTTCGCGTAAGAACCTTCCCCGAACGCTTTCAGTATCTTGTAGCCCTTTTGGGCCAACGTCAGCTCTTCAGACGGAGTGTTGAATATGTCTTTCGCCATTTTGGGATGTTAGCTTCATGTTGAGGATCTGTTTTTATTTCATTTTTGAGCCGGAATTTTGCGGGGTGAGTTTACTTGAAATGATGTGAACGAAATGACAAGATTTGTCAGTTCATAAAAGTCAACTTGGTTAAATTAGTTCCGATAGTTACGTATAGATGGCGATACTTTTCAGGGAAGTTTGTTTATATACCATACCTTCATTTGCAAGCTATACATAGGAAAAATACATTGTAGGTGGACCAGACAAGTTGAAGTCAGCGCAAAGCGAAAAAGTTCTCAGAAATTATTTGGACGTAATAAAATTTTAATCGCCAGTAAACAAGGTCACCTGTATAGTATAGTATAAAAAATTAGATATTTAACTTAAACACGTCAATAAAAACTTGTATAGAAAACCTTTTATAACGTCATAAATGGCGTAACGGGTGCGACCTTAGAAAATCGGCAAATGCGACCAAGTTGGCTTCTAAAGTTGATACTGTAAAATTTTTTATGAAAGCATATAGTAATAATTTTTTGTGTAAAACTTGAATAGTAACCTTAACAAGCACGCATTTTAAATGCACAAAAATTGCATACATTCTTTTCTAAAATTTTCTCAAAATGTAACGGGTGCGACATTTGAACATTTTATCGAGTATTGAAACTCTTCCGTGTTTATTCTTAATATTACCACAATGTACAAATATTTTAAGGTTATAAATTACGTCGCAATTAAACTATTTGACTTTAGATATAGTTGTTATTTTGTTAAATAACACATCTGATTTTTTGTCAAGGTGGGGTAAGGTTTCGTGGAAAGTAAAACAAAGATAAATACGTGAATGTGTATTAAACAATATGAAGTACATTAACAGGTAAAAAATATATGGTTTTTCCTAAATCTAACAAAAATCAGTTGTAAAAAACAGAGAGCTTAAATTACTACGTACGAAATAAATAAAAACAAACAACTTATAAAATTGAAATGTTAATAGGGGGAAATGGTCGATGATTTTTCCACTAATAATAAAATATATCAACAAATTTCTATAAGAGTACACTTCGAAACTACCACATTTCCTATAAAATTCATTATCACATTCTCATCAGTTAAAATCTAATTGAAATATTAAAACTTGATAAATTAGGTGGGTAAGTGAGTTAGTAAATAAAATAAGTTAGGCGTCTTTGAATAATAACCAGCACTATTACTCTGTAAATTTCCTACAAGTTTCATCCCATCGGTTGTTCCAATATTTAAGTCTGGCCTCCCAATAGTCCATACCTCTGCCCTGTTGATTATTAATTGCTGGCAAATTTGCAAGCGGATTTTCAGGAGCTTCATTTGCCTTTTCTAAAAATATTAAGTTTTTTTTTCAAACCCAATCAAGCAGTAATATACTTATAGTGTAAAAGTAAATAATTTTTTGTAGAAAATTTAGTTTTTTACAAAACAATTTATTTTTTTTTGGTGCCAAAAACAATTAAAATTTGTAAAATATTGTAAGATAAAATCAAAATAATTTTTGCCAAAATTTTAAATTTTGATTACTTAAGTATTTTTTTTGCTTCTTCAATGGAAAAACTTAAACAAAAAAACCGATTTTATACAACTGTAATTAGTAATGTATTTGGCGAATTAACCGTCACAAGAAATTAATTCCGGGAACTTAATTAAGTAGTAATTAGTTCAAAAACTGTAAACTGTAAAAATAAAATATTTTTTTGTAGGAAATATAGTTTTCCACTAAACACTTTATTTTTTAGCTGCCAAAAACAATTAAAATTTGTAAAATATTGTAAGATAAAATCAAAATAATTTTTGCCAAAATTTTAAATTTTGATTACTTAAGTATTTTTTTCTGCTTCTTCAATGGAAAAACATGAACAAAAAAAAACGATTTTATAAAACTGTAATTAGTAATGCATTTTGCGAATTAACCGTCACAAGAAATTAATTCCAGGAACTTAATTAAATAGTTATTAGTTCAAAAACTGTAAAAATAAAATATTTTTTTGTAGGAAATATAGTTTTCCACTAAACACTTTATTTTTTAGCTGCCAAAAACAATTAAAATTTGTAAAATATTGTAAGATTAAATCAAAATATTTTTTGTCAAAATTTTAAATTTTGATTACTCAAGTATTTTTCCTCAAAAAAATGTATTTACTCAACCATAGACAAGTTTGCATCTAAAATGGAAAAACTTAAACAAAAAAACCTATTGGTTTTTTACAACTCTTATTAGTAATGCATTTTGCGAATTAACCGTCACAAGAAATTAATTCCGGGAATTTAATTAAGCAGTAATTAGTTCAAAAACTGTAAACTGTAAAAATAAAAAAAAATTTAAAAATTTAATTTCCACAAAACACGTTATTTTTTAGCTGCCAAAAACAATTAAAATTTGTAAAATATTGTAAGATAAAATCAAAATAATTTTTGCCAAAATTTTAAATTTTGATTACTTAAGTATTTTTCCTCCAAAAAATGTATTAAATTTTTCTTTTTCTCTAAAGTCTACCGTAAAAGTTTGTAAAATATCGTAAGATAATTGAAAATATTTTTTTCCAAACTTTTAAATTTTGATTACTTAAGTATTTTTCCTCCAAAAAATATATTCACTTTTTCTCTAAAGTCAACCGTAAAAATTTGTAAAATATAAATAGATAAAATCAAAATAATATTTGCCAAAATTTTAAATTTTGATTACTTAAGTATTTTTCCTCCAAAAAATGTATTAAATTTTACTTTTTCTCTAAAGTCAACTGTAAATATTGTAAGATAAAATCAAAATAATTTTTGCTAAAATTTTAAATTTTGATTATTTAAGTATTTTTCATCCAAAAAATGTATTTACTTTTTTTCTAAAGTCAACCGTAAAAATTTGTAAAATATTGTAAGATAATTGAAAATAATTTTTGCCAAAAGTTTAAATTTTGATTACAAAGTATTTTTTCTCAAAAAAATAAAATCAAAATAATTTTTGCCAAAATTTTAAATTTTTCCCCCAAAAAATGTATTAAATTTTAATTTTTCTCTAAAGTCAACTATAAAAATTTGTAAAATTTTGTAAGATAAAATCAAAATAATTTTTGCCAAAATTTTAAATTTTTCCTCCAAAAAATGTATTAAATTTAAATTTTAATTTGTCTCTAAAGTCAACTGTAAAAATTTGTAAAATATTGTAAGATAATAATTATTGACAAACTTTTAAATTTTGATTACTTAAGTAGTATTTTTCCTTCAAAAAATGTATTTACTTTTTCTCTAAAGTGACCGTAAAAATTTGTAAAATATTGTAAAATAAAATCAAATTAATTTTTGCCAAAATTTTAAATTTTGATTACTTATTTTTCCTCCAAAAAATGTATTTATTTTTTTCTCTAAAGTTAACTGTAGACAAGTTAATGGAAAAACTTTAACAGAAAAAAACGATTTGTTTTTTAATTTGTAATTAATAATGCGTTTTGCGAATCAAATCTAAAAGCAAAACTCACCTGTAATCGAAGTTTTGGCGTTTTTCCTCATGTCCTCGATCTCGTTGAGGCCGTTTTTGATGTAGTCCTGGAAAAATTTGTTGGTCCTCTTCAGAAACGGGTCGATATCCGCCTCGGGATGCTGCTGCATGAAGTCGTACAGCAGCGTTACGCCGTCCTTCGTTTCGTCCTTGTTGCCGATTTTCGTGAAGATGTCCGTCAGCATCGCCTGATTGGCGCGCGACAGCGTCTTCTTCGTCGAGTCGGACGTTTTGGCGGGCGAGGGGTTCGACTGCTGAACCGCAGGCAAAGGTTTGCCCTCGTCCAGCTTTAAAGTCTAAAAAATTAACGTTTTTTGTTACAAACCATTTTCCTCGCAAGTTTTCGATCGAAATTATAGTTTTTTGTCATTGTCAAATATAACATTTGGCTGACCTGAGAAAAATAGTTTAGTAGTATAACTAAAATTGTCACATTTTATGTTTTTTCAAACTTTATTTTATTCAATCTTACCCCTGGCACCTTATTCGCAAAAAAACAAATTTAATTTAGCAGTAAAATAGGTACTAAATTTTCTAATCCAATAGCTGGATAAATAAATAAATACAGAAGGGTATTAGAGCTTTAAGGGCATAAAACTTTTGTATTTATTGAGTTTTTATTTATTTTTTGCAAGAAAAAATTTTAGTAAATTTTTTTTCTTCCAATCTCCTTGATATGGGTACCAAATAAAGTTTAAAAGTGTCGAAAAAAAAACGTCAAAATTGGGGGGAAAATGTTTTTTTTAGTTTTTCCTAAACATTGGGAAAATTGTCATTTTTGGGAAAAAAATATTTTTCTTGTTGGAAATACACACATTTGAAAAAGAGTAGCAATTTACAACTAAACATTGAATTAAATTAAAGTGATTCAAGGAAATAAACGTAAACGTGAAATATACTGTCGGTTGTTTTTTTTACAAAAAGGAGTCCATTAAAAATATACAACTACAAAATAATTAATGATTTATAAAGTTAAATTACAAAATTATAATTTTATAAATCGGAGTATTAAATAAAAGTTATGTTAATACAGAATAACTGGAAAATTTTCAGAAAAATTGACTTTTGCATTTTTTCGTATTACCCTTTGAATAAAATTTAAAAAAAACGGTTTTCTTCTGCCGCACAGTGCGGACAAAAATAGGGGTTTTGGACAAAAATCACTATTTAAATTGTTTCTGAAGAAATATGCTTTTTTCATAGTGTATATGTAATGGTTAAAAAATAAGTACAACTTTTTAATATGAAATATTCAAAAAATAAAATAAAAAAAATAAAGAACAGTTATCTTTAAAATAAAAATCAATTAACTTTTGCGTTAGAAGTTAAACTAAATTTTATTCTTATGTATTTTTTGTTCAGGTAATGATTTTTATTGCAGTAATTGAATACCTCAATTTCTTATCAACCAAAAAAAGGTTGTTTTGTTTTTTGTTTACAGGAGTGTGGATACCATAACTATTTTTGGACAAAATTTTTATTTCATATAAATTATTACATAACAAAAATATATTCTATAGTATTATGACTAAAAAATACTCACTTCAAGAAATTACAGCACCCCTAGTAACTGCTAGTAGCAACAAATATTTATGCCACTTTTTGCCAAATTATTTAGGGTTCTTGCCAGTCTGTGCCAAGTTATGCATTTTTTTAAACCTTAGTAAAAGTTTTTATAATTTATTTTTGTATATAATTAAATTATTTAAAAAGCTGAATTTGAATTTTATAAAATTTTATTTAAACAAATAGTGAAAGTCTATAGCACTTTAATACTTAAAGAAACAATTAATAGGTATTTTATACGATTTTATCGTCATGTTTTAACATTACGACTAAAACTAATAATTTTGTCAAATTTTGAAAGTGCGACTAAATATAGTTTATGATTATGGATAAACTGGGCTTTTATCTATACTTTTGCAATATTAGAACATTACAAATTCACACTTCATTTTTCGATTTTTGTCCATTGTAAGGTGCGAGAAAATTTTCAAAATTTCTTAGAACTGTCAAAACTATTTTAAAATAATAATACTGACAATAAAATGGTTTGGCGGCACCAGTTATAAAACTGTTTTGTTAAACTATTATACAGTAAAATATAAAATTAAAAAAAAAACTCACTTTGATCAATTTGTTGATGTATCCTTCGACCTCGCTTTCCTTGGTGTTCGGAATCTTCCCGAGGTGATTCAGAATCGAGAGCCCCTTGATCTTAACGCTGGAATGCAAGATGGTCTTGATGGTCCTGAGCGCGGTGTCGGAAGGCCGATTTTTCCACCAGCTCGACGGGAACTCCTTGAGGAAAAAGTGCACCTCCAGCAGCACCGAGTCGTAGTCGATGTGGTCGTTCCACGTCGACATGATCTTCAGCACCCTCCAGATGGACTTCATCACCAGATCGGTGTGCCGCGCGCCCACGTCCTTTCTGATGCTCTCTTGCAGCAGCTGCACCAGGGCGCTGAGTGCAAACAATAAAGTCACTTTTTGAACTTTGCCGTTCATTCTAAATTGTCTGTTTACAAGTGACACTATGTGACCATTTAATAATAATAATAATAAAATACTTTATTTTCATCCCAAGAAACATACAGTTTATAGAGGCACACCTCTAATCATACAATTTAATATATATTTTTTAATTCTTAATAAATTTTTTAAATCTAAATTAATTTTATTTTATTAATACATTTTTAATTCTAAATAGGAACATATCATTATAATATAATATCACAGAAAAAAGAAAAAATATTACGATATACAGGGTGAGTTTTAAGTTGACGCGTTCTTTTTAACATTGTGTAGAAATCAGCTAGACAAATAAATATTTTAAGTAACTTTTTATCAAAACTCAAAAATAAAAAAGTTATAGCCCATCAAATTTTAATTAAATTTTAAGCCGGTCATGGCTATTGTTAACGAAAAACATAACCATAAAAATATCAAAATAAGCAATGCAAAATGTCATATTTGACAACAAACATAAACATTTAAATCAAATTGACATTTTACAATAAAAAATTTCATTATTTACTTATGTTGCAGCATTTGCATTTTGACGACACTCTCCATAAATTAGTAACATTTCCACTAATTCATTATTGCTATAATTATGAACCATTTTTAACAATAATTGAGGCACAAAAAAACTGACATTTTTCATTGCTAAACGTCATTTTGATTTAAATGGTTATGTTTGTTGTTAAGGTGTTTGTTGTCATAGATGACATTTTGCATTGTTTATTTTGTTATTTTAATTTTTATGGTTATGTTTTTAATTAAACTTGGAAGGCCTATACTGCCGTGTTAAGCTTAAAGGTCGTATCTGCAATATTTTGTAGTAAAGGACAGAAGAAAATTTTAAATTTTAAATTCAATAAAGAAATAAGTTTTTTCTTTACTACCACAAACTGCCGTTCGAAGACAAAACTTCATATCTGCAATATTTAGTAGTTAAGCAAAAAAGCCATTTTTTATCGTTTTTTAAAATTAAAATTTTCTTCTGTCCTTTACTACAAAATATTGCAACACGGCAGTATAACTCTCTTATTTTTGAGTTTTGATAAAAAAGTTACTTAAAATATTTATTTGTTTATCTGATTTCTACACGCTGTTAAAAGGAACGCGTCAACTTAAAACTCACCCTGTATCATTGTTTATTCAATAAAATTCGCCACACAAGACGACATATGCTTTTTAAATTTAAATCCTTTAAGTTCTTTTATATTGTTTGGTAATTTGTTATAAACAGATGATCCCTTAAACAGTATAGAGTTTTTATCGAATTCTGAAAATACTCGAGGTAAATCCACATTTTCACTGATTCTGGTTGCATAAAATAAATAAACATTGACAAAATCTGGCAACTTTTATGTTAGAATCTAGTGCATTTTCTTCAAATTTTTATTTTATGTGCTCAAATTGTAAATATCTTAACTAAGGGTAGTGCTTTTGGATTTATTATTATTATTATATTATTATTATTATTTACACAAATTGAATGTTTAAAGTTTAACCTGTGAACATGTCCTAATTTATCTTAGTAAACAGAAAGAAAAAATTAATTTTGTGGTTATGGAGTTTTTAAAAAAGGTACTAAATTTTCTAATCATTGCTTAAGCTAATAGCTGGATGAGTAAATAAATACAGAAGGGTATTAGAGCTTTAACGGCATACAACTTTTGTATTTTTTATATATTTTTTGCTACTTTGTTGGTTGGTATCTATGTACTCACAGAACACAAGTCTGTAACCAGTGGCGCATCACAAAAAATATAAAAAACTTCCAATGCATATTTTTTCTTTATCTTTGGGAAAATTTTTTTTAAACACACCTTATGTCAAAAGATATTACATTAATTACATAACACCCTGTATATATATATTTTTCATTGTAATTTAAGTTTTACTGCAAGTTTTACCATAACTTTTTTAATTTCCATTTTATTGTAAAAAAGGTGTTTTTTCGTCATAAAAAGAGTTTTAAGGCGATTATATTCAAAAAGTCAGTTTTATACTTCTACAAATTAAACTGTCTGTGAGGGGTTTTATGGTGCTCAAAAGCAAATAGTTACATTTGCTGCGCAGTGGACTGTTAATTATAATTTGTGTTTTGATTGAAACAAATAAATAAATAAACCTATTTAAAAAAACTTCAAAAACACGTCGACTTTAATTTTTTGATGGGTAAATTGTGGTAATACTTAAAAAAAAATATCATAATTTAGCCATAAAAAAATAGTTTTTGAATTTAAAAAAATAGGCTGTTTTCAAGAAAAAGAATTTATTGTTTCGCGAGTATCTTTTTAAATAAAAAAATAGTTTTTGGAATAAAAAAATAAGTTGTTTTCAAGATACAGAAACACGTTTGGAATTGCATATTCCGCTCTCGTAAAACCGTCAAACTCGCCTTCGGCTCGTGTGACAAACTCTTCACTCGAGCGGAATATGCCGTATTCCAAACTTGTTACAGAATATACTATTTTCGTGAGTCTCTTTTTAAATTAAAAGGGCGCAACGGTAACATTCAAAATGCGACCGAAGTCGGCATTTAAAATGTGGTGTTAAAGCGAGTCTTTTAAAAGTTAAAGAGTAAAAATGTGCAGTGCTTACCATATGATGTTGGTGTGGTCGGATTGGTCGATTATTTTCACGCATTGCAGGTTGATTACTTTGACGTAAGCGTCGCCGGTTTCGCATTTTTCAAGCTTTTCCGCAACCAGCAAGTGAATCATTTCGTTTAGCAGATTGACCAGCGCCGGTACCGTCACCTTTTTGCCCAGCGTCTTGTTTAGGTAGAACTGAGGAAAAAAACACCATTGAACAAACTTGGCTGCGGAAAAAAAACAACTTACAGCATCGATCAGAGTCAACAAGTTTCTGTACACTCTAAGCGCCTCGTCATTTACAACTGGATCTTCTCTGCTCAAATGCTTGAATTGTTCCACGATAGATTTCATAAATTCGTTTTCATGTTCCGCTACGGCACCACTCTTGTTGCTGCGCAGAAATTCTTGCATTTCCGTAATGGCCTGCGACGATAATAAATCAAACGTAAAAAATGCCTTTGGTATATTTTTATTCGTACTACAATAAAGTATAAGGCCGCCATAATGAATTTTACAGGTGTAGATAAAAAAGCATAGGTATTTCTTATCCGGAATCATTCAGAGATGTATTTGGTTTGGTTATTAAAAGAAAAAAGTATTTATAAACAATGTTTACAATATAAGTAAGCAAAGTATATTTCAATGTATCACAATAAAACAGTTAAGACATGCGTTTGGTTTGTGTACATACAGACCACTTGTTGATTACATAAGGTGTAATAACTATAACAATTATAATTTTTCGCAACGCGTAGGCATGATGTTTAATAGTCGAACTCATATAACAAATATGGCATTTTGTTTTTTATGGTACTTGTGTACAGTGTTGCCGGATGAATGTCGAGAAAGTTCCCGACCAAAAATTACAAAATACCCGATCTTACCCGCAAGAGTAAAAAACTAGTTATACTATTAGTATTATACTATATTATTTTGAAAAATGAATTAAATTAATTTAAAATGTCTATTTTAAACTTTGTACAAATTTACGTATGCTTTTTTAAAACGTTAGTATTTTAAACTGCCTCTTTTAAAATTGCTGTATTTTAAAATGTCGGTATACTTGAAAAGAAAGAAAATTCATTTAAAATTAACTTTAAAAAAAAAAACCGTTCTTTAAAGTAAAAAAACTATGTATTTTTTAACTTTAATAAATTTTAAACTTTAAAAATTTCCACAAGAAAGTGCAATATTTGATTTGTTTTTTCAATAACTGTTTATCTTTAAAAATGTCTGTATTTTAAACTTTGTAACAGATTATGTCTGCTTTTTTAAAATGTCAGTATTTTAAACTTTGTTTCTTTTAAACTTTAATGGAGTTGCACTTTGACTTATAATAATATTACGACGAATATGCAAATGCAAATTCGAAGGTAATGTTTCGGCGGCACCTACTAAATTAAAAATTGACTTAACGAATGTTTTTGGTATTTTAAATGACCTACTTTTGAAACTACTACTTTTAAAGTTGCTTACCGAGATGGCCATGTCCATGTTGGGCGAGCTGATGTCCCCGATCAAGGCGTTCAGTTCCTTGTCGTGGTGAGTCTTGCGCACGAAGCTGTGAGTCACCAAAGTGTCGTCGTTGAAATCGCTTGGGGCGATCGGCTTGGGCGGCGACATCGGCACCACCCGGCCCCTCACCTGTAGGGTTGGGAAAATTTCACTTTTTGCTTGTACTTGAAATTTTCACGACATTTATGAAGTTTATTAAAATTTCCTAAATGTCTGAAATTTCATGAAATTTATGAAATTTATTGAAACTTTCAATAAATTTCAATCACTTTAAGTGTAATATATTAATGGCAAATTGCCTCTCTTACCTCCTACCCCTCTGTGGGCCCCTGCGCCAATAATATAAATAGTAAATACCTATGTTTACCACAAATTTCTTGAGATTTCCTTTTAAAATATTTTTAAAATTACTAAAACTAAGAGATATTGCACTTTTTGGTAAGCTAATGAAATTGTGCCACTTTCATTGTTTATTATTATTTATATATACTTATTATTTTTATATATTTTACAAAAATTGAAGAAACTTCATCAAAATTTTATGAGCCAAAGGCATTTTTTATCCGTTTTCCGATACAATTATAGCAAAAGTAAAAATTTAAATTAATCATGACTTTTAAAAAAATTTTAAAGTCTGATTTAATTTACAAATTAAATTGGTAACTGAATTAAATTATTTAAATTAATTTATGCATATAAGTAACAATAATTACTTATAGTGTATTCAAATCCAAGCCGAACCAAACAAAAACGCCCAGACGCTTGATAACTCGTTCTTATTGGTCGATTCGGAATCTGTTGTAAATTATTACCCCAGGGGTAAATTGCGAAACTTTCAATTAAATTTCTGAAAGTTTCACAGGCAATGTTGAAATTTTCAAATTGAAAATTTCGTTTGAAATTTTTAAAAATTTCACTTTTCCAACTAAATGAAATATTTCAAGTTTGAAACTTTCAAAGTGTCCCAACCCTACTCACCTGCGTGTCGGTCAGCTTGGGCACCACGATCTCCTCCTTGAGGAACTCCAGATCGAACACCTGCAAGCCTGCCATGTTGCGATTCACGATCTCCTTCTGCCTGTCGATGTCCTCCGTCATCTGGTCCAGCCTGCGCATCACTTCCGGGTCGAAGCGGAACGGACCGTTCGTCACTTCCGGCTCGGGCTCCATCTGGATCTGCGGCGGTAAACTGCAAAAACAAATGTGCAAGTTTTTCCTACAAATGTTAGAAATATTCCCCGAATATTTCTAATATTCGTTTAACACATGTAGTGTTGCAAACAAGGAAAAGTTCGGTCGAAAAGTTGGAAAAGTTCGGCACCCCCTATGAAAAGTTGGAAAAGTTATTAGGTGGGAGCCAATGAACAATGAGTTGACTTCTAACCAATGTTTCCACTACCATAAATTTTTTTTGGTAAATAATTTGGTCAAAATTCGATAAAAATCGCTAGATTTGAAGTGTTTTTAGTAAAACATGCTAAAAGCATTGTTTTTTGGAATAACATTTTGTCAAACTTTATCAAAAATGGTGTCTGCTATCAGCATTTTCTATTATATAAAGATTCTTTTATTATAACGTATTTTTAATTTATACACAGTATGAAAAAAATATTTTTTTTAATTATGGAAATTTGCAAGTGAAAATATAAAAGTGGAAAAGAAGAAAGTTTTCTTTTCTTTTTTTTTTAAATTTTTACTTGTAAATTTCCATAATTTTTAACAACAATAAATTTAATAATTTTTGCTTCATATTTTTTTGTAATTATTTTTTATTTCGTATGTGTTTTTTTATGGTGTGTATAAATTTCTATTCTTTTTTACTTAAAAAATTGATTTTTTTAATTCAAACCCAGTTTATTTTTGTTGTTATTATGTTGTCTGTTCATTTTATTTTGTTTGATATTTTTTTTTTGTTATTTTGTTACTTATGTATAAATACATAAGAAATAAATTATTTTAATACATTGACAAGCATTATTTATGTTTTATACGTTTACATTACAAAAAACTCAACTTTTCCATCTTTTCCAACTTTTCCGAAAAATAAAACCCAACTTTTCAAAAATTTCAACTTTTCATGAAAAGTTGCAACCCTAAACACATGTCTTTCCTCCTCAAATCGGCCAAGCAAAAAGGGGTAGGTCGTTATTTTTCAACGAATTTTTTTTTCAGTTTTTCTACCGAAATCGATGAGACCCGTATTTTTTCTTTTTGCTTAAATTTGTTTTATTCACAGAGGGAAATTTTTGAAAAATGGACAGAAACATCGATTTTTTTCTTTTCTGATATTTTTTATTAAAAATGCGATAACTTTGCCAAAAATTTTTAGATCGTTACAATTTTTTTTTATTGTAGGTAAATGTTTACTAGAGAATTCACACAATTTTTTTAAATTATTTTTTTCTATAAAAGGCAAAAAAAATTGAGGTCAAAAGTTTTACGTTGCCAATTTTTTTTCCTTTGAAGTTAATATAAACAACTTTCACGAAAAGTCCCGAGTTGTCTAAATTCGTGGTTTTGGAGTAATAATTTATAATTTTTTAATGAAAATGCAATTTTCTAGAAATTCGTGGTTCATCGCAAAAACTTGGTATCTTATCCAGGGTCATGAAACTTCATTAAGTGTAATTTAGAACTCTTGACATATTTAACATATTTTTGTCACAAATTTAATTGAGAGTTTAAAAGCAATATTATTGAAAAATTAATTAATATTTGGTATCAAATTTAAAAAAAGTATATTTCTTAAAAAAAAATATTTTTGGAATAAAGTATGGTTTTTCAATTTTTGAAAGCTCCTAAAACCAGCATTGCAAAAAAAGAATAAAATTGTATTTTTTCCAGACCACTTGGCCCAACATGAAGCAGAAAAGCCAATTCAAGGCACTCTAGATATAGAAATAAAATGTAATCAAAAAATGATTTGACCTGTCAAAAATTGACAAAAGACTTATGTATGTATTCAGAATTTTATTTTGAATCGAAATATGTAAAAATGCATAGGGTGTTTCATCAAAAAATAAAAAGTTAAGACCATTTCCAGTAAAACCGGAAATGACAAAAATATGTTAAATATCTCAAAAAGTTCCAAATTACACTTTATAAAGGTCACCACAGTTTTATGACCCTAGATAAAATACCAAATTTTTGCGATGAACCACGAATTTACTAGAAAATGGCATTTGGTGAAAGTTGTTCCTATTATTAACTTCAAGCGAAAAAAATATGAAGAAAAAAAAAAGTGTTAATTTCAAAATTTTGACCTCAACCTTATTTTTCCTTTAAAAAAAACAATAAAAAAATGGGAATTTACTTAATTTTTTTGGCATGAAGTAAACATTTACCTAAAATTAAAAAAAATAATTCTAATGATTGAAACATTTTTGGTCAAGTTATGGCATTTTCATTAAAAAATGTCACTCGTAAAAAGAGAAAAATCGATGTTTATGTCCATTTTTCAAAAATTTCCCACTGAATAAAACAAATTTAAGCAAAAAGAAAAAATACGGGTCCCAACGATTTCGGTGGAAAAACTGAACAAAAAAATTCGTTGAAAAATAACGACCTACCCCTTTTTGCTTGGCCGATTTGAGGAGGAAAGACATGTAAAACGAATATTATTATAATATATTGTCCATTTTTCAAAAATTACCTACGGGCGAATAAAACTTTCGGTAGAGAAAATTTAAAAAAATGCGCTAAACCGTAAATATTTCTAAAAATTTCCATATATTTTTTTGATGTTAAGGAAACATTTATAAAATATAAAGTAATGTATCTAAAACATTAAAAAACATGTTTTAAAAATGTTGTGAAAAAAATAATTGTATAAATATAAAAAGTGGGACATCTAAATGTTGTAAAAACGTTTTAGAGGCATTTAAGTGACTAATATTTCTAAAATATTTAGTTCATTCAGCAAAAATATATATTCAATATTTTATATACACTATTGGACAAAAGTAAAGCAACAACTGTATAAAAAATCCAACTCCAAAACGCCTTTATTATTCTTTAAGAAATTTTGGATAAAAATACTTGAACTTAAATCTCAGTTTACGTGTTTAAGGGTTTTTTGAGAAAATATTTTTAAAGCCCATTTTTTTAATATTAAAAAAACGTTCGAAAAATAACTTTTACGGAAATTTTTTTTCAAGTAAATAAAAAATATTCTGTTAATGACCGTATTTTTGTTAGTATACTCTAAAAATTTTGTACAAATCAAATGAACAGTAACGAAGATACAGCGCTTCAAAGTCGGTAAAAATGACCCTTTTTTGATTATTTTGCTGAAAAGTGGCCATTTTTGACGACTTTGAATCGCTGTATCTTCGTTACTGTTCATTTGATTTGTACAAAATTTTCAGGGTATACTAACAAAAATACGGTATTTAACGGTATATTTTTTATTAACTTGAAAAAAAATTTCCATACAGTTGTTGCTTTACTTTTGTCCAATAGTGTATATATTTGTTTTATGTGGCAAGTAACTTTTTACCAAACTTACGTTACTTGCGGTATAGCCTCCTCCTCTTCCTGGTCTTCTTCTTCATCATCGTCGTCGTGATTACCGCTGGTGTTTCCGTTTCTTACGGGAGAAGCGGTTTGGCTCGATGGAGGGGATTTCGCAGGGTGAGTAATGGCTGAGTTGACGTCCATTTTCGGTTTTGGAGGCGGGATTTTACGTTGCGAACGCTTGATGCGCTCCTCCAGCAACGACATGTCCTTGTCGGAGATCTATTGTATGAAGATTCATTGTAAATATAAATTGTGCAAAAAATGTACGTCGATTTCTTACATTTCCAACCATTTTGTACACTTTCTCGCCCACGATGAAATACGCTTGCACTACGCAGTTCAAAGCTGCGTTTCGCACCGAATTGTCGCGATCGGATATTTGTTTTGCCACCTCTTTCAAACAAGCCGCTGGTGAAGGGTTGCAAACAGTGATACCTAAACAAAACCAATAATAAGTACAAGTACAAGTAGAGGTGGGAATAGGAATGTTTCCATTTTAGAAAGTTTCCAGTCCCTGTTTTTTATGTAAATGTCACTTGTTTAACAGCTGAATAAGAACTTAATTTGTGTTAATTTGAAGATCTCAACATAACAATTCATAAATCGCAACCTTTGCATAAAAGAGAAAAATTTTATATTTGGAATTATTACAAAATGTGCAAAAAAGACCATGCTCAATGCAGTACATTTAATGTTACTAATGCTATTGTTGTAGATTCAGTTCCCAAGTTGCAATTTTTACAAGTTTAAGTTACAGGAATAACACTTTAATTTTTGTTTGGTTTGAAAAAATTCCCAATTTAAACATCAATTATTTTAGAAACTATCTTGACCCATTACTGGTAATATTCAGCGCAGTATATAAGCGCAAGTAGTCCTTTGTTTTGGGTGTGTTCCACTACACCAAGTTGCCCGACACTGATGAGACCCAATACAGGTCGAAACAGCTGTCCGTCGGTATTTGAAGTTGGTGGAACGCACTAAAAACAAAAAACTTTGGCGAGGTGAAGGTTCAATTATATCTTATAATTCCTAATTTTTGTTTTTTGCTTTTGCAATTGTTTTTTATGGGTAATAGTAGTTAAGAATAGTTTATTTTGCCTGTAGTTTTTTTCTTCATATTCACTAGTAGTGAATTTCTGATAGTTAACAGTTTATTTTTTAAGTTTTAGCATACTTTATTGTATACTTATCTTCTGTGATTGTATATGTATACTTTCATATAAACTTTTTTTTCCTAATAAAATTTGGCAAAATGGTAATGTTATATATTTTTGCAATCCTTCTGGCACAAAGAACATTTCCGCAATATTTTTTTTTTTAACTTTCTGAAAGTTTTAGGAATTTTCGATGAAAAGTTTAAACTCAAAAACAATTGATAGTCAAAAAATATTTTAAATATTGAGTTTTAAAAATTTTAGTACACATATTTTATTCTACAAAATTATCGGTTTAAATTTGCAAAGAGACATTTAAATGATGGATACATTTTTAATACAACAATTCTCACATTAAATTTAAATGTTAGTTTTTAAATTTTGAAGTAGTAAATTTTGAAATGATCAGTAACTTGCAAATTAAAAGAAGAAAAAGTTTCGTGATGAAACCCAAATTAATGTTATTTTTAAAGACAAAAAAATTAACTACTAGATTTTTCACAAAAAGGTTGGACCTAACAGCAAATATTTGTTTTTTTATTCCCCTTATTTTTTAAAATTTCAAAAAATTCATTTCATCTGCTTAGCTGAAAATAATGTGTGATTTAATATTTGTAAAACCCAAAATTTTATCAAAATGAAGTTTTGCCCTTAAAAGTTCTTTTACTTTAGAATCTGATATTATTTTTGGCATAGTTATCTTTTTATATTGATATTATATAATAATTAACAAGTAAACTATCAATTACTAACTTAACAAAAAACACGAGTTCAAATAAAAAAAAAACTTTTATATTTAAAATAATTTTTGATTATCAATTGTTTAGAGGTTAAAAAAATTAACTTTTTAAACTATTTTGGTAGAAACTTTTTTATATGTGTTTTTATTTTAAATGTTTTGAATTTAACTTTACCAATTTAATCTAAATAATTGTATTAAATATTTATTAAAGATCTACAAAATTCTGCCCAAATAAATTATACTTTTGCAAAAATTGATTGGAAATAATATTGTTTAATAAAAAAGTGAACGGTTGGTAAATTTTGTCTTTCAAACCTAAAATTTTTAATTGGAAAAATTTTAAATTAAAAAATTATTTAATTCCATATACAAGCAAGTATTATAATGCACAAACTATATAATATAGTATTACATACCAAACTCCTCAATAATAGATCCCATAGTTTCGAGACATTCTGCCCTTTGCCTCGCATTTTTAGACTTGAGTCCTTCCATTAGTAAAGTGAAGAGCCTCGCCACGTTGTAAATAAAGGAAATCTGCTTTAGCAACACTTTGACGCCGTTTCTGACGGAATCCTTCGGATCTCCAATCTTAAGAACCAAATACGGTATAAACGCCGAAGCCTCATTTTCTTGCATGTGGTATTTGGTGTCCATAAGCATGTTGAAAACGCACTGCAAGTATTCCAACCCTTTGAGCAGCACCGAAGGGTTCGTGTCGAAAAACCTCAGCGTCAGCCACTTGAGAACCAAATCCAAGTTGGCTATCAAAGCTTGGCCGTTCGCCGGCAAATCTTCGCTCAAGGCCTCGAGAGCCTTGATGTGGTACCGGAAGTCCGAGTGGAACATGTTGGCCATCAAGGACCTGTTCACGTTTGCCGTCGTCATCTGGTCTTTGAGGAGGTCGACGAATTCCTCTCTCGGCGTCGTGAAGTTCCACTTCAGGACTTTCAGCTTGGCCTCGTCTATCGAACGCTGATTTTTCAGCGCGTTGGTTTGCAAAAGAGGCGACAGATCGACGTCCTCGTCTTTTTTGCGCGAGCTGGCGGTGGCGGCCGGTTTGGCGACCGCAGCACCCTGCAAGAAAACGATGGAAAACGTTTTCGGGGAAATCAAATTTTCTCACCTTCTTGACGGCGTTCTTGGACGTGGCCACGGGCTTGGTGCCCCTCACCGCCTTCTCCTCGACCGGTGCCTGTTTTTTGGGCAACGGTTTGACCGGCAGATTCGGTCTCGCTTCGTCCAAGGCTGATACAACGGCCGATTTCGAACCCGGTTTCAGTTTTTCCGTTTGTTTCAACATGCTGTCGTACCCCAAGTGCATCATGAAGCCCAGAACTGCAGCTTTTGCGCTCTTTCGCACATCGGCGTTACGGTCCTCGACGTTGTTGAAGAGATGCGGCACGCAGATGATCAGTTCGTCCTTCGGGATTGATTTTACGGCAACTACGGTGAAAATACCCACATTGATTATTTCCTACACAAATTATTGCTACATCTACATACTTATGGGTAGTTTTTCGCCCAGCCAAATCCACACTTCGTTTCTGAGGGTGGGGGAACCAGATTTTAAGGCATCGCCGATCATTTCGCCCTCGAAGAATTCCTTGTAACCGCACTGTTCGGAAAAAGCGTTGATAGCGTCCAAAGATGCAGTTCGCATCCAACTTTTACTATCACCAAGTCCTAAAATTTAACAAAATTGACGACATTGACAATTATCTAATTTAAATATCGCTCAATAAAAACCTGAGATCTTAAAACGGATTTTCAGTATTGTGTTGCTCACCTTGCAAAAATCCCGGAAACAAAGTTCTGATGTACTGTTTGCAGGGCGGTCCCATGGCAATTGTGATGTTCTTGCAAATAATTAACGAGGCCTGCGCGATCTTGATGTTGCTGTCCGTTAACCTCTGCGCCAGCGCGTGAGGTAATTCGCCCAAACTGGGTTTGATGAACTTGGCTTCTGCCAGCATGGCGCTAATTTTGTCCAGCCCTTCGTTGCGCACCTTCCAGTTCTTGTCGGAAATTTCGTTGATTAGGGCCTCGGTTATCTGCGAACTTATATCGACACGAGGTAAGATATCTTGGACATTTATTGGTTCCGGTTCCTGTTCGGTTTCGTCTTCGTCCATTCCGTCCAGTGTATTGGAACTTGCTGATTTTACAACACCTAAAATGGGGCTCATTAGATAATTTTTCAATAGGATTTTGTATATTTTTACCTTTGCTGGGTAGTGGAGGTTTCTTGCCTTCATACTTATCGAATTCGACTTGGATTTGATCTCTTAAACTTTGTCTTTCGGCGTCGAAAAACACGTTTAAGGTGGCACCCATGTATAAATACATTGTACCGAATAAAGTTATAGAAGCTTGCCTCACTTGTGGATTAGAAGACGCCAAAGCTTTCTTGCCGTTGTCAATCAGCATGTTCACGTTTAAATTACTAAAAAACGATAAGTTACACAAAAAAACACCTAATATAATTTATTTACCTAAAACCAAACTCTCTTATAGCGTTTGATAGCCAAAGCAAACCCTCTTGGATGACTTTGGGGCTTTTCTGAGAGAATATGTAATCCATTACGTTATTGGAAACGAAAGGCAACGAAGTGCATTCGGCTATTGCCGTAACCACTTCGGCTGCAATGGCGCCGTTCTTCGGATCGCCGAATTTATCCGAAACATCGTTTAGGCAACATTCGGCCGATGTCGTTGAAAATTGACAATTTTCCGCCAGGTATTTGACCAGCTCAAGTCTGGCTTTCAAAACCTAAATATTACGATTAAAAAAATGTGTTTTTTTTGGTTTTTTAACGTGTTTACCTGGAAATTTGTGTCTTTTAAGCCAGGTTTTCTGGCCAGCACTTTTATGACAGCCTGAGTGGGCACCGATTTCGCGTCCCTATCGCGCAAGTCCGCGGCGATCTTCTCCACGGCCGCCAACCTAAACAAAACCCCGAGATAAAAAAAAACCGAAATTACACCAATCGACCATTTCGCTACCTGGTCTTCCAGTTGCTGTCCGACATCTCGCCGATGTTGTTGGCGGACAAAACGTCCGAAACGATCTCGTCCACCTCTTCGTCCGATAAATGCCTTTCGGCCGCCGGTTTGGGGGCGGCTTTCGGGGCCGATTTAGCGCCCTTCGACCGCACCACGGTGGCCGACCCGGACGATATGTCCGGCTTCTTTTTGGCGGCCGGCGCGCTTGCTATAAGCACCAAAGAAAATGATAATAGTTTTGGAAAGGTTCAAGTAAATATTATTTACATTATATACTTTCCATACATCTTTTTAAACATGTGTCGGAAAATTAAGGTTGTAATTCTAAGAAAACAAGTTCCTATCAAGATAAAGGATGTCAAAAATAGAGTATGTTTGTTTATGATATCTCAGGAACCGTTTGAGATACAAAACTAAGATTTTGTACACATATTATTATTTATATTAGGTACTTTTTTAAGCGCTTATTCAATTTTTTTCATGTGCTAGTGACGGAGATTTTAGGTTTGATTTTTGACCATAATTTCCACAGACCACCAAAACAAATGGACGGCGCATTGCCATTCAATAACAATGCTTTGTTTGCGGTCAACAAACGGTCACAGTCTAAGCGTCAAATTGGAGATAGAATTTTATGTTTTCTTCCAGTGAAGTCAACAAACGGTCACAGTCTAAGCGTTAAATTGGAGATAGAATTTTAGGTTTTCTTCCAGTGACGTATTGGGATTTAAAAAATAATAAGTAGGTAGGTACTTACAAACGATATTTCCATGTATTTTAGTAAAAAATAATGTATTTTAACTCCATAATTAACTTAAACACGATAGAAATACACAAACGAAAACACAAAACAACAAGCTGTCAACCTTTTTCTATGCTGTCAAATATGACGAATTTACCAACGTTGTTAATATTTAATTTTAATAATTATTAAATGATTTACTTTCTTTAAATAGAGAAAAATATCTAAAGAAAATGATGAACAAATCCTTTTTAAATTTTTTATATTATTCAAACGAATTACTGGTAATTATTAATGTTCATTATGTTATGATGAATGTCCAAAAAGGCGTGTAATCTATACTTCTGACAACGTTGGAAGCCGTGTTTCTTTCGACGGTGTTTAGAATGTGAAACTATACTTTACTCGCTTTTTAAACGTAAACAAATCCGTCCATTTGTTTTGGTGGTCTGTGATAATTTCTATGAAATTTACGTGCTCCATTTTGATTTTATTTGCGTTGAAAGCATAAGTCAGAATAATTTTTATTTTACAAGTTTTTACTTTGTTTTAAGATATTCCAAAATCCGAGAAGATCTTTACACGATACTTTTTTGCGTAATAAAGATGAAAAAGGTAATATTTCTGTTAAAACGTGAATACACCAAGGCCCAAAAGAGATGTGACCATTTTAACGTTTGCAAATTGTCGCAGACAGCGCCCTCTACAACCTACCTTAATTTTTTTAAGAAATTTAATTTTTCCGTCCTGAAAAACTCCTTAAAATCATATTTTGTGCAAAAACGTTTGTTTATTCCAAAGTTATTTAATAAATTGAAAACGAACTTTTAACTTTTTCGTTTCAGGAATTGGTAGCATTTTTTGTGCAGGCATTTCAGGGACACCTTGTATATTAAAATTTTTAATTTATTACACAGGGTGTTATGTAATTAATGTAATATATTAAAATACTGAACATTTTTTGAGATAAGGTGTAACGGAATAATATTAAAAAAAAATATTTTCCCAAAGATAAAGAAAAATAGCATTACAAGTTTTTTTATATATTTTGTGATACGCCACTGATTACACACTTGTGTTTTGTGATACCAACCAAAAGTAGCTGCGCGTTGCCAGTTGTAAAAAAATGTTACTAAAAATTTTTCTTGCAAAAAAAGTATTATGTCCTTAAAGCTCTAATACCCTTCTGTATTTATTTACTCATCCAGCTATTAGCCTAAGCAATGATTGGAAAATTTAGTACCTATTTTAAAAACTCCATAACCATATAGGTTTTTTTCTTTCTGTTTACTCAGATGAAATTTAGGTTAAACTTTAAATATTCAATTTGTGTGAATAAATCCAAAAGCACTTCCCTAAGTTAAGATATTTACAATTTAAGCACATAACCTAAAATTTGAAAGAAATGCGGCAGATTCTGTCATAAAAGTTGCCAGATTTTCTTTGAAATTACCTTCATTAAAAAAATGACATAATCAACAATAAAAACGCCAAATTAACGATTTTCATTGTTGATTTTGTCATTTTTGTAATTAAGCTAATTTTAAACAAAATTTGGCAACTTTTTTGACAGAATCCGGAAAAGCTGGTTGTTGCCAACCATAACATAATAAATTAAATCAGGCAACCAGATTAGCCTAAAGTTCCTAGTCGATCAGTGTCGTACTTTTTGGTAGGATAAAGGTTATTATAAATTATTTTTGGTCTTTGGAACTTAGAGAAAAATAAGTTTCAGGTGCTTCTTTAAGAGACTAACCATTTTAATATATTACATTAATTTCATAACGCCCTGTATATCCAATTGGGACTTTGCATTAGCAAAAGTCCTTTTTTAAATTAAAAACATAATAATCATAAATTTCAAAACATAATTACATTGTTTCAAATAAAAAATATATATTTTTTGTTAATGCAAAGCCCCAATTATTGTGTTATTTGATTTAAGAGTATGATTGCATAATTTTGTAAATAGGCATTATAAATTACTTAATTTAGTTGATTAATTTCAAAGAAAATCATACGCTTAAAACAAAATTAAAACAAAAAACAATCATACGCTTAAATCAAAAGGCATGCAATATTTTGACGAAAAATTTTAATAAAACCCACAAGTAAATACATCGCAATTTTTTTAACTTTCTACCACATACCTGCAGCTTTTTTGGTTCTGGGCGGCGCCTTGACGCTTTCAGTCGAAATTTTGGGCGCCGGTTTGGCGGGCGCCCGCTCTTTTTTGGCGCCGCCGGGCGCTTTCGCAGTTATCACGGCTTTCTCGCAGCACTCGCGGATTTTCGTCATTTTCAGGTTGTCCTTTTCGAGATCGACCAAAAACGGGCCGATGGCTTTTTCGCCCACCAGCTTCATCAAGGTGCCTATGGCGTCGGCAGAGGCGTCCCTCACTCCAGGATCTAAGATTAAAGGAAAAAGTGTATTGGAGACTGGGGTTTTAATATTTCCAAAAAAAAACGGACAAATTGACTTTTGAATTTTTTTCATTTATTTAAAAAATGCATTCAATTTTCTAAAAAATTATATCGATAAAAAATTAATTTTCGACGCTGAATTTGGATTTTTAATGAGTAAATAATTTAAATATGGGATATGATATTTTTTTGTATTTTATTTAAAAATATTTGACGGTTGACCTGAAGACCTTTGACCTTCAGATGTTTTTTGTAGAGCGTGAAATTGTCTATAAAACCACTCGCTTGGGTGTTGCGAAAACAAACCATTCCAAAGTTATAAGAATTCAAATTTTAAAAAATAAAAATTCCCATGTTATTGAAATGGAAAAACAATAAATGAATTGAGGCAAAGCTTAATATTAATATCAAGGGCTCAAATATGCGCCAAAATTTTTGTTTTTTAATGTACTATTAATTTTTCAACACCATTAGAAATTAAAATAATTAAGTTTTTTTTGAAACACCCTAGTGCGCATACCTGTTTTTTTTTGCTTGGATGAATAATATCATTGTTTTTAGAGGTAAAAACAATGATGATATACAAAGTGTCCCTAAACCTATTGGCATAAATTTAGTAAAAGATTAAGCAAGTTAAAATAAGACGAAAACCTAAATAAATATTTTTCCTAATTACTTATGTTTCCAAGATACAGGGTGATAAAGTGATATTCGAGATTACAATAATTGTTATATCGCATTATTTAATCCTTAAAGGTATATGATAACAAATTTTTTAATTGAAAAAACTAAAAAGGGCATTTCATGAGCCTCGAGACTTTTTGCCCTCACCGTCACATTAAAAAAAAATTTTAGTTTTTTCAATTAAAAATTTTGTTATCATATACCTTTTAGTCTTTTAATGCGATACAACAATTATTGTAATCTCGAAAACGGTTTATTTTATCTAAGTTTGACACCTTTTTAATAGTAGCTGAACTGAGTAATCGAAAAATTGCATCAAATGGTATAAAAACCTAACCTCAAAGTTTGTATGGGACAATAAGCTTAAGCAACCCCTGTTTCTACGACACTGCGTTCACTCGAACAATTGTAATTATGTGTGAATATGTGTTTTGGTAGTAAGTGACTGTTCGCAAAATATCACCTTTCCAAGTTTACCATAGTGGAAGTTATATTAAAAAAACTGATATAAGTAACAATTTATCACCCTGTATCTTTTAATCATACCTAATTAGGAAAAATATTTATTTATTTATTCCATTCAAATATTTTAATTCAGTAAGAATATTCTACCAAATATTCTACAAAAAATATATTTGGTGCTGTATTAACATAACTTTCGTTTTATTTGACACTTCAATTTATAAAATTATAATTTTGAATTTAACTTTATAAGCCATTCATTATTTTGTAATTGGATATTTTCAATGGACTCCTTTTTGCAAAAAGTTGCAAAAGTTAATAATTTAACGTTTACGTTTATTTTTTTAAATGAAATTAATTTAATTAAATGTTCAGTTTAATTTTTTTTCTGTAAGGATGTTTGTTTTAAGTAAAAATAATGTTGTTGATTGCCATATTTCCCAACAAAAAAAATTTTTCCCCAAAAAGACAAATTTTTCAATGCCTGGGAAAAAACAGAAAAAAGTTTTTTTCCACACTTTAAAACCCTATTGGAGACATAACTGATTACTTTATATTTTTTATTTCTGTAAGGATATTTTTTTTAAATTAAAATAATGTTAGTTGTAGATTTGAACTTTTTTTTTAAATGTGTGTATTTCCCAAAAAAAGAAAAAAACAGTTTCTTCCCCAATTTTTCCGTTTTTTTTTCGACACTTTTAAACCCTATAGACATACCTGATTCATTTATATTTTTTATCAAAGCCCCTGTCAGCGCTTTAAGTAACTTTTTGTTGACAACAGTCGGCAAAGTTTTCGAGAAGGCCCTCGACAAGAAAAAAGAAGTTTCCGTTTTCACCGACGGATTCTTATTGGCCAAAGCCTCCAACACGTCCTCCAAAATTGCTTCCAAAGTAGTCTAAAAAAAAATAAGTTTTTTTTTCGTTTTTTTTTTCGAAAATTAAATCTCACCGATAAATATACGGCGTCGATGGCATCCCTGAGGGCGGTCACGACGTTTTGCTTCTTCTCCTTGAATTTCTCCAACAGAGCGGAAACGCACGCCCCTGCGTACTGTTGGTAACGTTTTTTCAAACCCGCCGCCAACATGGCCATGCATCTGCCCCCCAGCGCCACCACCACAACATTACTGTCTTTCTGAATGATCTGCACACAAAAAATAGTTCTTCTTAGCTTCTTCTTAGTTCAGTCAATTATTTTGTTTCATTTTAAAAATGTTGTTATACAAATCATAATAAAAAATAGTGATTTCCAAAAAATATCCATCTTAAAACAGTTTTTTAAAAACTGTCTAAAAATGAATTTTTAAAGTTGTGGAAAAAAAACAGCACGTGCAAAATAATCGATCCACACAAATTTTCGATAAATTTTAATCGCAAATAACTTTTTTATTTGATGTCGGATTTAAACGAATATTAAAGAATATTGTAGATAAATTAATGGACAATGGCTCACATTTTAAAAAAATACTAAAAAATAGACGTACGTTTATAATATACCGGTTTAAACAAAAAGATGTTTTTTACCATAAGTTTAAGACACTCTGTAGAGTGGCAAAACCGTATATTGTTCTAAATTAAGTTTTAATTATCAAGTCACATCTATTCTTAACAGTTTTGTTTTTGGTTCACCTCGATATATTTATTTTTGTGGAAAATATGGATTTTTTTTAAAAACATTGCAATTTCCAATATTTTTCTGTATGAAGAACTAAGGTTGCTATGGTCCACCCATAGCCTATGGAGGATGACAGTGACAGTTTTGTTGAATCATCCCATACTTGGACATGTCATACACGGCTTTCAAAAGCTATCAAATTGGTTTTTGCAAATTAATGTTTAAATTTTGAGGTGTCTTCTTACTTTATAAAATGGATATGTCTCCGACTGATGTTACCAGAGCTATTAATTTAATCCAGGATGGACGGTCACAGTATTACGTGGCAAGTGTTTTAAACGTCATAAGAAGTAAAGTAGAAAGGGCAACATCAGTCGGAGACATTTTTAAAAGTAAGAAGACACCTCAAAATTAACACATTAATTTACAAAATACAATTTGATAGCTTTTGAAAGCTGTATATGACATGTCCAAGTATGGAATGATTCAACAAAACTGTCACTTTCATCCTCCATAGGCTATGGATGGACCATAGCAACCTTAGTTCTTCATACAGAAAAATATTGGAAATTGCAATGTTTTTTTTAAATCCATATTTTCCACAAAAATAAATATATCGAGGTGAACCAAAAACAAAACTGTTAAGAATAGATGTGACTTGATAAATAAAACTTAATTTAGAACAATATACGGTTTTGCCACTCTACAGAGTGTCTTAAACTTATGGTAAAAAACATCTTTTTGTTTAAACCTGTATATTATAAACGTACGTCTATTTTTTAATATTTTTTTAAATGTGAGCGATTGTCCATTAATTTATCTACAATATTCTTTAATATTCGTTTAAATCCGACATCAAATTAAAAAGTTATTTGCGATTGAAATTCATCGAAAATTTGTGTGGATCGATTATTTTGCACGTGAGTGTATGTTCTGAAACTGCATTTTTACCTTTTTGAGCGCTCTGACCAGGTCGCCGTAGTCTCCGTTCTCCAGTTTGGGCGTTTTGAGCAAGTTCTCAACGCACTCCATCGCTTCTTTGCGTTCCTGCCATTTTTTCGCTTCGACTTTTTCGTAAAAATCTTTCGGCAACTTCGATAGAATGTCCACGGGATCGGCCAGCTCGTACGGGTCGATTTCCACGGCCGCATCCTCTTCTCCTTCATCGTCTCCAACTGAATCAATAGGGGATTACGTTCAGTAAGAATTTTGAAAAAATCTGCGTTTTATTAAACTACTACATTTCAAGATTATTCTGAACATTTCATGGTTTATGGTTTTAAATATACCCTACATTTGGTGAACCACTATATTTAAAAAAAATGGATTGAGATGTAATTTATACAGCATATTCCAAGCATTAAAAACCTAACCAAAACTTCTATTTTTAATAACTATTAAGGTGCCAGAGATATTCTATCAAAAATCTTCAAATGCAGATTATGGTGTCCCCTATTTACCAAGTTGATTTTTTTTACTTGAGGTAAAAAAAAATCAACTTGGTAAATAGAGGACACCTTAATCCGCATTTGAAGATTTTCCATAGAATATCTCTGGCACCTTAATAGTTATTAAAAAGTGAAGTTAGGTGTTTAATGCTTAGAATTGTTAACGAATAATGTACCAATGGAACATTATTTGTTAACAATCTAAAAACAATTTTGAAAAAAAATTATATTTTTTAATTATTTTATACATTTTGACCTCCGATTTCATTTAAATGAATGGTTTTACAAAAAAACGTACAAGACTTTTTTGTAGAGCGTTCCTACAAAAATTTGTTTTATGTATTGTGACATCTCTATTAATAACCAAGTTATGAAGTTTTTATTATGTAAAATTCAACAAAAATGAAAATTTTAAGTAGTAACTAGATTTAAGTAGTGCAGTTAACTAGATTTAACTGATAAAGCGTTAAACATTTTGCGTACAATGCCCATAAAACATTATCTTCCCTTAACTGTGAAAAACTGCTTTTATATTGATTGCCAGTATATTTTTAAGGAATAAATTTTGATTTAAACAACAAAATTTGAGATTTTAACGCCGGTTGATTCCCAAGTTACAAATTTCAATGGGAATTCCAATAAATACAACTATCACTTTTTGTACCTTTAACCTTTTCCGTGTGAGAATTTTTAATACTTTCTGATAATATTTTGCAATTATAGTAATACAAAAAATCAAAGGATAAAATATTTTCTTAACATAATCATATTTTGAAGTTATTTTAATATTTTAAAGTATCAATAATTGTTAAGTTTAATTAAAACAATGTGAATGGTGAAATGTATGACAAAAATGTTTATTGGGATAGTTACTTTTTTTTCGTATATATACAAATATTAAATTTAAATAATTTTTTAGATAATATTAAGTATTTGTCGTAGAAAAAGTATAGTATGCAACTTGTTTATACTTTTCTAGGCACTCATTTAATTAGGCACTCGCTCCCAAGCCCGCTCGTGCCTAAATTACTATTATTTATTTTAAATATGGTCCTCCAATATTATTTAAATGATTTTATAAAAGACATTTTTATAAAGCAAAAACTTTTCTACAAAAATCTTTTTTATATTATTGAATGTCCATTACGACTTATGTCATCTATGGGTTAAACTCTTGTTCTAAGGTTAAACTTCATCCAAAAAAAATATTTTTGTTCAAAATTATTTTTAGACTAAACAAATAATTTAGATAAAACCCAAGTAAAAAAAACTTAAATTATCCTTAAGATAACCCATCAAACTGACAATCTTATCTAATAAATTTTAATGAATCACTAAAAAGTATTAATGTATTCAAAACCTATAGTTCATAAAAACCTGTAAATGTATAAAATTGAATGCAAATAATATGTTAGTAGAAAAAAACATAAAATTTGCGAAAATATTAAATGGTTTGATTAAAAAATGTAGGAAACTTTGTGCCAAAACTTTTAAATGTATACTATTGTGCGAATTTTTCCTTTAAAAATTCTTGAAAATGTTTTTCTACACCCCTGGTGACCTCTGACTGAAAGTGACCCCTTAAGTTTATATTTAACACACTTAGTGTTCAGAGAAAAAATAATCTAGAACCTTAAGATATTTGTTTAAAATAAACCAAATACAATATAAAAAAACATTTAAATTCCTCTGGCAGGCACTTTTTCAAGAATAACTTAGTTTTACTCATATCTTTTTTAACATACATAATTCTATAGTCTTTAACTAGTTTTATATAAATTTAACATAAATAATTTATTTTCCAACAGTGGCTATAATACCATCTGTATATTTGCTACGGCCTACATTCTCCTTTGTAATTACTGTTAATGTGTAAAAAAAATAAAATTCTCTATTTAACATTTAAATAAACAGTTACAAAGAATACCTAATTTAAATATAATTTTCTTTCTTCTCATTCATAAACATCATATTTCAAAAATAAGAATAATAAATTTTGTTGCATCTACAATCATCTATAAAAATAATGAATAATAAAAAAACAGAAAGAAAAATAATTGCAAATTAAACTTTATTATGCATATATCTATATTTTTAGAACCCTGTAGTTTTCAAAAATATAAACAAACATTTAGAAAGTTAACTACTTTCCTGTGTAAAACTTTTCCCACATATCATAATTTTATACACACCTTAAATCTCTTGAGTCTTCTCTTTATCATATAGGTATATCTATTAAGTACTACCTACTTAATTTTTTTTAAGCTATTAATTGTACATATAAACAATTTAATGGATCATTAAGCAAGTAGTTAAGGAGACAATCATTCTAAATATTAATATAAATACACATTAGGTCATTAAATAAAATTAAAATGTTTAATAGGGCATGAAATTTATAAATATCAGAATTTAAATTTCATTCCTAACAAACAAAATATTTGTAAATTCAAATAGAATAGATGTGGCAAACAATAAACTTATTTTTGACTTACCACCATCAACTTCTTCTGCCTCTGCAGCAATTTTGGCTTGCCTTTGTTGCTGTGAGCGAATATATCTTGTTGGCGATGCTTTTTGCCCCTCAATTTTTCCAAATTCCGCCTCCAACTCCGTGATTTGAACTGGTTGTAAATTAGTCAACTGTGTCCTAAAAAAAACCGCAATATAACCAAAGCATTACATAAAAACCAAACATACTTTAAAGCTGGCCCAATCCACCGGTACATCTCTATTACCATTTGTCGAGCCTCATCTCTCACCGATTTATCTCTATCCGCGAATAGCGTTGTTATTTTCTTCACCAATGGTTTAACTTGAATGATTTTACTTCCGAATTCTCTCAGTGCAGTCGTTGCTGCTTGTATACAAGCCGCCACGATTTTTGGGTTCTTTTGTTCCATACCTTTAACCAACTCTTCCATAACTGCTTCTTGTTTCTCTATTTCTATATACATCAGTGTAACTTGCAAAGCAAGCTCTCTCGTCTTTGTTCTCGGTGCGGCAATGCATTTTGTTACAATTCCCGACATTACTTCGGATACTGTTTTGCCTGCCAAGGCGTAGTTTTCGACGTAGGCTAAGGTGGCCTCCAGGCCTTTCTCCTGGCCCATAGCATTGCTGTCAATAACAAATTTCTTCACCAAGCCTAAATATTTGCTGAATTCCGGCGATTTTTCGTCGTCTATCTGTCTGAATAGCGTTGTTACTTCTTCATATCCGCAAACTCTGGCTTTCCACAGTTTGTGAACGCATTTTTCGTCCACCGGGAGTTTTTTGTACTCCTCGTCCTCCATTATAACACTTAACAAAAAAAAACTAGTTCAAAATATGATTCATTTGCGCCATAAAAGGTTAGCTGCTTTCAAAATGAAAACTTACCCAAATTATCACACTAAAGCTTCACAATTCCTCGAGTTATGTTCTTAATTGATCGCGTCGTGGTTATTCTCGTAGGAATTTAAGAAAAAGATGTCACAAAAACTATACAAAAAAACACACGGTTGACAGTTGTTCTAAAAACGGTCTGTTTTAAAATACACTCCCCACCACTGAACTAACAACCTAAATTTCACGCAAATTACGCGGTCGATTCGACCATTGTTTGCCTCGCTGCAGTTTTATTCCTTATTAGATAGTCGTAAATCGTGATTTACTTTTAATTTAATGTATATATCGATGTATTGACAGTGACACTTGCAAAACTAAAACGTTAAAATTGATTTAATTTGCGCCAATTGGAAATCGGGACAGGAACACTGCGCCGTTGTGATTGGTCCGGCACTGCCAACATAGCGGCGCTAAAATTTCCAAATACAAATTTAAATTCGTTTGATAAGGATTTGAATGTGAAACCACATAATTCTATTCTGTGGTGAAACCGTGTAATTTATATTTTTTAATTACTTTTCACTAATTATCATAATTTATTTGAATTAAAACCCAAATAAATATTTAGGTACTAATCTTTTTTCATAAACTTAAATTAATGGAAAAAGTTTAAATTCAGTTTGCCGATTTTAATATTCACTGTGATTTGAATTAATCTGGTTTTTAATTATGAGAAGGCGCATATAATAACATTTCTCTACTTCATTGACGAGCTGTGCCTTTATGGCGTTTTAGTCATGGGCTGAAGATAGCAATAGTGTCTTTTGGGTATTTTAGTCACGTGATGAAGTTAGCTTTATTATAAATTGGGGAAAAGTGAGGTTAAATCCGTTGACAGTTAACAGTGACAAATAAAATTGGCTTTAAATTCTTTTTTGTGTTCGTTGTAGATAAAATATAGTATGCAACTCTTTTTATAAAATTATCTAGGCACTCGTTTTTATTAAACGCTCGCTCGCAAGCTTCTCGAAAACTCGTAACTAAAAGGACGTTTATAAAACTTGATACATTAAAATTGGTAAAAAGTGGGTTTAACAATTTGACAGTTGTCAGATTTTTTTTATTAATTTTTAAAAATCATTATCTACTTATTGGAGTAGATAAAGTATAGTTTTACACTCGAGATTATGCGCATTATAAATTAAATATAAAAAAAATGCGTTTTTTGTAGATAATAGTAGGTATTTTATTATACGAGGGATATATCCCTCCCTTTATTCATTTTATTTCACACCTTGTGACGTTTGCCAACCATCAAGCAGTTTTACATTTTTTTACCAATCTGACAACTGTCAGACAGGTTTAACCTCACTTTTGCCAATCTGACATTTATCAAGCGGTTTTAACCTCACTTTTTTCCAATTTAATGCTCTACTGCCTTAAGTAACTACACTATAATGTATTTAATAAAAGTTTATCATAAATTTTAAGATTATTTTTTTTTAATCATATTAATAAACTGTTTTAAAATTTTAATATGGAAAAAACAATTTTAATAAAACTACAAAAAAATATCACAAATGTTTATAAAAAAATTATCATTAACAATTGTTAAGTAAATAAATATACATTTTTCCTATTTTAATTAAAAACAATAGTAAGGGTTTATTATAATATATACATATAACTTAAAACATAATCTTGTATATAAAATAAATAATACAATAAAAATTTGTTATACAAGGTGTTCCTGAAATGCCTGTCCAAAATGACACCACATTTTCCTGAGACTGAAATAATGCAATATTGCATATATATATAACTAAATTGCAAAATACAAAACTTGATAATAACCAAAAACACCTTTTGAACAAAATTTGATTTTTGGGGTTTTTAAGGCTGGGACAATTAAATTTAATAAAAAAACTAATGAGCCATTCCACGCGTAACGGATAGGACAGTTGCCGTGTTTTTATTTACAAAATAATATTGTTCTATTATATTACCAATGACTTCGTAATAGTCCCGTCCGTTACGATTTAAATTATTAATTTTTGAGGAATTAAACAGTCAATCACGATACCTAATTTTGCCAAATAAAAACCTTGTTAAACAGCTTTTGTTTAGAACCATTTATAAAAATTTGACATTGGTAATATAATAGAACAATATTATTTTGTAAATAAAAACACGGCAACTGTCCTATCCGTTAAGCGTGGAATGGCCCTAATGTAAGTTGTGAAGTAATATTTTTATTAAAACGTGAAAAAAAAGATGTGAACATTTAAACAACCCGCATTAGCTTTTTTAGAAATGTAATTTTCCTGTCCAGAAAAATTGTCCCTAAGTAATATAACATAATAATAAAATCGAAAATCGAACTTTCAACTTTGACACCCTGTGTATACAGGTAATTTTAGTTATATCGCATTATTTTGGTCTTGTGAATATGTGATATTATTTTGTACAGGCATTTCAGGGACACCTTGTATATTTTTAAAACGTTTTGGGAGTAGATTTGCTCTATTTTTAGTTTAGATTTTTTAAGAAAAGTTGTACTTGAACTGAGAAAAAGGTCTACTCCTTTCAAGTGGCGTAGTCTGAAAAAAACATTTTTAGTTTTAATTGTTATTTTTTGTTTAATAACAACAATCACGTTCAAGAATTCTTATATATACTCACCATGATTAATTTGTAAATATAATTCTTTACTTCAGATACCTCAGGGACTTTTCCAAAGTGATTCAATATGTCTTTTCCTTTCATTCTGATGCTGTATTCTATTAGGGTTGTGACGACTTTGAACTGAACCGGAGCGACCTCTTCCAACTTTTTTAAATCTCCGTTGTTTTTGATGATGTCGTGCAGACAACTCATCAGCCAGTCGAAATCGATGGTGTCGCCCCACTCGGGCATCTCCTCTAACACCATTCGCGAGAACTCTGCCACGAGTTCGGTGTATCGCGCCCCCTTCCCGATGCTTTTCTGCAGCAAACACACGAGGGCGCTGCGAAACGAACGAATGGGGTAGTTAAATTTTTTCTGACCTACACTTTTTATGGTTTTATTCAAGGCGTTTTGTAATTTTAAACATTTCTGTGAAATCGGAATTTCAATTGAGTTAACCGTTTTCGAGATATTTACAAAAAAAAAATCTCCTAATTACGTCACTAGGCTATTGACAACGTTGCCAGCTTTTTCTATGGTTGCCAGTGTGTTTAGTTTAAGATTCTTACGATAGATGGCGCCACGTTATAATATTTTAGTTTTAAAACCACTTGATCTATAATTTTAGTTGAGAAGAAGAAGAATTGATTTTTTGACGTTTCTTTTTTTTCGGGTTATGTTTTTTTAAATTTAGATTATTGAAAATCAATGTTGTTGTTATGTTATTTGTAATTGATATTAGATAAGTGATTTATTAATAACGGACTCCAAAGCAGAGGAATCTTGTGGAATGGTTGGTTACATTGAACATTGGAGCTTTTAAACAAATAAAGTAAGTACCTATAATTATAATCATATTGTGTCGTAAATGCATTTCATTAGTATAATGCCTAGTTTTTTATATTCTTTTGGATATATCTTGGACTCTAAAATATCAAACAGTAATATGATACCTCGTAATAAGGAAGATATATCTATAGGTACTTAATGAATTTGGTGACCATCTTTCACTCCACTGACAGTGACAGTATTTGTACATAACCTCTTCGGGTATTTTCTGACATGACTGAATGAAATCATTAACAAGACAACTTGACAACAGGGTAATTTTCAACCAATAGAAATCTTAGAATGTTGGTCACATGGCGAGGTTTGTGACGTCATAAAAATTTATTTTTTTTGTAAATATCTCGAAAACGGTAAACTCAATTGAAATTCCGATTTCACAGAAATGTTTAAAATTAAAAAACGCCTCGAATAAAAACATAAAAAGTATAGGTCAGAAAAAATTTAACTACCCCATTCAAGGGATGCCAACTTAACTTAAAATTCACTTACCAGGCGATGTGGGTGCGATCTGAATTCTCGATGATCCTAGAATTGAACTCCAGGTTAAACATCAGAGTGCAAAACTCGCCGTTCTCGCATTTTTCCAGCTTTCCCGACACCAACAAATCGATTATTTCGCTCAGCATGTCGGCCAGCACCGGGTGCGACACCCTTCTAACCAGAGATTTGTTTTGGTAGAACTAAAAGAGAGGATTTATTATAACCATAAATTAAGGCTGATACTTGAAAAAGGAATATTTCCCAACAGAAAAAACAAATTGACAAAAACATAAAATCAATCGTAATGTTAAGGTTTTGAAAGCCAAGTTTGTGCTCATCAAATACCTGGCGGAAAATTGTCAATTTTCAACGACATCGGCCGAATGTTGCCTAAACGATGCACATAGGGGTATTTGCTTTAAAAAGCTGGCCAAAAGTCAATTTTGTAGAATAAGTCGCATAATACAATTTTTGTGAATGAATGGAAAACAATGTTTTAAAGTTTTTTGCACTCCCACACTACCAAGTAATATTTATTAAAGTCGAGAATTCTTTGAAATAACAATTTTTTGGACTTGTTTAATAAGTCTAAAGTGGTATCATACCACTGGTATGTACAACGTATTTTACGTACTTTTACCTATGGTATACTAAGTTTTATTATAAAAAAACGCTTTTAATAAATATGAAATAATATTGTTTTTTCACATTAAAATATAAAATATTTGGAGTTTTTAAAATACTTTCGGGTGCGTCCCGGTTTTCATTTAATTATTATTTCACAAAGAAAGGATTTAACTAAATATTAGTAAAATAATTGGTTCCGGATTTGTCCGGATTACTCTGTTAAGCTGTTTTTAAGATATAGGCACGTACAATGTGAACTTCACTTATACAGTTTATTCGGTTTTTCCTGGGACAATTCCAACTTTCCTATTTTTAATAAACACCCTGATTTTTTTAATTTTTTGGATTCTACTTACTTTTTTAGTTAAATTTTGTTAATTTATGTAGTAAGAAAAAATATATCTTCTGAGTATACTTAAAGTCTCTTTATAATTAACTAATCTACAATTTTGTATGTATAAGTTTATTTTACAAAATATTATACAGGGTGTGTTTTTTTAATGCTTAGAAAATGGCGAGTTCAAAAATTAAAAAGTCTGTATTTTTACATAAATTACATTACATAAATTACAAAATTTATGTCCTAAATGAAATAAGATGCTATAACATAGCATGTTATACGATTTTAAACTGTTATAACTTGAAAAATAATTTTGGCCAACTTTTTAGTAGTAATACCCCTATGTGCGATGTTTCGGATAAATTCGGCGATCCGAAGAACGGCGCCATTGCTGCCGAAGTGGTTACGGCAATAGCCGAATGCACTTCGTTGCCTTTCGTTTCCAACAACGTAATGAATTACATATTCTCTCAGAAAAACCCTAAAGTCATCCAAGAGGGTTTGCTTTGGCTATCAAACGCTATAAGAGAGTTTGGTTTTAGGTAAATAAATTATATTAGTTGTTTTTTGGTGTAACTTATTGTTTTTTAGTAATTTAAACGCGAACAAGCTGATTGACAACGGCAAGAAAGCTTTGACGTCCTCTAATCCACAAGTGAGACAAGCTTCTATAACTTTATTTGGTACAATGTATTTATACATGGGTGCCACCTTAAACGCGTTTTTCGACGCCGAAAGACAAAGTTTAAGAGATCAAATCCAAGTCGAATTCGATAAGTATGAAGGCAAGAAACCTCCACTACCCACCAAAGGTAAAATTATATAAAATCCTATTGAAAAATTATCTAATGAGTGCCATTTTAGGTGTTGTAAAATCAGCAAGTTCCAACACATTGGACGGAATGGACGAAGACGAAACCGAACAGGAACCGGAACCGATAAATGTCCAAGATATCTTACCTCGTGTCGATATAAGTTCGCAGATAACCGAGGCCCTAATCAACGAAATTTCCGACAAGAACTGGAAGGTGCGGAACGAAGGGCTGGACAAAATTAGCGCCATGCTGGCCGAAGCCAAGTTCATCAAACCCAGTTTGGGCGAATTACCTCACGCGCTGGCGCAGAGGTTAACGGACAGCAACATCAAGATCGCGCAGGCCTCGTTAATTATCTGCAAGAACATCACAATTGCCATGGGACCGCCCTGCAAACAGTACATCAGAACTTTGTTTCCGGGATTTTTGCAAGGTGAGCAACATGATATTGAAAATCCGTTTTAAGACCTCAGGTTTTGATTGAGCGATATTTAAATTACATAATTGTCAATATCCTCAATTTTGTCGTTTATTTTCAGGACTTGGTGATAGTAAAATTTGGATGCGGACTGCATCTTTAGACGCTATCAACGCTTTTTCTGAACAGTGCGGTTACAAGGAATTCTTCGAAGGCGAAATGATCGGCGATGCCTTAAAATCTGGTTCCCCCACCCTCAGAAACGAAGTGTGGATTTGGCTGGGAGAAAAACTACCCATAAGTATGTAGATGTAGCAATAATTTGTGTAGGAAATAATCAATGTGGGTATTTTCACCGTAGTTGCTGTAAAATCAATCCCGAAGGACGAACTGATCATCTGCGTGCCGCATCTCTACAACAACGTCGAGGACCGTAACGCCGATGTGCGAAAGAGCGCAAAAGCTGCGGTTCTAGGCTTCATGATGCACTTGGGGTACGACAGCATGTTAAAGCAAACGGAAAAACTGAAACCGGGTTCGAAATCGGCCGTTGTATCAGCCTTGGATGAAGCGAGACCGAATCTGCCGGTCAAACCGTTGCCCAAAAAACAGGAAAACTTACCAGACCGATGATAAACCCCAACTGTTTGTACACTCTGAACGCCTTGACATTCGTCGCTGGATCTTCTCCGCTGAGATTCCTGAATTGTTCAGTCAGAGACGCCACAAAATGGTCTTCGTACTGCGCAAACGCGCTGCCCTTGATGCTGCGCAGAACCTTCTGCATTTCCGTGAAGGCCTGCGACGAAACAAAAGCAATGGGGTAGTTAAATTTTTTCTGACCTATACTTTTTATGATTTTATTCAAGGCGTTTTGTAATATTAAACATTTCTGTGAAATCAGAATTTCAATTGAGTTTACCGTTTTCGAGATATTTACAAAAAATATATATTTTTATGACGTCACAAACCTCGCCATGTGACCAACATTCTAAGATTTCTATTGGTTGAAAATTACCCTGTTGTCAAGTTGTCTTGTTAATGATTTCATTCGGTTATGTCAGAAAATACCCGAAGAGGTTATGTACAAATACTGTCACTGTCAGTTGAGTGAAAGATGGTCACCAAATTTATTAAGTACCTTCAGTCATCTATGGTACCTATCTTCCTTATTACGAGGTATCATATTACTGTTTGATATTTTAGAGTCCAAGATATATCTAAAAGAATATAAAGAACTAAGCATTATACTAATGAAATGCATTTACGACAAAATATGATTATAATTATAGGTACCTACTTACTTTATTTGTTTAAAAGCTCCAATATTCAATGTAACCAACCATTCCACAAGATTCTTCTGCTTTGGAGTCCGTTATTAATAAATCACTTATCTAATATCAATTACAAATAAGATAACAATAACATTGATTTTCAATAATCTAAATTTTAAAAAAACATAACCCGAAAAAAAGAAACGTCAAAAAATCAATTTTTCTTCTTCTTCTCAACTAAAATTATAGATCAAGTGGTTTTAAAACTAAAATATTATAACATGGCGTCATCTATCGTAAGAATCTTAAACTAAAGACACTGGCAACCATAGGAAAAGCTGGCAACGTTGTCAATAGCCTAGTGACGTAATTAGGAGATTTTTTTGTAAATATCTCGAAAACGGTAAACTCAATTGAAATTCTGATTTCACAGAAATGTTTAAAATTACAAAACGCCTTGAATAAAACCATAAAAAGTATAGGTCAGAAAAAATTTAACTACCCCATTAAGAAAGGGTTTGGGGGGGGGGGTTATTTGGGCATACCGCGATGGCCACGTCCTTGTTTGTCGAGCCAATGTCTTTGATCACGCCGACGAGTCCTCGGTTTTTGCTTTTGTCGGCCAATTTGGGAGACACCGAGACTTGTTCTTTTCTACTATTCGGCGCTATATTTTCTTGGTTTTCTTCTTGGTCGACTGTTTGAACTGTTTGAACACGCCTCCGTTGGGTCACGTTGACTTCCGTGACTGGCGATGGTCCTTTTTGCTGGGCACGCTTGATTCGTTCCTCCAGAAGCGACATATCCTTTTCGGGGATCTAAAATGGCATTTTCAACGGTTGCAATGATAATAGTCGAAACTTACATTTCCGACCATTTGGAAAACCTTATCGCCATCGCTTTTATGCGCTTGCACCAAGAAGCTCAAAGCTGCGTTTCGCACCGAATTGTCGCGATCTGATATTTGTTTGGCCACCTCTTTCAAACAGACTGCCGCCGAAGGAAAGCAAGCTGTCGTGCCTAAAGAGAAATGTTAAAATAAAATAAGAATACAATGTTTGTTATTTCACATGACTGAAGATGTGGTGGGTGGCAGATTAAATAAACAAGTCAAATATTTGACTTTTTTATTTTTTTATTTAATGAATCCTAATCATGACATTATTCTCTCAAGAATTGAAACGCCTTTTTTTATGAAGAAACGAAACTGAAAAAAGACATAGGCCGTGTCAAAAACAATTGGAGTTCAGGGGGAGGGTATTTTATTTGTTTTATATGTATACATGTATATATTTTTATCCATCTTTATAAATATATTTTTAAGTTTTATAAACGAATTTTTGTTTTTGAGTTTCACAATTTGGGTTAATAGTGCTTTGTTAATTTCTTAGATTATTTTTTTAATTTTGTATTGGTTTAGATAGGATATCGGCAATTTTAAAAAAGGTCAACGCGTCGCAGAATAATACCCGGAAATTAATTCGTATTTAAACAAAATTAACCTTATGCTCTTCTCTTTAGACTTTCGCTGTACCTATTCAACATTCTGCATGCCCAGGTAACCAAACGTAACGAAAAAGTGACAGAAATTGTATGTATGTTTTCTTTATCGTCACGTGTATAATCGTCGAAACTATATCAATTTTAAACTCAAATTTTTCACAAAACCGCTCACCTGCCGTTATAACGTGATCGTCACGTTAGCGTTATCGTGATTTTAAACCGAATCGACATAACGTTTACGTGACGCTGTAATCGTTACTAAATCAACACGAAAATACAGTTATATTCGATTTTGAATTTGTGACCGTATCTTTAACCAGTGGCGGCTGGTGGATTTTTGGTATATATACCGGTATACCAATATCTCAGTTTAATAACATTATACATAGGACCCAAACCAAACTTTTATGAGTTTATAATAATATTAAATTGAAGTTTGCGAAAAAAGTAATTTTTTTCAGCCCAGTCTCCTGCCCCCCTAATTAAGATAATGCAAATTAAAGTGGTGCTATTAATAACTCAGTGCAGTTTATCGACAAATTTCAAAATTTATTTCAAATTCCAAGTAGATTTTATACCATTTAAACTTTTTTTATACTAAAATAAAATTTAAAAAATGGTATAATATTTGTAATCTTGGATTTTTTAAATAAATTTTGAAATTTGTTATAAACTATAGTGAGTTATTAATTGCACCACCTTAATTTGAATCATCTTAATTAGGGGGGCACGCTGAAAAACTTAATTTTTTCGCAACAATTTTTAATTTTATTACAACTTCATAAAAGTTTTGGGTCCCATGTCTAATAACTAAGATATCAGTATACCCCAAATCCCCCAGTCGCCACTAGTGACTAGTGACAGCTGTCTTTAACTAATCTGCTCAAGTCTCAGATTGCTGGAATTAGTCCTAAATTTTTACTATAGTAAGCTATAGCTATATGTATATTTTAAATAATTAAATACATGCTTATAAGCACAAAACACTGAAATGGAACAGGTTTCAGAAGAATTTATGATTAATTAATAATAATACCTTTAACAAAACAATATATTTCTCAAACCAAATTATAAAAACAATAAAAAACTAAATAACTCTAAAAAAAATATATTCTTCTTCAAAAGGATAAAAACTAAATAAATAATTTTCTAACGCAAATTCAGTCAATATTTTTTCTTCTATTCGACATTTTGCTGTAGGTATTTCTTTTTTCTTTTGCTGAAAAAAAGTATTAATGTGAACACTAGTTATATACCTCCTCTACATAATAAAGTAAACAGAATTTTTGCATAATTAAGTTTTTAAACCAAAACCACTTAGGTACCTAGGTACTTGTTAAATATTTAGGTAATGTTAAAAGGCATTAAAATAATAAAATGAATGTTAACATAACCTATAATTATTTTTATAGAAAAACAATATGAAAAACAATATGAAAAACAATACTTACAATTAACGCCTTCCAAAGAAAATAATATATAATAAAAACTAAACACAAGCTAATAATTTTTAAATAAACCAATTTTAAAACAAATTAGTTGCACGGGAACACTAAACAGAACAAAATCAGATCAATATACCTACCTAGGTATTTGACAATAATGGCGAATTGAATAAAGAGTTAAGAGGGCAGCTAAAGACACGGTAAATCGTAAAGTTAAAGTCACGGTATACCGTGACTTTTGTTATAACGTTATAACGTGACAATAAAGTCACGTTTATATAACGATTAATTTAGCAAAGTAAGTCTATGGAAAATCGTGAAAGCAGTGGTAAAGGCAGATTCTATATCAAATCGAAATCTCCAAAATTATTAATTTTCGTTAAAATATATAGGTCACAACTTTATAGTTAAGATATTGGCAACGTTAACGTCACATTTAAAAATGTTAGTCACGTTTGGTTACCTGGGTGTTTTCTGTTGCTTTATTTTTAATTCGCACATTTTAAAAAAAAAAAATTTCTGTTTCGTGGATTTTATTCTTAGATTTTAATAACACTGCATATAGAACTGTCACTGCCACTGTCAAACGCAAAAAGCGTTACCATAGAAACCAACTATCAACAACTCGCAATGTTGTCGGATTTAAATCCTATAAACAGTTAATTTTTTTTTAATGTGGACTCGTGTTTTTTTATTAGGTTGGTAGCTTATGCCAGTTTGAGTTAGTATTTATAGACAGTTATATTAAATATGTTTCAAACCAAATGGAGCTATTTTCAAAGACAGGAAAATTAACTACTAGATTTTTCACAAAAAGGTTGAACTAACAGCAAATAATTTTTATTTTGTTGTTTTTTATTTTTCCCTTATTTTTTTGATTTTTTTGATCTGCTCACCTGAAAATAATATGTGATTTAATATTTGTAAAACCAAAAACGTTACTTTTTTACTCCAAAAATGTCCATAAGGCGATGCAGAAGTACCAATACAAAAAATGAACTGTATATAGTGCTGTTTGTATTAAAATAAAAAAATATTTATAAAATCAGTAAAGTAAATTTTGTTTTTGCGAAACCGAACCCCGAACCTACTCAACCGGCACTGATGAGTTCCCAAAGACCAAAACAGGATTTAAAAAGTGGAAATAAACTGCAACAATGATAAATTTTCTATGACACACGAAAAAAAATTCTTCTCTTTGCCTGAGGCGGATACCAAAAACTTACCGTATCTGCTGATAATAGATCTCAAAGCGTCCAAACATTCAGCCCTTTGCCTGGCGTTTTTAGATTTTACGCCATCCTTGATATGAGCAAAAACCCTACTGATGGGATAAATTGAATACAGTTGTTTTATCAAAGCGTTTACACCGTTTCTGACCGAGTCGCTTGGATCTCCCATCTAAATAATAAATAATTCAAAAACACAAAGCCTTAAAAGAAAAATTTAAAACTTACCTTAAGGACAATGTAAGGTATAATTGCTGAAGCCTCGCCGTGTTGCAATATGTAACTTTTATCAGTGAGCATATTGAAAACGTCGTGCAAATATTCCAGCCCTTTATTTAATACTGAAGGGTTTGTGTCGAAAAACCTGAGCGTCAGCCATTTGAGAACCAAATCCAAGTTCGCTATCAAAGCTTGGTCATTCGCCGGCAAATCTTCGCTCAAGGCCTCGAGAGCCTTGATGTGGTACCGGAAGTCCGAGTGGAACATGTTGGCCATCAAGGACCTGTTCACGTTCGCCGTCGTCATCTGGTCTTTGAGGAGGTCGACGAATTCCCCTCTGGGCGTCGTGAAGTTCCACTTCGGAACGGTCAGTTTGGCCTCGTCTATCGAACGCTGATTCTTCAGCGCGTTGGTTTGCAAAAGAGGCGACACATCGACGTCCTCGTCTTTTTTGCGCGAGCTGGCGGTGGCGGCCGGTTTGGCGACCGCAGCACCCTGCAAGAAAACGATGGAAAATGTTTTCGGGGAAATCAAATTTTCTCACCTTCTTGACGGCGTTCTTGGACGTGGCCACGGGCTTGGTGCCCCTCACCGCCTTCTCCTCGACCGGTGCCTGTTTTTTGGGCAACGGTTTGACCGGCAGATTCGGTCTCGCTTCGTCCAAGGCTGATACAACGGCCGATTTCGAACCCGGTTTCAGTTTTTCCGTTTGTTTCAACATGCTGTCGTACCCCAAGTGCATCATGAAGCCCAGAACTGCAGCTTTTGCGCTCTTTCGCACATCGGCGTTACGGTCCTCGACGTTATTAAAGAGATGCGGCACGCAGATGATCAGTTCGTCCTTCGGGATTGATTTTACAGCAACTACGGTAAAAATACCCACATTGATTATTTCCTACATAAATTATTGCTACATCTACATACTTATGGGTAGTTTTTCGCCCAGCCAAATCCACACTTCGTTTCTGAGGGTAGGGGAACCAGATTTTAAGGCATCACCGATCATTTCGCCTTCGAAGAATTCCTTGTAACCGCACTGTTCGGAAAAGGCATTGATAGCGTCTAAAGATGCAGTCCGCATCCAACTTTTACTATCACCAAGTCCTGAAAATAAACGACAAAATTGAGGATATTGACAATTATGTAATTTAAATATCGCTCAATCAAAACCTGAGGTCTTAAAACGTATTTTCAGTATCATGTTGCTCACCTTGCAAAAATCCCGGAAACAAAGTTCTGATGTACTGTTTGCAGGGCGGTCCCATGGCAATTGTGATGTTCTTGCAGATAATTAAGGAGGCCTGCGCGATCTTGATGTTGCTGTCCGTTAACCTCTGCGCCAGCGCGTGAGGTAATTCGCCCAAACTGGGTTTGATGAACTTGGCTTCTGCCAGCATGGCGCTAATTTTGTCCAGCCCTTCGTTGCGCACCTTCCAGTTCTTGTCGGAAATTTCGTTGATTAGGGCCTCGGTTATCTGCGAACTTATATCGACACGAGGTAAGATATCTTGGACATTTATCGGTTCCGGTTCCTGTTCGGTTTCGTCTTCGTCCATTCCGTCCAGTGTGTTGGAACTTGCTGATTTTGCATCACCTAAAATGGCGCTCATCAGATAATTATTCAATAAGATTTTATATAATTTTACCTTTGGTGGGTAGTGGAGGTTTCTTGCCTTCATACTTATCGAATTCGACTTGGATTTGATCTCTTAAACTTTGTCTTTCGGCGTCGAAAAACGCGTTTAAGGTGGCACCCATGTATAAATACATTGTACCAAATAAAGTTATAGAAGCTTGTCTCACTTGTGGATTGGAGGACGTCAAAGCTTTCTTGCCGTTATCAATCAGCTTGTTCGCGTTTAAATTACTAAAAAACAATAAGTTACACCAAAAAAAACACCCAATATAATTTATTTACCCAAAACCAAACTCTCTTATAGCGTTTGATAGCCAAAGCAAACCCTCTTGGATGACTTTAGGGTTTTTCTGAGAGAATATGTAATTCATTACGTTGTTGGAAACGAAAGGCAACGAAGTGCATTCGGCTATTGCCGTAACCACTTCGGCAGCAATGGCGCCGTTCTTCGGATCGCCGAATTTATCCGAAACATCGTTAAGGCAACATTCGGCCGATGTCGTTGAAAATTGACAATTTTCCGCCAGGTATTTGACCAGCTCAAGTCTGGCTTTCAAAACCTAAATATTACGATTAAAAAAATGTTTTTTAGGTTTTTTAATGTGTTTACCTGGAAATTTGTGTCTTTCAAGCCAGGTTTTCTGGCCAACACTTTTATGACAGCCTGAGTGGGCACCGATTTCGCGTCCCTATCGCGCAAGTCCGCGGCGATCTTCTCCACGGCCGCCAACCTAAACAAAACCCCGAGATAAAAAGAACCGAAATTACACCAATCGAGCATTTCGCTACCTGGTCTTCCAGTTGCTGTCCGACATCTCGCCGATGTTGTTGGCGGACAAAACGTCCGAAACGATCTCGTCCACCTCTTCGTCCGACAAGTGCCTTTCGGCCGCCGGTTTGGGGGCGGCTTTCGGGGCCGATTTGGCGCCCTTCGACCGCACCACGGTGGCCGACCCGGACGGTCTGTCCGGCTTCTTTTTGGCGACCGGCGCGCTCTCTACAAGCACTAAGACAAAACAATTACTTATTTGAAACAATTGTTGGCCTTAATTTAAGGTTAATGTACCTGTGGGTTTTGTGATGGCAGGTTTAGGCGCCTGCGCAATGTGTTTCTCTGTTGATAGACTTTCGGCGTACGCTTTATATTCACTATACAACGTTGAAAATTGAGTCAGCTCGGCAAAAATTGGACCCATGACTTTTTCACCCGCCAATTTAAATAGGTAAGCTAACGCTTCTTTGGAAGCTGTTCTTAAAGCAGGATCTATGATGAAATACAATTTATTACATACCTATGTCAAGTAGGTGAAGATTTATAATTTCTCACAAAAAAATTGAACAAAAAAATAATATTTCAATAACTAGTAAAAAAATTTACAGATATTATAAATATACAGTGTGACCCATGTAAAATCTTTATTTATTGTGCGATTTTAACCTGATTTGTTTTTAAAGTTTAGATCTTGATAAACTGTATTTTTTGAGCAAAAAACGCTATATTTGTACAAAATACAAGGCCTACTGTATTAGAATGAAGTATTTATTTCCAATGAAATTTTATAATAGTTTTTTTAAATATGTGTAATTTTTTGTATTTTAAAAAAATGAATATTTTGTTTTAAACTAGAAAGTGTTTTAATTACTATGCATTCTTTATGGTATCAAATTTATTAAAACTATTACCAGAACTGTTTAAAAACTGTCTAAAATGACCCATTTTGTAAAAAAAATAGTCTAGAATGAGACAAACTGTATAGTAACTGTTTAAAATGACCCAAACTTCATAAACACTGTCTGATATGACCAAAACTTTATAAAAACTGTCTTAAATTACCAAAAACTAAAATGTCCCCTAAACTTACCTAAAAAGTCTAAAAATGTTTTAAACTGTCTAAAATTACCCAAACTGTATAAGAACTGTCTAAAATGACCCAAATTGTATTAAAACTGTCTCTTAAACTATCTAAAATGAACAAAACTTTATAAGAACTTTCTTAAATTACCAAAAACTGTCAAAAATGTCAAAACTATCTAAAATGACCTAAACTGTATAAGAACAGTCTAAAATGCATTGAAACAGAACAAATTAAACCTAACTGAATAAGAATTCTTAACTGTTAACTGTAAAGAATTCTTATAGTTTGTTTTATTTTTGACTCAGGAGATGTATGGGCGGCGCCTTTTGAAAAAATGAATATTTTGTTTTAAACTAGAAAATGTTTTAATTACTATGCATTTTTTATGGGATCAAATTTTTTAATTATTTTGATTAAAAAAATGCATTTTACGACACTGACGAATTGGCGAAATGTAATTTTGTTTTTTATATTTTAAAATAAAAAAGACACATTTAGTTATTGTTTATTTAATATTTCCGATTTAAATTGAATCCTATTTTTTTTAATTTTCCCATGGTCCAGATGTTTTTTGTGTTTTTTTTGAACTTTTAAATCTCTAGTAGTAGGTACTACAATAATTGTAGAATTATTAATAATAATTAATAATTATAAATTTTTGATATTCTAAATATGGTTTGGACATTCTCATTTTTTATTAAAACGCCTAAAAACATTATTTAATGTTCATACCTGCTCCATTGCTATTGTTTAATAAAACGCCAGTTATTTCTTTTATTAAATTTTTACTGGAAACAGTTGATGTTGGTTTTTTAGAAATAGCCCTCTTCAAAAACAAGGCAGTTTCCAATTTTACCGACGGATTCTTATTGCGCAAAGCGTCCAACAAATACTCCAAAATCGCTTCCAAAGTAGTCTACAAAAACAAAAAATATTTTTTCGTATTGTTTTTTTTTCAAGCGTAATTTTCTCACCGATAAATAAACGGCGTCGATGGCATCCCTGATGGCGGCCAGTACGTTTGGTTTTTTCTCCTTGAACTTTTCCAAAAGATCGGGAACGCACAATACAGCGTACTGTTGGAAGCGTTTTTTTAAGCCTGCTGCCAACATGGCCATGCATCTGCCACCCAGAGCCACCACCACAACATTGCTATCTTTTTGAATGATCTAAAATGACCCAAATCGTATTACTAACACTCTAAAATAAACTGTAACTAAACTGTAAATATAAGAACTGTCTAAAATAACTCACTGTTTAAATTTTATGACCTAAATTTTATAATTATAAAGACAGTCTGAAATGACCCAAACTTATTAAAATGTCCTTAAAAATATTACCAGAACTGTTTAAAAACTGTCTAAAAATGTTTAATTTTGTAAAAAAAATAGTCTAAAATGAGACAAACTGTGTTGTAACTGTTTAAAACTTTATAACCACTGTCTGATACCAAAAACTAAAATGTCTCCTAAACTTACCTAAAACTGTCTAAAAATGTTTTAAACTATCTAAAATGATCCAAACTATATAAGAACTGTCTAAAATGAACCAAATTGTATTAAAACTCTCTCAAACAACCAAAAACTAAATGTCTTAAACTATCTAAAATGAACAAAACTTTATAAAAACTTTCTTAAATGACCAAAAACTGTCAAAAATGTCAAAAGTGTTAAAAATGTCTAAATCGTCCTTAAAACTATCTAAAATGACCTATATTAGAACTGTCAAAGATAACTATAAGAGTTCTTCTTTATAAGAACTTTCTAAAATGTCCCAAAATGATTAAAAACTGTCCAACATGTTCTTAAAACCATGACCTGAACTGTAAAAGAACTGTCTTAAATGATCCAAATATAATAGGAACCGTCTAAAATTACCAAAAATGTCTAAAATGTCCTTAAAACGATCTAAAATGTCCTTAAAACGATCTAAAATGACCTAAATTGTGTTAAAACTGTCAAAAATAAATCAAACTATAAGAATTATTTACAGTTAACTGTAAAATGAACCAAACTTTATAAGAACTCTAAAATGTCTCAAAATAACCAAAATCTGTCCAAAATTTTCTTAAAACCATGACCTGAACTGTATAAGATCTGTCTTAAATGATCCAAATTGTATAAGAACTGTCTAAAATTACCAAAAAATGTCTAAATTGTCCTTAAAACTATCTAAAATTACCTAAATTGTATTATAACTGTCAAAAATAAATCAAAATATAAGAATTCTTTAGTTAACTGCGTAAAATGACCCAGACTTTAAAAGAACTTTCTAAAATGACCAAAAACTGTCCAAAATGTTTTTAAAACCATGACCTTAACTGTATATATAAGAGTTGTCTAAAATGAGCCCAACTGTATAATAACTGTCTAAAATAAACCAAACTTTATAAGAACTCTCTGAAATGACCCCAACTTTATAAAAACTATCTAAAATGTCATTAAAACTACCTAAAATGTATAAAATGACCTAAATTGTATTAGAACTTTAAAATATGTAAAACAAACTGTAAAAATTCTTCACAGTTACTGTGTAAAATAATCCAAACTTTATAAGAACTTTCCAAACTGTCCTTAAAACTATGACCTAAACTGTATAAGACTGTCTAAAATAAGTTTATAAGAACTTACCCAAACCTTATAAAAATTGTCCTAATTAACCCCAAAATTATTGTATTAATTAATAATATTGTACTTTGTATATTTACCTTTTGGAAGGCTCTAACCAAGTCCCCATAGTCTCCTTTCTTTAATTTCGGCGTTTTTAGCAGATTTTCTACAACTTCCATCACTTCTTTACGTTCCTGCCATTTGTTGGATTCAACTTTTTCGTAAAAATCTGGCGGCAATTTCGATAGGATATCCACAGGTTCTGCCAGTTCATATGGGTCAATTTCCACAACCACATACTCTTCTTCATTATTTTGTTCAACTATTTTTTTTTTCATTTAAAAAGAACGCTAATAACTATTGTTAAAATTATAAAGAGTAACTTACCTTCATCTTTTTTAGTTTTTTCCTTCTCAGTGGCAATTTTCGCCTGTTTTTTTTTATGAGAGCGAGTAAACCTTTTTGGGCTCACTTTTGCATTTTGCTGCTCAATTTTATGAAACTCCAAATTCAACTCTGCCAATTGGACTGTATGTAATTTACCCAACTGTACTCTAAAAATTAAAAATAACAACAAATACTCTGCTAATAAAATTAAACAAACTTTAACATTGGCCCAATCCACTGATACATTTCTATGACCATGTGTTTGGCCTCATCTCTAACAGATTTATCCCTGTCGGCAAAAAGTGTGGATATTTTTAAAAGCAATGGTTCAACTCGAATAATTTTGCTTCCAAACTCTCTCAATGCAGTCGTAACAGCTTGTAAACATGCCACCACAATTTTAGGGTTTTTCTGCTCTATACCTTTAACCAACTCTTCCATAACAACTTCTTGTTTCCCAATTTCAATATACATCAATGTCACTTGCAATGCAAGCTCTCTGGTTTTTGCTTTTGGTGCTGCAATGCATTTTGCCACAATTCCTGACATTACCTCGGCTGCTGTTTTGCCTGCCAAGGCATAGTTTTCAACGTAGGCCAAGGTGGCCTCCAGGCCTTTTTCCTGACCCACCACATTGGAGTCAATCACAAATTTTCTCACTAAACCCAAAAAGTTGCCAAACTCTGGCGACTTTTCACCAATTTGTCTGAATAATGTTGCGGCTTCTTCGTAACCACACACTCTGACTTTCCACAGGTGGTGTTCGCATTTTTCCTCCACTGAAAGTTTTTTGTAGTCCTCCACAGACATTATTTGACTTTTTGGAAAGATATTATTTTTAATACAAATAATTATGTAGGTATTACCTACCTTCTTTATTAATATATAGTAACAAGTCTTTTAAAATTACCTCAAATGGTTAGATAAAAAGCACACAAAAAACAAAATGATTAAAAAACAAAAACACTATTTCACAAACACCAAATCTTTTATTTAAAATTACAATTTTAATTCATCAATAATCTACTCTAAATCATTGTATGGTTTAATAAATGTTATCAAGTTAAAATAAAGTTTAAAAATAATAAAAACGCGAAATAAACTTTGACAGTGACGAACTAAATCGTTACACTATATAGATTTGATTTACACCAATAGGAGGACGGTACAGAACAAGGAACAAATCCGATTGGATCAGTTTGGCCAACAGTATGGAGCAAAAGTTCCTAGATTTTAATTTAATTGTTAAAATTGTTGCATTCAAGAAGACTACTTCGAAGAAGGCAGTGTTTTTGACTACATGGTAGGAGTCTTCTTGGTTATATTCGGACACGGTCTAATACAGGGTGTACCAAAATTGGCGTCCCAAATTTTCCTTTACCATTTGTTGTTAATCTTTTAAAGCCGCTAATGAAAGCGCAGTATTATCGTTTGGTTGCCTACCTACATTCAAACACTTCAATTGAATGAAGACACTGTGAAATTATATGCTAAAGAAGTACCGGGTTTTCGCAACGCGCGCGCCATCTGGTGGACTTCAAAAGCATTGCGAGAATTAAAGAATTGTCAACAATACATTGAAAGCACACGAACTGTACATCATTTTTAAATAAATAGGTAGTTTTTTCACAAAAGAGAGGAAGGCAGAAGTCTTACTCGACAAATTTTGTTCAATTGCACAGCTAAATCGCATACGTTATTTGTGTTTTACGTTGCAAGGAAAAAATTAAAGCACTTTTTTAGTACTCGCGAGTACTAAAAAAGTGTTTTAATTTTATCCGCGATTTCGATTTATTATTCCTTAAGGAATATAATTATATCATTGAATAAGAAACTGGTGAATTATTGTGTTTTTAATTGTAAATAAAATTCAAGAACTAAATCGTTGCATTTTCATGTTTTGCCAAAGGATCCAATTTGGTAGGTACATTTGTTGGTGCAGAATTAACTAATGAAAACTTTACCTAATATAATTTATATTTAAGTTTGGATATTTTTAAGAAATTAGTAAAATATAATTTTTGCACAAACATAACCTTAAAATCAACCATTCTTATATTTGAGATCTCTAAAAACGCTGACAACTGCATTTTAAACAACAAAATATACCTACGAATTCATGGCAACATAATATTATATTATCATAATATTATATATAATACATAATAATATTATAATTATATTATAATGGTATTTTACCGTTGTGTGGAGACTTTCTTAATCAACGATTTTAATAATGCTAAACGCTGTTTAAATTTAGACGACTTGTTTGTTTGACGATTTTTACTGAATTGAAATGTTTAGACTTTTTACGTTAATCACTACTAAAATGTGTATTTATTGTATCCAATAGGTACAATTTATATTTACTGTATGCAATTTATTTCTTTATTAAGATTAACACTGTTTATTGGAAAACCGGTAAAAACTCAACCCAGGATTTCCTCTTGAAATGTTTGTAACAAAAGCGTTTGACAGCTGATTATTAAAAGTTGTACTTTTGTTATGATTTTAATAAAATATTTTTGTAATTTAAAATTGTTTCAATAATTTTATTAACCTAAAAAGTTAAAGGAAAAGTAGTTTATTGATTATAACAAATTTTAATTTCCAATTACCTATATACATGATACTAATAATATTATAAAGAAAATAAATTATTTTTGAATATATACATTTTTATTATTTTTATAATATAACTATAAACAAAGTTGTAAATACCAGAAATAATACAACCAATGCTAAAAAGTATAATTTAAAGGGTGCATCAAAATTGAATTTTCGATGGCAAATTATATAAAATATAAAGCAAAAGTAATGCAAAAATATTGCTTGATTAAATATATCACAAATAAAAAAATATCATCTATTAAAACCTTAAAATATTACTTAAATTGTAGTATTAAATGCCTTAAATGTTATATAAATTCATGACTAGGCATTTATTTGAAAAAAAGTATATTTAAAAGTAGAACAAAAACCACACAGACGTCATTTTTTACACTGATATGCCAAGTTTAATAATAAAGCTTATTTGGTTTGTATAAAAACTCCGGTAAATATAAATTAAATATTTATTGTCCTACAACATGTAGATGGCGCTCAAAGCACGACACTTACGTCAATCGCCGCTCTACTTTTAAACACAATCCACACAACAAGGTCTGTTCTATCTCGCACTAAAAATACAAAAAATCACTGCAACACTGCACAGTTTAACGGCGGCCATTTTTGTGCTTTGGGTTTGTGCTGTTTATACAGATTAATAGTCGTTTTAAACGTTGTTTCTCATAGTAAGCTTTAAAAGAGTCCTTAAAGTGCTAAGAACAACCATTTTACCCCTCTATTGTAAAAAATAAACTTTATTTTATCAGGGCTGTCATAAAACTGTGAAATGTCGATTTTAAGGTTAAATTATGACCCACAAATTAACCTTCAAATTGTCATTTGACAGCCCTGATAGAATAAGGTATATATATTTATTATAAAAGAGGAGTAAAATGGATGTCCTTGGCACTTAAAGGCCTTATTTGAGGCTTACAAGTACCTCTGTAAGAAACACAACGTTTAAAACAATTATTAAACAGCACAAACCCAAAGCACAAGAATTGTAAACAACAAAAATGGCCGCCGTTAAACTCTGTGCAGTGTTGAGTATTTTTAGCATGAGATAGAACAGACCTTGTTGTGTGGATTGTGCTTTTAAATACAAGCAATAATTTTGCATTCGCGCGGCAAAAAACGTTCATCGCGATTATTTCACTTGCGTCCTGAGGTGCTGCAGGAACTCGTGGTAGGAGAGGGCGTTCTCCACGCGGTCCTCTACGAGCCGTTCGAAGAACACGTGTCGGTTGGCGCTGTTGTCGCGCAGCACTTGCAACGTTGCCACGAACGGTTTCTCCTCGTTGAGGAAGTTCACGAAGCTCAAAAGTCTTTGGTTGCGCGGGTTGTCGAGGGTCGGTATCTCGTACATCTGCTCCGTTATGGAGTCGTAGTCTGCCACGCCTAAGGCGTCGTTTAAAAATGGGCGCGGGCAGTTGGGGGCTATTAACAGGATCATGTGCTCCCCCGTGTCCATCAAAAAGGCGCCGGAGTTGTCTAGGAGGCGCGCGGATAGTTGCAGCCTGGGTGGCATCGGAATCGTCTCCTCCTCGGTAACGATCATTTGTTGGTTTTCCAGATCGTGTATCGGGTACAAATCCGGGTAGATCTGCTGTATCAGCAGGTGCAGGGGTTTGGACTTCATGTCCATCATCGCTTTCACTCGGTCGTCCAGTCTCGTGGTGGTGCCCGTGCGGAACGCTGTGTGTTTGAGGAGCGCGGAGATGTAGAGGGGTAGGAGTTTGAGGCAGTTGGGCGCCATTAGACCGGACTGCCCGTCGCCCAGGTTCAACGAGAATTTATAGCTCGAAAGAATATCTATGGCTACGTTGATGAACGCCTCCCGCGCGTCTGATAAGTTGGCTTGCATCGATCTATCCACCGCCATCTTGGACAGCAAACCCACTATGCACTGCTGATCGGCGGAGTTTATCACGTCTTGTAGAGTAGAAACTACGGGGAGACATAAGGTGTGGACTCGTATGCGGCGCTCGCCTTTCGACGACGTGTACAGCAACGCGGCTTGAAAACACACCGTCTGCACGTCGGATAAACTCTCCTCTATAGACACCTGCATACCGAAACCGGCGTCGGGGTTTATATTCGGCAGAGATAGCAGATCCGTGGATCTAACGAAGAAGTTGCCGTGGAAGGTGTGTATGGCTAAACCGCGCGTGCACCTGATGCGCATTACGCTCTCGAACCCGATTTTCCTCGTTAAATACCTCTTAAAGCACCTCTCGAAGCTCTCGCTCTGCAGCGTTCGCGACGATTTAAACAGCGGGTAGTGGTGCATGCAGCCGCCGCTGAAGCGCGATATGCCCGACACGGTCGCGATGTCCACGTACTGCGAGTTCAGCACGAACAGATCGACGGCGATCTGTTGTCCGCTGCACTCCAACGCGAGCCGCTTGTAGAAGTCGTTGGCCGGGTTTAGGTGGTTCACTTCCACGGTTGCCCTCTGCGAGGGGTCTTCCCGCGCTGCGAGCGCGCCGGGGCCGACGTTCGGCAACGCCGCTTGGAACACGGTGACGCGCCCCCCCGTGGCCGACATCATCTTGTACGCTGCTTGCAGCGCCGCCCCCAGCGCCGAATTCGTGTCGTACGATTGGTTGTACCTAAACAAATTTTTTTTTTTTAATAAATTTTCCGACATAAAAATTTGTAGTTAAAATACAATTAATTTGGCTTTGGTGGTGCGCAAATGAGTAAAATCATATAAAAAGTAGTTAAATATAGGTGACTACGGCCCAGGAGAGACAAAGTATTCCTTTGCTTTGAAAAGAATTTATATAGAAGAAATTAAAATTGTATGTGAACGAATGTTGTCCAATCATTGGACTCCAATGGTGAATGGGTATTTTGTTAAAGCCACTGGACGTTAATACTTGTAGTGGCTTAATAATAATTATGATGTTTATATTGTCCAGGACTATTAATGATCAGTAACTTGCAAATTGAAAGAAGAAAAAGTTATCTGTTTCAAACCAAATGGATTCTAAGACAGGAAAATTAACTACTAGATTTTTCACAAAAAGGTTGAACCTATCAGCAAATATTTTTTATTTTTTGTTTTTTTTATTTTCCTTATTGTTTTAAAATTTCAAATTTTTTTGATATGCTTAGTATTTAATTAAGGTCTTCAGCAGAAGTACCATTTTTTAAACACTAAAAATACTAAATCAAAATGGCATAGCTACCAACTTAATAAAAAAGCAAATTCCAATTAAAAAAAATAAACTGTATGTAAAAAAAACTCGATTATATTCAACATAAACAGCTTGAAATACAGCGTCCACAGATGGGGTCACAAAAAGGGAAAAATACATTTCTCAGTAAATTTCATTTTTGGGTCATTCCACATACCTCAAAGTTCCACGATAATAATTATTATTATTGAAATTTTTAAAATTTTCGCAAGAAGCGTTTTTCCTAATTTGTGAAAGTTTGCTTCTATAGGTAATTTTTAAAATCTTGGAATTTTGCCAAGGTGCCAAAAAATGTGACTAAAAACTGGTCGTTTTTCAGGTGACACATGTCACAAAATGATGATTCAGGTCAAAAATGACACATGACAAATGTCAAAAATGACAGGTGACAGAGGTCAAAATGACAGATGTTAAAAATGATAAATGTCATGACAAAAATGACAGATGAAACAAAATAAGCTGACATCTGTTCTATATCATTTACAATTTAGATAGATAGGTAATAGTTATTTTTGACGTAAATGTTTCATTTTATTTTGTAAGAAGGAAAATTGGATTGGATTTGCGTAAAGTGCCCATAAAACATTATCTTCTCTTTCACTGTAAAAAAATTGCTTCTATATCGATTGTTAGTCTATTTTCAAGGGATAAATTTTGATTTACACAAAAAAATTTAAGATTTTAACGCCGGTAGATTCCCAAGTTAGAAATTCTAACGGGAATAAATACCACTGTGATATATGCAACTTGTTTATAAACTTTTCTAGGCATTCATTTAATAGCACTCGCTCGCAAGCTCGCTCGTGCCTAAATTAAATTCGTTACTAAAATGGCGTATATCAAACTTACTATATAATATACTATGAACACTTACTCATAAATAAGTATTATCTACAAATGCTACGTAAATTGTCAATAATGTTTCATATTTTTGTTTTTACATGGCTTATTTTTGACATCTGTTATAGATTATCTTTGACACCTGTCATTTTTGACATTTGTTACCTATCATTTTTGACATGTTTCACCTGTAGTTTTTAAAAAACGACCAGTATTTAGTCCTTAGAAAAAAAATTCCAAGATTTAGCCTATAAACAAATTTTATTTTAAATTATGACGAAAAATAGAATAAAACTGAAAAGGTTTATAAAACTTTATAATTTTTTAAAAATTGTATGACTTATTTTATAAAATTATTATTATTATTTTTGACCATTTAGTTTATTTTTAAATTTCAACAAAGAAATTTATCATTTCAATAACAACAGTACAATAAACCCAAAAACAATTCAACCAAATTAACTTAAAAACATGCAGGTATAAAGAGATCAGCCATAAGAAAAACATAATAAACTTAATAAGTATTATTTACCATTAAAATTAATCATAGTTATAAATAATGCTACTTTCTTTAATTATGATGTAAATAATAGAGATAACAGTTTAATTTTAATAAATAATGTATTAGAAAGAAGTAAAAACAAGTAATAAAAAACAATTTAAATTTTATGCGTCTGGGTCGTATTTTTTGTATGAATGAATTGTATTAATTAAGAAAGTTATTCTATATCAAAATATACATCTATGTTCTCTATTCTCTATACAACTTTGGATTATTTTAAATAGATGGCGTTCGTAGCTGGGCTTCAAATTAAATGAAAAAACATAACCACAAATTCATTCATTCGATTGTTTTAGCGAGAAATTAGTTGATTGACAAAAATGGTAGAAATATTTACCTTGTAGGCAACTGTCCGAGCAGGTCGGTAACAAGATCCATCCTGTCCTTCATGTTGACCAACAGGTTGTCCGGGCAGGGCAAAAAGATGTCGTCGACATCCAAAACGGTCATCTCGTGGGGCTGACTCAAGCCCTCGGCGAGGCTGAAAAAGTGCAGGGCCGAGTCGTAGGCTATGAAGCCTATTTGAGTCCTAGCGTCCCCTGGCAAATTCTTCAATTCTTCCAGAAGAATCGAGCACACCGACACCAAGTACCCGCTTTCCACCGCCATACGAGAAACGTCCAACAAAAATAAGTACACGGCCGGTTGAGGGGGCCGCAGCATGTATTCCTGAGGGGCTATGTACTCTATGGTGCTGGCTTTTATTTCCGGCCGCCTGGACGGGTCCCCGTAACTCTTGCTGACCGGATCGTATTGGAACTCTTCCGGCAGTTCGTTGATTCGGTAGCACAGATTGCATTTCCACCGCTTGTTGTCGACGAAGTACACGAAAGGGTTTATGTAGGTCCTGCAGGTCCGGCATCGCACGATGACGTTGCACTGTATCACGGGCAAGTGGTTTAAATCCTTGAACGGGTGTATCAGAACGCCCAAAGGCAGCCTGCTCTTCTGCAGTAACCCGTTGTTCTCGGGTATTTTCGTCAGAGTGCACCTCAGAATTTCCGGGCTGCAGTTGGCGTTATCCAAAGCCTCCTTGCCCAAGTGAACAAGTGGCGCCTCCACCTTAACCGGCGGGAGAATATTCGTCGTTTGCAGTAAATCGTAGTTTTCCGTGCCCCAGAATTTCCCGAAACCTGATTGAACCACGCCATCATACCCCCCTGCAGTCGCCGGGTATTGGGCTTTAGTGGGGTAATAATTTGGTTGCTGTTCTGTTTGTTGTTGTTGTTGTTTGTAGCCCATTTGCGGTTGAGGTGCTACCTGGGCTGCCGGGTATCGGTTGTTAAACAGCGGATTTTTGAGCGGAACATTTTGAGTTGCTGCTATTTGAGGTATAGTCTGCGGAGGCACGTAATTTTGTGGTTGTTGAGGCATCGGCGGTCTAGCTTGGTTGTTGTTGAAATTCATGTTAGAAGGTGGGTAGTAAGAGTTTTGTTGAGGTTGACCAACAAACTGATTTTGTTGGGGTTGAGGGGGGAAATTTGCGTTTGGGGGCCTTGTATGTTGGGCCAAATTACTCATAGGAGGTTTTTGTTGAGGGAAACTATTTAAAACGGGTTGAGGCATACTTGGCCTCAAATTTTGAGGTGCGGCCGTGTTAAGTTTGCCAAACTGGTTTTGGCCCATCATAGGAGGTTGAGGATTGCTTTGGGGCGGTAAACTTCCACTGGGTTTGCCAAATTGATTTTGCTGAACAGGTGGAGTTGTTGTTTGACTTTGAGGGGGTGTAATGTTATTTTGAGGGCCTTGATTCAAAGGTGGACCTGCAGTTGGCCTACCAAATTGATTTTGTTGAAGGGGAGGAGCAAAATTTTGAGTTTGGGGGAGTGGGACGTTATTTTGAGGAGGTAAACTTGCACTGGGTGCACCAAATTGATGTTGTTGAAGGGGTGAAATGGAATTTTGAGTTTGGGGGGGTGGGACATTACTTTGAGGAGGTAAACTTGCACTGGGTCCACCAAATTGGTGTTGTTGAAGGGGTGAAATGGAATTTTGAGTTTGGGGGGGTGGGACATTACTTTGAGGAGGTAAACTTGCACTGGGTCCACCAAATTGGTGTTGTTGAAGGGGTGGAATGGAATTTTGAGTTTGGGGGGGTGGGACATTACTTTGAGGAGGTAAACTTGCACTGGGTCCACCAAATTGGTGTTGTTGAAGGGGTGGAATGGAATTTTGAGTTTGGGGGGGTGGGACATTACTTTGAGGAGGTAAACTTGCGCTGGGTCCACCAAATTGATGTTGTTGAAGGGGTGGAGTGGAATTTTGGCTTTGGGAGGGTGTGACGTTATTTTGGGGAGGTATACCTGTAGTAGGTCTTCCAAGAGGTGGAGCAGAGTTGTTATTTTGGGGAGGTATACCCATAGTAGGCCTTCCAAGAGGGGGAGCATGATTTTGGCTTTGAGGTGTAAAATTATTTTGGGGGAGTTGACCTCCAAGCTGTGGCATAGAATTTTTGCTGGGGTTGTTAAAGTAATTTGGCAAATTTGGATTCTGGGCAGGTTTTTGAGTGAAGTTCGGCGAACTTTGACTTTGGGGCTGTTGAGAGCCGTTAAAATATTGTGGGCTAGATCTTTGTTGACTTTGTGAAGTTAAATGTTTGTTTAGCTGACCTTGAACTGGATTCATACTTGTAGCACTCACTTTGTCACTGTTCAACGGTACGTTTTCCAACACTGGTGTTCTATTCGACACTGGATTAGAGGAGATGGGCGAAAAAGCACTGTTTTGAACAAAAGCACTGCCAATTGCTGGTTGGTTTGGCGTCGAAGTACTAAATTTTGGACTTATGTTTGGGGTTACATTCATTTGGCCCACTTTCTGAGTCAAGGTTGTTATTGGGGATCTAGAAGCAGGCAGTTGGTTGGATGGGATTCCTGCTCTGCCTGGAGGCAGCTGAGACATTGGAATGGTACCCAGACGAGGCAGGGGTGAGGGGTCCCTCGAAGATTGACTTGAATGCGCTCCATTCATTTGGAATTGGGGTGGAATTCCGTTGGGGATGTTTTGATCGGTCATGTTTGATTGTGACATTTTTTCTCTCCTAAAATATGTTTAATTAAGGTCTTTGATATGGTAAAATGTTACACAAACAAATAACATTTCTATTTGTTAATAATTACTTGGTTAATTATTATTGGATTATTAGGAAATTGTTGTCCTAAGAGTATTACGCATCATCAAACATATGTAAAGATAAAAACTAAATTAATGTTAAGCAAATCATGAGTTTTATTTTTAAGAATGTCAAGGTTTAAAAGCTGATTAAAACTACTTTAATTTAACCCCTTTCGAATGAAATTTTATAAAATTTGAATCATTAGAAGCTTAATTACCATATTTAAAACTCTAATAATCATACAAAAGCCCTTAATAAAGCTTAATTAATACAAAATACGAACCTTTGAACTTGTAACAATTTTGCAAACTAATTATTAACCTAAATATCCCACTTTAATACCAAATATATTACAAACATGATTACTTAACGAGCATTATAAGTTCCTACCTTGTAATTCAGCACATATCACTATAAACTAGCACATTTGGACATTTTTATTTTTCCAAAGAAATATGAAATTGTCACTGTCAATCTTACGTGGCCGAAGCAAGCGACATCTGCATTCCCAAAGGCCAACCACGCACTAGGTTTCTGTTATCAGATGACGTCAACGTTACCGAATGACGTCAACGTTGCTACCAAACCGCAGAAATGCGCCTACATGTTTGCCAGTTCAAGGCCGTTATTGTATAAATAAAGAAATGTGAAAATGTGCAGCTAAATCGGCTTTATTTATTATGTTTAAGATTTTCAATAGACGTTATGTTTACTCCAATATTGCCAGCGTGTGTTTAGGTCAGTATTCGATGTTTTTTGTTTTTTATGAATGACGTTTCTCAAGTTTGAACTGGTTTCAAAGTTCATGCGCACTAAATAAGGGAAAACGAATTTTCCGGCTTGGCATTCTTGATTTTAATTGGATGACATAAATTGACACACGCTTATGTCAAAGTATATTAAACAATGTTGTTAAGAAGAATATAATCTTCTTAAATGTTGTAATAACATATTTTTGCATGGAAACCGCTATTTTAGGGTAAAATTTAATAAATTCTATAAAATATAACGGAAAATCCCGTTCATATGTAAATTTTTGAATGTAATTTGGTAAAACTAATTAAAATGGGTCATTTAGATAGCGAAAAAAAGTAAAATCTGGTTCGCGTGCCAAGTCTGTCCCCATTTTCCAGTTTATTATAATGAAAATGTGGCATGGCGAGTCAACTAGCGCAAAAAATTAAACGAATGACACCGGTAAAGGTGTGGTGACTGACTTTGGTTGACGGTTACGTCGATTTTACGAAGGAGTGTCCCCCAACCAAATGGAATTGTCTTTTCCTGTCCGTGTCACCGATAACAAAGGGAGTTCTGCGGAAAGCTTATTTTCCGAGAATTAAAATATAAAAAAAAGATTTATTCAGGTTATGCTTCATTTTAATTTTATTTAATAACTTTATTGTTGCGGCATTTTTATAGATATTGTGTTTAATGGGTATTTTTTATTAAAAAAGCTACAAGGTCGGTTTGTAACTACAATCCTATTAAAATGAAGGTTATAAGTTGAAAAAAGTCAGGGCCCGTGCTCTAAAAATATTAAAAAAAACAAAACCAAAACCAAAAATCGTTAAAACTTCTTTTTTTCTGGCAATTTAAAAAAAGTAAGTTTTAAGTACATGTTACATTTGCTACTATTTAAACAATTGTTGAGTTACCTACCTACCATCACAATTTTTTGTTTTTCTGTGGATTCCTTGATTTTTTTCTATCCAAACATGTAAATTTCCAATATGGCGGCCATAGAAAAAACAAAATAGGGTGGTATATATTAGCTCAAAATCTACCTAGTAGGAAGGCGAAAAAAATCACAAATTGAGTGATGATATATTTATAAATGTGTTTGTTTCTTTGAATAAAAAACCTTTTTAGGTTTTTTATTCAAAGGTGTGTTTAAATGTGACACTTACTTTTTCAAAATTCCCAGGAACAACGAAGTTATAGCGATTCTTGGTTTTGACAGGTTTTTAGTTTTTTTCAAATATTTTGAGAACCGCTGTTTTTTTTCTAAATTTTTCAATTTTATTTGAGTAGGCTTGTAATTCAAATAAAATAAAATGGATCCTATTGATACTTGGTGTAACCTAACAATGATTTTTTTAATAGGTAGGTACCTACCTACCCATATAGGTAGATATATTTATTTTGTAATGAACAAGAAATACCAAAGATAAGATAAAACTTGTTGTTAAGACATTTTAAGTCTATTTATTGTATACGTGTATTTGTAAGGTAAGTAAATATTCAAAATCACATTTTAAATTCAAATTTACATAGGTATATTGAATGCATATGTATGACATAATTATTATAAGTACTTAGTTCTAGTACTAGAAATTTGCAAGTTATATTTTGCCTATTTAATGGTTATTAGATTAAATCTTAAGTCTTTAATAGACCCTTGATCATTATTTTGTTGACCTTGCATATTTAATTAAAATAGGTAGGTACACTGATAGACAAATGTTTTGACCCTTTAGTACAGGCCATGCATATTTTATAATTTTAACGTTTTAATTATTGTAGGTATTAATTTTAATTTTTTACATAAAAATACAAACGTTTAGAGATTATAATTTCACCCTGTATAAATTTACCTAAACATGAATGATATTGATTGCAATTCACCTTTTTCCTCCAAAATGTCATAAACTTGATACGGATCGTAAAACTAACAGAATGTAAAAGGTTATATTTTACGGTGACTTGTTTCGTTATTTTTCTACTATTTCCTCGCCCCAACAAAACCCTGTTTACCTAATTTGGCGTTAGGGTATAATGAAGAACATTGTTAATTTGATGTAATTTTATTTTGTTTTTTATCTTTATTTTATACCGAACAAATGTTATGCCAATTTTATTGTCCATCATAAATAAATGCAATACAATTTTATACCTATACCAAATCATTTTTTTGTGATTTTATCAAATTTAGTTATTTTCTACTTTTGGTTAATTTTATTTTGCTAACAATGTTTTATAAAAATACAAACATTACCTACTGTTTTTTTGTACAAAATTCTACTTCAAATTTAAAAATATTTTATTAAAATTTTTTTTGAAAACTGTATGAAGCCAAAATAAAAATTAATTGATTATAAAATTTAAGTTTTACAAAATATTTTTAGTTTTCTTATAACTGATAAGAAATCGGTTTAAATAAAATAGTTAACGTTGCCAATAAGATAAAATACGCGTTTTATATAATTTTTTTGCCAATGCATTTGTTTTAGTTAGATAAGTCCAGTGTCAAATAGTATACTATATATATAGGTACTTAATTAATTATAATTGTGATATTTCTAGTAATTTCTGCGATTATTTTTTATATTAATAATCATTGTAATTAAAGTTACTGTGATTCATAAACCGCTTTTTTTAATGACAATAATTACATCAAATATTTACTACCATTTCAAGGGCAAATTTTAGAGCGTTTTCCGTATATATGGTAGTGAAGTTATTTTTTAAAATTTTGTTCTTAAAAAAAGTTTAAAAAAATAGTACCTAATTAAAAATTTCTAACAAACCTGTTTTGTACGCAAGACTGCAATAGTTTATATGTAATCAAGTAGGTTCGGACCGCCCCTCTAAACGCATCGTGATATCCATGACCGCCGCCGCCGTCTTTGATTCAGTCGGTTTCGGGTGGCGGTAAAAAGAACGAACAGGTGCGACGCTCAACTGTTCCACCACATAGCCAATCAAATACGAGGAAAGGTTCGAATTGAAAAAAATCACTTTTTAGTTGTTCCATGGCACTTTTCAAAAGTTGTTTTTATTTTATGTAAGAAATTTTTAAAGGTCATTTAGAAAAATCACATCAAATGTTTTAGCAGTATTTTTATCACTATAAATTTTTAGTGTTTAGTCTACATAATTTTATTTTATATTTCTGTAATATATATTTTTGTATTTATATTTTCAATCATTTTAGATTTTTAGAAAAATATTTAAAGTTGTTGGCAAACTGAAAACCTGTCAAAACCAAAAAAGGTTATAACCTTTTTTGGTTTTGACAGGTTTTCAGTTTGCCAACAACTTTAAATAACATTTTTATCCAATTAGTGATTTTTTTGCCCATTAGGTTTTGAGTTACCACCATCATGGATGCATCCATTGTTTTTCGTATAGCCGCCATATAAAATGGCTACATAAAAAAAATATTTTGAGAAACGCTGTTTTTTTACCAAATAAAAAAATATATATGAATAATTATATAAGGATACTTGGTCCACTATGTATAAAAATATAGAGTTTAGATAATTTTTGGGTTTTTGACTGATTTGTCGTCATTCACCCGGTATATATAAATTTTAAAATTATATTTTTTATTAAATTATCGGTAGATAAATTTTATTGCATTGTAGGTGCAATGAATCATGAAAATGAAATCATATGAGCTGTTTATTCATAATGATATTTTAGCAAAATTTAAATGGTAAGCAATTTTTCTGCATTTTCATTTGATTTGTATACTCCGCATTAACATTAATTTTATAAGTTTTAGCGAAAAAAATAAAATTATATTTTTGCTACCTAAAGTTCATTTTTTTTATCTGGACTGCGGCAACGTTGCAAATTTAGGGGTTTGGTTGGTAAATAAGGAACCAAAATTGGTTGCATTGATTAAAACAAACCAAACTAGTTATGAATCTGAAAATATTTTTGGCATAGTTATCTTTTTATATCGATATTTATTAATTAACAAGTAAATTATCAATAATAAATATTACTGTCAATTTGACAGTGTCAGAGTATTAAGGTTTTCAGCAGAAGTACCATTTTTTAAATACTAAAAATACTAAATCAAACTGGCATAGGTAAGCTACCAACAAAAAACACAAGTCCTAATAAAAAAAATGAACTGTACTTAAAATATTTTTTATAACATCCGGCAACAGTGTTACGCAACACTGGTTTAATAAACTCGCGAAATATTTTGACATCTGTCAAATTTGATTTTATAAAAATAAATTTCAAATTTTTATTGAATTAAATAGGTACCTACTTACTAAACTAATGTGTAACACAATGTATGTATAACAACGAATTTTAATTAAATACATGACAATGCCATGTTAAAACAAAATTTAATTACCTAAAAGTCAACTAACGAACATTTTTTAAGGCGGATTATAATTTAAATGAACCTTGTTAACGGTGAACAAACAGATGCTCGGAATTTGTCAATTACCCTGATTAAAACATACAACGGTAATCCCAATTTCAACTAAAACCAAATATCATTTTGATGCAGAGAAAATCTTTGTTTTACTTGTGGTTTTTTTTAATTTTTAGTCCTAGCCAACCTATGCAATAAATTTAAGAATTTTGGCAAGTATTTCGATGAAGTTTTCACTTTATTGGTTTACGAAAATAACAAAATAACAATAAAATTGAGGTACCTATTAGTTGTCTTTTTAGAATATTAAATCTTACACGCAATGTAAAATTACATTTTTCTGATTAAAATCTGAGACACCCTGTATATAATCACATAGGTATCACATTTAATATTTTTAACATTGGTATTTATTTCATTGCTTATTTTAACCAACCCATTGCTATTTTTATGTTGTTTTTCACTAACTTTTGTAAAAAATTTTTGTTATCTAGGTATTTTTAAATACTATTTGGTATTTAGTATAGCACTTAACGGTCTTATAACGTTTAACATTTTATTTCATACCTACTGTGTTTTCACTTTTTTATTTATTAAAAACATTATATACGATTATACATATTATATTAATATTAATATTTTTTTAATTTTCTTTGTTGAACAAAACGTTTAGGACCCTTAAAATTATTAAAATAACTCCTTGTTATTTAGTGTGTTCAGTATTCTAATGTTGTTGTCCTGCTCCTTGTCATATACAGGGTGTCCAGAGAGGGAGGCCCACGGCACGGATGCCAAGTCAGAATATTGAGCTTGACAAGCTTCAAAATTCGGAACCAAACCACGGATCGACCGCTGATACCGAACAACATGCCCCAGGTACATTTTCATAAAAAAAAATTAAAAACATTTTTATTGCCCATAAAAAGATAATTTTAAAATTAATCTTACCCAAAACATGTTTTTAAGTCAAGAAAATACCATTTTTATCAAATTTTTAATTGTAGTTTTATGGTCCAATTTTTAAATGATTTTTTTGTGGACAATATTCATCCATGTTTTATGTTTGTATATTAACACCACCCAATTAAATATCATATTCTGATGCAATATAGAAGCTTCTATAATTAAAACCTGTTGTTAAATATTTTCTTATATTTTTATTCTTTTGTAACACCTAACATGGCTCAAGAATTCTTAACCCATGTTGGGTGTTACAGAAGAATAAAATGAAATGTAAAAATATAAGAAAGTATTTAAGAATTAATTTTAATTAACTAGTGCATTTTATCTGAAGTTTTATTGTATTAAATACAATAAAATAAGAATAAATTTTATTCTTGTTTCATTATTTAAAGTATTCACTTTTCCAATAATAAGTCGTAGCATGTATATATACCCTACCTTGAATTGTCAAAATGTAATCCATATTACATTAACTACAATGGAGAATTTTTAGAACCTTTGTATTGTTATGTTATAGCGTTAAAATATCGATTAAAATATATCGATACATATACCTTTTATATCTGTTTTTTGTCTACCCACTCCAGTGTGTATATGCATATTTTATTTGAGCATTGGTTAAATGCTATTTATAAATCAATTACACGTGTCTACAAGAAAAAAGGTGCGAGGAGAAAACATATATTTTCTTTCCCCATGATAAATATATTTGGTGCTGTGTTGCAAACTTGTTGAATTCCTATAATAATATACTAAGTATATATAATTTTGATAACATAATCATGTAACCAAAAGATAATTAATAATTCAACAGCACGACATAAGTAATAATTTTATATTATAATAAAATAACTGTAGTTAGTTACCATGTCAAAGTTATGTATTAGATTAAAGTATCTTAAAAATAAATTTATATGTAAGTATCTTTATCAACTATCTCTTGAATATAAAAATAAATATAAACCTTCACGTTTAGACCACATGGCACAGCGTATTTAAATCTCACATTTAAAATGCGATATTTTTTAGTTAAAACGAAAAAGTGACGTTTTATCTTTTATTTTATCTCTTGTCAAAGCCGCCTCGACACTTCCGTATTCGAATTTGGCAGTTGTGCTGCGTTGCCATGGCAACCAGTATGCGCGCATTTCCATCGATTTTCCCCGCCAGATAAAACGGGCGATTTCAATTGAATGGCGTCCTGCTGTGGATAAATTTTCCCGTGGAAAATGTGATAATATCGCAGCGATGATTTAACGTCAATCTCGGTGCAATCGGGGTGTCTTTACTTTGCCGCGGAAATGTCAAAATACACGGAGATTTACAGTATTTTGAGGAGCAGATTTTTGGGACGTAAGTTGTTTTTGTGGCTGACTTTTTATCACCCTGTTGCTTTTCGGGGTTCGGTATTGAATGTCAAATTTGCTATTCTTGGTTTTATTTTAATAACATTGCGATATTTGGGGGACAGATTTACCTATTTGATAAACAAAATTTGCGTAATGAAACAATCTTGCCATGCCATATTTATGATTAATTTATGGGATGTGTTTTGTTTTCTATGACGTTTACATGCCTAGTTAAAATAAAAATTATGTATTTGGGGCGTGTTTATGCTATGGTTAGAAAAAATAATGTTAATAAGTCTATTCCCAGTAATTAGAAACCACATACTTCCACACATGGAAGGGGGTATGTGTTAGAAACAGAAAAACCTAAACCAGGGTGGAATAATTCTTCCACCCTGACCTAAACTTTATAAATTTCCTTCAAGAAGACTACATCTAGTCTTCCTTCTTCAAGAAGTCTTCATATCAAGAAGTCAAATTTAGATACTAAATTTCTGTAAATATGTTGTCTCTGTCAGAAAGTTTAACCAAAAAGCATCAACTAAATGTCAAAATTTAATGTTATAAAATTAGAACGTTACATTCCTTTAATAAAAGATTTTGACTATATTTTATGTAAGTATTAATTTATTGCTAAACCAAAAAGGTATTTATTATTTAAAAAACTTTCGATTTAAAAGTAAAAATGGCAATTTAATTTTAACCAACCTTAAAATATTTGACATTTTGTTGGATGTGGGTTTGACATCTGTCAAAGACATATAGGTTATATTTTTATGAGAAAGCTTGTTTATTATTTAAGATCAAGACGCAGAAATAGGGGCCGTGGTATGTTTTACTAAATTTATCCATAATATTCCTGTAACTTAACCTGAAACACGAAAATTGTGACATTCTCCCATTTTGACGTAAACTTTGAGGTTAGACTTGACAACGTTCTCTCTCTTTCAGACGAAGACGGTGCGGCGTCGTCAGCGCCAGATGGCACTGAAGACACCGGCGTTCTCGGCGAGCAACGCGTGATATTCATCAACAGGGCTCAACCCCCTGTCACCAAGTTCGTCAACAACAGAATATCTACCGCTAAGTATAGGTAAGAAAAACACCGGAAAATTGCATTACATTACGTGCGGCAGTTGACATGAAATTTGACAACACTGCATGTCATTTTGACAACACTGTTCGTCGAATTGGCAACACTGTATGTCAAAGAAGTATTGAAACTTGAACTTTGAAAGAATTTATTTTTAACCAAGAAAATTTACAATTTTTGCCACTAAACATTGTCTTTCTAACTTTTCAGTGTTATAAGGTTCATCCCGTTATTTTTATTCGAACAATTCCGAAGATGGGCGAACGTATTTTTCCTGATGATCGCCTTGCTGCAGCAAATACCCGACGTGTCGCCTACGGGTCGTTACACAACGTTGGTACCCCTGATTTTCATCCTATCGGTATCGGCGATCAAAGAAATAATAGAAGACATAGTAAATTTCCAAACATAAAGAGACTTCATTTGTATTATTTTTATTGTTTTTAGAAAAGGCACCGGGCAGATGACGAAACCAACCACAGGTTGGTAGAAGTGCTTAGGGGGAATGCCTGGATCGACGTCAAATGGAAAGACGTCATAGTCGGGGATATTGTCAAAGTTGTCAACAACAAGTTTTTTCCCGCAGATTTGGTGCTACTGTCCTCAAGGTAGATATTTGTTTTTTTCAGGTTTTTTTTCATTGTTTTTTTCAAATGGCTTTTTTCATTTTTTTTTTTTTCAAGATTTGCCTATTTTTTTATGTTTCCAGTCCAGTTTATGGTTTTTCTATGTTATGGACTAAAATTAGCCACTAAATGACATTTAGTAAATGTAAATACAGTCTCGCGCTTTGCACGCGCCACCACCACCGAATTGACCAATAAGGGCCGCGCTTGTTTTGATTTGGTCCTAAAAAAAGTAACTACCTATAATATTTTTGATTTTGATTTTTCAAAAAGCTATCAAAAGCATTTTTTTCATGATTTTTCAAATTCATGGAGAGTATGGATTTTTTTTTTTTAAACATTCCGTGGACCAAAAAAGAAAGCCAAAAAAATTTCGAATTTTTTTAATACGGTATTCGTTAGGGTTAAGCGTTGAACGTTTTTCATCTAAAAATCTAAAAACTAGAAACTTCAAGCTTCAAATTGCTTTTTTTACGGCTCCAATACGACCATTTTTAACGAAGATAGAGCTATCCGAAAATTCCCAAAAATTTGAAATTTTTTTTATCCTTTAACTTTTTCTATTAGTGTAGAAGTTTTTCATTGCTATTGGTTTCTTATGTGGAAACTACCAAATAATAAGAAATTTTTTAGTCTCGGTCAAAAGTTTCAATAATGAAAAATGTAATATATTCCACAATCCACATTGTGGATTGTGGTCTGTTCTATCTCATGCAAAAAATACTAAAAATCACTGCACAGAGTTTAACGGCGGCCATTTTTGTTGTTTACAATTCTTGTGCTTTGGGTTTGTGCTGTTTAATAATTGTTTTAAACGTTGGGTTTCTTACAGAGGCACTTGTAAGCCTCAAATAAGGCCTTTAAGTGCTAAGGACAACCATTGTACTCCTCTTTTATAATAAACATACCTTATTCTATCAGGGCTGTCAAATGACAATTTGAAGGTTAATTTGTGGGTTATAATTTAACCTTTAAATTGACATTTGACAGTTTTATGACAGCCCTGATAGAATGAAGTTTATTTTTTACAATAGAGGTGTAAAATGGTTGTTCTTAGCACTCAGAGTGCTAGCCTAGCTAGGCTTACTATGAGAAACACAACGTTTAAAACGATTATTAATCTGTATAAACAGAGCACAAACCCAAAGCACAAAAATTGTAAACAACAACAATGGCCGCCGTTAAACTGTGCAGTGTTGCAGTGATTTTTTGTATTTTTAGTACGAGATAGAACAGACCTTGTTGTGTGGATTGTGATATTTTGCCCCAAGCTTTCATTTTGAAAAATTACTCCATTTTTTAAGATTGATGTTATTTATTGACAGAATATGCTTTATTGTAGCGGATTTGAAAAAAAAACAAAAAAAACCGTTTTTTTAGTTTTTTTTATGTTTTTTTTTCACATCTCAAGTTTCAATGTTTGTTACGCAGTGAACCGCAGGGCATGTGCTTCATAGAAACGGCGAATCTGGACGGCGAAACTAACCTAAAAATTCGGCAAGCACTTCCGACTACGGCGGCCTCTACGAAAACGGAGCACCTGAAGGAAATGACCGGTACCATAGAGTGCGAACCGCCCAACAGACACCTGTACGAGTTCAACGGCGTGTTGAAACTCACAGACAAAACGTAAAAACATTTTTTTTATGTAACACAGAAATATGTATTTTTTTTTTTAGTACCGAACCCTTAGGCCCAGACCAGTTGTTATTGAGAGGGGCTATGCTAAGAAACACGTCGTGGGTGTTTGGTTTCGTGATTTACACCGGTCACGAGACAAAGTTGATGAGGAATTCCACGAAAGCCCCCCTCAAAAGGTCCAGCGTCGATAAATTGGCGAATATTCAAATTATTTTGCTTTTCGGAGTTCTCCTTGTAATGTGCTTCATTAGCGCCATTTTTAACACTCTATGGATGAGCGAACGGGCAAAAAAAGATTGGTACATTGGATTTCAAGGTAAAAAAAATGTTTACGTCAAAAGACATCCTTATAATATTAGGGTGTTTGTTTTTTTTTCTTGCAAACAAGCTCAAAGTTTCGATTTTCCATGGGAATTTTTTCGGTATTGTTTTATCAAAAAATTGACCACGAAATTTCATGCGAAACAAAAATTTGACGTTAACCAATATTTTTTTCATCTTAAATATACGCTAGTAGCGCCACCACTCGGCTGTTATCATCGTAACAAAAGTAGAACTTTTGATAATCAGCTGTCAAACGCTTATGTTACAAACGAGTGTTTTTGAGAATAAAGCCGGAAAATGTTAAAAAATATCGAAAAAAAACGTGGCACGATTTGTTGTGTTGTTGGGTGTATTTCGAGAGGAAATCCTGGGTTGAGTTTTTACCGGTTTTCCAATAAACAGTGTTAATCTGAATGAATAAATAAATTGCATACAGTCTCTGTAAATATAAATTGTACCTATTAGATACAATAAATACACATTTTAGTAGTGATTAACGTGATAAGTGTAAACATTTCAATGCAGTAAAAATCGGCAAAAAAATAAGTCGTCTAAATTTAAACAGCATTTAGCATTATTAAAAGTCTCCACTCAACGCTAAAATACCATTATATTATGTATTATATATAATATTATGTTGCCATGAATTCGTAGGTATATCTTGTTGTTTAAAATGCAGTTGTCGGCGTTTTTTAGAAAACTCAAATATAAAAATGGTTAATTTTAAGGTTATGTTTGTGCAAAAATTATTTTTTTCTAATTTCTTTAAAATGTCCAAACTTAAATAAAAGGTAAAGTTATCATTAGTTAATTCTGCACCAACAAATGTACTTAACGAATTGTATCCTTTGGCAAAACATGAAAATGCAAAGATTTAGTTCTTGAATTTTATTTACAATTAAAAGCACAATAATTCACCATGATCCCTTTGATAAAATACACACACTAACGTAACTATATAAGCATTTAAGCGTTGAGTTTCTTAATAAATGATATAAGGAATAATCGATCGAAATCGAGTACTAAAAAAGTTTTTTAATTTTCCTTGCAACCGTTGCAATGCAACGTAAAACACAAATAACGTGCGCGATTTAGCTGTGCAATTGAACAAAATTTGTCGAAAAATCGCAAAATTGATGAACTTTGATCTTTAATAACTTTTTAACCAATTGGTTTAGCAAGAAATCATAGGACACGTTTTTTGTAGAGCGTTTAATTCTCTACAAAAATATCTTAACACATTTTTGTATGTATTGGTGAGTTACAAAAATCTAACGGAGCAAAAAAATAATTCCCATGTTATTCTTTTTTCACAGGCTCATTTTTATACCTAAACTGTAATATTTTTAAGGTTCAGGCACAGAACACTTTATGTACACCCTGTTAACATTCTTGATTCTCTACAACAACCTCATACCTATATCCTTGCAAGTTACGCTGGAAGTGGTGAGATTTATCCAAGCGATTTTCATCAACACGGATATTGAAATGTACCACGCAGAAACGGATACGCCGGCCTGCGCGAGAACCTCGAATTTGAACGAGGAATTGGGGCAGGTTAAATATATTTTTTCCGATAAAACCGGGACGCTGACCAGGAATGTCATGGAATTTAAGAGGTGCGCCATAGGGAATGAGATCTATCCCATCACGGAGAATGTCGAGGATTCCTTAATGGTTCAGGTAATATAATCATATATTATATCACGAGAACTATGAATTTAATCGGTTAAACTAGGCTCAGTAGTTTTTTGTTTGGTTTTTGTTGGAAAATGTTGAATGCAAAATAATTTAATAAAATCACGAGACCGCGTAGCGGTCGAGGGGTTTTATTTTTAATTATTTTGCATGAAACTATTTTCCAAAAAGAAAAATCAAATAAAAAACTTACTGAGCATAGTTTGACAGATTAAATTTATAGGTGGAGTGATATACGTCTAGATTATTTCTCGAATTAAAGGAAACTATTTAACAATTCATAAAATCTGACGCATGGGTCAAAATTTATAAATATTTTTTTAAAGAAAATTCCATTAATTTAAGGTATGTAATAAGTAATAATTGATATTTCGTAAACTAGATAACTTATTTTTTATTGTTTTTTAAAAAATGTTTGTTAAAACTTGTAAATAACACCATAAAATAGTAAACAAAAATCCAATATGGAGGCTAAAATTTAATCGCTGTTAAATAGGTCTAGTGATTTAATCGCTTATTTAAACGAAATTTATTCGAAAATTCAAGGCTTTTGATTGGTTCATATTATAATGAGGGAAATAATCATAATAATTATTTTTGCACTCTTTTATTATTATTATTGGTGATAATTTGATTTTTTTCTTTATAAATGTGTATTATATAACTAATTAACAATTTCCAATAAAAAACAACATGATTGTTATTATTTAAACGATTAAATAGGTAACAGTGAAAATATTTTCTAAAGAAAATGGATTCTTAAAGCGAAAAAACTCTAATGTGTTGTTTTTTTTAATTTTCAGTAATTTTATCAATAACATAAAGATTATCATCGACTATTCCACTCATTACTTTTTGGACCAATCAGATTTCAGAAAACGAGTGGTTTTTTCAGTTTTGCAGCGATAAAACTACTATTCAGGTGAAAAAACCACTCGTTTATACGAGTTGCATAACAACCAATTGGTTGCTATGATAAAAATAATTGTCACTGTTGACGTTTTTAATTTTAAAATTAAGATGTTAAAAAATATGCGTTTTGGTCCAAAAAATCATACAGAAATTGAATCAGCAGTTAAAAATATTCGTGAAATAGTCTTGCCGAATGACACTCGTGATAAAATTTTCCCTGAAAAATTTTTGATTTTTATTTACTCATGATTTTTCCTTGGAAATTTCGCTCGTGGCATTAACTTCAAACCACTCGCAAAGCGGCTCGTGGTCTTAAAAATTAATGCCACTTGCGAAATTTCCAAGAAAAAACATTCGTATAAAAATCAAAAATTTTATCGGTAAAATTTTACCACTAGTGGTATTATATACGATAAAAGAATCCAAGTAATTAACTGACCCAAAAAAAAATCTAGAGCGGAAAAAACAAGATCTTTGTTTTGACTTCAAATTTAACCTTGAATAACTTTTGATGGAGTGAATTTAGCCAAAAATTATGATTTTTACATGAATTGCAAAATTCCAAAGTTAATATATCAAATTGTAAAACTATACCAATTTTTAAGGCATGATTGTAAGAAAACGGCTCATCTGACGGGAAATTTCAATCAAACCTTTTTTGTAGAGCTTTCAATTTTCTTCAAAAAATATTCTTAAGTCAATTTTGTTAAACTCAGTGGTTTGGGAGTTGTGAGGCAAAAACTCGCTCAGGAAAAAAAATCTTAAATTGCGATGATAGACCTCTTAATATTAATATTTTGGACTCAAACTTTCACCATAATTTTTTACAATATTTCGAAATACTTAAAAAAAAATAGTTGATTTTTTTGGCCCAGTCTAATATATACACTCACAGGCAAAATAATCGATCGAAATTTTCGATGAATTTCAATCGCAAATAACTTTTTTATTTGATTTCGGATTTAAACAAATATTAAAGAGTATTGTAGATACATTAATGAACAATCGCTCACATTTTAAAAATTAATAAAAAATACACGTACGTTTATAATATACAGGTTTAAACAAAAAGATGTTTTTTACCATAAGTTTAAGACACTATGTAGAGTGGCAAAACCGTATATTGTTCTAAATTAAGTTTTAATTTTCAAGTCACATCTATTTTTAACAGTTTTGTTTTTGGTTCACCTTATTATACTTATTTTTGTGGAAAATGTGGATTTTTTTTAAAAAACTTTAACATTTCCAATATTTTTCCTGTATGAAGAACTAAGGTTGCTATGGTCCATCCATAGCCTACGGAGGATGACAGTGACAGTTTTGTTGAATCATCTCATACTTGGACATGTCATATACAGCTTTCAAAGGGTATCAAATTGTTTTTTGTAAATTAATGTGTTAATTTTGAGGTGTCTTCTTATTTTTAAAAATGTCTCCGACTGATTTTGCCCTTTGTACTTTACTTCTTGTGACGTTTAAAACACTTGCCACGTAATACTGTGACCGTCCATCCTGGATTAAATTAATAGCTCTGGCAACATCAGTCGGAGACATATCCATTTTTTAAAGTAAGAAGACACCTCAAAATTTAAACATTAATTTGCAAAAAACAATTTGATAGCTTTTGAAAGCCGTGTATGACATGTCCAAGTATGGGATGATTCAACAAAACTGTCACTGTCATTCTCCATAGCCTATGAATGGAACAGAGCAACCTTAGTTCATCATACAGAAAAATATTGGAAATTGCAATGTTTTTTAAAAAAATCCATATTTTCCACAAAAATAAATATATCGAGGTGAACCAAAAACAAAACTGTTAAGAAAAGATGTGACTTGATAAATAAAACTTATTTTAGAACAATATACGGTTTTGCTACTCTACAGAGTGTCTTAAACTTATGGTAAAAAACATATTTTTGCTTAAACCTGTATATTAAACGTACGTCTATTTTTTAGTATTTTTTTTTAAATGTGAGCGATTGTCCATTAATTTATCTACAATATTCTTTAATATTCGTTTAAATCCGACATTAAATAAAAAAGTTATTTGCGATTGAAATTCATCGAAAATTTTGTCTGTGAGTGTATATATATATTTATTTCAAGATTTTTATATGCGTTAACGTTATATGACGTATATGAAATGGTAGGACAAATTTTCAAAATAACCTTTAACGGTTTTTGAAATATCCATTTTCGTAGCATTTGAGAGAGGGTCACGTGAACTCGAGCAGCATCAGAGACCTGCTGGTGCTCCTGTCGGTTTGCCACACCGTAATCCCGGAAAAATCCCCGGACGGCGAGGTGATCTACCACGCGGCCTCGCCCGACGAGAGGGCGCTAGTGTACGGCGCCTCCAAGTACGGCTACGTCTTCGAAAGTCGCACGCCCGACTACGTCGAAATAGACGCGCTCGGCGTGAAGGAAAAATACAAAATACTGAGCGTGCTGGAGTTCACGTCGGCACGCAAAAGAATGTCGGTCATCGTGAGAGATCCGCAGGGAAAGATTCGGTTGTTTTGCAAAGGCGCCGACTCCATTATCTACGAGAGGCTAGAGAGCGCTTCCAGGGCCGAGAACGGGGATATTTTGCTGCAGCATTTGGAGGGTTTCGCCACCGAAGGACTTAGAACGCTATGCTGCGCAGTAGCTGACTTAAAAGAAGACAGGTACAATGAATGGAAAGCTTTATACCACAAAGCTAGCATATCCCTACAACATAGAGAAGGTAAGTCCATAAAATATGTAATATAAAAGTTTGTTACATTTTTTGCTGAGAACAAGTCATATTTTTATATTTTTTTATCATTTATAAGATACGAGAATTCTTACAAAGCAAAAATTATTTTGGACAATTTTTTTTTCAACATAGTATTTTTTTAGATCGTTACACTTTGCCTAACGTTTCTACAGGGTGTTATGTAATTAATGTAATATATTAAAATACCTTTTAATATAAGGGGTAACAGAAAAATATTTAAACAAATATTTTCGCAAACAAAGAAGGAATATGCATTAAAAGTTTTTTTACTTGTGTAGGTACATAGATACCAAGTTACTAAAAATTTTTCTTGCAAAAAATAAATAAAAACTTAATAAATTTAAATTTAATGCCCTTAGACAATTTAGTACCAATTTTAAAAACTAGGACAAGTTCACAGGTTAAACTTTAAACATTCAATTTGTGTAAATAAATCCAAAAGCACTTCCCTTAGTTAAGATATTTACAATTTGAGTACATAACCTAAAAGAAATGCACTAGATTCTGTCATAAAACTTGCCAGATTTTATTTGAATTTACCTTCATTACAAAAATGACATAACCAAAAATTAATAAAAAAGCCAAATTAACAATTTGTATTGTTAATTTTGTCATTTTTGTAATTAAGTTAAATTTAAACAAAATCTGGCAACTTTTTTTGACAGAATCTGGAAACGCTGGTTGTTACCAACCATAACATAATAAATTAAATTAGGCAACCAGATTAGCCTAGAGTTCCTAGTCGATCAGTGGCGTACTCTTTGGTAGGAAAAAAGTTATTATAAATTATATTAACTCTTCAGAATTTAGAAAACAAAGGAAGTACCCATTTTAATATATTACATTAATTACATAACACCCTATATGTAATATTAATGTTTGTTACATTTTGCTGCAAATTTTTATCATATAAGATACGAGGATGCTTAAAAAGCAAACATTATTTTGGGTTAATTTTTTTCAAAAGTTCGTTCTCGATTTCGTTAAATACAAACGCTTTAGCACAAAATTTAATTTTTGAGGGTTTTTCAGGCCGGAAAAATTAAACTTCTTTTAAAAAAATAATGCATTCGTTTAAATGGTCACATCTTTTTTGCGCCTTAGTGCATTCAAGTTTTAAATAAAAATATTACTTTTTTATCTTTATCACGTTAAAAAGGTATACTTTCTAAATGTTGCTAAAGGGTATTTCCATTTTAACGGGTGCGACACTATGATAATGAAGTGTTTGTTCATATATACCAAGATACGTTAATATAAAAAAATAGTATGAAAAATTAGGTATTTAACTCAAACAAAATGTCAATAAAAACTTGTATAGAAAACCTTTCATAACGTCATGAATAGCGTAACGGGTGCGACCTTAGAAAATCGGCAAGTGCGACCAAGTTGCCTTCTAAAGTTGATACTGTAAAATTTTGTATGAAAGCATAATAAAGTAATAATTTTTTGTGTAAAACTTGAATAGTAACCTTAAGCACGTATTTTAAATGTACAAAAATTGCATACTTTATTTTCAAAAAATTTCTTAAAATGTAACGGGTGCGACATTTGAACATTTTATCGAGTACTGAAACTCTTCCGTGTTTATTCTTAATGTTAGCTTCTTAGCATCACAATGTACGAATATTTACGAATATTTTGACTTCAGATATATGTAGTTGTTATTTTGTTAAATAAAACATCTGATTTTTTGTCAAGGTGGGGTAAGGTTTCGTGGAAATACCCTAAAATTAACCGTTTTAAAATATTTGCATTTAAATTGTTCAGTTCATTTGAAAATGTAACATATGTTTTTATAAATTTTGTGATTTTTTGTCTTTTGACGCAATTCTCAAAATAGGATTTGACAATGATTATAAAAATATAAACAAAAAATATAAAAAAATATGAAAAAATATCGTACCTACGTAACATTCTTGTAGAAAAAATTGAGGAAGCCGCCAGTCAGATAGAGCAAAATTTGAAGCTGATTGGGGCGACAGCTATCGAGGATAAGCTTCAAGAGGGCGTGCCCGAAACCATAGCGGCCCTTCTGAAGGCCGACATCAATATTTGGGTCCTGACCGGAGACAAGCAGGAAACTGCCATCAATATAGGCTATTCCTGCAGACTGATCTCGCACGGAATGCAGCTGTTGATTTTGAATGAAGACGGGTTAGATGTAAGTTCAATAGTTATACGTTAAAAAAATGTTTTCGTTTGATAGCGACAATTTTAGAAAACTAGGGAAGCCATATCACGGCACTGCATCGATCTGGGGGAAAACCTGGAAAAACCCAACGACCTAGGCCTAGTTATAGACGGGAAAACACTAACGTACGCGCTCAGCTGCGAGCTGCGCAAAGACTTTTTGCGACTGTGCATTTCCTGCAAAGTAGTCATCTGCTGCCGGGTATCTCCGATACAAAAAGCCGAAGTAAGCATATTTTATTTATGAAAATTTAAGTATTGCAAAAATGTGTTTTTAAGAATAAAAATTCGTTTTATTGGAAAAATATTAATTTTATGACATAAAACTTTTTTTGTTTAATTTTATTGTAAAAAGTGTTTTTCTCGTTCTGAATAGCAATGTTCAATAAAATCAGTTTTATAGTTTAAAAATACATTTTTGTGAGAAGATATCCACTATTTTACTATTTTGCATAATTTTAACATTTTTATGTAAATTTTAAGTTTTATTGCAAAAAATCAATTTTTTGTAAAAAAAAATTAATTTTATAACAAAAATAAGAATTAATAAAAAAATCTTTACCATAACTTTTTTGTAAAAAGTGTTTTTTTGTTTTGAAAAGCAATTTTACCCAAATATATTCATAAAATTAGTTTTATAGTTAAAAATACAGTATTGTGAGATGATATCCACTATTTTACAAATTTTTTATGAAAATTTAAGTTTTACTGCAAAAATGTGTTCTTAAAAGTAAAAAATCGTAAACCTTAACTTTTTTTGTTTAATTTTATTGTAAAAAGTTTTTTTTTCGTTCTGAATAGCAATGTTCACCCATTTTTCTATTTATAAAATCAGTTTTATAGTTTAACAATACATTTTTGTGAGAAGATATCCACTATTTTACTATTTTGCAAAATTTTAACATTTTTATGTAAATTTTAAGTTTTATTGCAAAAAATCGATTTTTTGTAAAACAAATATTAATTTAATAACAAAAATAAGAATTATTAAAAAAATCTACCCAAATATATTCATAAAATTAGTTTTATAGTTAAAAACACAGTATTTTGAGAAGATCCACTATTTTACAAAATTGACAGTGTTGATAACAAGTATAATACAGTATAAAAAAATGTAGTGATTATAACAAATTTATGAAATACATTATTTTTATAAAACTATTGTCTTTTTGGGTAAATAAATAAATTTAAAAGAAACTGGGAACCGCAAACTTTATAAAACTCCTTTATATTATATATAGGTTATATAAAATGTTTGTAGAAACAATTATATAACCTAATTATATACCTAAAGTCAAGTCAAATCCAAGCCGGACTCTACATAAACACAATCATGCGTTGTCCATGCTCTATTCACGTGATCGACGAAAATTGTTGCACTGGGCCGTATTAAAATATATTGTATCAATATTATTCATCATTTAATATTTTAAATTGGAAAGGTTTTAAAATATTTATAAAATTTATATTTTTTAAATTACGAAATTAACAAAATTTTGGGAAATAATTTCATTATTATTTTAAATTTATTTTTTTAAACTTTAATGTAAACTTTTTAAATTTTTTACGAAAATTATATTTTTTAAATTAACTTCACGAAATTTTTGAAAATTATTTTAAATTTATTGTTTTAAACTTTAATAATTAAAGTTTAATGAAAACATTTATAATAACCTCTTTTATTTCCACACTTAAGTGATTTCTTTTAGACCGTTTTTTAACTGGGCTTAAGTCCTCAAAATGTTCAGCTTCGTCTGTGCTAGACATCGCACTTAATTGAATAATAATAATAACAATAAAAACCAAATAACCAAAACAATGATAGCAATAACAACAAATAACGTTATATAACAAGTATTAATAATAAAACAATAACAAAAATAACCACAAAGATGAAAGCCGCGAAAACAAGGAAGTAATCAAACAATACGCTATTAATAACCGCAATGGACATAATGCGGCTCTGGCAAGAATTTTCGGCACGCTTCACAACTCAGAATCGCCCAATAAGAACCGTTCTATCCACCTGCAAACGACTGATCACGCGTCTGGCGTTTTTTGTTTTAGTCCGTCTTGGATTTGACTTGACTTTAGAGTTTACAGTAACCTTATATGACCATTATAAAACTATTAAATTAAATGGTGATTTTTATAAAAGTATAACAATTGTTATACTCTTATATAATTTGACAAACCTTTATATAATTTATCGTTACCATAAGTAGTACAAATTGTTTGTTGGGATGTTTTTAAGCCTAAAAATAATAAAAAACATCTTGCACGCGTCAAGAAGAAAAAAATATTATTCACAATAACTTACAGGTGGTAGAATACGTCACGAAGTACACGAAAACCGTGACCCTGGCGATCGGCGACGGCGCCAACGACGTGGCCATGATACAAAAGGCGCACGTGGGGGTGGGAATTTCGGGGGCGGAGGGCCTACAGGCCGCCTGCGCTTCCGATTACAGCATCGCGCAGTTCAGGTTCCTGCTTAAGCTGCTGCTGGTGCACGGAGCGTGGAACTACAGCAGGATGTGCAAGCTGATTTTGTACAGCTTCTACAAGAACATCTGTCTCTACGTTATCGAGCTGTGGTTCGCCATTTATTCCGGCTGGAGCGGGCAGGTGCTGTTTGAAAGGTAAGATTCTTGTAATTATTATTTTTTATTAATCATTATTAATTTATTAAAATGCTTATTAATGCCAAATATAAATAACACCCCTTTCTACACCGCACTTTTCGCACTATTATAATAATAGTTGGATTCAATAGATTTTTCTTTTGTGTTTACAATATTGTCATGATGGAAAAGTATAAAAAAACACAACGAAAGTTTCTACAAACAAATAGAGATGGCTGCAGTAAAAATTAATTTATAAATGCGCCTGTCGTCTTTTATAAAATAATTTTTGATTCGCAGTAAATTATTTTATAAAAAAAAATATTTTATAATAAAATTTTATTAAAAATTTTTTTTATAAATTTTTCTACAAAAAAAAATAATTTTACAAAAAAAAAATATTTTATAAAAAAATAATTTTATAAAAAAAATTTTCTACAAAAAAAGATAATTTTATAAAAAAATAATTTTACAAAAAAAAAATATTTTATAAAAAAATAATTTTATAAAAAAAAATATTTTATAAAAAAATAATTTTATAAAAAAAATTATTTTATAATAAAATTTAATCAAAAATTTTTTTTATAAATTTTTCTACAAAAAAAGATAATTTTATAAAAAAACAATTTTACAAAAAAAAATATTTTATAAAAAAATAATTTTATAAAAAAAAATATTTTATAATAAAATTTAATCAAAAAATTTTTTTATAATTTTTTTTACAAAAAAAATAATTTTATAGGTTAGTTAACCAGTAATTGACCAGTTAAGGAAATTTTCGTGAATAAATTATTATATTTTCCTCTATTTTTAGTTTAAAATAAAATAAAAAATATCATTGAGTTTAATTTTGTTTTAAGATTTGATAACAGCTGACTAAAAAAGAAAAAGAGTTTCTATGCCGACGAAAAAAAATTTAATGCACGAAAATTCATGATTTTCCAGTGGTTGACCAATGCCTTGTAAGCAGATATCATTAATAAAACTGTGCCATCTAGAAGTTAAGGGTTAAAACACTATGCAAATAATATAAGTTTTTAATTAGGTAATACAGGGACCTTGCTTTTATCATTTAATCGGTAAATTGGTCAATAACTGGTTGATGGTCAATTACTGGTTAACTGACCTAAATAAATTATTTTATAAAAAAATAATTTTATAAAAAAATTATTTAAAAAAAAAAAAATTTTATAAAAAAAAAATTTATAAAAAAAATTTATTTTATAAAAAAATTATTTTATAAATTTCAAAAAAAAATAATTTTATAAAAAAATTATTTGGTAAAGCATACAAAAAATTATTTGGTAAAAAAACAAAATAAATTTATTTAGCACTTTTAATTTTGACACAAACGGCGCCTCATACAATATTACCACTTTCACGGGAATTTAATTTAAAAATTTTTAAAACTTTAAAAGTTGGTAGAGGAAATCTAACTGTTTGTATAAAAGGTGCTTGAAAGGCCAATAAATTGCGAAAAACCTACAATTAAGTACATATTCAAACATTCGTTATCGTAGGTGGTCCATAGGGCTGTACAACGTCCTGTTCACGGCCCTGCCGCCGTTCGCGATGGGGCTGTTCGATCGCGACTGCAACGCGCAGCAAATGCTCGACAACCCGCACCTCTACAAGCCCTCGCAGAGCGGCCAGATGTTCAACATCAAGGTGTTCTGGCTGTGGGTCATCAACGGCATGGTGCACGCTGCGGTTCTTTTCTGGCTCACCCTGTACATGGCCGACCACGACATCATGTGGATGAGCGGCTTCGAAGGGGGCTATTTGGTGTTCGGAAACTGCGTTTACACGGTGAGTTTGTTCTTCAGCCTATTTTTATTTGTGGATACATTGGAAGTTGTTTTTTTTTTAAATATTGTTTCCTATTAGTCTGAGGACAAAAAGTGATCAAATAACTGTAGATATTTTAATTATATGTATAAAAAAATCAAAATACATTTTTTTTGAGATTCAAAACGCTTTGGGTTTAATTAATATTTTTTAAAGTATTTAAATCGTTTGAAAATCGAGAATAGTACATGCTAGAGGTGCAAATTTTAAATTTAAGAAATAATTTTATGAACTTTACATCAAAATACGCTTTTAATGGTTTATAAACAAGTAAAAAGAATTTGATAGAAATTTTTATTTTTGCATATACTTCAAAATCCTTTCACAAGTATTTTTAAATAAAAAAAAACATACAAGTAAAAGTTATCAGGTTTAAATTAATAATTGATTTTACAGTTTCTAGTTCCAGTTTATTGTATAATTATGATCAGTTTGATAATAATTTTATATTTTTTATATTAAAAAAAAATTTTCGACTTTTTTATCAAGATAAAATACTGTCTTCGTCCCAAAGAAACAATAATATTGTTTATAGAGGGACACACAATTTTTTATTAAAAAAGCTACAAGGTCAGAAAAAAGTTACGTATTAAAATAAAATTTGAAAAAAAACTGCAGTTCTCAAAATATTTAAAAAAAAACTAAAAACCTGTCAAAACAAAAAAAAAAAGTTACACATTTATCTACATTTTTATTTAATTTCTACTATACAGGGTGTCAACCAAAACAAGAAAGTTTTTTCCGTCAAAAAAAATATGAAATTAAAATACCAATATGACTGTCATAGAAAAAAAGGAAAGATGGTGGTGTTAACTCAAAATCTAGTAGGCAAAAAATATCACAAAATATAGAAAATTGTAGATAAATGTGTATGTTTACATGTAAAACTTACTTTTTTTCAAAATTCTCAAGAATAACGAAGTTATAGCGATTTTTGGTTTTGAGCAGTTTTTTTTCAAAATATTTAAGAAACGCTGAGTTCTTGGCCAATTTTTAAATGCCATTTTAATTGACTTGTAGTTACGCAACTTTTCCCTAATTTAACCGACCTTGTAGAAGAGCTACGTTGTACAACGTCGGTTAAATTGGATAAATAAAAAATATATCCATACGAGGTGTGTTCATAAAATATCGGGAATTTTCGTTTTTTGAAACAAATATTTATTTATTCGTCTACATTAATGTTGTCGCCTTCAAAATAGTCCCCATTGGGTATTATGCACATGTGCCAGCTCTTCTTCCAATACTCGAAACACTTCTAAAACTCGATCTTTGGGTTATCCTTAAGTTCTTTCAGCGATGCGCTTTTAATGTCATCTATGCCTGCAAAACGACGGCCCTTTAAGGTTCTCTTTATTTTTGGGAATAGGAAAAAGTCAGACAGAGGCATGTCTGGTGAATATGGAGGCTGGGGCATCATTACAGTATTGTTTTTGGCCAAAAATTTTGTTCAAAATTTAACAATTTTGGAACAAATTTTGCTGCCACGCGTTTCATACCCAAAACATTCGAAAAAATTTCATGGGATGAGACAATCGATATACGAACATCATCAGCGACTTCTCTGATGGTTTATAACCATTTCTTCCACTTTTTCCATGTTTTTATCGGTTGTTAATGTGCTTGTGCGTTCGGGGCGTTCGTCATCTTCAACGTCTTCACGGCCATCTTGGAAACTTATACCACTTGTAAACTCTTGTTTTACTCATGGGAGGCTCATTAAAGGCCTTTGTTAACATTTCACAGAATTTATTTCATTTTTTAAGCAAAATTGAATACAAATTCTTTGATCCATTTCTTTCGAACGAACGAAAATCGCCGAGCTCATAAAACACGTCTAACCTTAGCGGCTGCCACAGACAAATTAAGCAATGAAAACAGCTAAAGTTTTTATCATACTTCGGGGGCATGTATACCAACATAATAAAGAAAATTTTATGACAACCGGACCCTCCGAACCCGCGAAATTTAACAATTCCCGTTATTTTCTGAACACACCTCGTACTTGGTACATTTATACATTTTTGTATAATATCCCAGTGATTGAAGACATACTTATTAAAAATGTTAATGTTTTTTTAGTATGTTGTCGTCACTGTGTGCCTAAAAGCAGCCCTAGTGATGAATACATGGACCTGGTTAACGCATTGCGCTATTTGGGGATCAATAGTTATGTGGTTTATATTTATTATTATATACAGGTATGTACAAACATTTACAGTTGTGATGTGGAATAAAATAAATCGCCCCAACGACCAAAAACGTTTGTGACTAAAAGTGAAAAGGTCGGAAAGCAGGTAGCAGTTATAATTTGTGTGTTTTTGGACATATCTTTTCACAAAAGATGATTTTTTTATTCCACATAGCTTTTTGTATTCACGTGGTACATTTAATAGATATTTTGGGTTTTTTGCAGCTTTTTCTGGCCTTTGTTGCCAGTTGGTGCAATTATGTGTGGCATGATTTTCATGCTCTTCACAACTGCTGTGTTTTGGTTTGGGTTGTTCCTGATACCCATTATAACGCTTATACCCGATATAATATTTAGAGTGTAAGTATTTTTTCCATTACGTTTTAATTTTCATTTCTTGACGCGACAATTTTAATATTTTTTAGGATAAAAACTACAATTTTTAAAACGCCAACAGACTATGTAAGGGAACATGAAAGGAATGAGCAGGGAGAAGCCAAAAATTCGTAAGTTATATATTGTTTGTTTTAGTTTTCCTTCTCATTTTAATACATTAATTAAATCGTCATACCATCTTAGTGCGAGGCATGGTAAATGTTGCTTTATATGAAGAAAAAAAAATAAGTGCAGGTTTAGAATTTTGTTTGAATATTTTATTGATTAAATTCGTACAAACAAAATTCCAAAAATGTCAATGCAGGTCTTTAAACCCCTGTATAAAATGTTTGTCCTCTTTTTATAATTTGCGCATGCACTTTGCACGTGTTGACTTGACTTAGGTGGTTTTTCCGACAAAATGCAAAAAACGCAAAATACAAAAATTAGTGGTGGTTTGTTTTTAAACGCGTGGTGGTAGAATATTGGCGTGAAAAGTTAGGCTTCTCTCTAGCATTTTTCTCTGTTGTGTACAGAAATGTTAAAGGATTGAAGTGGAGGTCCTTCAACACCATTGATCCCCATCAGCCGTCGCAAATAACATACTAGAAAAAATTATTTTTTTTTTAATTTTTACATAAGTTTTATTTTTATCTTTTTATATAAATATATGTTTTATGGTCTTTTTAAGGACTGGCAACATACAAAGTTATGTAAAAAATTTAAAAATTTTATGTTGAAAATGCTTTTTTCTGTTTTCCAAAATTAATAGGTATAAAAAAAGGTGATAGTATTTCTAAGACTAAAAAGGACATTCAAAAATTGTAACTCTGCACAAAACTTTTTGGTGGCCAAAATTAAATAGTAATTAATAATGTTTTACCGTTTAATTTTTTCTATGAAAATACAGGGTGCATTTTTCCAAGTATCTTTATTATTTGAAAAGCTGAAAGTTCAGTTAAATTAGCAAAAAGATGCGTAATAACAAGTCTAATAAAATGGCATTGGAAAATTGAAGAAAAAAATCTGCGGTTCTCAAATAATTTTAAAAAAATTAAAACCCCTCAAAACCAAAAATCGTTACATGTAAAATTTACTTTTTTTTAAATACCGAAGTTATAACGATTTGGTTTTGGTTTCTCAGGTTTATAGTTTGTATCAAATATTTTGAGATCCAGTAGAATTTTTAAAAAATTTTAAATTTCAATTTAATAGGGTTGTAATTAAGCATTTTTTCTTTCATATATTCGACCTTGTAGCTCTTCAAATAAAAAATACACGTGTATACGTAAACAAAACTACAAAAAAAGTTTTGTGCATAACGCCATACGTAATTTTTGGACGTCCTGTATAATAAAATAACGCACACTAACGCACAAGATTTATTAATACGTATTAAAAGATGTGATATTTTTTATTTACCAATATTAATAAAATAAATAATTTACTATTGTTTTTCAAAGTTTATTATTTTTGTATTGATTTGTTATTTTGTTAGAAACTAATAAACAATGTTTTATGTAGTTTAGATTTTTGTAATTTAATAAAAAGTAGTTTTAGGAAATTTACTAGAACTTACAAGTAGAATTTTTGGAATATATTTTTTGTTCTACATAAGTTTAGTCACTTTGGTTGTGGTCCAATCCATTTTTCTTTCATCGGACGTATTTTTATTATCTTTAATAAATCGTGACTGCCTTTTCCACCTCCAACGTCACGAGGTTTATGGACGGTCCCTTACAAAAATTGCAAAATAAAGATTTAATTTTTACTCACCATTTCAGTACAAATATAATTTTATTTTGGTAGATTCCTTCTTTAAATGCCCTTAGTGACTAGGCTATATGTAATTTTTTTAATATGTAAATAATTAAAAATTTTAAGTAGTTAATTTAACTAGAAAGCATAGACTTATTAAATCATCTATTTAATTTGAAAATGTTATTAATTTTTCATTGAAAACCATCTAAATATTTGGGAGATTGTGTATTATTAAAAGTATATGTATATGAATATAAAGAACTACACTGCGCGTCAAAATTAACGCCTAACAAGTAAAAAAATCCAACTCTAAAACGTCTTTACCAATCTTTATAAAATGTTGGATAAAAATACTTAAACTAATATCTCAGTTTACGTTTTAAGGGTTTTTGGAGAAAATATCCCTAAAGCACTTTTATTTAATAATAAAAAACGCTTGATTATAGGGATTTTTTTAAGTAAATAAAAAATATGTTGTGAAAGCCCGTATTTTTGTTAGTATACCCTGAAACTATTGTATAAATCAAACGTATAGTAACGAAAATACAGCGATTCAAAGTCGTCAAAAATGACAACTTTTCAGCAAAATAATCAAAAAGGGGTCATTTTTACCGACTTTGAAGAGCTGTATCTTCGTTACTGTTTGTTTGATTTGTACAACATTTTCAGGGTATACTAACAAAAATACGGTCTTTAACAGCATATTTTTTATTTACTTAAAAAATAATCCCTAAAAGCTTTTTTTCGAACGTTTTTTTATTATTAAATAAAAGGGCTTTAAAAATATTTTCTCGAAAAACCCTTGAACACGTAAACTGAGATATAAGTTGAAGTAATTTTTATACAAAATTTGGTAAAGGCGTTTTAGAGTTAAAAATCTAAAAGCAACATTCAGAAAACTTGTCTACCTTATAAATTGTTCCAGCCCTAAACATAATCTCCCATATTCTGTGAATGTTCGTTTTTTTTAACTAAATGTCGTGTAATAATTTGTTATCTGTTTTGCAAGATCGATGCATGCGTTGGAACAGTTCGCAATATGTAAGTATCTTATATCGCATGCGTTCAAAAATTTATTGTATCTACATTGTCCAACTTTTATGCAGGGTGTACCGCAGGGCACTCTTCTATGTGCACTTATTAATGCTTTCAATCACCCCTCTTTGCATTTAGTTGAATGACTAACGGCATGTAATAGGTTTAAGGATTCGAAATTCAAGTGTTTATGGAAGACGTCGTATTATTATTATTCGTTATTTAAAAAGTTGATTGTTTTAGATTTGAAAAGTTACTGAATAAATGCGTTAAAAAGTGCCGAAAAAAATCCAGACAGTTGTAATTTAATATGTAATTAAGCAAAAACAATAAATTTTTTACAAGCAAACTTTTTCTCTTCCATAAACAAGTCACTATTATTGGTGGACAGGCATTAGCTATTACATGCAATTTTAGACTATCAGAGACTGCCAGGCTCTTGAAGAACGTTTTTTCAAGAAGATCGCCGAGGATCGACTTAGATGTAGAGCTATCCCGTGAGTATTTACTAGACACCCCGTATATTTTTGACATTTCATACATATTTTTAAAATACAATTTTTTTAATTAATTAAATCAGTTTTTTTGAGTTTTATACTGACGCGCGAAGCAATATTAAGTAATAAAGGACAAAAGTCAGTTTTTGTTGTTTATAACAATAAAATTAATTTATGTTTGAAATTACTATTAAAGATTTTTAAATATCGCAAAATTAAAAACATACTGGGTGGTAAGCTAACACCAAAGCTTATGCGTCACTAATTTATTTTATAGAATTTAATTTTTTAGTTTTTTAATTTTCTTTGGTTTGCCATACAAATTAACATCCGATGATACCAATAGATTTCTAGATTTCTATATAAAACACGGATTATTTTTTAATATCTTTTTTCTACTCGTATTGCAAATTATTTACATTATTTGGGTTTTTTCGTAAATAATAGTAACCAATATAACCGCCCAGCCTAACAACGGGAATATTGAACTCATTATTCACGTTGTTAGGCATCAGTGATTGGCTGATTTCAATATTCACTGTTATTTGAACCAATCGGGTTTTAAATTGGGAAAAAGTAAGGTTAACAGATGTCAGATTTGTTATATATACGAGGGGCGACTATAATGATCTTTAAAATCGGGAAAAAGTGAGGTTATAATAAATTTTGTTATTTACGAAATTTACTTAATTGTAGTAGAAAAAGCATAATATTTATTAATTAATATAATATTATGTAAATATGATACAAAAGTATGGGAAAAAAATCTAAAAAACATTATATCGCCTAAAATCTGAACTATGACTTACATTTATTTTTTAAGACCATGAAATGGTTTTGGTTATTTAAAAAACCTTTTTGGGCTACAATTTTCTATAGGTACCCACAATCCAGTGGATTGTGTAGGTACCTATACCTATACATAAATCTATTGGTATTATGTAAATAATCCATGTTTTTTATTATTCAATACTAACATAATCCTTTTTTTAACACTACAGAAATATGTGCAGGGTATGTCAAATAATTTTCGGCACATCCTGTATATTTTTCGTTGTTATAAATGTTGTAAATAGTAAATGGCCAGGCGGCATATGTTTTAAAACAACACATTAATGGACAGCAACTGACCTAGTATATGTAATTTTTTAAAAGATCAAAATAATGCTTTTCTCTTGATATATCATTAGAAGGAGCTATAACCCTTATCGTTTAAAATTATGGAAAAGAATATCTTAAAAACATAGCTTTTTATTGTGCACTATTACAAAATTGAGCTACATATCTACATAGCTTCACAATTAAAGTATCAAGAAAATGTCTGTCTATTTTTGTCACTTGGTCAAAATTAGTTTAAAATGATGAATACATTTTTTTTTATACTTTGTGTGATTTATCAGATGGGTTTGCGTTTTCTCAAGAGGAGGGTGGCAACATCTCACAAACAGCAGTTATCAGAGCTTATGACACCAATATACCCAAACCAGATGGAAATTAAAGAAATATATATATTTTTTGTATAAATACTTACCTAGTGATTTTGAATATCTGGATGTAAACAAACTTGCCATGTTAAATTTTAACATAGAAAAATATTAGCGAATTTTAAGAAATAGCAAAGAAATGATTTTTTTTATTATAACTCTCTTAAAAGTTTAAAAGAAAATTGCATTTTATTGTATGTATTTAAACAGCAATTTAAATATAAAAAGTATTTCAAACTGGGTGCCAATCTTATGTAGGCAACTAACATAACATAACTTTAAGAGAGATATAATATAGAAAATATCGTTAATTACACACCCATAAAGACTTATCAATGAAATATATTATATTTATTTAATCGTGTGTTGGATAAAAGTGTATATTTAAAGTATGCCAAAAAAGTGCTTTTCTTATTTAAATAAGTAAGTGTTTATACTTAATTTTTAAACTATGTACAAAACGATTTTGTTTTCTTGAGATTACGCTGTTAAAAAAATACTCTTGTGTCAAAAAATATAACAATCACAGAATAGTTGAAATCACTTAAAAAAGTGCCTTTCGGTATTTTTTCATAATTATTTTTACAGTAACCTAGTTCATATTAAAATAAAAATATTCAATAGTGATTATTATACAGAATGATTGCCAAATACTTGACCTAATCGTATTTTATTTTTTGATGATTCTGTATATTTAATTTTTTAACTAGCTAACTTACTTAACCTTATATACCTCACAAATTAGTTTTCTTAAAAAAAATGCTTTTTAAATCACAGTTTTGGATTAATTAAGTTTGATTAATGATTTAGTATACAAGGTGTTTAAAAATATTCACTTATTTCATGTACACATGTATTTGTTGATATATTTATTTGTTAATAAATGTTGTATTTTATTAAAATCCAATCGATTTATTTTTAAATCCTCTAAATAAAACAACTTCTTGCTTAAAACTTTTATTTCCATTTTGATGATGTTTTACCATTATTCATATTTTCTAATTCGGAATTATTAATAACGTCTTCATCGATTAATAACTCAAAATCGCCCAATGATTCAGGACTGGGAATTTTATTCCACCTTACGCTAAAAATAATCGTTTTAATCAAATTGCAACGAAAATAGGTAGTGCAACCTAAGAGTGCGCAGGTGCACGTGCGTACTCTTGTGCCGCATTACCTTACACAACTTACTCTGGAACACCACTTGGTGGTATGACAACATTAAAAATGTTGTCTATAAGTTTGTGCTTTAAAATTCTATCGTTGGCAGTAGTTGATGTCAATGAAGGCGAGGCATTCACCTAGAAAAACACCCTGTATTAGTAATAGTTTTAACACTTATGGACACTTACTTCAATTAACCACGGTTTCAAGTTATTATCTATGATAATGTCGTAACCGTAACACTCAAAACAATGCCTATCGGTGGCAATGACAGGTGCTATAGCTTTTAGGGAATGTATTATCAACCAGCTTATTTGATTGAACAGCGTGTCTGTCACTTGTTTTCCTCGTGTACTTTCCAGGTGAATTCGCAAATTTTCCACGCTTAATTTTCCGCCGTGCATTGAATTATATTCACCCTGTAAAATAAATTGTCTAGGAGGGAAATTTATAGGTTGTGTTATAGGAAGTTTTGGGCTTATAACTTGGAAATTTAGAAACATAGACAGTAAAACTTTATAATATTGTAAAATGGAGTTTTTTTTACCATTTTACCATATATATACTATAAAACAGCTTCATACCCCGTGTTTTTGAACAGACACGTTGGTCAAATGCACATAAATATTGTCTAATTTGGTAACACTGGAATCGTACTTTACTGTGCAAAACCTGCAGAAACCTAATTTAAATTGGTAGGCCTTTAAAGGTCTAAATGAGGTCACCAAAACGTATAGCCTTAAATCGAATTTTTTGCCTCCTATAAGCAGAGGATTGTCAATGTATCTAAAAAAAGATATTAAATGCTGTAAAAACGACGTTTTAATTTAATACTTTGATATCACGTAGCTTTCTTTGGTGAGCTGCTGCTGAAATGGACTTTTGGACTCCCTAGACCACCTTTTGAGTTTGGATAGTTTGTTAATTAAAAATATTCCCGATCCTTGTGATCTTCCGCAGGGTTTCATAATCCATGTACTTTGCGGGGCTTTTCTGTATTCTTCCACAAACATGTTGTAGTCTGCTGGTAGCACAAAAGTAACCGGTATAAAGTCCAAATGCAAGTATTTCGAATCTCCACGTTCGGCCAGATTGTTGCCTTCTTTTTCCAGGTCTCTCCTGTATCTTTTTATGTTTTTGACTAGTAAGTCTTTTCTTGAGATTTCATAGTGATTTGGGAAATGATTTATAATCCTAAAATTACAGTTTTATTTTATTACTTGAGCGTTTTTGTTTATTTACTGATTATCATTCATTCGATATCCACTGTCAACACTGAACAAACTTCTGCATGTTTGTGTTCCAGCCCAATAAACATTCCAGTCGTCCACTGGTCCAACTTGCGTCCAACCTCTTTTTTCACAGTTAAAAACCACTACACTTTTATCCAAATCCGTGCAAAATGCGAGGCGCATTTTTAAACAAATAATTTTTTACTAAACTTAAACCTAAAATGGTTGTTAATATTGATCAAACTTCAATGTGATGTCTGTTGCTATGGAAATATTTAACCATAGAAAAATATATTTCTATAGGGAGTTTTTTATTTGAAACTTCTTATTGGAACCAAATTAGTTATATTTGAGTTAATTAATTAAGCAAGTGAACCCCCAGAGTTGATTAAACAACATTAAAAATCATTTTTTTTATATTTATGGTTTATTTTAATTAACAAAAACTACCTATTTACAATAATACTAAAATAAAAATCTAAATATTGAACCATCCAGGCAAACTAGGTCTATTTTTATTTTTCTCCAAAAATTTGTTGTGTCCTTCTTTAGCCTCTTTAAGTGCCTTATCTCTTTCCTCTTCAGGCTTCATTTCATTGGCAAACAAATCAGGAAATTTAAATACTTCTCCTTTTGGCTACAAAATTATAAATTAAAATAACTAGTCACAATTTAAGTGTGGTAAAGATTTTTTCCACACCATGCAGAGAAAAACACTTACCAGTGTAATATAAGCTATTTTCTCATCTTCCTCCTTAACAATATATCCTTTACCAGGATCAGGCTTAGTTTTACCCATGGCTATTCTTGTCCGAACATCCACTACATTAACATTGTAGATTTTCTCCAAATAATTTTTAATATCGAATTTTGTCATTTGCATTGAACACGAGAATTGCACAATATTAGCAGGCTGCTCTGTAGTCGGTTTTATCAGTTTTAGCCAGAAATTTGGCAGAAATACCCTTAATTGAGGCCCTCCTTTTTGATATATTGGATACCTAAAATTAATTGTTTAAAATATTAAATAATTATTATGGGTTCTTAAGATGTAAAATTACCATCTTGTGGACATATTTTTATATAAATTATAGGCTTTTTCAAGGTTTTAAAGTTATGACAGGTTGGAGGTTAAAATTTCTAACCTAACTTTTTACCAGAAGAAGAAGAGGAGTAAAAAAAATAATAAAATATTAGTACTTGATTGAAGATTAATTTAATTGATAATACATGCATAATAAAGCTTTTGCTCCAAAAAGCTGAAGCATACTCTACAAATATGTGTTTGGTGGAAAATTGTTCTTGTTAATCCACAGTGCTGCCAATCAAAGTTTTATTTATACGTATTTTTCTGGTTTGTTCCAACAGCAAGATTCGACAATGTAAAACGTTCGTTGATAAAAATTAAAAGTGTTTACATTAAACCATAAACAAGCTGGTACAAACAAGTACATAATTCTTATTAATTTTGTTTTCAATAATTAAATATTTATCAAACTAATTGGGTTTTTATTACACCTAAAAAAAATTTAATAATAGGAAAAACTTTTGTATCTATTGGATAAAATGTGCAAAAAATTAAACTAAAACATAATTTTTAAAAAAGAAATTAACCCAAGATAAAAGGGTTTAATATTTCGGCTTTATTTCTAAATTAAAGATTATATTTTTTAAATGTGGTTTAAGGATCAACATCAAAAAGAAAGAATAAATGTTTTAAAAATAATATATTTACCAATAATGCAATAACAATATTTAACTTAACTAATAAAGTAATAATGCATAACATAAATTATTACCAGAAGAATTAAAATACTAAGAATTCTTAAGTAACATATGGTTATTTAAACTTTTTTTTCACAAGAGCAGTCAGAGGATTTGCAGTTCCCATTGCAGCAAGATCCACTGGAACAACATTTGCATTTGCAATTGTCTGAACAAGATTGTCTGTTTTTTTCTAAAAAATAAAAATTAAATTATAAATATTATTATTACTTCTGAAAATAAAAATATAAAATAAAAGATAGTTCAATATTTTATATTACCTTTTTTGCAACAATTATCAATGCAGTTGCACTTTTCTTTACAGCAAGATCCACTGCAACATTTGCAATTAGAGCAAGATTTTTCCATGACTGCCTCTAAAAATACAAATACATATAGGCAATAAAAATAAAAGTGTTAAAGATATATTAAATTTAACTTACCTTTTTTGCTACAGCAATCAGTGCATTTGCAATTTTCTTCAGAGCAAGAGCCACTGGAGGAGCATTTGCAATTAGTGCAAGATTTTTCTATTACTTCTTCTAAAAATAACAAAATAAAATGAATTAAAAAGATTAAACATTAGTGGAAGAGCCACCTGATTCCGTAAATATTTCTATTATAAAAAATTAATTTTACTGGAAATATATAATTCTATAACGTTTTTCGTTTAATAATGTTAACATAAATTTATATAAATAAATGAATTGGAATACCTAATAAATCCATTTTATTTTTATTATCTAGTTAAAAATATAGTAGGTAGGTATATATGCATATGCCATGGCACCCCGTTTTAACATTTATTAAATAATTTTTTAATTTAAAATTTTATTGGTTTAAAATTTTCCTAACTAAAAATTTTAGGTTTACATTTATAAATTTATAATATTTTCAACTATCATGTATTGAAAGACAAAATTTACTAACCAACAGTTCACTTCTATCAATTTTTGCAAAAATTTCCAACTATCATTTTTTAATAAAAATAATTTCCCAAGTATAATTTATTTGGGTGGCATTTTGTTAACTTAAATAAATATTTTATAAAATGATTGAGATTAATTTGGTAAAATTAAATTTTTTTAGTATTAAAAAATAGTATCAAGCCATTTAAAATAAAAACGCATATAAAACATTTTCTACCAAAATAGTTTAAAAAGTTAAATTTTTGTAAACTCAAAACTATTGATAATCAAAAAATATTTTAAATATAAAATACAACTGTAAAATTTTAAGTTAAAAATATTAATTTTTAAAAAATGGAATTTTAATAGGTATTTTATTCTTCAAAATTATTGGTTTGAATTTGTAAAGAGTCATTTAAATGATAACGATAAATTTTCAATACAAAAATTTTGAACATTATATTTAAATGTTATTTTTAAATTTTAAAGTGGTAATTTTTGCATTAAAAATTTATTGACTATCATTTAAATGACTCTTTACAAATTTAAAACAATAACTTTTATTTTTAACAATTTTAAAATTTATAACTTTACATTTACCTAAATGATAGTCGATAAATTTTCAATACAAAAATTTGAACATTACATTTAAATGTTATTTTTAAATTTTAAAGTGGTAATTTTTGTATTAAAAATTTATTAACTATCATTTAAATGACTCTTTAAAAATTTAATCCAATAATTTTGTAGAATAAAATATTACAACCAAAACTTTTAAAAATCAATATTTTTAAAAAAATTTAACTTTATAAATTTTTGTTAAAACATAATTTAAGTGCTAAACTTCAATCTTTAAACTTTTATCTAATAAATTAAAAAAAAAATATGCTACTTACTAGGATCCATTATTTTTCGTTGATTTGTTTACCACTAAAAATTACCAATGTTTGAAATTAACTTCGCGCTATCTTTTATACATGTAGCTTGTGTAAATATCGACCGTGTGCACTCACTGCACACCTTCTGTATCTCTGCTGCACACCGTAAAAAATATGATGCATACTGTTAGCAGTGACAATGTTTATTTATTTATTGTAATATTATTTAAATGGTATTACTTATGTTTGTTCAAGTATTTTTAGAATATTTTTTGTGCTAGTTCATAGATAACGACGAATGGCCAGTTGTTAAATTTAAATTAATATTTTGAGGATGCTTATTCATACACAATAATTATTGTTGTTCCTAAATAATTTGCACACGACACTTTACAATGTAAACGTCGTTGCCTAATATTAAGTAATAGTACAACAAAATATTGTCGAAATACATTTTTTATATGCATCCTATCTAGCTGTGCTTTTGATCAATTTATTTTTTTGATAAGTTTTAAGAGAAATTTTTGTCTCATAAAAAAGTCTACCATGGTTTTTCTATGGTTTCTACCTTAGGTTTCTAGAAATGGTTTCTACCTAATTAGGTATGTTTTTAGAAATAAAATTCGATTTGCTATTTTAAAATAATAAATTAAAAGATTCATGTGGTTTTTAATTATAAGGGGCATTATAAGTTGCCAAACGCGCATTAAAATTTTCATGAAATCAAACTGTATAATTTTTTGAAATCTATTTTTCAATGTCTATGGTTTATCTGCCGTGAAAAAGTAAGGTTATGTTTAAAGTTGTGTCACGATTTTGACAGTAAAAAACAAACGTGTTTTCCCTTGATTTTTAGCAAAATTCCGACGTAACAGCACAAGGTAAGTGTAGGTTTTAAAATATTATTTAGTCGTTGGTTTTGTCAAAAGCAGTTAAATCTTAGGTTTATACGGAAAGGACACACCATGTTGATACTAGGCAAAATGTATAAAACACGGTATTTTAAGTTTAAAAACGTAATACACCGTAAAGTGTATACAAGGGATACCCTACCGTCGTCTACAAAAAAAATTTACAAGCCCAACCCGGATAAAATTGCGCCAAAGAGGAAAAATATGGAGGGTAGGTTTGAGAAGACCGTCACAGGGTTTCGGAGGAACAAATTGGGGATACAAATGTTGTCAAGGGCGTTGTATGACCAAATATTCCCTGAGGGGGATAATACCAAGGTAAATTCAGATGTTATAGAGAAATGTATCAAGACTTTGGAGGAGCAAAACATGATTTCCAAAGAGGATGATTTTTTACAAGATGTCGATATTAAGTTGCCTAAATTACAAGGTAAAAATATTGAGGAACATTTCTATAACATTGCTAAGGAACAGGCAGAGCCTTACTTGAAGTTAGTAGGGGGATTAATAGGGGAAATTCCCTTAAAGCCAAAGTTGTGGGTGTTACAATCAGGCTGGACACAGTATAAAGATGGGGAAATACCAATAAAAGTACCATATCCTCCTGAGGAAGCCTTAGTTTTTGATGTTGAGGTGTGTATGGCAGCTGGTAAAGCCCCTACATTGGCTACAGCTGTTAGTAATTCAGCCTGGTATGCCTGGGTGAGTCCTACATTGGTTGAAGGTACACATAAACCTGTTACCAGTCATAGCTACACTGAAAACATTCTAATAAACCTTGAAAGTACTGAAAAAGACTCGGGATTGAAAATATCCAGTCACATGGCAAAACCTAAGGTGGTGGTGGGACACAACGTCTCATACGATAGGGCCAAAATCAGGGAGCAGTATTGGTTGAAAAGTACGGGGACCAAATTCGTTGACACGATGAGTTTACACGTGTGCATAGGTGGTTTAACCAGCTACCAACGCGCGGTGATTAAATCCGACAAATTTAACGATGAAGACGACTCGTGGAGAAGCTACAGCTCGCTAAACAGCTTAGTCGAAGTGTACAAGCTATTCTGCGGCGAATCTTTGGAAAAAGAGACTAGGAACCTCTTTGTGGAGGGCACCATAAGCGAGATAAAAGACAACTTCCAACTGGTCATGGCCTACTGCGCGAACGACGTGACGGCCACGCACAAGGTGCTGCAAAAAATGTTCCCCCTCTTTCGGGAACGCTTCCCCCACCCCGCCACGTTCTCGGGCATGCTGGAAATAGGCGGGGCTTATCTGCCGGTCAACGGCAACTGGAGTCGGTACGTTGCGGATTCGGAGCAGGCCTACGAGGATCTGGAGATCGAGGGGAAGGTTATTTTGGCGAGGAGGGCCGACCAGGCTTGCCAACTTTCGCACGATAACATGTACGAGTGCGATTTGTGGATGTGGGACCAGGATTGGGATGTCAAAAACATCAAGACCAAGAAGGTTCCCGCCAAGAAAAAGGTACAAAATAAATTTGCTGTTTTTGTTTTCGTACAATGAAGAATTTTTGCTGTTTGCGATAGAATTTATTTTATTTCATTGTAACTAATGAACCCCCATTGAATTGCTACTGTGTTTATAAAAAAAATTTATGGCTTGACGAATTTTGTTTCTACACTAAATTAAATTTAAAACAAAAATTCTCAACAATTTTTAATTTAAAAGTTAATAACCTCAAATTATTTCAAGCTACTTTGTTTTTATAAGGTTTTTAATAAATGCCAATCAGGGTTTGAAAAAATCATGATTTAAAAAAAAATCAAAAATCGACGATTTTTATTTAAATAATCAAAAAAATCAACAAAAAAGTATTTTATATACATATATATTTTAATAAAATACTAAAAATAACTTGACTATAATAATAATATTGGCACTACTATTTTTAATTTAAAAGTTTATGACCTCAAATTATTTCAACCTGCTTTGTTTTTAATAAATGAAATATACCAATCAGGGTTTGAAAAAATCATGATTTTTAAAAAAAAATCAACGATTTTTATTAAAATAATCAAAAAAATCAACAAAAAATTATTTTTTATTACGGTATTCAAAATTATAAGCTTTTTTTAATAAAATGTACCTACTATTAAAAAAATACTAAAAATAACTTGACTATAATAATATTATATTTGCACTACTCTTTTTAATTTAAAAAATTATAACCTTAAATTATTTCAACCCGCTTTGTTTTTAATAAATAAAATAGGTATACCACCTAATCAGGGTTTGAAAAAATGATGATTTTTTGAAAAAAATTAAAAATCGATGATTTTTATTAAAATAATCAAAAAAATTAACAAAAAATGATTTTTTATTATGATATTCAAAGTTATAAGCTTTTTTTAATAAAGTGTACTATTAAAAAAAATACTAAAAATAACTTGACTATATATAGTCATTATAATGATATTAGTGGCACTAAATTTTGTTGTATATTCCTTTATTATTTTATTTAACAAAATAAGCAGTTTTTTTATGTATATAAATTTATTTATATCATGTCAAGATATTATTGGCTTAAAGCCTGGTTCATATAGATGCGACATGCGAATTTGCGAAATGCGAAAATGTTTTCATTGGTCCATTTGATTTGGCGGGAAAAGTGTTTCGACGTTTCGACAGATTCTGCGAATTCGCAAGATTTGAAATCTGGGGGGCGGGAATCTTGAGATTGATCCAATATTTTGCGAAAATCGCACGAATTTGGCGTGATGCGCATGCGCATTAATGCAGATGCCTATTATACGTATTTGTTATATGTACCCGCGCCATTTTTGTTTATGTTCTGTGTTTATTTCATTTGTATTGCATCGTTGTTGAGTTTTAATGAAATGTTTCTTGCTAAAGTTGTTTTTTGTTCTTTATAATGGACAAAGAGTTTTTGGAGGTACATTAGTTTCTTATAGAAGCATATTTTTTTAGAAGTAACTTTACTATTTAAGTACCTACCTATAGAAAATGTTAACCATGTATGGCAAATATCACCTGGAGAGAAAATAATGTCCCTAAAATACCATGGCAAATATCGCCTAGTGAGAAAACAATGTCCCTAAAATGGTTCCGACAATTCGCATCTATATGAATAGGAGCTGCGAAATGCGAATATTCGTATTTCGCAAATTCGTAAATTCGCAAATTCGCATCTATATGAACTCGGCTTTAGTTTTAGATCTTTTAAGTGGTTTTTTAGAATTTGGAAACTTTTTATAAAAATGATTAAAATCATTAAAATAAAAAAATCCCTTGATTTAAATCGTGATTTAAATCAGTCAAACCCTGATACCAATATTATGTGGATATTCTAAATATTTTCTTATGCAAAGTTTTGATTTCTTTTTCACAAAATTCTGTAAATTTCAAAATGACTACCTATAACAGAAACCTACAATCAACTCACTAACAGTATTGATCATAGAAAAAGTATTGATATTACATACATTTGCGCTGGACTAAAACCCTGACTTTTACGCAGAAACAAGAAGAACCGCCGCAAGCACCCACCGCAAGTACCTCCGAAGAAGAAGAACCCGACCCGCTGCGGGAAAAATTCGCACCCCTGTGGAACACCAAGGAATACCTCTCGTCCGTGAAAACCCTCTTACCGGGGTACCCCAACTGGTACCGAAAACTATGCACCAAACCATCGAGCGGAAAAGACTGGGTGCCCGGGCCCCACCTGATAAGCACGTCGATGCAAATAACGCCGAAATTGCTGAACTTGACCTGGGAGGGGTACCCGTTGCACCACTTGAGGGAAAAGGGGTGGGGGTTCCTGGTGCCGTTCACGGACGACTTGAACGTAACCGACAGGCTGCCGTTGAAACAATTGATAGAGAAATGCCCGTTGCTGAGCAACAAAGACGGCGGCACTCTGGATTTCAACAGTCAAACCTTGCACAGCCAGGTGGAGAGGCATTTAGGACAGAAGGACTTCTACTCGCGCGTTAAAAAGGACAAAACGCAGGGACTGTATAAAGGCTCGGGCGTTTTTTGCAACACCGAAGTCGAGGATTGCTGTTACTTCATGAAGTTGCCGCACAAAGATGGCGCTTCGTACAACGTAGGCAACCCGCTGGCCAAGGATTTCCTGAACAAGTTTTCCGAGAACGTTTTGGCCGGGGATACGGAGAGCGCCGAGAAAGTTTTGACGATCGCCAGGATGTTGTCGTATTGGAGGAACAATCGCGATAGGATCATGGAGCAGATGGTTGTTTGGTTGGAGCGCAGGGGGTTGCCGAAAAATATGCAGGTTTGTTTGTTTGTTTGTTTGTTGATTGTTTTTGTTCTGGTTGACATTTTTTTTATTATTTGGTAGTTTCATAAAAAAAATCCTACATTGAATATTGTTATTAAAATTATGATATTCAATGAAAGTTTCTTAATATTGCACGGCCGTGAACAATTTTAGTCGAAAAAATTATGTTTTTTTTTAAATTTTAGTAAATATATATATTTTGTTAAATCTTGCACAATAGCCCGGTAACGGGAACGCGAACGGAAACGAGAATGATTGTCAGATGCACAATCAAAATTACGAAACGGGAACAAACAGGAATTTTAGCATTTTTAGTTGCTTTTTAGTTTTGACATAAAAATAACTAAAAAAAACTAAATAAACGCTAAAATCCCTGTTCATTTTGTTTCAAACAAATTGTTTGTTTTTGTTATTTGTATTACCTCGAACTCCAAGATTTTCCATTTGCTTACAAATTCTGGGAATTTTACTCGATCGTACAGGTAGACCTAAATATAATCATTGTTTTCAGGTTATATTATATTATAATCATATATTAGTATATCACGAGAACTATGAATTTAATCGGTTAAACTGGGCTCAGTAGTTTTTTGTTTGGTTTTTGTTGGAAAATGTTGAATGTAAAATAATTTAATTTTTATTTTTAATTATTTTGCATGAAACTATTTTCCAAAAAGAAAAATCAAATAAAAAACTTACTGAGCATAGTTTGACAGATTAAATTTATAGGTTGAGTGATATTCGTCTAGATTATTTCTCGAATTAAAGGAAACTATTTGACAATTCATAAAATCTGACGTATGTGTCAAAATTTATAAATATTTTTTTTAAAGAAAATTCCATTAATTTAAGGTAGACTAGATAACTTATTTTTTATTGTTTTTTAAAAAATGTTTGTTAAAACTTGTACCTAAATAACACCATAAAATCTTAAACAAAAATCCAATATGGAGGCTAAAATTTAATTGCTGTTAAATAGTTCTAGTGATTTAATCGCTTATTTAAACGAAATTTATTCAAAAATTCAAGGCTTTTGATTGGTTCATATTATAATGAGGGAAATAATCATTAAAAATATATTTTTTCTACTTATATTATGGAATATGATCGTTCTAATATCACTTTTATCTATGAAATGACATATATTCCGTAAAGTGTTACAGAATGAAATATTCCATCATCTGATGACAGAATAAACACTCTTGGCGACATCTCTGTTTTTAATATCTAACAAATTTTAGACCGATCCAACCAAAGATCTTTGGAGCCAACCTCACTTTCTTCCAATTAAATTATTTGTCTATTAGTCCGGTCAAATTAGACAAAAAAATAACAGTGAAGGTACATAAATTTACAACAGGCTGAAAATCAGTAAAATTGTTCAGAATATAATTATAAATAAAATTTTAAAGTTCCCCATCATTCGGCTGTATGGAAAAAATTTTATTCAAGGTCAAACGTCAAAAAAATTAGTTTTTCGCGATTTTTAGCAAAACGGGAAGTTTTATCATAAAAATATCTCAGACAGAAATTGTAGATCATAAAATTGTCTATAAAAAATGTATCGATACTTTTTTTCCTACGAGCCACCGTTTCTGAGATATAACGATTCGAAAAGTTGTAAAAGTTGTAATCGTTATAATATACATGATTACGTCACGTATATACATCCCTAGAGTTGTAATATATGTTAAAATATTTTTTTATCTGTCATTTTGACTTACACTTAAAATATAAAATATATCTACATAAGTTATAACTATAAGAATATCAAGTGAAATAAAACCCAGTCCCTTAAGGGGATATACGCCATCAAGACAACATCTGTGACAGATGACAGATGATCTGTCTCATGTTCAATTGTGTGACCTGCTATAGTTGGTGCTCGCTGCGGGTCGGAATCGCGCCGCGAACGCTCCAGAAGATGAATTTTATATTCCTCTCGTCTTCTGTCACCTTATATGTGTTATCTGTCAATTGTAATCTGTCTAATGTTACCTTGTCACCTTGACATCTGTCACCTATCATCTGTCACCTGTCTTCTGTCACCTGTCATTTGTCCCTGTCATATGCCTCCTGTCATTTGCCACCTTATCGATTTGATTTCGGGGATTTTAATTGGTTAACTTCTTAAATACTCAATAAAAATTAAATGGGCTTTCGGCCGATTAGTTTTTATTCGATGAATCTCATCTTTTAGTATGTCAAACTTTGGTCTTTTACTCGTCGATTCGGGTATTTCGTTCGGCCAATTTCTAAAATTTCTCTAGCCCTAAATAACGTTTAAAAGTTTTTCGAAAAAAATAAAAAAATTCGCTGTTCGAAAAGTTTCCGGCGGATCCGGCCTGTTTGCAATATTTATTTTTTCCGTTGTCTGTTAGTCTGTATATCCTTTTTTTCTAAGCGCCGTAGCTCGGAAGCCGTTAAAGGTGGACACTCGAAATTTGCATTCTTTTTTCTGCCCACGAGACCTATCCGCGTACCAAATTTTTCCGGTGTTGAAAAGGCCCAAGTCCACTTTTTTTCGATTTTTCTGTCAAATTTGGCACGTTCCGTTGTCTTCCCTTAACTTTCGAACGAGCGGAGATTTTTCGGCCAAACTCGAGGAAAAGGTGCTTCGGGACAAGAAGTTATCACCAACGGCATTCAATTTCTTCTTTCTATAAAAACTACCTGCTTTGATAAGTATCGATATGCATGTTTCGTTAAAAATACTAAAAGTAAAAAACAAGTTCAATTAGCTTGTCTTCCTCCAACCTCAGTTGCTGCTCATCAACATCTTTTTCGGGTATATTACCAAGTTCAAGTGTGGCTTGGTTATCAGCTAGACCCTACATACTGGGGTTGGAAGTTGGTCAACAACCCATTAGAACCAGTTCAAACTTTACTCCCACCTGCGCCGGAAAAACTGCTGAACACAATTTTTTACAACTGCAAAAAGGGATGCAGTGCTAATTGTGGTTGCAAAAAAGTCGGACTGCTTTATTCTCTGGTATGTACGAATTGTCAAGGCCGGTCGTGCTCTAATGTTGAATCACCAACAGTGGAGGATTCATTTATTTCCAACGAGGTGACATGCGATACATCGCTACTGACGCAATTTACTTGTACCCAGGATGAAGATGAAGAAGAAGAAGAAGAACAAGAACAAGAATAAGAAGAAGAATTTAAATGTTACGAATCAGACGAATTAACTTCAGTACTTTTTTTTAATTTACATCGCTTTTATCTTTTCCAATCATTGCTAATTTCCGTTATTTTGCAATAGTTTCAAATTAAACAGGATCACAACTGACCCGTGGAATAGGCCTACTGGGGAAACCACGTTAAAAAACGCGCTAAGTACACTACCTCATAGATGGCGTGGAAACGTGTGCATATTATGACGATTATAACTTTTACAACTTTTCGAATCGTTATATCTCAGAAACGGTGGCTCGTAGAAAAAAAGTATTGATACATTTTTTATAGATAATTTTATGATCTACAATTTTTGTCTGGGGTATTTTTATGATTAAACTTCCCGTTTTGCTGAAAATCGCGAAAAATAATTTTTTTGACCTTTGACCTTGAATAAAAAATTTTCCATACAGGGGAATTATGGGGAACTTTAAAATTTTATTTATAATTATATTCTGAACAATTTTACTGATTTTCAGCTTGTTGTAAATTTATGTAACTTCGAATGTCTAGATTGACCGGACTATATGGTATTTTTTGGAAACGTAGAAAAAGTATAGTCTGAAACACGTTTGGAATTGCATATTCCCCTCTCGTGAAACCGTCAAACTTGTTACAGAATATACTATTCCGTGCAAAAATTCGAGTGTTTTTTTATAATTATGCAGAAAACCATCAAATGTCATTTTAAAATGTATGGTTAAGTTTTGAATTTGGTCTTTTTGACCTTTTTCGCGTTCCTGTTACCGGGCTATTGTGCAGCGGCCTCAAGTTAAAAAAAAACAAAAATGTAAACAAAATTTTTTCTAATATTTTACATTAATTTCCTACAATTTGTTTCATAAGATATATTGTGCATAAGGGCAAGGACAATATTTATTTTTAAGTAAACAAAACGTAAAACCAAAACAAATTCATCAACCAAACCGACCAACTAGCAGCATCATTTCAGGAAAACAGCTATGGCGCCATCCTACCGCAAGTGGTGGTATGCGGAACCCTCACGCGGCGCGCATCCGAACCGACGTGGATGACGGCCTCGAACGCGCACCGCGACCGCATCGGCAGCGAGCTGCGCGCCATGGTGCAAGCCCCGCCCGGCTACAACATCGTGGGCGCCGACGTCGACTCCCAAGAGCTCTGGATCGCCTCGGTGCTGGGCGACGCGCGCCACGCCCGCTTACACGGCGCCACGCCCCTCGGCTGGATGACCTTGAGCGGCACCAAGAGCCGCGCCACCGACATGCACAGCGTGACGGCCAAGGCCGTGGGCATATCGCGCGACCACGCCAAGGTCATCAACTACGCGCGCATATACGGCGCGGGGCAGAACTTCGCCGAAAGGCTCCTGAAGCAGTTCAACCCCACCTTGACGCAGGCCGAGGCGCGCTCGAAGGCCACCAAAATGTTCAACCTCACCAAAGGCAAGCGAATTTACTTCATAAAGCAAGACTACCGCCTGGATTTCGCGGATATACCCTACGGCAAATGGCAGGCCTTCGAAATTGCCAAAGCCTGCGGTAAAAGTTTAAGCGAGATGTTCCACGAATCAAAATGGGTGGGCGGGACCGAATCCGCCATGTTCAACTGTCTCGAGGAGATAGCCAATCAGGATTCGCCGCGCACCCCCTTTCTAAACTGCCGCTTAAGCAGAGCCTTAGAGCCGAAAAACAACGGTGACGACCGGTTTTTGCCGACCAGGGTGAACTGGGTGGTTCAAAGCGGGGCCGTGGACTTTCTCCACCTAATGCTGGTCTGCATGAAGTGGTTGATGGAGGATAAGGTGCGCTTCTGTCTTAGTTTTCACGATGAAGTGCGTTATTTGGTGCCGGAGCAGCACAAATACATGGCTGCTCTATCGATGCACGTCACGAACTTACTGACGAGATCTTTTTGCTCTTACAAGTTGGGCTTGAACGATTTACCGCAGTCCGTGGCGTTTTTTTCTTCCGTTGAAGTCGATACGGTGTTGAGAAAGGAGAGCAAGCAGGACTGCGTGACCCCTTCCAACCCGCATGGGCTTACCATGGGGTACAATGTACCCAATGGCGAGTCTCTGGATATACACCAAGCTATTGAGAAAGCGAAACAGGAAAATTTTTTGCTATACAAAAAGGTAAGGTAGTTCTCAAATGGTGTGTCCTTTTATTAATTTTATGAAACAATAATTGTTTTTTTTCTGAACTAGACAATTTGTAATAATTTTCGGAAAAAATTGACCATAGAGATTTTATTTTTCTAGAAAACGGTTTTAGAGGATTTTGACTTGTGACTTGTACTATTTAATAAAGTTTGGCTTAACTCAGAAGAGCCATTTTTTATGTCCAATATTTTATTTGATAATTTTTTTTTGGGTCATGGACTCTGTCAATGTAGCTCTCGGCGACAGCCGTTGATTTCCAGCTTCTAAGTCGCTTAACATTGGAAATTCCTTCCCCAGAATGGGCTAATATGGTAGCGGAGGATCTACGAAAACTATGACGTGTGTACTCCTCAGGATTTTTAAGTTTTAGATATGCAGCTATTTGTGAAGGCGTTTTACCAAATGTATTAATTCCTACACATTGGGTAGTGCATGCTTTTCTTTTATAGTTGACAAAAAACCGCTTGTGTGGGGTATTTGGTTTTCGCAAATTTGAATATTTTCGAAACAGTTGTAGGTAATGACCATTATTGATTTCATCAAAAATCACAAAGATTCTTGATGTGTAACTTTTACCGTCCGAAATTTTCACGATTACCAAATTTTCTTTATCTTCTCTATCATCAATCATTATCTTTGAGAGCTCTTCTTGCCTACAAGCACCAGCCAACCCAAAAATAGTGTCAACTTTTATTAAAAGATAAATTTCATTTGGTGCTTCTTTAATGAATCTTGAAATGTCATCATTTTGGGTTTTTTGGTCGGTATCCCACATTTTCCTTTTTTATATATGATGTTAATTTATAATATAGACTCAAATCCAAATGTTTATTAGCTTTTAGGACACTTCTTAACATGGAGTACTTACTCCACAAAGTGTTTGGCTGATATGATTTTCTTAAATCCGCAAAATAGGCCAAAAACACTTCTTCCTTAAAACTTCTTGTCCCTTTGTTGTTGCACCAGTTTTCAAAATGTTTAAATTGTTTCTCATATTTTTGACAGGATTTCGCTGGCAATAAATTCTCATTTACAGTATTTGTCGCCTCCAGGATGTCATATGGTAGCTCTTCTTCCAAAATGTTCATTTCAATTTCGCGAAAAATCTATAATATATTATGACGTTTCATTTTGTTTGACACCTATTGACATGGAAACTAAGAAACTAACTAAATTTGATTTTGTCTAAAATCAACATACTTAGGTACATTTTAAATGCAAATAGTATGCAACTTGTTTATAAACTTTTCTAGACAATGATTTAATTATATAAACTTATATGGTCAATTTTTTCCGACAGATTGACTAATATAAGCAATTATGGAAAACATGTTTCTGTTGAAGTTTTTATTAAAATATACAATGGACTTAAAAAATTGCTTCGACATCTTTGGTTACCACAATAGTTTTGACCCCTTTGTTGGGTTCCAGAGTCGTCAATAATTGACTGGAAATGGGGAAAGTTCTATATTGGCCATCGTCGTAGGGAAAATGCACTTTTACACCATCCGACTGGGTTGTGTATATAGAAACGTTCATGGGTTTTTGTGTGACAAAAATATTAACGTTGTCTGTGCAATCAATGTTGATTTTTGGAATAATTCCAAAGCAATGCAGATTGATGTTACTACTCTCGACTAGTTCTACAAAATTGTAGATCGTTTTGAAGAGAATGCTTATATTTTTGCATGAATCCAAGCGAATTATTTTAACGTTACTTTCTATAACAATATTGCAGTTTTTACAGTTGTATATAAAAACCAAGTTATCCAAATCACTGGTTTCAATAAGAAGATTTCTTTTGTCATTTTTTTTGTGCTCTATTACCCACTTCTTGTCGTCCTGCATGTAGACTTCTTCAGTTTTACTTAAGTCATTGTACTCTTCACAAATCGTCATATCCTCGCTTATCTTGAGTTTCCTTAGCACTTTCACCAGATTATTTCCCTGTTTAATGCTTCTAAATAGCGATAGATGGTCGAATATTTTATGTATGCTGGAAATATCGCTCAAAATTACCGGCGGTGGTAATATTTCCTTGCCGTGCCACGTCAAACCTTTACTGTAGTTATCAATCAAGAATTTTGTGAGGTTTTGTATTATTTCCAGCCACTTTTTTAACCAGACTTCCCCGTGTGCTATACTCATAGCCAAATCGTGGATATTCTCTATTATTTTTGGAAAATGCGACAAATCAAACTGCGTTATCCACCTAAAAATATCGCTGCTCTCACAAACCAAATTCAAAAGATCACTGTATTCATACTCTCTATTTTTATCCTTGATTATTTCCAGAATTTCAACCTCCTTCAGTATAGGCTGCTTTAGTAAGGTTTCGTGCGTATCATGCAGCGGTTTTTGGTATTTTAAACTGGTTTCAAACAGGTCCAAATGCAGGGAAAATATCTTATCAATTACAATGCTTTGCTCGTACACCCCATTTCCAATTTCTTGCGAGATTTCGAGATAGTCTGCTACAAGGCCATTGTATATTTCTTGAAAAACTTCAACATTCATTATGAGTAGAGTCCCTTTGGGGATAAGATGACAAATGATTTTGACAAAAGGTTTTTAGGGAATTAGTTCAGTTAAGTTTTTCATTTCATATATAGCTATACTCACAATTGATTAATCTACACAACAAGGTCTGTTTCATATTATTTTTCTGTGTTTCATCTCTCAATAATCGTTTTAAACATTGCTTTTATTACAGAGGCACTTGTAGGCCTTAAGGACAACAATTTTACTCCTTTTTTGTAAAAAATAAACCTTATTCTATCAGGGCTGTAATCAAACTGTCAAATAATTTAAGGTTAATTTGTGTTTTTTTTTTAATTAACCTTAAAATTGACATTTGACAGTTTTATATGACCCCTTATAGAATAAGGTTTATTTTTTACAAAAGAGGAGTGAAATGGTTGTCTTTAAGGTCTCATTTGAGGCTCACAAATGCCTCTGTAAGAAACACAACGTTTAAAACGACTTTTAATCTGTATAAACAGCACAAACAAAAGCACAAGAATTGTAAACAACATAAAAATGGCCGCCGTAAGAGTATGTGCCGTGGGTTGCCTACCTTCGTAATTTTTAGCATAGAACAGGCCTTGTGTGGATTGTGGTCTTATATAATATATTATCTTATTACATAGATATTATCTTTTAGTAATGTCCAGGGCAACAAAACGAAAGCACGTCCTGAACGAAATACTTCAGGACGACTATTCCCTCCCCTCAGACAACCAGCAGATCGTGAAAGTAGTCCAACCGAGAGGCAACAACTTGCACGAAGTTCAAGCGACAGATGGCAGCACTTTTCTGGCGTCGATGCCGAATAAATTCCGCAAGAATGTGTGGGTGAAACGCGGAGACTACGTTCTTGTGGAACCCATCGAAGAGGGGGACAAAGTCAAAGCTGAAATGGTGAGGATTTTAACGCAAGATCACATAAAGTACTTTAAGAAGGATAAGGTTTGGCCCAGTGAGTTTGACGACAGTAAAAAGGACAGTGAGGGGGACGATGATATTTTTGTTAACACCAACAGACAAGTGATTAGTGATGAGGAGGAGGACAGTGACAGTAGTGATGATGACAATATAAAATAAATTTTTTCGAATCCACGCATTTTTTTGTATTTTTATATGGTTAAAGAATACAGTGTGATTTTCTGCAGCATAGAAACAAGAGTTATAAAAATTATTTTATTAATTTAACAATAAAATATAACAAATGTTAGGTTTATGATGCTTCCTTAAAACTTTTTAAAATCTTTTTTTGTACCATGTTTGTAATATTTCCATCTACGTTTTGGAGAGGTTCGTTTTTTCTTATGGCGTACTAAAACAGTAATATAATTTTAACGCAACTTTTTTCACATTCTAAAAATCGCAAACACCAAACATTTAAGGGGGTTAATTTAAATATACAAGAAAACAATTGAGTAATTTTTACGTTATAAGGTACCTTTTTTACATATAAAGTCGGTTTCATATACAGTGTGACCCATTTGTTTGCGACTTACCCCTGTATTATTATTTATATTTATTTTATTATTTATTGTGCGATTTTAACAGGATTGGTTTTAAAGTGTAGATCTTGATAAACTGTATTATTGGAGCAAAAAACGCCATATTTTTACAAAATACAAGGCCTACTATGTCAGTTTTTAAGAGTAAATTTTTAGGAATTCATATTAGCGATTTTTTTAAACAAAATCTAAGCACGGCACTGGATTCACCACCCCTCAAAACGACGCTATACTAAATTTTTTTGAAAAATTTGAATTGAAATAAAAATAAACTAACAGTAACATGGTACTATTACTATAAGTTTAATTTTATTTCAATGTTTTTTCATGGATAACTTGACAGAATAAATTTTTATAGTTATTATTGTGCATTTTTGTATTAAAATTTTTCAACAAATTTAGTAAAGGGTCGTTCTGAGGGGTAATGAATCCAGTGCCGTGCTTAGATTTTGTTTAAAAAAATCGCTAATAAGAATTGTTAAACATTGCGAAGTACGCTATTCGCATTTCGAAACTCCCATTTCATATGGATGAGAACTATTTTAGGGACATTGTTTTCTCACTGGGCGATATTTGCAATGCTATTTTAGGTACTTAAAAGTTAGTTAAAGTGACTACTTATAAAGGTAAAATAAGAAAACTCTTTGTCCATTATAAAAACAAAAACAACTCTAAACTATTATTTAAACAGTTCAAATAAAAGTCAATAAAACAAACACTGCGATATAAACAAAATAAACAAATGCCAAATTAGTGCGATTTTCGCAAAATATTGGATTAATTTTAAGATTCCCGCCCCCTAGATTTCAAATCTTGCGAATTCGCAGGTTTTACAAAACGTCAAAACGGTTTTCCCGCCAAATCAAATGGACCAATGAAAATATTTTTCGCATTTCCCAACTGTATGAAACCGACTTTAATAATCAAAATTTTTATATTCTGCAGACAACTTTCAATAAAACTGCACACAAAAAATGCAAGGCTTAAATACCCTGCTAAATACTTTAGTAAATCGATAAGAATCATTTTCGTTCATTTGTCATTTTCTTTCCAACAAATGAATGTTATCACGGTATGAGAATTCTTCACGGATGTGGAAAAATCATAAAAATTGCATAAAAACATAAAATAGTTATTTATGTCATTAGGTTAAGAAGTAAGGCTTTTTGTGCTAAGCTCAAAGTTTGAAGGCCGACGCGTAGCGGAGGCCTACAATTGAGCGAAGCACAAAAAGACACTTCTTGGCCGAATGGCATACAACATTTTATCTTCAAAGCACTTTATATAGGTAAATTTAATTCAACATGAAAGCGGCCTAACCTCACTTTTTTAGAATGTCATTTATTTATTAGCTAAAGATTACATTAAATGTACAATAATTATTATTCCTTTTAGAAGCAGTAATATTTTGACAATACCTAGCTACATGATTTAAGTAGAAATGGATTTTTGTAAGAAAATGGTTTACTTACCCTCTTGCTATTACATTGAATTCAATTAATTGTTTAATAAATAGGTATCTAATTTCAATTTGTTTGCATTTTTATTTAAAAAATAGGTAGTTTGGAATATTTACGCTGTGTTTAACATTTAATTTCACTGAAATCTTAAAGCAAATTAAAACTTAAAGATAATTTAAATCGTAGAAAAAGAAAACAACTGTGAAATCAACAGAAACGTCAAATTGCAATGTCCTAACCTCACTTTTTATTTTATTATTGATATTTAATTTTACAATAATTTAATGAAAAATAATAAACATTAACAGTAAAACAAACAAATTAGTGCTTATTATAAATAAATTAAACCAGTTTAGTACGTTAATTTCCTAGAAAAGGATTAATTTGGCAAAACAATACCCCTAGCGAGAAAAAATCGAACTAATTACTTGCCTCATAAAAATTTTTATCGGCCTAGGCCATAACAAGTTATTTCTTTATCGAATGTTGACAACAATAAAGTTTAAATTATAGACCACGTGGAGATAAATATATTTTTTGCCATGAATTAAAACGTAAAAGCTTCGAACGATTATTTTTGTTGTTAATAATATTACTGCGCAGAAGAGAATCAAGCAAGTACAGTACTGCGCAGCAGACTTGATAAAAAAAGCAATATTTCACTTACCTCAATTTGCCTAACCAACTGAACCTCCTCTGGTCCGGAAATAAAGTTGGTAACCCTGCACGAATCAGGACTGCCAGTCCTACCAACTCTCCCTATCCTGTGCAAATAATCTGCCGCGTACAATGGAAAATTATAGTTGATGACATGCTTAACTTGTATCGTGTTCAAACCCCTCGACCCCACATCGGTGGCGGCCAGAATTTTATTTTTTCCCGCGACAAATTGGTTCCACTGATCGATGCGAATGGCGTAGTTCATTTCGCCGTTTATATTCGAACAGGGTATGTTGTTTTCCCGGAGGAACATCGCCACCCAATTGCAGGTCTCGTTGCGATTGGTGAATATCAACTTTGGCTCGTTGCAGTTTTTTACGACTTGCAGTAGATGTGAGGGTTTTGCCGATCGGGTCATTTTTAGGAATTTTTGGGTTATATTCATGGGTGGCTTATGGAGCCTTGATGAAGTTACATGCTGTATACCCATTTCTATGGGGGCTAATACATCAGGTAGTTTTTTTGGTAATGTGGCTGAACACAGTATGAATTGCGCTTGAGGTACTCTTTTTACCAAACTCGATATTCTTTCAACAAAACTATCGTCGACCAAAGTGTCAGCTTCGTCTAGCACCATGAACCGAACCTCGCTCAGTTTGTAAACCCCCACTGTACTAAGCTTGCCTATGGCCCCAGGGGTGGCTACTAGTATATCAATATCCTCAAATTCCGGATTCATCATTAATTTCTTCGTCCTACCTCCCACCAATACTTTTGTTTTTAACCCTACAGCATCACTGAGATTCGTCGCGATTTCACCTACTTGATAGGCTAGCTCGCGATTTGGCACCAGTACTACTACTTGAGGGTGGTTAAGGTTGTTTTGTTTTTGACCTAGAATAATTTATAAATTATGTAAAAAAATCCACGTTTACAATTTTAGAAAGTGGATATAGAGAGGCTTGTTATACGCTAAAGAAGTATCGGGTTTTCGCAACGCGCGCGCCATCTGGTGGACTTCGAATGCATTGCGTGAATTTAAGAATTGTCAACAATACAATACAAGGCATAAGTCTTACTAGACAAATTTCGTATAATTTCACATCCAAATCGCGCACGTTATTTGTGTTTTACGTTGCAAGGAAAAAATTAAAAAACTTTTTTAGTACTAGATTTCGATTGATTATTCCTTATATAATTGATTAAGAAACTCAACGCTTAAATGCTTATATAGTTACGTTATTGTGTGTATTTTATCTAAGGGATCATGGTGAATTATTGTGTTTTTAATTGTAAATAAAATTCAAGAACTAAATCGTTGCATTTTCATGTTTTGCCAAACCATCCAATTCGGTAAGTACATTTGTTGGTGCAGAATTAACTAATGATAACTTTACCTAATATAATTTATATTTAAGTTTGGACATTTTTAAGAAATTAGTAAAAAATAATTTTTGCACAAACATAACCTTAAAATCAACCATTTTTATATTTGAGTTCTCTAAAAAACGCCGACAACTGCATTTTAAACAACAAAATATACCTACGAATTCATAGCAACATAATTTTACATATAATACATAATATAATGGTATTTTACCGTTGAGTGGAGACTTTCTTAATCAACGCTTTTAATAATGCTGAATGCTATTTAAATTTAGACGACTTATTTGTTTGACGATTTTTACTGAATTAAAATGTTTACCCTTAATCACTACTAAAATGTGTATTTATTGTATCTAATAAGTACAATTTATATTTACAGAGACTGTGTGCAATTTATTTCTTTATTCGGATTAACACTGTTTATTGGAAAACCGAAATACACCCAACACAACAAATCGTGCCACGGTTTTTTTTTCGATATTTTTTAACATTTTCCGGCTTTATTCTCAAAAACACTCGTTTGTAACACAAACAAAAGTTGTACTTTTGTTACGATGATAACAGCCGAGTGGTGGCGCTACTAGCGATACTTCTTTAGCGTAGGTATATGGAACTATTTCCTTATTAGGTGTTTTAGAAAGAAAGAGTTATTTAACTTTTAAAACTGCCAATGAGAGCTCAGTATTAGCAATTTGTTATTTTAACAAACAGCTTGCGTTTTAAATATAGTGCATTCAATTTGGGCATAGTGTAAATAAAAATAATTCCAGTACACCTACCTACCACCTCAAATAATAAAAAAAATACTCACCAATTAAACTTTTTATAATGGGAAGTAAGTAAGCCAACGTTTTACCGCATCCAGTCTCGGCTGCAATTAACGTATGCTTCCCATTTAAAACAGCAGGAAAACTTCTATACTGTAAATCTGTAGCTTTTTCCACATTCCAAGTTCGTAACACTTTTCGTAAATCCTCATTTAAACCCATCTCTTCCAAGTCGTGCATTTCTTCCCTGTGCTCATCTACATCTACAGGGTGTATCGTAAAACTGTCGTTTTTGCTTTTGCTGTGGTTCCATCCTTTCGATATCAGCGGAATTTCTGTGAATTTTAAATACTCTGTATTTGTGTAGTGATTTAATTTTGTTCTGTGGCTGCTTATAATGCACCGCGGTTTTTCTGGCTTTACCTGGGGTTCTGCTGAGTATAATCTACATTCTATCGGTTTTCTTAAGTTATTTCGAAAGAATATTCTCAACGACATAGTAAATGTGGGGTTATGTGTGAAAAAAGTCAGGTTAGAAGGTGAAACAGTTTGGTTATGTACAAACGTCAAAATTTGGAATATACAGGGTGTTCCAAAATCACCGGACGTAGAACGTAGAAGCAAAAGTACTGCGCTCTTATTGGCAGCCTTAAAATTTAAATAATTTAATTTAATTTTGCAAATTCAAAACAAAATTTGTTTGGTCTGGTGATTTTGAAGAAGACAAACAAAAATCAATAAAAAAGTGAAATCTCTTTAGGTACAGTTTATTAAATAATTATCTACAATTTATATTCTATAACATTCACTTGTCATTTTCAAAATCGGCTGGGTTTTTAAGCATAGTCCTGTGATGGGCTTTTTCGATCTCACTGTAACACAAGTATCCCAATGCAATTGCTAAAAAAAATAAAAATTTAACATTAATGTTCATATTGATTTTAAAAATAACTTACGGGGAACAATGTACAAAATACTTTCTGCTGTTCTACGAATAGTATTTGGAATGCCATGGGAAATTATGCCCCCGAACGCTTTCAGTTCGAAGGGTGATAAACGGTATGTAACAATACCCCTAAGTTTGTACAATCCCCCAAAACCGTGACCCATTTTGAATTTTCTAAAAAAAAAGTACAGGTTAGAAACTATTACATAACAAAAAATTACCGAATAAGGTAATTTATTAGAAATTTATATAACAGTATACTAAATTAATGTAAAATTTAAGTATTTGTATGAATATTATACGTTTTTGGAGGTTTTTAAGTAAAATATGCATATAACTTACCTAGAATTTGACACTTCCCTGAATAGTGCACAAAATATAATACAGGTGGCAGCAGCATAGACTTCAGTTTTTTCAACGTTGGCGCGACTGCTCTCTATTTCTGCGCTCGGTTCTCTGTTATCTAATTAAAAAACCAATCAAACCTTTATATTAAGACTACTGATTTCTTAAAGTAAACTGGTAATTCAATAAAAAACTAATAAATGTTGCCGTAGGTTATCCTTTAGTTTTATAGAGGTTGGCACTATTGCATAGCTGTCATGAAGGACCAGCAGAAGAAGAGTCGTTATCTGTCATTCGCTTGTCAAATATCAAAACAGCCCAATTTTGGGTAAAAAAAATGTACCAAAACGCTTGCGGGGCCGCGGCGGCAAGTGCTGGGGGCTGCGTGGAAACGGACCGCGACTGCCACAGCCTAATTTCAAAAGAATCCACTGTGCCGGCCGTGGAGCACGACTATAGCGGTTTTGATATCGTTAAAGCCACACAAGTAAGTCGTAATTTATGCTATAAGAAAAACCAAATTTATTACCTGAACTAAATCAGTAACTTTGGTTGTGAACTCTAGAAATATAGAGCTAAATATAACTATTTAGAAAGTCAACTATTAGAGTGTATTTTAATTAATATTTCTTGTAGTATGGGGCCTATATGCGAGTAAAAGAGCTGGTGGAAGCCGGATACAACGTAAATCAAAGAGATAGTGAGACTGTAACCCTATTGCATTGGGCAGCCATAAATAACCGTAAAGCAATAATTAGGTTTTTTATTGAGAAAGGGGCTGAGGTAGACGCTGTTGGGGGCGAGTTAAACGCGACTCCCTTGCACTGGGCTACAAGACAGGGCCACCTAGATGCCATAGTGATTTTAATGAATGCCGGGTCCGATCCCACACTGAGAGATGCTGAAGGGTGTTCTTGCATACATTTGGCGGCGCAGTTTGGGCACACGGCGTTGGTGGCGTATTTTGTGGCGCGCGGGGTCAGCCCCGATCTAACCGATAGGTCGGGTATGACCCCCTTGATGTGGAGCGTGTGGAAAGTGTGCAGCTTGGACCCGTCGAGGCTGCTGCTCACTTTGGGTGCATCGCCCAATTTGAGTGATCAACAAGGCAATACTGCCCTGCACTGGGCTATTTTGGCTAGGAATACCACAGCAATATCCACTTTAATTTTACAGGTGCTTGATAACTGTTATTTTGTCGTTTTTTTTATTGTGATTTTTTTAGGGACATGCCAGTTTAAATGTACCAAACCACAGGGGCGATACGCCCTTATCTATGTTGCAATCGCAGGTCGGTTCGATGTGGGTTAGTCAGAAGGTTTCTGAACATATTAGGGATCAAACAAGTTTGATGAATTCAAAAAATTTTGTCAAGAGAATAGCTAAAGATAAGGTTTGTTTTTATGTTTTGTTTACTTTTTATTTATCAGCTTTATGAGTAACCATAACAAGGGTGATTTGCTTGATAAAATAGCATAAATAGTTGGTTCATAAAATTATTTTTAAAATTTTAAATTTGCACTGCTAGTTTGTATTTGTCCTCAATTTCTAAACTATTTAAATAAATACTTTGAAGAATATTGAACATAACCTAGAAACCATGCTAAAAAAGATTGGATTCATTCCTAATTCTTGACACATCTGTTATATCTCTTTTTAAGGTCATCTAAGGGTTTTGAATCTTGCAGTTTTTAAAATGCTGTAGTTATTTGTTTCACAAGTGAAACACAATGTTTTTTCTATGACCCTTTTATTTTTTGTTATATTCAAATACAAAACAAAAAAACCTAAAAACGTGTTTGACAGCTGTTAAAATTACTTTCATCTTATTCTTTTAATTTTTAAGGTATAAGTTACTTAAAATCAATAAACTTACCTTCTCAATTTAAATAAAGGCACTAAAATTGGAATTTATTATGCAAACACAATTAATTGTGTTCTAATTGATTGATACAAATACAATACAAATTTTGAAACGAATGTCAAACGATGCTGTCAATTTCTTTTCACACAGACCTGTCACAGTGACAGGTCTGTGTCACTTTTCACACAGAAATGTCACTTTACATTCATGTTTTGCCTTGCCAATGAAAAGATTCATTTTCTAAGCAAAAATGTGACTTTTACATAGTGGTCGCAAAAATAAATGTTTAATGCCCGTTTGCACCGTTTGTATTAAGCAGAGCTTAAGTATAAACTCATACTTAAGTTTTCGATTTCTCTTGCACCGCAAGTAATTCCCTTCTCAATTTCGATTAAGACCGACTCAACTTTAAGCCCCCGATTATTTATTTCCTAACTTTAAGCAACAGTTTTCTCCTCTTTTTCGCGTGAGGTTCCTTAATTTTTGAATAAAAAAAGTTAATTCAAAGGGGACAAATAGCGGGATATCCAAACTTACAGGGCAATGGCAATGTTAAAAATGAAATCATTTACAATTACTTCGCAAATTTATTGTAAGTAAAATTAATCTAATATATTTTTTAGCTTTTTTAATTTTTCTTTTTCAACTTCCAATTGTACTTTCAAAACTTGTAATCTTGTTTTTTGTTTTCAAATTCTTTTTTAAATTTTAACTGCCTTTCAGGTAATTCCGCAATGGCTATTCTTTTGTTTAACAATGTTAAATATTTGTCGGCCACTTCAGAGGAAGTCAATCCATTCACAACGGGTGTTGGTCTTTTGCGACTTTATACATACCTTTCTTCAAAATGCTTGGGGTGTAATCCTTCCATGTATTACTTGGCGCTGCAGTATGAGGCGCCATATGTTCCATAATTATTTAATTCGATATATAAAATGTTTTGCAGAAAAAATAATATATAAGTAGAATTTACTATAATTTTGTCATTTGCACACGTATTTTTACATATTTTTTTTTCAATTATTATAGAGGTTTTTAATTGTTTGGCCTCTCTGGAACCCTTCCCACCTCCAGCATTAAATTCGAGGGCAATTCGGGACCAAGTTTTTGATTTTTCCTTTTTGTGGACCTCATCAGTTTTCTTATTTTCTATTATATTTTTGTATTTGTATAAAATGCCCAACAGCCGTCCTGTCATTCTGCCGCACTTTTTTTGGGGCTTTACCGCCAGAACTCTAATAAATATATATTTTTAATATTAATTTAATAATAATAATAATTTATTTAATAATAACGAATTAGTTCTTCTTTGCAAAATATCTTACTTCACCACAACTAATTGATAATAAACTTGCTTGTATTAGTAGATAAAACTACAAACACCACACTGTTTCTACGCAATAAGTACGTATCCAAAAATCCAACAATCACAATTTATTATTCACAACACAAGGGAACTTTGATTATGAAATAATGATAATAAATAATAACGAAAAGGAACAAAACTAATGAAGTTAGATGTCATTTAGTCTGTAAATTCTCTACCAACTATAATATAATATTACTAGAATGTTGCCCTGTTGTCATATTGACGCCTACAAAAGGAATGCTCAAGTTAAGAAAACATTTAACATATGCGGTGCAAACAAAGGCCGACTTAAGCTTAACTTATATATAAGTCGTTCTTAAAATAAGCTATACTTAATAAAATACGGTGCAAACGGGCATAAGAAACTTGGGCAAACAATTTAATAACAAACTCGTATAAGTAGATTCCAAAATTACATAAAAAATTGCATTCTAACCTCACTTTCTTCAAACTCAAGTGCTGCCACTGAGTGATTAAGTGATTAAGTGATTAAGTAAAACAAACTAATTTGGTGGAGAATATAATTGTGGTTATGTTATGTTTTTTAATTTTGAAATTTCTAATATAAGTTGTTAAAAAATTAAATAACAGCATAGAAATATTAGAAGTATTTAGATAGCATTATTTGGTTTGTCCTGTCAGAAAGTAATGCAGAATTTTATATTAAATAATAAATATATTTCTGTACACTTGTATCTGGTTGTTAAATAAATAAATATAGGTGAATACTAACGTTTTGTCCAATGGTGAATAAATGCAAAAGTCATTTTTCTGTTACCGTTTTTTTTCCTCCGGCTAAATTTTCCAGAAATTAGCCAAAATCAATAAGGACTGCCTGAAGATAATAATGTTTTTTCAGAGACTAAAATGGTGGTGCATGGTTGGCACCCCTTTCATGGCCTTCTACATAGCCGGAGCAATACTGAGCACAAACCTGATAGTGCTGATAAAAATATTCCTGCTGGTTTGCCTCTACATCGTAATCCACTACGTCGGCCGTATTTTGTACGACGACCGGCTGATGGCGCTGCTACCGCTCAGTATTTATTTATCCACCAAGATGTGGATGTACTTCACCTGGTTCATATACCTCATGCAGTTTACGACTTTGATGACCACGGTCATTTTCGTTTCCAGTTCCATGCTGTTGTGGTATTGTTTCGTTAAATCGTGGCTTGGAGACTCTGGCATCATATCCACCACGCAACAAACGCAATTTAGGGTAAAAATATATTTGTTGTACAAGATTTTTCATAAACTATATTGTTATTTTTCAGACAATTATTGATTTGGCAGAACGAGGCCCTGGAGGTTTTGAACCGTCAACTTTTTGCTCGGCCTGTTTAGTTCGAAGGCCTTTAAGATCAAAACATTGTTCGGTTTGCAATCACTGTGTGGCCAGATTCGATCATCATTGTCCTTGGGTTGCAAATTGTATTGGTAAGTCTGAATTGCCACTCTTAACCTTGAAATTTTGCGTTGTAAGCACAATTTGTTATAATTTCAAATCTCTAGCCAAAAAGTTTTGAAATTATGGGGAAAATGGGAAAAATCCAATTCTTTTTTACTTCTTAAATGAATTATGAAGGCCCCCACAGATTTCGTTATTTTTCATCTATTTGTATCGCCACGATTCGTCAATATGTCGAACTACGGAAAATTCTGGCGGTTGGGTTGCCACACCTTTAAATTCAGTCGCCACACCACACCTTTAAATTTAAAACGTATCATATTGGACATATTGTTTCCAAATATTTTTAAAAAGGAATTTCATTTGAATAATTTATTAACAAATAATTAGGTTTTTATTGCAAAAAAAAACTTTAAAAGTTTAAAACAAATTTAATGTCATATTTCATTTCTTATGTACAATTTATTGTTTATTGTCATTTGATAATTATTATTTGTCATTTGACAGTTGTCATCAGTCGCCACACCTTTAAACTTAAAATGTACACTGCGCGTCAAAATTAACGCATAATAAGGAACAAAATTTCAACATCAAAACGCCTTTATGAAATTTTGTTTAAAAATCTCAGTTTACGTTTTCGATGGTTTTTCGAGAAAATATTTTTAAAGCCCTTTTATTTAATAATTAAAAAACGTTCAAAAAATAACTTTTAGGGATTTTTTTTTAAGTAAATAAATAATATGCTGTTAAAGGCCGTATTTTTGTTAGTATACCCAAAAAATTTTGTACAAATCAAACGAACAGTAAAGTCGGTAAAAATGACCCCTTTTTGAGTATTTTGCTGAAAATTGGTTATTTTTGACGACTTTGAAGCGCTGTATTTTCGTTACTGTTTGTTTGATTTGTACAACTTTTTCAGGGTATACTAACAAAAATACGGACTTTCACAGCATATTTTTAATTTACTTAAAAAAAAATTCTCTATAAAAGTTTTTTTCGAGCGTTTTTTATTATTAAATAAAAAGGCTTTAAGGATATTTTCTCTAAAAACCCTTAAACCTGTAAACTGAGATATAAGTTGAAGTATTTTGATGCAAAATTTTATAAAGATTGGTAAAGGCGTTTTAGAGAAACAATTTTTTAATTTTTTTCTAAATATTTTTTAAAAGGAATTACATTTAAATAATTTATTAACAAATTATTAGGTTTTTTATTGCAAAAATATTGAATTTCCAATTTTTAGCAAAATATATAAAACATTAAAAAATTAAAAAAAAAATTTAATGTCATATTTTGTCGCATTTTGATAGGTTCAGTCGCCACACCTTTAAACTGTAAATATGTCTTTTCAGACCCAATTTAATAACTTTTTCCAAATATTTTATTAAAGGAATTACATTTGATTTTTTTTTAACAAATAAACAGATTTTTATTGAAAAAAAAAATGAATTTCCACTTTTTAACAAAATATATAAAACACTAAAAAATTAAAATAAAAGTCATATTTCTTATCTTATGTACAATTTATTGCGATCTTAAAAAACGAACAAAAAAAGGCATGAATTTTTATTTGTTATAAATCAAAATCAAATCAATTGTCTACTCGTCTACTCATTTCAAGCGCGCGAAACGCACAAATTACAAAACTGTTTTTATAAAAAAAATTGTAGATTATTTATTATATAATATTTTGGCATCAAAATTGTCAAAAATATTCTTCTTTTATTAGGTTATACATTAAATTTAAAAAAACGCAAGAAATATTTTATGAAAGTAGATATAATTTTAATAATTGAAAGGTGTGGACGGGACAAAAAAAGATTTATCTTGTCCCGTCCACCCCTGTCAATTATTGAAATTATCTCTACTTTTATAAAATATTACTTGCGATTTTTTTTATTTAATGATGCAAAAATAATATATAATAAATTAACTACAATTTAAAAAAAAAAAAAGTTTTGTGATTTGTCCCGTCCATCCGCTTGAAATGGCCGTACTGTTTAAACACAGTTTTTGCGTTTTTACAAACGGATGAAAAAGAACGAAATCTGTGGGGGCCTCGTAGCCGCACAGTGTACCAAAACTCCGATTTCAGGGGCGAAAAATCACAAACACTTCGTCGGCTTCCTGGCGTGTTTGGTGATGATGTGCTCGCAACTTTTGTACGGTTCCGTGGAATTTTGGCGCAACGAACCCAAGTGCAACGTAACCTCGGTCGACAGCGGTTTTATCGAAGCCGTAATCGCCGTAGGGCAGTGCGACACGTGGGTGGCCTGGGTGGCTCTGAACGCCCTCTTCCATTGCGTATGGGTGTTCATGCTCTTCATATGTCAGATGTACCAGGTAAGGATGACACGTGGTTTCCTCTCCCCACCCTTTAATCCCAGGTTTTTCCCCCTGCTGTGGGCAAACCCAGGGCTGGATGCTCCCGTGTACGAGTTTTGGTTCGTGCCGCGCATGACGTCACTTGATGAGTAGTTGCCGTGCGAATACACGAATAATACTAATATTATCAAAGAAAATAGAGAAATTTCTGGACATAGTGCGTTTTTATTAAACTTAATATTGAAGAAAGTGTTATAATATGGATAATAGATGCTTTCAGTCCTTGTAAACATTTAGGGCTGTAGTTTAAGCGTTGGTGTTTTAAATTAAACTTATAGTCACTGTCCAGAAAATGTTTATAGGAAACAGAAGCGGTCTTAACGTAAATATTGTCTATTATTTTTGTGGCATTTAAACACTGTTTCCACAAATCAAACTTTTTCGGGAATCGATTAAATTTAATGTTTTTATTTAAAGGGTTTTTCTTGGACTGGTTGTCCGAATTGCATCCAAATATGCCACACCGCATTTTAATAAATGCAAATGGCACTATACAATCTAAAACACAAACAAAACAAGTTAACGCAACACAAAAACAATAATAAACAAACCTAACGCAATAACAATAATTTGAACGCTGAAAAGTAATTCGAACCTTACCGAACACAAAAACGACAAGTTAAACAAAAAGTAGAGCAAGTTAACATCCAAAAGCATCTCAAAAACAAGAATTTTAGCAGCAGATAATTAAAAAGCACATTAAAGAATTAAAAACACTCATCAAGTGACGTAATTAAGCCCCGCCCAACATGCGCACCATCCTATCTTAAGGTGTATGTATCTTGGGCAAACCCAAGCAGCATTTTTGGTTCCAAAAACCATTACCAAAGTGGTGATAACTTTAAATTAGTTAAGTTACTAAACAGTTACTTAAAAGTAATTCTAACTTTTAAATAGCAATATTTTGTAACAGAAACTTCATTCTTTCCTTAAATGGTTACTATAAAGTAATAAATATTTAAGTAAAACTTGGTTGCCCCCAAGAAGACTTTGCAACTTTAAAAAAGGTGTTATAAGTAAAAAAACTTTCAAGCAAATTTAATTTGTAGCAGTTACTTTCGGTTTCTACCTAAATATTACATTATAATTGTTTTTACTTTGTAGTCCCTTTGCAAGTTAAAATCTCGAAACTGGAACAAGAGTTAAAAACTACAAACTTAATATCTTAAAAGTTATTATTTTAGTATTTAGAACGTTTATGGTACTAACCAAAACTACCGTAAAGTAAATTAAGGTGGAAAAAAACTTTAAAGTAGCAAAAACTACTTCAAAGGAAAATGCTTCTTATCGGCCATTTTTTACTGTACAGTACCACGTGGTAATGTAAATAATAGATTATTTTAATTTGTAAATGGTTGTTTACTTTTTAATAAATAGTAATTTTGTTGGTAATAGACGGTATTAATAATTAAATAAAAAATTAATAATATTAGGATTTTTTTATTTATAAACATTATTAAATAAATAATTTGTTTATACTTAAATATTGATGAAGCGCATTTATTTTACAAAAACTAAATTCATAAGTTCAACAGTAAAATTTAAAGGGTTTATAAATTTACCCGCCTAATTAAACATTATATTGTTATTCTGGAAGTTATAAACTACCAGTACACATTTAATAAACGACGACATTGAAAAGCCAAGTCCGTAGTGGTTCCATTTAAAAAAGGAGGGATAGTATAATCTAATATAAGATTGACAAAGACAGTTAATATAGAAGTAAAAACAAATAAATAAAAGTAACTATAACGCTCTAGCAACGATATTAAAACGTTATAGTAACGTAGCAGCTACGTTCCAAATAGTTTATAGCTAGTGACATATTTGCTACCTTTTTGGAACTCAATAATTGTTCCCCACTTTAGTCGTACCTTAGTAATCAAAGACTGCCGCAAAACACTTTAAAGTTTCTTCAATAGTCCCATATACGTAACAAATACTTAAATTGTTGCTTGGGAAGTTACTATTTTCGCCATTTCAGATCACTTGTTTGGGAATGACGACCAACGAGAGGATGAACAAGGGCCGCTACGGCCATTTCATAGCCAATCAGGGCAAGAGTCCTTTCAGCAAAGGTCCAATCACGAACCTGGCGGAATTTTTCGAGTGCAGCTGCTTCGGGATGCTGAAACCGGACGCGCGCGATTGGTTGAACAGCTTCGAAGTGGACAAGAGCATCGAAAAGCAACCGCTGCTCCGGCAAAAGGACAACTACCAGTACGTGTGAGGTTAGGTGAGTAGTAGAATATAAATATAATTTGCTGGATCTGGTTAGTTGAAGCAGGTCTTGCCAATTTACGAATCCAAAGAAAGAACTGATTTTTTAACCCGTTTGAAAAATTGATTGTGATCGTTTTAATTTTGACTCTCTAGGTATTTACATTCCAGTGGCATTTTATATTCTATTAAAAGTTTATTTTAACTTTCAACCAACTAAAATCTTAATGTTAAAACTTAATAATTAAGCGCTAAATTCATCCTATAAATGTAAATTTGTAAATTTGTTTTTTACATATCACATGTAAAATTTACTTTTAAAACTCTAGTCAATAATTGTACTTATGCACTGTAAATAGGGGTCACTGTAAATTTTCAAGGGGCACAATTTAATTTGTCTTCCCTAAAAAATAACTTTCATCAGAAGACAATTTTTATTTATTTATCATTTTTTTATCAAATGCATGGTCACCTAAGAACAAATGTTATATCACATATTCGACAATAAAATAAATCGTTAAATTTGTATTCAGTATTTATTTTTTATTGTGTAGGTATCACATATAAAAAATTGTATTTTCGAGCTTTGTGTGCTCATATTTAATAATTGTTGCTTTTTGCTCACAAAATACCAAAAAAATAATCACCAATAATTAAAATAGTTTAAAACGCAATGTATTTTATGTATATATTGAATGTTTAAATAAATTTCTTTTTTGTATTTTGTGTTTTACTTACCTGGGTGAATATCACGAAATGGTGTTACCCCGTGATATTTAATAAAACTAAATGTACTTATTGTGTTTTGATCTTTCATAATTAAGTAGATATTACAGCTCAGGTTCCAGATTTTTAACCGCAATTAATTATTTTTTACAATGTTTAAAAGTCTAAAATCTATCATCCGTGACTGTCGGTCTTTTAGGTTAACCTATATGTTTTCAAATATCTGAGGTAGTAAAAGCATACTAAAAATATCAGTTCACTAAGTAAATTAAACACATCCAAAGCAATCGAATCAAATATAAAATATTATTAAAAATTAAAAGAAATAATTTTTATAACCATTTATGTAGGTGTTACAAAAATTGATTCATTTTAAATAAGCAAAAACCTCTGTTTACGACATTATAGATGCATGTGATTCCTGAAGGTCAGTTAGAATTTATATGCAGATGAGAGTGTTGCTGTTTTAAAATTCAAAAGTTTAAGTTCATTAATTTGCTATTTAAAAACCTATCCACCGTGAAGTGTAATATCTCAGTAAGTAGGTTTTTTTATAAATATTTTAGGTATGTACAATTGTATTTTTTAAAAATATTAAGGTGTCAAAAGATACAATAACTTATTTCGAATATACAAAGGGATGTTTAAAAAAAACATACGAAATTCTAACCTCCGTGAAGCTCTAATATTCAAAATGTATGATTTCTTAAAATTCTTGCATTAGTGCAGAACCATTTATGTTATGTTATTACTAGACCTGGTGGCTTCCCAAAAACCCCATTCTAGACTAACAGTGAAACAACCAAAAATAAAAAATAATCATTTTCACTTGGGGGATATCTCAATATATTTACCCACCTGTACCCCAAACAAAAGGACAATAAAAAACGCTGTATTCGTAACATTTTGTGATTTTATTTATAATTCTTCAACAATTGCTATATCTAATAGCCGTTACAGAATTTCTAAAAATAATTAACTAAACTTCATTATACAATATAATATATACAATCAGCTTTCAGGAACAATCAACACTGTACAGAAAAACGTAATGCCTCTTTTTTTATTTACTCTCTCTCTTTTTACGTTAAAATCACAATTAATAGAATACAGGGTGTCCCAAGTATCCTATCTATGGGCATTTTTTTATTGAAAGAGCTACAAGGTTGGTCAATTTACCATCTTTTGTTTTTCCTATGGCCGCCATATTGAAATTATTCATGGTTAAAACTCAAAATTTGTATAAATGTATAATAGGCTTGTATTTTTCTAATTTAACCAACCCTGTAGCTCTTCAAATAAAAACAAAATACTCATAATACACATTGATGCACCCTGTATAGTGCACAACAGGGTTGCCACCCTTAAGAACAAAAAGTTACCGACTCATCTATAATCTTAGTAACTTCACTAAATAAGTCAACACTATAACAAAGGGTGTAAAATAGTTTTAAAAAAATACCCTAAAAACTAGGCGGTATTTTAAGTAAATCATCCATTGTAAATACAATAAATATAAATAAAACGTGTAGGTATAGTGTAAGAATCTTATTTAATTAAATTCTTTGTGCTATTTTCCAAGTAATCTGCATATTTTCGAGCACAAAAACATACGGATTACTTAAAACTCAGTGTAGGTATTGCCGCAGTTCTAGCTCGGCTATTTAGTATAATATTTTTAAGCAATTTGCGATTTCTTTAAGTACCATCTAATAGTGTATATTTGCTGTCGAAAGGAACACTAAATCGTCGATTAAAAGAAGCACAACAAAAAATCCTAAAACTTCTGGTTAAAATATCACAGAAAAAAAATCAAAACAACTGTCGAAAAAATCTAGTGTTCTACACTATCATAATAAAATAAAAAACCCGGTTATATTCGAAGGAAAAACAATAAAATCAATAAATAAAACTGAAGCACTTAAAATACTTTTTTCTGTTTGTAAATCACATGCGCAAGCTATAAAGGTATAAGTAAGTTTTTTGATGATAATAAAAATTAAGGAGGGGCATCGCTCGTCATCGTCGTTTTTGTTTTTGTTTTTTAATCACTATTCAAGTAAATCTTTGCGCATATCAATTAAGATTTATTGTCGCTACCTGGAAAAGAAAAGTTAAAAGTCAACGTTCTGCGCGACATCAGTTGAAACGGAGTGTGGTACTGCGCAGCACTTTAAGTGCGGCGTACTTACTTGCTTCGTCTTGAAGATGCGTCCTGGAGTCGGTTTCTGTCGCTTCAGAGGCGGCGTCGCATGCGTCTTCCGAAGACGCCTCTGCCGTCGGGTCTTCTGTCAATCGCAGCGCCACTTCCAGGTCTTGAAGCACCTAAGTAAGTGAGACAAAGCATTTTCGTTAAAAATGCCATTTAATTTTAATTGAGGGGCCTAGAAGTAAAAGGGTTTAAGTGCATTTTTGTTAGTTCTGAGATAAATGGCTTTAAAGTTAACTTGAATTTTAAAATTCTAGAAAAGAGTTTAAAAAACTGTGAATATTTTAGTTTTGTTTAAAGACAAAAAATAATTATAAAGAATTTCGCTTTTTTGTTAATTTTTTTTTACAAAAATGTACTTGAATCGTCATGCATGTAAGACAAAATTTAGTGGTAAAATGATTTAAATGCAATTACTGTACTAGAACAAAACTTTATTTTTTAAAATTTGGGTAAGTTTAATAACGAAAAGTATTATTCATAATCAGAATCTAATACAACGTTTTCTTCATCTGAATTAGCTGGTCTTGGTTGGGGTTGATCTAAATTGGATTTTTTTGGCTCAATGCTATGGTCTGTTTTAAAATACTTGTCAAGGCTTTAGCAGCATAGATAATAGCCTATGTTTAGCAGTAAAAGGTGCACTTAAATCGTTTTACCAAAGATATATTTTAAAATATTTTGACAGAGACGATAAGAAATGGCGCCAGGGAATGTAAAAATTAAAAGTGAGGTAAAATTACTACTTTTGTATATATATAAGTAGAAATTTCACCACACTTTTAATTTAATTTTTTAATTTAATAAATTATTTTTAAAAAAGAAATTTTTTAGCACAAGTACCTTAATTAAACGCAGTCAGTCTATTTATAATTAATTTTTAGGAGTTTTAGAAGATTGAGGGCAATTTTAGGAGTTTTCAAGATTTAAGCAAAATATTAGGAATTTTATGAGTTTTAGGAGGTTTACGAGTCCTGTATTTTTTACATTTATAAGAAATTGGAGATTAAAGATAAAAAAAACTGTGAATGAGAAGTGGGGGACAAAATTTTAGACTTAAGAGTACAGACACAGAGAACCACCCTGATAGCATCATGCTATATTTCTTCTAGTCATGTTCTAAGAATGTTTTTTAAACCTTCCAGTGAGAATATTCTTAGTATCATGCTATATTTCTTCTAGTCATGTTCTAAGAATGTTTTTTAAACCTTCCAGTGAGAATATTCTTAGGATCATGCTATATTTCTTCTAAAGAACATGCTTAAAAGAACTATAGCATAATCCTAAGAATATTCTCACTGGCCTATAGGCAGGTTCTTAGAAGGTGCAAAGTTTAGTGGTAAAAATTAATCCACTCTAAACATATGCATAGAATGCTGAGAAAGTAATTGCGATAGAAAGTTCATTTAGGAATATTCCTGGAACATTCTGTTAAGCATATTCAGTTCAGTTAGGTACCTATATAATAGTAAAATATACCATAATCTACGTATAAAGGTACCTATACTTAGTATTAAATACTAAGTAAAAAACAACCCAAAATATTTTTTTATAGTTATTTGTCAAATTAAAACAATATTCGATAACAAAAATACTTTTACAGTAGGTATCTAAATTATCCGGCTTTTACATAAAATCTTCTATCCAACTTAAAAATAATGAAAAATGCTTTTTTTATGAAGAACTATTTGGTTTTTTTATAATTTACCTATTTTAAGTTAAAAATAAATATTTATTAATTTGTATACCGATTTATTATTTCTGAATTAACATTTTTATGTATAATATCCTAACTATCTTCAACTTTAATCTAATCTGACTTATCCCACAAAATTTTCCAATTTTACTTTTTATGAAATAATGTCATACAACTTATGGTTTAGAGGTCAAATTGTTTATTTAATATTTTTAAATAAATATATATTAATATGTCGCTAAATTTTTTAAGGGGACGACAAATACATTTCACTGTCATATTATGACAGTGAGACGTATTTGTCGCCTGAAGAATTTTACGAATGTAGAATCCAACATATTAGAACGTGGGTATCTGACATATTTGAAAATATTCTCAAAAGCTTCCTAGAAGCTCCATAAGAAACCTTAGTTATTCTTAAAATGTTCTTAGAATGCTTTTTAGGAAGGTTTTAAGAAGCATCTAAAAATCTAATTGCATCATTAAAAGGGTATCTATTGAATGTTTTAAAAGTCCCTAAGAACATTCTTAGCAATAAGGTTCTAAGAATATTCCATTACTCCGGGTCATATCTTCTTAGAAGATTCTTAGAATCAAATTTTGCTATCAGGGACGTGAAGACAAAACTTTGAACTAAAGGGTGGGAAGAAATCTTGATAGTCAAATTTGAAATTTGGTACTTGCCTCTGTTTCTTTGGCGTCGATCAGCGCGAAGCGGTGGTGGAGCGCGGTGAGATGCGCGAACGTCAGGTTGAGGTGCGTGTGGAGTCCCAGCAGCGCGACTTCCTTGAAGTGAGCGGCGTACAGGTGCGCCACCACGTGGAACAGCAAGCGCACTATCTTGCGCACTATCGACTCGAACGACGAGGGAAACTCGTTCGCTGCAAAAGTAATTGAATCGTAGACGAGTTCTTGTTTCGCAAAGCACACGTTTCTTACCGTATTTTGTAGGAAATATAGTTTCGTCGCTAATCGTTTTCTGAATAAACGTCATCACGTAATCTATGTACTGAGGGGCGGCTACTTTGGTTTTCTTGCCTTTTTCGTCAAACCATAAATATATTCTAAAAAAACCAAACAACAAATATTTAAAAAAAGGCCACTACAACTTTTTTTATTTAAAAAATGCCTCAACAAAATAATACCAATTAAAAATAAGACTTTTGAGACTCTTATTTTTACTTATTAAAACTTTTTCGGTCTCATTTTGCACAGGGATTTCAATTATTATTCAAATTAATTAACAATCGAAAACTTTATGGCGGCGATTTAAAGCGAAAGGGTCGGAAGAAACCTGTCGAGCACTACACTTGTCAGCTATAATATGTGCATGTGGTCATAAGTAAAAATACTTACTTTTGACCAGGGCCGGTCATATCTGGACATCCGGAGGGAGTACAAAATTCACTAACAGTTCCATATACTAAGTTGACATGATCAAATAGGGCCATAGCTGGAAACATAGAAACACGAATTATACAGAAGGTCGTGCCATTGATCTTCAAACCTTAATTTTATTTGTTAAACGGTACATAATATATGTAATTAATATAATATATTAAAATGTTAACTTGTTTTTGCTAAATTCTAAAGAATAAAAATAATTTTTAATAACCTTTATCCTACCAAAAAGTACGCCACTGATCGACTAAGAACTTTGGGCTAATCTGGTTGCCTACTTTAATTTATTATGTCATGATTGGTAGCAGCGTTTCCAGATTCTGTAAAAAAAGTTGCCAGATTTTGTTTAAATTTAGATTAATTACAAAAATGACAAAATCAACAATGCAAATTGTTAATTTGGCGTTTTTATTAATTGTTTGTCATGTTATTTTTGTAATGAAGGTAAATTCAAACAAAATCTGGCAACAATTATGACAGAATCTAGTGCATTTCTTTCAAATTTTAGGTTATGTGCTCAAATGATAAATATCTTAACTAAGGGAAGTGCTTTTGGATTTGTTTACACAAATTGAATGTTTAAAGTTTAACCTGTGATCTGATTAAACAGAAAGAAAAAAACCGATGAAAAAAATAATTTTGTGGTTATGGAGTTTTTAAAATACGTACTAAATTTTCTAATGATTGCTTAAGCTAATAGCTGGATAAGTTGTAAATTTTTTTTACAACTGGCAACGCGCAGCTACACAAGTGTGTAACCAGTGGCGTATCATAAAAAATATAAAAAACTTCTAATGCATATTTTTTCTTTATCTTTGGAAAAATATTTTTTTAAATTTTAATATATTACATTAATTACATAAAACCCTATAGGTATAATAATTATAAAAAGTAGTAAGTACATCTGACAGTAGTCGAATTTTTTGATTGGTCCAAAGTGGTTTTTTACAAGCTAGGAGGTAAAAAACTATTTTTAAAACAGCTTGGGCGATTTTCAATCACTTTAGTAGTAAAGATGAAAAAAAATGAAATCAATACTTTCATAAAACATTATTCAAGGATACTGTTGGGGAACATAATTATCATTATTGGGTAATATAAAAATACAAAGGCAAGCAATCAACAATAATTTTATTCATGTTGTATTAATTATCTAAAACTCAATGTCTTGTTTACCGAATCGGAATTGTCTTATCAATTATTTACCATTTTTATCGCCGATTTTCAAGAAAACGGCTGTGCACATTATTTTTATTCATGTGTAAACAATGCTTGAGCAATTTTTTCGTGGCAAAAATGTATCTGTGTTTAGATAAGATATTTTTATATTTTCGTTACGAGTTTAAATAGTGACAATGTAGAAAAATAAAATTTTTAAATATATTAAAAGTAATATTTCTGATGACCGATACCACGATTTTGGTCGGTTAGCGGTTGATAAAAACGAACTAATTTTGGAATGCTGTCAAAAAGCGGTAATCTTTTTTTATGGTTTGGGTGTTTTTATACACAATATTTTTAAAATTAATCCAGCAGCATTCTTTTTGAAATTATCAACTGGGACGTTTAGGTAAAAAATACTAAACTATGAATAATTATTTTCTTTGAGCTACAAAGTACTAAACAATGCGTAATAAATTAAATTTATATTTTTAGCAAATTATTCCAAGGCTAAGGGATTATACCTAATCAAAATTGTCAATGGTTTTAATATATTATTTTACCGCAATGAAAACAACTTCCTACAAAACCAAATATTTAATCATTAATTTTCCAATGTCACGTTAGAAAATATGCATTAAGTAATAATACATATACAGTTTTTTTAAAATTTGTTTATGTAGACTTTTGGTTAAACATTTTGTACTTACTGTGCGATGCTAGCCATTCATTGTAGTCTAAACCTGCTGGCAAATCTACCAACAACCTCATGTCTGTTTCTGGTAATTTTCTTTCGAGGACTTGCGCCTCTAAGTACAATTTATTGTCGCCCCCCGCATTTGTCTCGGCTCCTTCTTTTTCTTTACGTCTAGCTTTACTGTAAAAAAAAAGAAAAAAATTATTTACATTTTTAAAATGAATATCTCTAAATTTAAATAAAGGGTGTGTTTATATAGCTAGCTCATTTAAAATAAGAAAAAATGGGATGACAATGACAATAGTACTAGATTTAAAAATAAATATTTTTCATTTAAGCTTGAATTATCGACCATTTTGTTTTTTAATAAACCCCTTTCTTTTCGTTGTTTAATATTTTTGTCGAAAATGTTTAAAAATTGTAGAATCTGATAAAAAATCCTTAAAACTGTAATTTTTTAAAACCTGGCCATAAGTAACGAAGATAAAAAGTTTGCGTAAAAACAAAAGAAGGTTGATAATAAAAAAAAAAATGTTTTTGACTAATATTTAAATAGGTACCTATGATGTTTTATAAAGTTAAATATGCCTCTTAATACATAGCATATTTGTTCCTTAAAGACAAAATAAAAAATAGATGAATTTATGTATCTAATAAACTAGTTATACATCAACAAAATTTCACCTGCCAATAGTATATTAAAACCTGGTTTTTAAGATAACAACAAAATTTCACCTGCCAATAGTATATTAAAACCTGGTTTTTGAGATAACCCTGTATGTTAAAGTTACCTTTAATAAGGAAAACTTATTTCAAGTATTTTTGTTTGGATAATTAATATTTTATTTGAAATATAACACCCTGTATCTCAGAACTCTACTAAAACCCGGGTTTAAATTAAAACTTTCATTTAAACTTCTAAAGATACAACTACACCATTTAGAATTCAACAGAAGTTATAGATTATTCTAGATTTTTAACAATCTAAAATATATGAATTATTTTTGTCCTCATAAATATGCCATAAAAAACAAAAGTTTACTTTATTTGACAAAATAATGAACACCTGGTGAAACAGGCACAAAAATTTTAATTTTAATTTTTGATTCTTTAAATAACTAGTAAACAAACAGTACCTATACTGTTTATATTACAAAACTAATTTACATTGTTCTATGTTTAAAAAACACTCAATTTGAAAACACCCAGTATACCTAGGTACATTTATTATTATTTACCGACAAAAACAAGTGACTGTTTGCTCAAAATCCAAAGGCAGCACCCTGACTTGACTCTCGAGTTTACTTCTGCTCAAACTTTTTGCCAACCACATGTCAATTAATACTATTTTAGCAAAAGTAAAATCTGAACTGAACTTTGAAATCGGCTACATGAAATGAAACCTTACGACACAAAACTAATTTTATAGATTGGATTTCAATTTTCACAGAAAACGTTCATGTTCTGTGTGTAATATAAAACATTTTATGGGTTTAATGGGGGAAGGAATTAGCTAAATTAAATTTCAAATTGACTAACCATTGCTGCTTTATTGGATTCGCTATTTTTAGAGCTACACAAACAATACAGCAATTAAAACAAAGAATTAAAACCCCTGTATAATAGATATGGTGTGTTTTTGTAAGTCTACCAGGTCAAGGGCATATCTAAGACGTGTTTACACGTAAATAATAATTATTATTATTCGCATCTAGGATTTAATTTCGTTAAATTGATGTTTAGTTTTAATGAAAATTTCATTTGTTTTAATGTTGACACTTGTGACCTTGAAAATTACCAAATAAAGTAATCAAACTGTATGCACAAAGCCAAATAAAGAAATAATTTACCTGTGTACATTGAGTTTGTGTATTTAACTATAAATAATGCAAATAAACGGTTTCATTATTCTTTGTTGCATTATATCAAAACCAAGTCAAGGAGCAAAGTTTAAAATTAAAATATTTAAATTTGGTACAAAAAGAAAATATTTCAAAATAAAGGAAAATAACCTTACGCAATGTATCGCAGTGTTATTATCGATTTACACATCCTGTTTGTTCGAAATTCGTTTGATACCACCAATTAACACCTACGCATAACCACAGGAAAACCCAAAATTATAAATTTAAACCTTTTTAGAGCCCCAAATCTGCCCCAACAATATCTGTTGTATTTTTAAGGTTTTTACTTACCCAATAAACCAGTCGACGGTATCGCGAAGATATTCAGGTAGTCGCTCCAGTTTGTCAGTCTATTTTCCACTTTAGTTGAAATAAATACGAAAAAACACAAATAAACAGCCAAAATTCACACTCTCAGCTGATCTCTATATTTCGTCACTATTTCACAGTATATCACTTGTCACGCGTATTGCACTTGTAATTTAACGTTTTTAAACACTAATTAATATTCACAATAAAATGTACGCACTGTATTTTACTTTTAAAACCTTGTGTTCAATCGAAACACTCGCCTGTTCAAGAATGAAATCATCGTCAAAAATCGCAAATCAACTCCATATTTATTTCTCGCAATGCTGCCAATCGATACAAAATTAATTGTTAAAAAAAATTAAAATGTGCCAAATAAAGGATTGATTGATTTAACAAAAATACACAACATGTTTTGTTTATTATTATGTGCAGGTAATTGGCAATAAAAGGATTATATAGTTAATTCATTTATTTTAAATTATTTATTTTGTTTGTTGGGTTGGTATACCTGCAATCCAAAAACGTTTAAAAGATAAGTCGATTTAAATTCATGTAAATAGAAGTAAAAATCAATAATCTCTCTAAAATATTTAATAATAAATGTTGAAATGTGTGTATTTAATAGGATTTTAAGATTAATGTTGACGTTTGTTTAAACGTCTGTCAATTTTTTAAATGTCCTTAGTGTAACTGTCAAGTTATTTGTCAAAATCCAATATTTATTGCTATTTACAAAAATAATTTATATTTACAAACTATAAGACTTGTATGTGTTTTTCTATAATATGCTTATGACCTAAGATTCAATGGGTAATTATAATTCATTAAATTACTATGGTATAAGGTTATTTTAAACAAAATGGTGTTTGTTGCAAAACAGTTATAACATTAATATTTCTTGTAAAATAATATACTAACGCTTTACTAATTTTAGAGGAAAGCCCGGAAACTCTCGATTTATCGAATAAAAAGCTCAAAAAACTTAATAAACCTAACCCCAATGAATGTCATGTAACTTCAATAATTTTGGATGATAATGAATTGCAAAGATTGGATAATATCGATTCCTTTTACAAGCTGCAAAAGGTATATAATATTTATTGTTTTCAATATTAGTATATATAATTGTGTTTATTGCAGCTTTCGGCTGTAAGAAATCAGCTATTGCGAATGTATGGAGTCTGTAGATTACATTCTTTGAATACGTTAAATTTAGCAAATAATGGAATTTTGACTATTGAGGGGTTAAAGGACTTGATTTGTTTGAAGTGGTTATGTTTGTCGGGGAATAGCATTAAGGTGAATTGCCATAAAAGTGCTTATATAAGTTATAACAATGTTTTTTAGACCATTGAGCATTTACATACTAATACAAACTTGGAATACTTAGATTTATCGGAAAATAGTATTTCTTTTGTTGGGGATTTGTCATACTTAAAAAATCTCAAGGTAACAATAATTGTACATCATATTTTATCATTGTAATGATATATGTTGCTTATTTTAGGAATTGTATCTTCATAAAAACAAAATTAACCATTTAAGTCAGTGTGATCGTTTTCTGCCCATCTCATTAACCACACTAACACTTTCTAACAATAATATATCCGATTTGAACGAAATTTCACGATTGGTGAATTTGATACATCTAACGAAAATTTCTATTGCTAACAATCCTTGTGTTAACATGACAGGAAGCAATGTGTATCCTTTTTACATTTAAAATGCTTTTTACATGAAAGCTAGGTACCTGGGTGAATAGAAACAGTATTCCTCAACTTTAAATGATTATTTTTATTGACTTAATTTTGTGTTACATTCTGTGAACCAAAAATTGTCGTTTTCACTTTCACCTTCATCTTAAACATGTTGAGTATTTTAAAAAGATTGTTTATGGCAGCTATTACTAATAAAATAATATTGTTTCAAACATATATGGTAATGGAACAAATGAAAGTATATTAGAACCAATTTTCGAGTTTATTTATTATTTATTTAATAAAATTTGGAATTTAAAACACGCAATTCTTTGTTTGCAAAGCTTTCAAAGTGTTTTTAAACATTTTCTTTAAATTTGTTTCACTATTCACCTTGTTTATGGTAACCTTAAAATTTAAACAATATTTTTTTGGGTATATGCACAATCCACACAACAAGGTCTGTTCTATCTTGTTTTGTGCATACAAAAAATCATTGTAACTGCACAAAATTTACAATTCTTGTGCTTTTTATACAGATTAAAAATCGTTTTAAACGTTGTGTTTCCTACAAAGGCACTTGTACTAATTAGTACTTAGTACTAAGAACAACCATTTTACTCCCCTTTTGTAAAAAATAAACCTTATTGTATCAGGGCTGTCATCAAACTGTCAAATTTAAATTTGTGGGTTATGGTAAATTAACATTCAAATTTGACAGTTTGATGACAGCCCTGAGAATAATAATAACAAGGTTTATTTTTACCAATTGAGGAGTAAAATGGTTGTTCTTAGCACTTTAAGGCCTCATTTGAGGAACAACATAAAAATGGCCGCCGTTAGATTCTATGTTGTGTGGATTGTGGGCATATGTTTATGTATTATATTAATGCAAATTTTAAATAATTTCTTTAACATTTTCATGCAGTGGCTTTGATTACCGTCCTTTTGTTATAAACTGGTGCTTAAACGTTAGTGTTATAGATGATTATGTGGTAGATGCTATAGAAAGGTAAAAAATACAAAATATATTAGTGGTAATTTTAAAGAACATTTACATCTGATATTTATTGCATGATATTTATCTGACATTTAAGCTGTCAAAAACATTATGAAATGTACAGTTTTTTTTGTATTTGGAATTTGACAACGTCAAAAATTTGGGGGTTTAGTTGGCAAATTCTAGGGACCCTAAATTTATAATTCGCTACCTTGAGTAAAACAATATAATTTAGTAGATTTCTGCAGCACAAATAAATTATTTCATTAAAATGCTGGTTTGTTTATTATAATTCTAACAATTAAATGATAATGTGAATGTAAAATCAAGGCATTGAAAAGTAGTACCAATATTAAATATTAAAAATACCAACATAATCAAATTTGCCAAATTCCAAATAAAAAAACAAACTGTTACATGAAATGTACAGTACATTTCATAATGTTTTGACAGCTTAAATGTCAGATAAATATCACGCAATAAAAGTATCTGTCAGTTAATTTAATCTTATCTAAAAAATTTAAAATACAATGTATAATATATTAGGGTCTTAATTTTTAAAACAAAAAGTACATACAGTGTGGCCCATTTGTTTGCGACTCACCCCTGTAAAATCTTTATTTATTTTGCGATTTTAACCGCATTTGTTTTAAAATGTACCTAGATCTAGATAAACTATTTTTGGAGCAAAAAACGCCATATTTTTACAAAATACAACGCCTAGCATGTCAGAGTAAATTTTTAAGAATTCATATTAGCGATTTTTTTAAACAAAATCCAAGCACGGCACTGGATTCACCACCCCTCAAAACCACCATTTAATAAATTTTATTGAAAAATTTTAAGTAGAAAAATTCACAACAATAACTACAAAAATTTATTCTGTTATCCATGAAAAAACATTGAAATAAAATTAATGGTACTATTTCTATAAGTTTAATTTTATTTCAATGTTTTTTCATGGATAAATTTTTGTAGCTATTGTGCATTTTTTTTCTTTAAATTTTTCAAAAAAATTTAGTAAAGGGTCGTTTTGAGGGGTAATATGAATTCTTAAATATTTACTCTTATAAACTGACATAGTAGGCAAATATGGAGTTTTTTGCTCAAAAAATACAGTTTATCAATCCTGTTAAAATCGCACAATAAATAAAGTTTTTACAGGGGTGAGTCGCAAAAAAAAATGGGTGAAACTGTATGTTGTATTATTTTCGGAAAATAAGGCGTTTAAGTGACAGATACATAACCTCAATTATTTCACTGCATTTAAATGTCAGTGGGACTTTTTGATTCCCTCTAGAGTTCATACTGCTTGTGAAGACTTCAGAGAAACTAGTACCTACTTAATGCAGTTACAAATTTCATTAATTCTATTTTTGAGGTGCCCTGGCAAAAATCGTGCATTACCACTTTCTTTTACTGTACCTTTACAGCCTTCAGAAATCCTAAAAATCGTTTATTTCTAGCTTGAGAGCTGAATGGCTGTATTCCCAAGGCAGAGGCAGACACTATAGGGTGGGAGACCAATCAGAGTTGACTCAATATTTGGCGTCGGTTTGTCCTCTCGGGGGGGAGGCCTTGGAAACCGAGGACGACAGAAAATTGAGGTTAATTTTGAGCAAGGCTCAGCACCATCAGCAGCAGCTCAAGGAACAAGGGGGTAAGCAGAAAATACCTATAACATGTTTGTTTTTTATTAATTTTTTGTTTGCAGATACGCCTGCCCCTTCTCCAGTGACAAGGAAAAAATTACAGGCCAGTAAGAATTCCCCCAGGCTCAATTGTAAGTGTATATACAAAGTACCTAAAAAGTAATTTTTAATTTTCTTCTCTTAGCTTCAAGACTGAGTAACAAGCTGAAGTCTCCGGACAGGATGTCGTCTAGTTGCTATGGCGGAAACAGCGACTACGATAAATCCAACATTATGTCGCTAAGTTTGGATTCCACCATGCTGAGACAGAATTTGAACAAGTCCGCTAACGATACCAACAATTATATTATTTCGGAAAAATATTTAGGTAAGAAATGCATCTTTTAAAATTTATTTTTCTAGTTTGTGGCAAGATTTATTTTTAGTTAAATATTATGGCAAATAATTATAATAATCCAAGTTAAACAAATATATTAAAAAACCTATTATATTTTTAAATTATTTTTTTTAATAAAGATTTAGAATTAATACAATCCAGACTTAAAAAACTCGCTGCAAAATTAATATAAAAAGAAATATAACTGAGTTAACAGATAATTAAAAATCTCAAGCAATATTTTTATTATTCCTTAATTTTTAAGTAAGAAAGAATCATTTGCAACTTTTATTCTACTAGACAAGTTTATAAACGAGTTGCATACTATACTTTTTCTAAGACAAATACTATTATCTAAAAAATGATTTAAATTAAATATTTGTATAAAGCGACATCTATACGAAAATAAAGTAACCATCCCAATAAACATTTTTATCGTAATTGTCACCATAAACATTGTCCGTTATTATTTTAATTAAACTTAACAATTATTGATACTTTATTAAAATATCTTTAGAATATGATTATGTTAAGAAAATATTTTATTCTTTGATTTTTTTAATAGTATAATTGCAAAATATCACAAAGTATTAATTGGAATTCCCGTTAGAATTTGTACCGGCGTTAAAATCTCAAATTTTTCTGTGTAAATCAAAATTTATCCCTTGAAAATAGACTAACAATCGATATAGAAGCAGTTTTTCACAGTAAAAGAGAAGAGAATGTTTTATGGGCACTGTACACACAATTTTTAACGCTTTATCAGTTAAATCTAGTTAACTGCACTAGTACGGCGAAATCAAAAGGTCAGTACAAACGTTCAAATATACTTTTCAAATATTTGTGTCATACTTTTTTTTGTATTGAGATAATAAAATAATTTTCACATTTAGTATTGTTTTACAAAAATGGCACTTTATTTTAACGACTGTATGACATTTGACAACTACAATGCCTAATTATAAAACTTAAATTCAACCATTTCTGAAATATTCGCATTTGAAACGTTATCATCAAATATTTTTTTAAACTGTTAAAGATCACAAAATGTTTTTGAAAATAAATAACTATAGTGACATTATGTCAAAATGTCTTGTTAAGTAAGTAAAAATGCCGTACTCAGACAGAGAGAGACAAACTATTTTAACTTATTATCTTAAAAATAATTTACATACCTATTTTAGAAACGGTTGAATTTAGGTATATGGTATGTTATATGAATTATGCTAAGAATTTTGTGATACATTTAGAAAAAATAAAATTTTTGTTTTTCTTTGCGTATTGATCAATTTTCCAATTTTTTTATACATAAAAAAAGTATTTTTCAGTACCTACCTATATAAATTTTTTGCGACATTTAAAATAAAATAGTTAAAAGGGGTCGACATTATAGGGGATCACCCTGTACAAAAGTGATATTTTTTTATATTTTTCCTATTTTTTAAGTACAATGTAGAGTTTTTTTTATTTAATTACAAAAATTCATTTGCATACTTTGTTTCTCCTAAAATTCTACTAAAATTCTCAGAAAAATCCTAAATTCCTAAACAGAGCTGCAAGCTCTCAGAAAACTTAAATCGTTTTTTTGATTTAAATCGTTTTAACGACTTAAGTCATTTGGTAATAAGTCATTTCTTAAAAACTGACTTAAGACTTAAAATTTAAGTAATTTTCAAAATGATTTGTGACTTAAATATTTTTTTCAAAATAGAAAAAACTTAAGTCATTTATAAAAGGCTTAAATCAGTACATACGATTTAAGTCAGATAGAAACGATTTAAGTCAAAAAAAGATTTAAGTCTTTTTGAAAAAGATTTAAGTCTTTTTGAAAAAGATTTAAGTCTTTTTAGAAAATATTTAAGTCAAATTTTTCATATATTTTTTTATAAATTTTTAACAGCGGCATTTTTATTTGAACTGCCAGAGGTTCACGCGGCAGCAGATCAAAAACTCCTTTAATTTCCTACCTACAATTGCTACCGCTAGTGGATAAAAAACCGCCGCGGTAAAGTTAGCTTTTTGGAACCGTTTGACGGCTACATTAAAAAATGTCCTGTCTAAAATGAATTAAAAAAGTGGGGATTTATAATCTTGTTATTTTGTTTGCTAACATTCGTCATGTTCGTGCGTAGTTATGTTAAAATCGTTGTATTGACTTAAGGGTAATTATTTTGATTTAAATCACAATTTTTGATTCAAGTCATTTTATTGACTTAACTTTTAGATCACGATTTAAATAAAAAATATAGACTTAAGTCATAAAAACGACTTACTAAAGGAATTAGGTCATAAGATGACTTAAATCACTTTATATTGATTTAAGAATTTGCGAAAATGACTTGACTTGAAAGAAAATGATTTAATTCAAAGACTTAATACTTAAATCATTTGAACTTTATCTTAGAATTGACTTAAGTCTTAAGATTTAAGTCTTTTTAAAACTGACTTGTTGCAGCTCTGTTCCTAAAAAAACTGTAATTTAGCTAACTTCAGCTCGAGCTATCTTCTAACTGTTTAAAATAGTTCTAGAGTAACATAAAAACATCCTAAAGGACAAATTTTTTGTTCTAGAATGCGAACCGGTAAACAGCCCGTTGCAGGCGCTGTCGAAAATGGTGCCGGTACCGGAATCGCTCATGTCGCCGGACTTCCGGCCCGGCAACTTGATCGGCGCGAACGCCCACTGCGCATCGAGGACGGCCGCGTCCACCATACCGACGCCGGCCGGCAACAAAACGGCGCAGGCGCACCAGCAGCAACCGAGGACGGCGACGCCGGTCTCTCTCCGCTCGCCGAAGCCGAATCGGCCGACGCCGGGCCGAATGCGGCCGCAGCAGCTGGGCAGCGAGGCGAGGAAATCGGGCGGGGGGTCCCCCAGTCCCGCCAGGCAGAGGAAGTTCGGCAACAACGGGAACGTGAGGTGAGGAAACGTCAAAATTGAGTTAACTTAACGATTACGTTTATTTTCTTAAAACAATGTTTAGTTTTACTTTTTTGTAATAAAGGATAGTTTTTTGAATTAAAATAATGTTATATTGCTACTTTTTTCAAATATTTTTTTTTTATTTATTTATTTATTAAACCTTAAAAGAATACAGGATCCATACTTTAGTAGCAGTTAGTTTTTGTTTTTTTTTTAAATAACAAATAACTAATATAAATTATTTAGAAGTAGATATAAAATAATTTAAAAATATCACAGCATTTACACAGAGAAAGATTTATTATCTTATATTATTTCTTATTGATATATAGTGTTCTTGAGCCAGAGAAGTAAATTTTTTTAGATATGTATATTTTCGACACTTTAAAACTTAAAACTTGGCAGGCAAGAGACGCCTAAGAAAACGATCCTGCGTAAATCCCCGAGCAGCGACGAGGAATCGGAGATGTGCGACTCGAAGTTGCAAACCATCCATCTGAAAGCCGAGGAGCGGCGGAAAGAAAAAGACGCCGAACTGTCTAGCAACTGCAGCAACGAGGACAAGGTCGAGCAGGCCGTGGTTTTCATACAGAAAATGTGGAGGGGTTACTACACGAGGAACAAGAACAAGGAGATCCAGGAGATGTTCAGGACGTTGCAAAATCAGAGGGCTAACCAGTATATTCAGTAAGTAAATAGCAATTTTTTATTTTTGTATTTTTTCATGTTTTTTTTATTTTATTGATTCTACAAGGTGTCCCTGAAAATGCTATATAATTTAATTTAAATTGAAAGTTAGTTTTCGATTTTATTAAAAAATGCTCTTGTACATTTAAAGAAGAAAAAGTTAAAACAAAAACATAATCTACAAACCTATTTTTTTCCAAATTTTGTTTATTTAGGGGTGTTATTATATTACATTACCTAAAAGTGGGCAGTTGGATTTTATTTAAATAAGCCCTTATAAAAGAAAAAAATGGTCCCCTGGGTCACAAATTTACTAACACAATAAAAAAACTTATATAAAAAAAGGTTTATTTTACACTAGGATTTGTTAAAAAAAAGGACATAAACTTATTATTTATAAAAAAATGTTGAATACAAAACTAAGAAAAAGCAAAAACTATGTTCTATTTCTCAACTTTCTTACATACATAAGTATTTTTAATATATTTTCTGCATTTAAAAAATATCCAGAAATTTTCTTTTAATGCGTATTATAACGTTTTTTCTCGATTATAAATATAAAAATTTGTATTTTTGCCCTTAAAACCATTACTAGGATACTTTCTTTTGAGAATCAAACAAAGTCCAACTGGTACCTTTACTACTCTTTATTACTGTGACACAGTTTTGCCTCGCTGGTATAAAAAATACAAAAAAACGTGTTGTGGCTTCAAGGTAGTTAAAATCACCATTTCCTACTAAAATCCGTTACTAATACATTGCCGCAAGGGGGCAGCACCAAAAAATGTGCGCTTAATTTATAAGGTCATTTATAAAAGCTGTGACCCAGGAGACGTGATCTAGGGCACCAGAAATGGGCTTATTCTGTAATAATTCTTAACTATACAGTGTGACCCATTTGTTTGCAACTCACCCCTGTAAAATCTTTATTTATTGTGCGATTTTAACCGGATTTATTTTAAAGTGTAGATCTTGATAAACTGTATTTTTGGAGCAAAAAACGCCATATTTTTACAAAATACAAGGCCTACTATGTCAGTTTTTAAGAGTTAATTTTTAAGAATTCATATTAGCGATTTTTTTAAACAAAATCAAAGCACGGCACTTGATTCACCACCCCTCAAAACGACCCTTTACTAAATTTTATTGAAAAATGCTCAATAATAGTACAAAAATTTATTCTGTCAAGTTATGCATGAAAAAACATTGAAATAAAATTAAACTTATAGTAATGGTACCATGTTACCATGTTGCTCCAAAAATACAGTTTATCAAGATCTACACTTTAAAACAAACCCGGTTAAAATCACACAATAAAAAAAGATTTTACAGGGGTGAGTCGCATACAAGTGGGTCACACTGTATAAAAAAGGGGATGTTATTTTACTGTAAGGTGTTTAAATAGCATTATGTACTGTTGGGGAAAGTTTAATTTTTGTAGGGTTAAATTTAAAATTTTACAATTTTGCTAATATATATTTGCTAAAAACACTTAAACCAATTGATTTCGCTTAGTAAAGTTCCAAATGGTGTTAAACTCAATTTCTTATAAAATATTAAAGTTAAGGGACAGCAAATGTACGAGAAATATGAAAATAACCCATTAACATAACTTTTATTTGACACTTTGATTTATAAAATTATAATTTTGTAATTTAACAGTTATAGTTACTATAAATCGGATATTTTCAATGGATTTTTTTTGCAAAAAAGACCCAACGGACAGTATATTTAACGTTTACGTTAATTTTCTTAAATCAATTTAATTTGAAAGTTTTATTTTTTTGTTATAAAGGATATTTTTTTTCATTGAAAGTTAGTTTTCGATTTAAAAAATGTCCAGAAATTTTCTTTTAATGCGCATTAAAAACGTTTTTTCTCGATTTTAAGTATAAATTTTTTTATGTTTGCCCTTAAAACCATTACTAGGATACTTTCTTTTGAGAATCAAACAAAGTCCAACTGGTACCTTTACTACTCTTTATTACTGTGACACAGTTTTGCCTCGCTGGTATAAAAAATACAAAAAAACGTGTTATGGCTTCAAGGTAGTTCAAATCACCATTTCTTATAAAATATTAAAGTTAAGGGACAGCAAATGTACAAGAAATTTGAAAATAACCCATTAACATAACTTTTATTTGACACTTCGATTTATAAAATTATAATTTTGTAATTTAACAGTTATAGTTATTATAAATCGGATATTTTCATTGTTTTTTTTTTGCAAACAAGACTTAACCGACAGTATATTTAACGTTTAAGTTAATTTTCTTAAATCAATTTAATTTGAAAGTTTTGTTTTTTGTTATTAAGGATATTTTTTTACATTAAAATAATGTTAAGTTGTTAATTGCTACTTTTTGAAATGTGTATATTTAAAAAAAACAATTTTTTTCCAAAAAAGTCCAATTTTTCCAACCCCATTGATTTAATTCACGATTCGTAAACCGTAAAAAATTAAACTCTTCTTCTTAAGAAAACTGGCGTCGGACATGGAGAACACGAAGGCGGCGCTGGAAAGCGAGCGCAAGATCCAGATGCTGCAGACGGAGGCGATCAGCGCCCTCTGGAAGAAGATCTCGGCGATCCAGCCGGGCGCGCCCGAGCCCGCCGCCATGCCCGCCGCCGTCAGCATGACGAACCTGTCGTCGTTCGGCAGCAACGCGGAGGTGGTCAAGGAGCTGGCACAGACGTGCACGATGCTGCAGGGCCAGATACAGCAGCTGCAGTGCTCGATGCAGGACATCGTCAAGGTGATGACGGCCTTCAGCCAGAGCGCCGCGGCCAATCAGCTTGCAGCTAGCAAGGAGAACGGCATCGCCACTCAGACGGAGATCGTCGCCGTGCACACGCCGCAGGTGAGTTTGTTTTTTTTTTTCAAATTATAAAAAAACTTTCATAAAATCGGTTGTTTTTTATGAATAAAAACAAAACAATTTTTGACAAGGACAAGTGTCGCCATCTAGAGTGTCTTAAAGACACCATAGTAGCATACAAACTCCTAGGTTGGACAAAAATACTTTCTGACACAAAAAAAATGGGAGATTTCTATTATCGTCGTTTGACAGCTTAGCTGCACAGTTTTGGTTTTTAGTGATCGGCCATATTAAGCGCAATTACAAAACTGTTTTTATAAAAATAATTGTAGATAATTTATTATATTATATTTTGTCATCAAAATTTTCAAAAACATTCTTCTTTTATTAGGCTATACATTAAATAAAAAATACGCAAGAAATATTTTATAAAAGTAGAGAGTTTTAATAATTATTAAAATTATCTCTACATTTATAAAATATTTCTTGCGAATTTTTTATTTAATGTATAGCCTAATAAAAGAAGAATGTTTTTGACAATTTTTTTTTATAAAAATAGTTTTGTTATTCCCGTCTGCATGCCTGAAATGGCCCAATGGTGTTTTTGAGAAATTTGCAAATTTTTTTTTATGAAAAATTATATCAAGTGATACATCATCTGAAAGGGCCTTTAAAACAAGCTATTACTCAATGTTCTGTGATAAGCAGTTCCTGAGATATATGCAGAGGCAAAAATAGTAAATTTCTTATTTTTAAAAATCCATAAAAGAAAAACTACTGTTCAAAAAATTTTAACATTTTGGGTTTTCTAGTTTTTCAGGAGGTAAAACAACTTTACCAAAAATAATCAAAATCGAAAATATTATAAACAAAACTTTGATATGAAATTACTCTGATGTAAAAAAGGTTGTTTTTTCAAATTTGAACAAAACATTGTTTTTTATCAAATTAGAAAAAAAACTTTCATATTAATTAAAGAAGAGTTTGTTTTTTATGAAAAAAAACCAAAACAATGTTTGACTAGGACAAGTATCGCCATCTAGAGTGTCTTAAAGACACCATAGTAGCATACGAACTCCTAGGTTGGACAAAAATACTTTTCGAGTCGGAAATTCGTCGTTAGACAGCTAAGCGGCACATTTTTAATTTTTAGTACTGTTAACTTTCGGACAATACGGGATTTTGTGCCTATCTTCCCAGGCTGGGAAATTTCCGTAAAAATTAAGCCGGCGTTTTTTTCAGGAAAAAAAATGGAGAAATTGTGAAATTTTCAGATAAATTGATTTTTCATTTAATTCAAAGGGTAATACAAAAGTGAATTTTTCTGAAAATTTTCAAATTTTACAGATAACATCCATACACTGATATCATGATATGGAGAAAAAAGTGAATTTCCGACTCTGATTATAATCATAATATTATATTATTATAATAGTTATTCCTCCTATTTAAATATTAAAATATTTTAATTCGGTTAGAATATTCGACCAGACCGCAAAACCATATTTGGTGCTATATTACCATAATTATCGTTTCATTTAACACATCGATTTATAAAATTAAAACTTTGTATTTTAACTTTATAAATCATTCATTTTTTTGTATGGTATATTTTCAATGGACTGCCATTTTCAAAAAAAAAAACAACCGACGGTATATTCGTTTATTTTCTTAAATCAATTAAATTCAATTTATTGTTTAGTTTTATTTGTTTTTTTCTGTAATAAAGTATATTTTTTGAGTTGTTGTTTGCTACTTTTATTAAAATGTGTATAATTTCCGAAAAAAAAATCATTTTTTCCCAAAAAAAGACGATTTTTCCAAGTCTCCTTCATAGTTTTTTGGGGTACAGCGTCTTCTGCCGTTATGTGGCGCAACTATTTTCGGGGAATACTATTTTCTTACGAATAGGCAGAGCCGGGAAAGTTACTTCTGAATGGTATCTAGTTACTTTTCTAAGAAACTTTAAACAAAATAACTTAGATATCTCTGGTAACTAGATTCTTTGAGTTAAAAGTATCTTTAGTTACAAGATACTTCAAAAAAGTATCTAAGATACTATCCGAAAGTATCTAAGATACTATATGAAAGTATCTAAGATACTTTTGAGTAACTAAGATACTTTTAAGTAATTAATATACTTTTGAGTAACTAAGTTACTTTTAAGTATGAATAAAAACTATAAAATTACAAAAATTCAACAAGTTGTAGGTTAGGTAATTACTTTTAATCATTCTGGAATTCCCCCAATTTTTTCTAAGAAAGTATATAAGTTACACTGAAAAGTATCTAAGTTACTTTAAAAAGTATCTTAGTTACTTTAAAGTATCCAAGTAACTTGAATGTATCTAAGTTACTTTACCGAGTAATATTTTTTAAATACAAGTTTCAAGATACTTTTCCAAAATAACTAAGTTAAAGATACTTTCTGTCCAATATAAAAATTATTTAAGATAAGTATCTAAGTTACTTTTAAGTATCTTTTTTTCAAGATAATGCGTTAACAGTCATACTGCGTGCAATAATTTTTGAAGAACAAAAAACGGTTTTTTTTGTAGTAAATGTAGGTATTTTTTCGAACACTCTAGAGCGTAAATTTCCAGGGCGATGCCGGTAAGCATTTTCCGTTTCAAAAGCAAACGCGGCCGTCGTCGCTCCCTCTGCCGGTGAGCGCCAGAAAAAAGGACGGCTCGACCTCGTCGAGTAACGGAGCGAACGCGTCTCTCAACTCCGAACTCAAAACTTACGCGGGAAATCTGGTCGACGGCGTCATCAGAACGGTTTCGGAAAACAAAGAAGCGACCCTAGCTGCGGCTGCGGCTGCCTCGGAAAATACCGAAAAGTCCCGAGACGACGACGAGTAATTAAGTTAAGTACAAATTTTTCTGTCTGTGTTACTAGTTTTACTTTTGTTTCGGACTCGTTTAAATTTTTAGCTTAAGAGTAATTTATTTCTTGTTTTTAATTTAAGTTTTACCACATTAGTCCCAAAAGGCATCTTTTAGAATTCACCTTGTTATATTAATATTTTGCAATAAAATGAATGGTTTACACTGATCTTAGTTTCCTTTGTTTTTTAGAACATAGCGACGTGGTTTTATTAGTTAAAATAGATACATAAGCTTATTTCTTAATCTACAATTTTTCCTCATGTTTATATAATATACAGGGTGTTTATACTGGGGTGTATTAAAAAGCGATAAAAAATTATCTCAAAAATAAAAATAAAGTAATACATATTACACCCAGGTGCACCCTGCATAAACTCAACCAAAGATGATCATTATTGTAACTAAAGACTTTTCACATTTGTATTCTTATTAATAAACCCAAACAATATTTTTGTTATTAATAAACATACTTTTTTGGGCCCATTAATAGGAATAACTTTTAAACAAATATATCCTCTCTTATATTATTAAAGTTAAAGTACGTCAAATCAGGTCTATTTTGTACGAATTTCCACAAAATAATAAATATATTCACTTACCTATTTTACAGATAACTCACCACAATATTGTGTAAAATATAATTACGAATTCTTTAAAAATAATCTTTTATATATTTATATTTTTTATTGTTGGCTTTAATGAACACTGGCACTGGAAATGATTTTAAACGAAAAAAGTATTGCAATGTTGTGAAGCTTTAATAATAAATGTTGGAAGCTATGTTTTTTCTTTTATTGACCACCAAATATGGTACTTTAATTAAGACTCTAAAACGCCTTTACTAATCTTTATAAAATTTTGGATAAAAATACTTATATCTCAGTTTACGTGTTCAAGGGTTTTTCGAGAAAATATTCTTAAAGCCTTTTTATTTAACAATAAAACGCTCGAAAAAAAACTTTTATAGGGAATTTTTTTGAAGTAAATAAAAAATATTCTGTGAAAGACCGTATTTTTGTTAGTATACCCTGAAAATTTTGTACAAATCAGTGACGAAGAAACAGCTCTTCAAAGTCGGTAAAAATGACCACTTTTCAGCAAAATAATCAAAAATTGGTCATTTTTACCGACTTTGAAGCGCTGTTTCTTCGTCACTGATTTGTACAAAATTTTCAGGGTTTACTAACAAAAATACGGCCTTTAACAGGATGTTTTTTATTTAATTAAAAAAAATCCCTAAAAGTTTCAAAGATTTTTTTATTATTAAATACAAGGGCTTTAAACGTATTTTCTCGAAAAACCATCGAAAACGTAAACTAAATTACTTCCAATAGAAAACAATTTCTTTAGAAAATAGTGGAAGATTGGAATAGTAAACCATTTGGATTAAACAAATTTATTGGATTTAAAATAATTTATTATAATAAATTAACAAAACATGCAACAATGAACTACATAGGTAAATATGTAAATCTGAAATAAATAAAAAATACCAATTTTCTATATAGCAACTATCTTCAAAGTAAATAGAACTTTTTTATTTATATATCTGTCACAGATAATCTGTGTATAAAGAAGGAAAGTACCTCTAAAAAAAGTACTGCTATTTGTTTTTAAAATAAATCCACTTACTATCCTTAACATCAATTTTTTCCCATACTACGGAAATGTATTTGATTTCCAGGTTTTTCTCTTTTGGCATTGTTTTTACAGATTTTCACTTAGCAGGTAGAAATTTAAAAAAAAATCCCTAAAAGTTATATTTTAAACGTTTTTTTATTAAATAAAACGTAAACTGATATATGTTCTGAATTACTTCCAATGAAACCAATTTCTTTAGAAAATAGTGGAATATTGGAATTAAATTTGGATTAAACAGATTTATTGGATTTAAAATAATTTATTATAATAAATTAACAAAACAGGCAACAATGAACTACATAGGTAAATATGTAAATCTGAAATATATAAAAAATACATCCACTAAAAATACGATTATACATAATAAAATTTTACACTTATATCACATTAAAAGTTACTGAAACAACCTGGAAAACACCTTTTTCTCTTGTTTTAAATAAACCAATTTGGTTTTTTTCGTCAGCTCCAAAAAATCCTGTATATTTTTATCGTTGGGGTGTAAAGTTATGGCTGTATTTAAATCGTCCAAAGCCTTGTCATAGTCTTTGCTGCCCAGACGCGCCTGCGCGCGCCTATAGTACGCCTTACCATTGCCGGGATGAGACTCGATAACCTAAAACATATTCTCTCTCGAATCTTCGGATCAAAGAGAGGGCACGGTGCTGTTCTGAGAGGTGATTTTTGGACTTTCTGTGAAACCTAATTTTTTTATATATTCTTGTTAATTAGGTCATAACTAAAATTTTAAGAGCAAAATAAAAAAAATTTGACGGTTTGTTTTAATTGGCTGTTTATTAAAAATATTATGCACTCTTTCAATTATACTAGCGATTTAATTTAAATATTTAATATTTGCATAACTAAAAAAAAGGTTTTTACAATTTTTTTTATATATTTTACTGTTTTGTTGCAATAAACGTTCAAACTTTTAATCTAACCTTTGACGTATACATGTATGTTCCCTTAATTAATATATCCTTAAAGGTTGCCATGAAACTTAGATCTATTAAAAATTTATTTGACGTTTGAATTGTCATTTTCAGTATACGTATTCTATAATTTTTGTTTAGTTTTTTTAAAGTGTTTTTTATAAACAAAAATGAAAAATTGTAGTAAAAGTTACGAAGAAATTCATGAAATTTAACTAAGGACCGGTTTATTCATCTTTAGTAAAGTTTATCGGGCCGATAACTTTCATGTCATGGCAATATCTAGTATCCAAAGAAATTATTCGTCAAATAAATCAAAAATGAATAAATCGGCCCTAAATAAAATGTGGCACTCTTAGAATTATTGTTTAATAAATGTATACTATACATTTAACCTTAAATTAAAACTTTAAACGTGTATTACAACAAAACAGTAAAAGATATAAAAAATGTATAGACCTTTTTTTAGGAAATTAACTAATTTTTAGTCTGATTTAAAAAGTTATGATAATTTTTAAATAAAATCGCAAGTTTTAATTGGAGAATTGAAAGTGTGCATACATATTTTTAATAAACATACAATTAAAACAAAATTAACCGTCAAAATTTTTTTTTTGCTCTTAAAATATTAGTTATGACCTAATTAACAAGAATATAAAAAAAATTAGGTTTCACAGAAAGTCCAAAAATCACCTCTCAGAACAGCACCGTGAGGGGAGAATGCTTACTTGACTGCACAGTTGCACGACTTCCTTGTACTTCCTCATCTTCTGCTTCACCGTTGCCAAATTTAACAGCAACGTCAACTTGGTCTTCTCCAGGTCGCAGTTGCTCTTACCGTCGCTCTCAAGCAGGTACCAATCGATGTATCTCAGGGCTTTCTTGTACTTCCTTTCGGAGTCCGTGAAATTCGACTTGTAGAAAAAGTGCGAGCCGGAGTTTTTTATTTTTTCTATGGCGTCGAGGACGGTTTTTTCTTCGCTACCGGGCACGTCCCAGTCGTTTGGCCACGGCGGGTATTTGTCTTCCGTTTCGTCGCATTCTTCGATGTTGAACGGCTCACCCGGCTCGTACTCGCCGCAATCTGTTATGGTTATGTCCTAAGAAAATGTTCTTAAGTCAGGAGGGAAAGTTTTATGCATTTTATATTTACTATTAATGTACATTAGGGTGATTCATTTCCGCAAAGTTTTTGTTTTCTTCGGTGCTCAAGCAAAATATTAATCTGCATATAGAAAAAAAAATTCTCAACAAGTTTGAGCTCTTAATATAAATTTTAAGTACTTACTATTTAAATTTAAAGTTTTACCGTTTAAAATGCATGTAAAAAATATATTTTTTTTTTCAAATTTCTAATCCTTACCCACCTTTGACAATATTGCAAATCGGTTTAATACACCTTATGGGGAATTTCACGCTCTTTAAAATTGCTTTTGAGTTTTTTTTGTAACTCGCATTGGTTCACCAGTAGGAGTCGTCAAAGGACAGTTTTTGAAAAAAATCGTTTTTTTATTTTTTCGAGCAAATCGCCAAAAGTAGTGAGAAAAAAGGGCTGATTCATAAAAAAAAAGTTATCCAACCAATATTTAATGGATTTACTGTAGTGTTGCAACGGTTACGGTTACGGTTAATTCACGGTTTTCGATATTATACGGTTAACCGTAACCGTATGTCGTTAACCGTAACCGTATTTACGGTTTTTCATGCTACTTTGTGAATGCATGTAAAAAAAAGATTGAGGAGTAATTAACGTTACCAAATATACCACCTAAGTCAAATCCGTTTACATTCTGGAAAACGTGTTACACGTTTCGGCGTTTAAGAGTGTTGGCACTAAGGTATTATACAAACCATTGTCAGTGAATTCGGAGAGGTTGTTTTCGACTGCAGGTCTTGTGCAAACACCAAATAGGAACAGGCTGATTCCGCAGAATTTGCAGATGTTATGTTTTTTAAATAAAAATTTGACTCGTAAATTTTGAATTTTGAATTATTTTAAATTAACATTTAATTTTTTTATATTTTTAAATATATTATTCAGGTACCTACTTAGGTTTTACTTTACTGTTTTTAGGTTTAAAATGTAACTCATGTCCTATTGTTTTACAGTTTTATTAGAAATTCTGTTTTTGTTTTACATAAATTATTATTTAACCTTTACTGAACGTGTGTATTAATTTCAAAACTTTATTTTTCGTAATTCTGTAATTTTTTTTTGAATAACCTTGAATTTATTCGTAACCGTATAGCTAACCGTAACCGTAACCGTAACCGTAAAACCCGAAACCGTTGCATCACTAATTTACTGCCATTTTTATAACTGAAAACGTAAAAAATTGATAAATACCAACCCATAATGTTATTTAGATTGATTTTTTCTATTTATTATCATTAAATTTCCCTACACTAAGAACTTTTTTAAAATTATTATGATTTCTCACTCATAATGAATATGAAAACAACACATAAATTCATAAAAAAACAACAAAACTTTAATCGGAATATACAGAAGGTTATGTAACATATTTCAAATTTCGCCTCAAAAAATTAAATAATCTTCATTTATAATAATAATAATACATGAACTTTATTGCAAAAAAAAGTTAATACAATTTCTTACAAATGGCCATTGACCGAGGTCCTTTAGCTGGTGAACATATCCTGAATATATGGAACAAAAAAAAAAAAACAGTATATAATCGTGAAATTGAAATTAATTAATTGGTATGTTATCTCGTTCTCGTGTTTGTTTAAGATGTTCCCATATGGTCTTCTCTGGGTGCTTGAACTTCCTGTTGCCCTGTACCTCCAAACACAACTCGCTCAGAATGTTGTAGTTAGCGTCCTTGCTAATAAAGTTTGTAGATAATTTGCTAAATCTTTCCATAATTGGTAAGATATTGTAGGTAGCATAAAAAAGGTCGTTGGGAGGGTTGTGTAGAGAATTGGTTGGATGTCTCATTTTGGAGATTTTTCGGAGTGATGAGGTTTCCCCGGTTTTAATTTTGCTTAAGGCTGGTTTCCGGGCATTATTAAGTAAGATGCATCCATATTCCAGGATTGGTCTGCATATTAAGGTGTATATTCTTTTTTTTGTTTCATCATTGATGCCTTTTTTGTTGTATGTAAGTCCTCTAAAGTGGCTGGCCCTTGTTAGTGTTTTCTTCTTTGACAGGGAAGAGTGAAGATTAAAGTTTACTTTATTATCCAGTGTGATTCCCAAGTATTTTACGTTAGATTTTGGCTCTATTATGTCATTGTACATCTTAATTGTTATATTAGGGTTAATCTTGTTTTGGTGGAAGTGTATTAGTTGAGACTTTAGTGGATTTGGTTTTAGTCTCCATTTGTTAAACAATGCCAAGATTTGATTTGACAGAACTTGGAGTTGGTCAGAGGCAGTTTTTTGATTTTTACTATGGCAAATTATAGCGGTGTCATCTGCGTATTGAAGTACATATTTATCTTGGTCAAAGAGCATGGGATCTTCATTGTAGATGTCGGCACAATAAAGGTTATAGAGCAGAGGGGAGAGAGGGGAACCCTGGGGCAGTCCTTGTTTGGCTATGAAGTTTCTTGAGGTTTTATTGTTTATTGATACCTGCAGACTCCGGTTATCATTTATATTTTTTTGCTATATGACAGAAATGTTGAAAAATTGCAAAATCCACGTTACAATTTTCTTATTGTTTTTTTTATGAATTTATCTGTTGTTTTCATATTCATTATAAGTGAAAAATCAATAATTTTAAAAAACTTTTTAGTGTAGGGAAATATAATGATAATAAATAGAAAAAATCAATCTAAATAACATTATGAGTTGGTAATTATCAATTTCTTACGTTTTTAATTATAAAAACGGCTGAAAATTCATTAAATATTGGTTGGATATCTTTTTTTTTATGATTCAGCCCTTTTTTCTCCCTACTTTTTGCGGTTTGTTAGAAAAAATTTAAAAAAAAAACGATTTTTTTCAAAAACTGTCCTTTGACGACTCGTACTGGTGAATCAATGCGAGTTACAAAAAAAAACTCGAAAGCAATTTTAAAGAGCGTGAAATTCCCCATAAGGTGTATTAAACCGATTTGCAATATTGTCAAAGGTGGGTAAGCATTAGAAATTTGAAAAAAAATATATATTTTGTACATGCATTTTAAACGGTAAAACTTTAAACCGAAGAAAACAAAAACTTTGCGGAAATGAATCACCCTAATGTACATATTTGGGTCGTTTTAAAAAAACACCCGCCTTCCGCTGTCCGTAAGTTAGAATTCCAATAACTTTGTTAAAAATTATCGGATCTTATTGATTTTAAAACCAAGTGAAAGCCTAACAAGCCATTAGTAAACTCTTTCAGAAAATGTTTGTTTAGTTATTTCAGAATAATTTTTTTTTTAATTTTGAAACTTGTGAAACACACATTTTCGCATGTCCCCTTGGCGTTTTATAAAACTTACATACATGTTTTTTTTAAATACTGAATAACCAGAACTTTGTGTTGCCTTATAGCAATCCATAACATCCTTAGTTAATAAAGTAAACAATTTATATATAAATTAATTAATTTTAATCTACTTTTTTTAAATTTGACTCATGTCCCAGACATTTTTTCCGTTGCGTTACGTCCGTCGCGTTACCGATAGAATATTTAAAAAATCATATATGGCAACTTTTTTGGCACTCACGTGATTAACAAATGATGTTCGGACGTACACATTACCCAGCTGAATTTATTTATTCAATCAGGAAGAAGATATCGGTTGAAACAGGTGCGGGTAACGCGAATGTAATAATTGTTTGTCCGCTAAGTTACTCAAAAAAATAATAAAAATAAGGTAAGAAAAATACTATTTTTCATGTTTATGTTTATTTTAGGGCACTAAAGCTCATTGAGAGTAATTAATGACTGTAATGTTTTATTATTATTTTTTAAATATGGTTTCACAAAATTTTGTCCACTGCGTTACCGAGTCCATTACGTTACCTTATGGTAACGCAATGGAATTTAGGGTAACGCAATAGAATTTTTCGCCACAAAGTGGATAATTACCGTCGCTTTTATTAAAAGTAGTTTATGATAAACCAATTTAAAATTATTTGTGATTACAACTCATGATATAGATTACATCCAAGGGAAAATTCCACGCAATATACAAGTACTAAAAGACACCAGCTTATAGTCAAAGAAAAAGGGTGTCTATAATTTAGAAATCTAAGTTGTTATTCTGGAAGTGAGCACCACTACAAGGAATTTTGTTTATGCATTACTCTATATAGTTTCTTTATTACGTTATCTGATTAAGTCCTTTGTGTACCCCAGTCCGTTGTGATACCAATGTCTATTTCGTTACTTTTTTTAGTTTTTGTTAAAAAAAATCCTTAAAATGATTTTACTATCACTTGGTAATACCTGTTTATAAATTAGAGTTTAATTCACTAATACAGTGACTAAAAGAAAAAATTAATGGTATTGTTTTTTTTAACAAAGAATCGGATTGGTGTCTTTTAAAAAGTAACTTAACTAACATAAATATTTAAAAAAGGCATACAATTTTTAATAAAAAATAAAATTGGAGTCAAAAGTTTGTGAACTAAGTAGGTACATTTTATTTCAAATTATTTTTATAACAACTTTTTTTATTGAATTAAATTTTGGATTTCAAATTGGTAACACAGTGGAGACATAAAGCTAGCTAAACACATTTTTCTGAAAAAAATGTTAAAAAAAATTAAAAAGTGCACTGCCTGTCTTAAATGTAAGTAAACAAAACTCTAAACATTTATAAAAATCCAACCAAAAGTCAATTTAAGTAAACAAAAATTTTGATCTTCATTTTCCTGAAAGCGGGTGTTTCTTGAAAATGACCCATTTACATTAAAGGGTGTTTTCCCTAAACTAGTGCAAATTATTTACCTCTGTTGGCGTTTCATTATTCCTAGCAATATCCCCCATTTCTATAACAATATTCAAGCCTTTAACAACCCGCCCGAAAGCCACATTTCTGCCGTCCAAATGTGAACAAGGAACTGTGGTTATGTAAAACTGGGAACTGTTGGTGTTGGGGCCATTATTTGCCATACCCACCATGCCTTCAGTGTTATGCTAAAAAGATGTATTAAATAATATGATGCCACCATCTAAAGTGACCTTTTAATTACCGATATTTTAAAATTTTCGTCATCAAAAGTTTGTCCATATATGCTTTCACCCCCTTGGCCACTTATTTCCGTCACGTCTCCGGCTTGGGCCAAGAATTGTGGAACCACTGTAAAAAATAAAATACTTGGTTTTGAAAAGAAGAAAGTTATTCTCAATGATAGAGAAAGGTGTATGTATCTTGGAAAGATACTAAGCATGGTAAGTACGTTTTTAAGCCTATAGAACAAACCAAATAAACACAATATGAATTTACAAAACACTCAGGTTAGGTTCATAAAACAAGATAAACCGCTTATCCTGCCACATGTGCTACGTGTGTAAACTAAAACCATACCCTAGTAGTAATTCCGGAAAAGTCTTGGCCCAGCATGGGTCAAGATACTTTGGACAGATTTTTGCTCAAGAATTGTACAAGAATTGTTCCAGATTCTTGGCCAAGATTATTGGGCAAGACTTGAGCCAGACTGTGGCCAGAATTTGACAAGAATTTGACCAGAAATCTGAGGCCATTTATTGCTAAACTTTGGGACTATCCTATAGAGTAGAGGTTCTCATTCTACAGTAGTATCATTCACAATAATGTATACTAGTCGAGAAGTGAGTTCTCTGTAGGAAATGAGTATAGTTTTTTTGTTTATTTGGAAATACGAATAAGAGCTTATTGGATTCGTCTTCTAGCTGAGAAAAAAATTGATTTTTTGAAAAATAAAAATTGTTATTTCTAAAAATCAAAAATTACAAAAAAAGTGTGTCAGCTCTGACGCATAACTAGAGTTTACTCTTTATGAACATGAAAGATTATAAAATACATGTTTATTTTTACGGGCACCTGGTTTTTTTTTTAACATAGAAAATTAAAAACTTTAACTCTTTCAAAATTTGTTTCGTTTTTAATTCTATTGTTTACCAGATTTATAGATAAAAACCGAATTTACTGGAAAGAAATCGTGGAAAATTAATGTTTTTAGTAACATTCTTAACTTTTGAAGTTCAACAAAATTTTGTATTGACCAAAAATCTTGAATTGAAAGTTCCTATTTAACGTGTAATCGTGTAAAAATTCTTGGCCAAGAATCTGGTCAAATTCTGGTCACAGACTTGTCCAAGTCTGCCACCAGTTTGGATAAAGAATTGGTCAAGAATTGTCCAATTCTTTTCAAAGTGCTTCTCCAAGTATCTTGACAAAGAATATTGTCCAATTCCATTGCTACTAGGGTAGTAGACTAGACAAAAATATGGATTTTGTTTGTTTAAGGCGAGTGCACAGGGCATGAATGATACCAAGCATCCAAAGACAGTTACCAACATGGCAAAACACGCGTCAAAATTGACAGTACCGTTAAAATTTCGACCCCCCAAAATTTCAGTGCGGAAACGATGACTTGCTGCTGCCCCGAGTGCTACTCGAACATCTACCACGGCGAATGCTGCGAGTGCTACCAGACCGAGCCGATATGCTGCTACTGCGAGAAAAACTGCACGCAAAAGGGGCTGTTTACGATCGCGTGGAGCGCCGAAACGCCCTGCTGCAACCCGGGCAGGGCCTGCGGCATAGAGCTGGAGCTGTGCGACACGCCGTCCAACATCGAGCAAAAGTGTCAGGAGCTCAAAGAGTGGCTGAATTGCCCCCCCATCAACGACATGTGCGAGTGCAAGTTGAAGGTCAACGAGTTCAACTGCCCGAACATCGTGAAGCAGTTGAATTGCCCGCAATGCAAGCGGTACGAGTCCAGTACTACTGAGAACGCCAGTGGCGACAGGGACGACGATTATTCCGTGGCCAGTCCCGAGACCGTAAAGGAGACCAGGCAGTTTCTTAATATAACGTCCAACGTGGAGTTTATAGGCGAGAATGCTACAAGTGATGAAGACCGACGCGAAGAAAAACTTATCTCGGAGTGTGAGCTGACTGACAACCAAATAGAGGACCAAAATGATTATCAAAACAACGGAAAAGATGACAAACAAAATTATACCAGAAATGGGGATGATAATAACGGAAAAGATAACCACAACTATATTAGGAATGAAGATGATCAAAATACCGCAAAAGACGACAAACAAGACTTGCTGGACAAAATTATGGCCGCCACGAAGAAACTCCTCGAAGCCCAAATTCTCTTTAAATCCCCGGAGGGTGAGGTGGAGAAGATCATGACCGGCAAAAGAGTAAGTAGAAAATCAAAAGCGTACGAAAATAAAAAGCTGGAAAGCATAGCCATTGCGAATAGGTACCACAGACCAAGCCAAGCTCTTAAACCCGGTTTTGGTGGTAAAAAATCAGTAGTTGAGGAAAGTGACAAGGAACAAAAAGAAAAACTACTGAATAAAATTTTAAAAGCGACCAAAGATTTGCTGAGCTCTCACTTGAACTGCCCGAAAATGAGCATGGAGAAGATAATGCAAGACAGCAAATCCTGCCTGAAGATATGTTTTAAACAGGAAAAACCACCGCAAACCGTCAATAAATCGAAAAGCGAAAACAGCCTGAACGAAACAAGGAACAACATCACCATTTTGTTCACTTGCCCTTGCGAATGCGCGACAGACCAAAGAAAAATCCAGTTCAACGGTCAAAAATTCGACTTGAAAGCGGACAATTTTCAAACAATCAATGAAGATGTTAAAGAATGTGAAGGAAACAACCGTAACGTCCCAGTTAATAGTCTTTGCGTGATGGGCGCACCAAAACTTCCGAAAAATCTGGACAAAATCACAATAAACCCATTGAACGGAGAACCCATCAACAAAGACAAGATTGTACTTTTGGTGAGCTGTCCTTGCGAAAATATGCCGGATAAAAATAAATACAATGTTGACAATAAGGATGTATACAAGATCGAAGAATTCGCAGTGGCTAAAAAGGATGAAATCGCTGATTCCAAAGTGGATAAAACAAATACAGTTTTTGAAGATCAACAGGAATATCAGACACGAGGGCAAGACGAAGAAAACAATCAAGAGCTAAATCAGAACCAAGCACAAGAGGAAGAAAACAATCGAGAGGAAAATCAGCAGCAAGCACAAGAGGAAGAAAACAATCGAGAGGAAAATCAGAAGCAGGCACAAGAGGAAGAAAACAATCGGGAGGAAAATCAGAATCAATTACAAGAGAAAGAAAACAATCAGACACAAAACTCGTTCCCGATGTTGGCTGACGATCCCTCGGAAGTTAAAAACCCAGAATATAAAAAAGAAAAAACTAGCAGTAGCAGCGTGGATTCGGAGTTGGTTCGTTTGAAAAAGCACGAAAAAATGGACCCTAAAGTGCTGAGACAAAGAATACGGCAAGCGAATGCCAAAAGGAAAGAAGACATTAAGGCGGCAGCCGAAACATTGGACCGAATGGAGAGCGAAAAAGAATTGGCCAACCACATGGGCAATACATAATACGACGTCACTCGCATGAGTGATTTTTAGTTTTTGTTCTTGTTATTTGTACCTATATGATGAAAAAACTAAAAATTCTAATTTTTTATTCATTTTGTATGATTTCAAAGTCTTCCTACGCATAAACATGTTCCATAGATGAGGAGGTCCATTCCGAAACTCGGCTTATCCACTTTTTAATAAAAATGAGTTAGTGGTGTCTGTATATTAAACATGTAAAAAAGGTCATAATATTCTAAAACTCACCTTATTCCATTTAAAATTCATTTACAAATTGACTATCGTTCCTAAACTTGCCTTATCTATAGGTTATATCATGTCAGAACTGGCTTATACGTATGTAATTTTAAATTATTTCAAATCAAGGTAAGAATGCACCTACTCAGATAAAATAGGAAGTAACCTTAAAATTTAGGTTACAACGGACATAAAACATAACTGACAGTTAACCTAAAACTTTGGTTTGACATTTTGCCGAAAATGTAAATATTGCCTTGCATCAAACTTCACGACGTAGAAGCTGACATCTGTCATTTGATTTTGTCGACGAGACCGCACGCCAAAATTCCTCAAAATTATCAGTAAAGGCGAAAAATGCTATCGGTATCATGAGCTGCAACTGTCCGACTTGCTGTCTGAAACAGATGGGCTGCTGTCCGGCCCCGGACCCGTGCGGCGGGTGCAACAACTGCTGCGGCGGCGACGCCGAATGCTCGGATTGCGATTACGTGAAGGCCCGACTGACGATCGCCTGGCTGGCGGAGACGCCCGACTGCCAGTGCCCGCGCACCTGCGGCTACCAGCTGGAGTTTTGCGAGAAGCCTTGCTGCGTCAAGAAGATCATCAAGCAGCTGACCGACTGGTTGAACTGCCCGCCGGTGGACGAGGAGGACGAGTGCGGACCTTGCTCGCCTTGCGGACCGTGTCCGCCGTCGCCGTGCGGACCGTGTCCGCCGTCGCCTTGCGGCCCTTGTCCGCCGTCGCCATGCGGACCGTGTCCGCCATCACCTTGCAGGTAAGGCACAATCTATTATCGAAAGCTTAGATTTTAAGCGAAAGCACAAAAACTAAAGACGTACGTATATCGTGTACCGTTGCGACGGTATAAACTGATACAAACTGAAATGAGGACTAGCTAAAATAACAGCATCCTGAAATAAGATCAAGCTAAAATAACGAAGACTCAAATGAGGACAAGCTAAAAAGACACGCTAAATTGACAACAGGCTAAAATAACTAAAGACTAAAATAAGGACAAGCTATGTAAATAGAAGTCACGCTAAAATGACAATGTAAAATGAGTAAAAGTTAAGACTGAAATAAAAATAAGCTAAAATAACGTCAACTAAAAATGACAAGCTAAAAGACAAGCTAAAATAACAAAATTCAAACGAAGTCCAAATGGTGAAGAGCTAAAATAACTAAGGCTAAAATGAAGACAAGCTAAAAAGAAGACACTCTAAATTGACAACAAGCTAAAATAACTAAAGGCTAAAATAAGGACAAGCTAAAAAAAGAAATGAGTAATAGATAAGACTTAAATAAAGATAAGCAAGAGGACAAACTAAAAAGAAGACACGCTAAATTGACAACAAGCTAAAATAACTAAAGACTAAAATAAGGACAAGCTAAATAGAAGACACGCTAAAATGACAAGGTAAAATAAGTAATAGTTAAGGCTTAAATAAAGATAAGCTAAAATAACGACAACCAAAAATGACAAGGTTAAATAAATAATAGTTAAGGCTTAAATAAAGATAAGCTAAAATAACGACAACCAAAAATGACAAGCTTAAATAACAAAATTCAAATGATGAAGAGCTAAAATAACAAGCTAAAATAACTAAGGCTAAAATGAAGACAAGCTCAAAAAAGACAAGCTAAATTAACAACAAGCTAAAATAACTAAAGGCTAAAAATACAAACTGAAATGAGGACTAGCTAAAATAACAGCATCCTGAAATAAGAACAAGCTAAAATAACTAAGGCTCAAATGAGGACAAGCTAAAAAGAAGACACGCTAAATTGACAACAAGCTAAATTAACTAAAGACTAAAATAAGGACAAGCTATGTAAATAAAAGACACGCTAAAATGACAAGGTAAAATGAGTAAAAGTTAAGACTTAAATAAAGATAAGCTAAAATAACGACAACCAAAAATGACAAGCTAAAAGACAAGCTAAAATAACGAAGTACAAATGATGAAGAGCTAAAATAACAAGCTAAAATAACGAAATCCAAATGATGAAGAGCTAAAATAACTAAGGCTAAAATGAGGACAACTTAATAAGAAGACACACTAAAATGACTTTAAGCTAAAATAACTAGGCTAAAATGAGGACACGCTAAAATGACAAGGTAAAATGAGTAATAGTTAAGACTTAAATAAAGATAAGCTAAAATAACGACAACCAAAAATGACAAGGTAAAATAAGTAATAGTTAAGGCCTAAATAAAGATAAGCTAAAATAACGACAACCAAAAATGACATGAAAATGAAATGAAGCTAAAAGACAAGCTAAAATAACAAAATTCAAATGATGAAGAGCTAAAATAACTAAGGCTAAAATAAAGAAAATCTAAAGAAAGACACGCTAAATTGACAAGCTAAAATAACTAAAGGCTAAAATAAGGACAAGTTAAAAAAAGACACGTTAAAATTACAAGGTAAAATGGGTAATAGATAAGACTTAAATAAAGATAAGCTAAAACAACGACAACCAAAAATGACAAGATAAAATAACGAAGTCCAAATGATAAAGAGCTAAAATAACAATCTAAAATAACTAAGGCTAAAATGAAGACAAGCTAAAAAGAACACTAAAATGACAACAAGCTAAAATGAGGAAAAGCTTAATAAAAGACACGCTAAAATGACAAGGTAAAATAAGTTATAGTTAAGACTTAAATAAAGGTAAGCTAAAATAACGACAACCAAAAATGACAAGCTAAACTAAGTCCAAATAACTGAGGCTAAAATGAGGACAAGCTAAAAAAAGACACGTTAAAATAACAAGCTAATGTGAGTAATAAATAAAGATAAGCTAAAATAACAACAAGCTGAAAGACAAGCTAAAATAACGAAGTCAGAATGATGACCAGCTTAAATAACAACAAGCTAAAAAGAAGACACGCTAAAATAACAACAAGCTAAAATAAATAAAGGCTAAAATGAGGACAAACTAAAATGAATTCATGAGGACACGCTAAAATAACAAAAAGCTAAAATAACTAAGGCTAAAATGAAGACAAGCTAAAGAGAAGACACGCTAAAATGACAATTAGCTAAAATAACTAAAGGCTAAAACCAAGATACGCTAAAATGACAAGCTAAAATGAGTTATAGTTAAGACTTAAATAAAAATAAGCTAAAATAACAAGCTGAAAGAAAAGCTAAAATATCGAAGTCAGAATGATGACCAGCTAAAATAACTAAGGCTAAAATTAGGACAAGCTTAAAAGAAGACACGCTAAAATAACTAAATTGATTTAATTATTCCTTTCAGGCCTTGTCCGTCGCCATGTTCACCGTCCCCTTGCAAGCCGCGCCCCTGCTCCCCTTGCAAGCCCCGACAGTGCTCCCCTTGCTCCCCCTGTAAACCGCGGCCGTGCTCCCCTTGCTCCCCCTGTAAACCGCGGCCGTGCTCCCCTTGCTCCCCTTGCCCTCCGAAACCTTGCCCGAAACCGTGTTGCTACAAGCCGTCCTGTTCCCCCTGTCCGCCCTCCCCCAACTGCCGTCACTGTCCCACGTGCTCGTGCTGTCCCAAACCCTGCGGTCCCCCTTCTTGCGGCAAAAAACCGTGTTGTAGGTAAATCGCTTTCGATAATTTACATGAAATAGCGACATAAATTCTTTTTCGATTTTAGGGGCACCCGGCCCAAAGTAAAAAAAACGCCGACCAACAGTTTGCTGTTTTGCACAAACAACGATTCCTGCTCCCCCTGTTCGCCGTGTCCAAAACCAAAATGCAAGCCAAAACGATGTTAAGTTGTCCCATAAAGAAACGTGCCCGTCCCAATTGCAACTCAAGTTGTAAAGTGATATTTTTTAATAAAAATAAGAATCAACAAAAATCAACCAAATATTATTAGGTTACTCGTTTATTTAATTGTCAATTTTAACCTTAAAAAATTACACTTTCGGTTAATAAAGCCACGTCACAATCCACACAACCATAGCCCACTAATTAACCTTAAAATTGACATTTGACAGCCCTGATAGAATAAGGTATATTTTTTACAAAAGAGGAGTAAAATGGTTGCCCTTGGCACTTTAAGACCTCTTTTAAGGATTACAAGTGCCTCTCTAATAAACACAACGTTAAAAACGATTATTTATCTGTATAAACCGCACAAACCCGAAGCACAAGAATTGCAAACAACATAAAAATGGCCGCCGTTAGAGTCTGTGCAGTCGGTTGCCTAACTTCGTAATTTTTAGTATGCGCGAAATAAGATAGAACACCTTGTGTTATATTATCAAGTAGGTATAGTTTGTTTTTTTACTCGAAATTTGATACATCTGTTTATGTTGGTAGGTACTGTATATCAATATACTTTGGTATTTTTAATATTTAAAATTGGTACTGCTGTTCAATGTCTAAATTTTACTTGACATTTATCATTTAATTGTTGGAATTATAATAAACAAGGCCAAAGATAACATAAAATTTCAAACGAGAAATTTTAAAAACAAAACAGTATTTGTGCTGCATAAATCCACAAAATTAGTTTGCTTTACTCCCTAAAAGGGTCCCTAGAATTTTGCAACTAAACCACCAAATTTTTGACGTCAAATTCCGAATAAAAAAAGCCACAATCCACACATGAGTGGATTTTGGCTCAGGCATTGGTTGAAATGAATATTAGGTTAGGTTTTTAAAATGTAAAGAACCAACCTTAAAAGATTGACACACCCGACCTTGAGAAGTGTCATCTTACAATTGAGGTTATAATAACGTTGCCATGGCAGCAAAGTTGCGCCGTTCAAAATGCAACTTTGACGTTAACCATCATTGTCATAAGTTCTGAAATGTGTACAAAATTTTTCGTGTAATGTTTCAAAAGTGTCACACAAACGAGCAATGCTAAATTATTACCGTGGAAAATTTTAAACCAAAAAAAAAACAATGGACGACTCCAGTTCGAGCGACAACCTGCGCCGCAACATGCGCAGAGACGTGGGCACGGGCTGCTGCCCGTCTAGCTCCAGCTCTATGCGCGGCAACAAGAAGTGCAAGGAAACGAAGGAGAAGGAGCACTGCGACTGCTGCTTGTGCAACAAAAAGGTGATTAAATTTACACTTTACTAAAGTCTTTAGCGTCTTTTCCGAAAAACAGCATGAGGGTTGCCAAAATGCAAAAAATAGGTGTGGAGGGATGTAAAAGTGCATAAACAATCGGCGCAGGGTGAAAAAGTTGTATAATTATCGCGTACCTAATTAATAAAAAAAGGGGCTGATAATTGAAGTGACTTACCGTGATTTTCTGTAAAAAAGAACATGCAGCGAGCCAAAAACACGTATCTAATAGACGTAGAATTTGAAAGTGAAGTGAAAAAGCTTGAATTATAAAAAACAACGTCATAAATTGCGGAAAATGCAATTTTTAAAATCAGGTAATTTGAGGTTATGCAGGTTCACAATCCAGCCTGCCCTTAGATATATTATACCTCTATTGCTCAATGGGGCGGGGTCGGTAGGGTTGAGTTGTTAAGTTTGGGTTGGTTGGTTTTGCCCATTTTAGTGTACCTGCATAACCAAGATGACAGATAATCGTCATAACCTCAAATTACCTGATTTTAAAAATTGCATTTTCCGCAATTTATGACGTTGTTTTTTATAATTCCTGCTTTATCACTTCCACTTTCAAATTCTACGTCTATTAGATAGGTGTTTTTGGCTCGCCGCATGTTCTTTTTCACAGAAAATTACGGTAAGTCACTTCAATTATCAGCCCCTTTTTTTATTAATTACGCGATAATTATACAACTTTTTCACCCTGCGCCGATTGTTTGAGCACTTTTACATCCCTCCAAACATATTTTTGGCATTTTGGCAACTTTCCTGCCGTTTTTTGGAAAAGTCGCTAAAGTGAAAATTTACCAAAAGGTGAAGGCTAGTTTCGCGCTGGCCTGGGTGGCCGACACCGAGGGCACTTGCACGCTGCCGCAGGGCTTTCAGTTCGACTACATCGACACCATGGATAAGGTCGAGAAGAAACGGAAAGAATTCGAGGACTGGATGAAGAAGGCGCCCATAGCCGACTGCATGAACTTGGTCATGCAAGAAGGAACGGGCAAATTTTCAGTCGCCAACGGCATCGATACCGACAGTTGCAATTGCGGAGGAGATGAAGTAATTTAGTAATATATATTCAACAATAGCCCAGTCACTTCCACCAAACAAGTTTAAAATTTCATTAGATCCTAATAGTCATTAGGTTAAGAAGTAAGGCTTTTTGTGCCAAGCTCAAGGTTTGCAGTTTACAATTGAGCGAAGCACAAAAAGGCACTTCTTGGCCGAATGGCGTACAACATTTTATCTTCAAAGCACTTTATATATAGGTCAATTTAATTCAACATCAAAGCGGCCTAACCTCACTTTTTTAGAATCTCATTTATTTATTACCTAAAGATTACATTAATGTACAATAATTATTATTGCTTTTATATTAGAAGCAGTAATAGTTTGACAATACCTAGCTACATGATTTAAGTAGAAATGGATTTTTGCTATTACATTGAATTCAATTAATTGTTTAATAAATAGGTAGGTATCTAATTTCAATTTGTTTGGATTTTTATTTAAAAAATAAGTAGTTTGGAATGTTTAAGCTGTGTTTAACATTTAATTTCACTGAAAACTTAAAGCAAATTAAAACTTAAAGATAATTTAAATCGTAGAAAAAGAATCGTGCGTTTTCTTGGTTGCCTAACCTCACTTTTTGTTTTATTATTCATATTTAATTTTACAATAATTTAATGAAATATTTTAAACATTAACAGTAAAACAAATTAGTGCTTTTTATAAATAAATTAAACCAGTTTAGTACGCGAATTTCTTAGAAAAGGATTAATTTGTCAAAACAATACCCCTAGCGAGAAAAAATCGAACTAATTACTTGCCTCATAAAATCTTTATCGAATGTTGACAACAATAAAGTTTAAATTATAGACCGCGTGGAGATAAACACATTTATATTTAATAGGGACCAAGACAAAAGTGACTGCGCTAAACATACAAACAAATTATAATATTCACTTTGCAGGTTAGCTCGCTATTTAAAAAGAAATGCAGTGTTCCTCAACCTACTTGGTGCTGGAACCCACAAACATATAGCTGGTCAATGGTGAACAATAATGGTGGCAGTGGCTTTTGTTAATAAGTTTGTGTAGTATTTGTATACAAATCTGTATTTTTTATCCTCAAAAGTAATAAACTGTCAATTTTCTCTAAAATATAATTCATTTTGTTATATTTGCTATACATATGTAGTTCATATTGAGATTGAGGCAACGTCGCATTTTGAAATGTAGCAACGTCGCATTTTGAAAATTTGGCAACGTCTCATTTTGGGAAGAAGCATCGTATTTTTAAACAATTTGACAACAAAATGCATATTTTTTTCTGGTGTTTTTTCACTGTGAAGTTGCGGTTTGTCGCCGCAAAGGAGAAAAATATTTGTGCAGTGTTTATTTTTGGTAGCCAGTATAAATAACTCGCGAGTTTCGAAAAACACGTTTTCTTTATAAATTTTGATCTAAAATGTGTTAAAAATATAAAAGTTACCTATTACTAAAATACTGGCAATTCAATTATTTTTCTTATAAAGTTAACCATTATTATATTATTACTGGTTGTTTTTAATTTAAAATTTTATAGTTTTACATTTATAAATTTAAAATATTTTCAACTATCATGTATTTACTAACTAACAGTTCACTTCTGTACTAAACAATAATAGGTATTTCCAATCAGTTTTTGCAAAAATAATTTCGTAAGTATAATTTATTTGGGCAGAATTTTGTAAATCCCAAATATTTTTGTTATAAAATTATTCAGATTGGTAAAGTTAAGTTTTTTATTATTTAAAAATAGTGTCAAGATATTTAAAATAAAAAACATATATAACATTTTTTCCCAAATAAACTAATCGAATAAAGTTAAGCATATTAAGATATTTTGACCAAAACATAAATTTAACGACACAATATTTTATACGCCCTGTATACTTTATTTTATTATTTGGTAATAAAAACGCAAAAATAAAAGAATCTTAGACAAAAAAAAACGAAGTCGAAAAAACGCATTATAGGTATCAGTCTCTATTCGATTTCATTTCAACTTTGTTTAAAAATATGCTTAACTTTTTTCGATCAGTTTAGTTTAAAAAGTCAAATTTTTTAAATCTCAAAACAATTGATAATCAAAAAATATTTTAAATATAAAATGCAAATGTTAAGTTTGAAATATTGGTTTTTAAAAATTGTAGTGTTAATATTTTATTCTACAAAATTATTGTTTTAAATTTGTAAAGTCATTTAAATGATAGTCCATAAATTTTTAATCCAAAAATTACCACTTTAAAATTTAAAACTTACATTTAAATGTAATGTGAGAATTTTTGTATTAAAAATTTATTGACTATCATTTAAATGACTACAAATGTAAAACAATAATTTTGTAGAATAAAAAATTTGAACAAATTTTTTTTTAAATCAATACCTAGTTGTATTTTATATATAAAATATTTTTTGACTATCAATTGTTTTGAGTTTAAAAAAATTAACTTTGAAATTTTCTGTTAAAACATTGCTAAACTTTAATCTTCAAACTATTATCTAATAAATGCTGTACCGTGTGCCATATGAATATGTATATAATTAAACCTTAATTGAATTTAGTTAACATTCCCTGGCAATAATAGGATTTAAGTACAAATGTTGTGAAAAAGTAGAAACATAAAAACTGAAAAAATTAACCTGTCTCTTTGTAGGCAGTAGACTTTTGGTAATATCCAAAGCGAAGTAGTTTCATATAACTAGAGTTTAATCTCTGTTGAGTAAAGAGTATCTTTAATCACCTGATTAATTTAAAAATCTTGTTTGTTATTCATATTCAGGGCCATATAAATAACAAACTGCCTTGGATGGCACTTAAAATACCATACACTCACCTCTGTGAAATTTGGTGCCCTTATAATGCATTGGTTTTCCCGTACACTTGGAAATTTGCATCCCTGTGCACAGAGACCTAAAATTCCGCACCGTCTTCGGTACAACATTTTCGTACAATTCAATAACAATTCTTCCAGCTAAAATGTAAACTTTGCAATATTTTTTGTTAATTTTGTTTTGTTTAATTTACCTTTAGCAGCCCCGAAACTTACGTCCAGAAAGACATAGGGATTTATCTCCGTCGTTTCAGACATTTTTTTGGTGTTTATTGTAGTGTTTTCAGATCATTTATTTAGTTTTTGATAAAAATTACACACAAACACTTTCGTTGGAATGGTGTCGCCCGAAGTTGGCAACGGATGCCATAGACATACAAATGTAGCAAAATTATGTTAATATTTTAATTTAATATTATTAGAAATTAATTAAATTAAATTAGTAATTTAAATTGATTATTGTTACGCCTACAATTTCGAATTAAATTAATATATTACAGACATTCTTGTGTTATTTTGGTTGACGAGTTTGCTAAACGTCAAAAACACGTGATTTGGAATATGAACTTCAAATCATAGATTAGATAACGTCAAATTGTGACCCAAGAACTCTGTATTCTTGTTGTGACCTTTAAAAATAAATTTTATTTTGGTTGTTAGATATTTAGCAAGATGTCTCGTAGTTTAAAGCTTAACAATGGAAATGAAATTCCTATAGTTGGATTAGGAACATACAAGGTAAATAAACAATCATAAAACTTGTTGTTTCTAATATACCGGCAGGTATTTGTATCTATTTAATGCGGAATTTATATTGAATTATGGCAGTAATTTGATCATAGATTAGATAGAAAATTTGATCTTGTGGTGTGGGTGTGTGTGACTAACATTAATATTTTTTTTTGGTAAGTAAAAATACAAAAAAACAAAAATTTTATTTACTGCTATAATTCACAGCTTAGGTAATATTATAAAGTGTAAAAAATAATTTCAGTCAAAACCAGGTGAAGTAGCACAGGCTGTTAAAGATGCTATCGATGCAGGCTACAGGCACTTTGATTGTGCCTGGTTTTACGGAAATGAAAATGAAGTTGGTTTGGGTTTGAATGCTAAAATTGATGATGGGACAGTTAAAAGGGAGGATATTTTTGTAACCAGCAAAGTATGATATGGAATTTTAATTGTATTTTTTGTATGTACATGAGCATTTGTAGTTGTGGAATAATTTTCATGAGAAAAAATGCGTTTTGCCCAAAATAAAAGAGACTTTGGCTGCTCTTAAGTTAGATTATCTGGATTTGTATTTAATACATTGGCCTTTTGGATTCAAGGTACTACTTCTTATTAAAATTACATAATACATACTACTCTGTTATCTACATTATTTGACTAAACTTATTTAGGAAAATGCACCACTTTGGCCTGTAGGCGAGGTTGACTCATATAGTGACGTGGACTATCTGGAAACCTGGCAAGCAATGGAGGAATGCGTAAAACAAAACCTAACCAAAAGCATAGGCGTCTCGAATTTTAACGCGGCTCAAATCGAGAGAATTCTCGAAAATTGCACGATCAAACCGGCAGTTAATCAGGTCGAAGTCAACCCCAATTTGAACCAGAAAAAGTTGATCGACTTTTGCAAAAAACACGATATCGTTATTACTGGTTACTGCCCTTTGGGCAGGAGTGAGTTTGCCGGGACGCCAGGTTTTCCAGATCCGACCATTTTCGATCCCAAGGTCAAAGAAATTGGGGAGAAATACCGCAAGACGCCTGCGCAAGTTGTTTTGAACTATTTGGTAAGTTGCGTAAGTTAAAAAAGTCAAGTTGGCGCACAATCACTGGGGAAAATAACTGACAGTCAAGTCATGTGACATTTTAGACAGTACTGGCAGTTTTAGGACGTTTCAAAAGGTTTCAGGACATTTAAAGACATTTTACACAGTATAGATTGCATTTAATGTAATGTAATTTAACGAAAAATTGTGCCATTTATACATTTAGTACATGGTTTTTTTAAAACCGATGTTGGCAAGACTGTGGTTGACTGATAATTATCTTTACTTTTAAGCATAATACAAAGATTTTAAGCACAAAACGATATAAATAAACCATAAGCTAGTTAGTTTATTATCAATTGATAATTATCTTTAGTTTTAAGCACAAAACAATATAACTAACCTTCAATCATTCTATGGGAAATGTTGTTGTAAATAAGGTTGGTAATAGATTCATTTTCGTGTAATATAATTTCTGAAAAGTAAAAAGTTGTCCAACTTTACATTACATTAAAAGCTGTACGTAATATTATTTTTTTTAGATCAGTTTGGGCATAACAGTGGTGCCAAAATCAGTGACAAAATCGAGAATAATCGAGAATTTTAACGTCTTCGATTTTACTTTGTCGCCTGAAGATGTCGCTTATTTGGATTCCTGCGATAAAAATCAAAGAGTTTGTCCTCTTACCGATTTCCAAAACCATAAGTACTACAGCTTCAATACTGAGTTTTAAAGAAAATGAAGCAATTTTTATAAAGAATACTCAATAAATTTAATATTTAAAAAAATATTGTTTTATTTTTACTTACAGTTCTTTTTTTTTATTTGGACTCGTGTTTTTTTATTAAGTTGGTAGCTTATGCCAAAAATAATCTCTCCTGGGCCGTAGTCACCTATATTTAACTACTTTTTATATGATTTTACTCATCTATAGATGAGTATACGCACATCCAAACACAAATTAATTGCATTTTTAACTAAGAATTTTGACAACTCAACTTGACAACCGTTCGAGGTAACCTACAATTATTTAAACATAACCACAATTACATTATAACTAGTTTAGTTTGTTTTAATCAATGTCACCAATTTTGGTTCCCTATTTACCAACCAAACCCCTAAATTTGCAACGTTGCCGCAGTCCAGATAAAAAAAAATAACTTTACCTATTAAAAATCTCCGTCCTAGAATATTAATTCAAAAACTGAATCTTGTTTTTCCAAAATTAATTACAGGGCCAACCAGGGGAGGTAGAAACCGCAATTTTAAACGCCATCGAAGCTGGCTACAGGCATTTTGACTGCGCTTGGTTTTACGGCAACGAAAAAGAAATTGGTAACGCATTTAATGAAGCCATTACCAAAAAACTAATCAAGAGGGAAGATATTTTTATCACCAGCAAGGTTTACATTACGGTCAAATTTTTTTTACAACTATTATTTATTAAAGATTTTGTTGCAGCTTTGGAATAACTTCCATTCCAAAGATAGTGTTCTTCCCAAACTAAAGGAGTCTTTGGTAGCTTTGCAAATCGATTATATAGATTTGTATTTGATCCACTGGCCCATGGCATTTAAGGTATATAATGGGGTAGTTAAATTTTTTCTGACCTATACTTTTTATGGTTTTATTCAAGGCGTTTTGTAATTTTAAACATTTCTGTGAAATCGGAATTTTAATTGAGTTTACCGTTTTCGAGATATTTACAAAAAAAAATCTCCTAATTACGTCACTAGGCTATTGACAACGTTGCCAGCTTTTTCTATGGTTGCCAGTGTGTTTAGTTTAAGATTCTTACGATAGATGGCGCCACGCTATAATATTTTAGTTTTAAAACCACTTGATCTATAATTTTAGTTGAGAAGAAGAAGAATTGATTTTTTGACGTTTCTTTTTTTCGGGCTATGTTTTTTTAAATTTAGATTATTGAAAATCAATGTTATTGTTATGTTATTTGTAATTGATATTAGATAAGTGATTTATTAATAACGGACTCCAAAGCAGAGGAATCTTGTGGAATGGTTGGTTACATTGAACATTCCCACATAACACAATATGTTTTAAAAATATTGTCAGGCCGTTTAGAGAACAATATTTATAAATATAAGGTTGATAAAATGTTGTACAAACATTCAGGGGAAAATATTTTTATAACAGTTACGCGTAAATATTTCTAAAACATTCATAAATATCATGTAAATATTTTTAAACATTTATTTCGCAATGTTATGTAAATATTATATACTAAATATTGTTGAGATATTTAACAATATTTATAAACTTTTTGAAAAGTTAATTCAAAGTTTTGTGATGTCAGCGCCTCTCGATAAAAAGTGTCGGCTTTTATAATCTATGGTTCGGCCATTTTTGCTTTGTTCAGAACACTTGTTGAGTGTGTTTTAAGTGCGACGCCAAAGAAAAACCTTTGTGAGAGGCAATAATAAATTATCCAGATAGGTATGTATTTATTTTTATTGTTTAGATTATTATTACTATTTATGAATGGCTATGTTATCTATGAATGGTAGTGTACTAAATCACGGCATTACGGTAAAGCCGGTACCTAACCTTAAAATTTTATTATTATTCTATCAGTAAAATTCTTATTAACAAAAAACAAACAAAAACCTAATAAAATCTCTGTGAAAACTAAAATTATTATTGTTTTTTAATATTTAAAAACAAAAAAAGCAATTTCCCCCATTGGGATTGAACCGAAGACTTTAATTTAAATTGCAGAAATTAACATAATGAATAAAACAAACACAAACAAACATGGGTCAAAGAGACAAACAAATAGAATCTTACAAAAAAGGGTTAATGCTGCTATGAGGCAAATTAATGAAGCTGCAGTTAATTGTAACAATATATCAAAGCCCAAATTAAAAAATAACAATAGTTCACTTAGTTCAAATGAAAATAACGAAAATATGGTTGTACAATCTCAAGGCAGTTCTGATATTTCAGAAGACATACAACAAATTATACCTTATAATGGTAAGTTTTTCCCTACAAAAAAGAATAAAATATTTAAAATAATGTCATTTTATAGAAATTTCTTCTTCTACTGATGAAACAGAAGACGAAGAACTTGATATTAAAATTGATGACATAAATGAAAATAATAATTTAACGTTAGCTGAAAAATTAAGCTCGTGGGCCACTGAGGAAAATATTGCCCAAAATAAACTAAAACACCTTTTAGATATACTTAGAACAGAAGAAAACATAAATTCTTTCAAAAATCTCCCAAAAGATCCTCGTACATTGTTGCAGACACCAAGAAAAACTGTCGTTCAATCATTGGATAATGGGCATTTCTATTATTTCGGCATTCCAAATGCCATAAATAATTTTTTAACACAAATGAAGTTTGTTATACCTGTTGGTTCTGACATTGAGCTGATTGTAAATGTAGATGGTTTACCTTTAACAAGTAGTTCTAATAGTGCACTGTGGCCAATTTTGATCAAAATTGATTCAGTTGAAGCCATAAAAAATTATGTTATAATGATTGCGGTATTTCACGGACAATCAAAACCTTCTTCAGCAAACAATTTTTTAAATGAATTTATTAAAGAAGCAGTTGATTTAACAAATAATGGTATTGTACTGGGAAATAATTATTACAGCTTTAGAATAAAAATGTTTGTCTGTGATACCCCTGCTAAATCTTATATATTAAATATTAAAGGCCATACAGCGCAATATAGTTGTACCAAATGTTATCAACCTAGCAAAAAAGTGAATAATATTTCATGCTTTTCATGGTTGGAAGAATTGCATTTACGTGATGACGCTGAGTTTAGGCAACAACATCAAGCTGAATATCATCATGGTCCCACATTAGTGACCGAATTGCCAAAGTTTGACATTATTAAGGACATACCTCTCGACTACATGCATTTGGTCTGTTTAGGTGTAATGAAAAGGCTTTTAACACACAAGATCTTTGGCTGGGTTTCAGGAAATTATTTATATAAGCTTTCTATAAGTCAGCAAAAGGACATATCTAGAAACCTATTAAATATCCAAAAATTCGTTGTCTGTGAATTTTCAAACAGAAGAAGCAGGTCTTTAGATTATTGTGCCCGATTTAAAGCCGTTGAATTTCGTCTTCTGTTACTTTATACCGGACCAATTGTTTTTAAAAAATTTGTTAAACCTGAATATTATCAAAATTTTTTATGCTTTCACGTGGCAATGCGTATTTTAATTAGTAAAAGTGCTTGTGAAGACAAGAGACTTTTAGACTATGCTAAGGATTCTCTGAAGGCTTTTGTGAAAAACAGTGAAAAATTATATGGTCCCGAATTTATTTCATACAATGTACACAATCTTCTACATTTGGTAGATGATGTTGAACGATTTGGTCCAGTGGATAATTTTTCCGCATTTTCATTTGAAAACCATATGCAGCAACTTAAGAAATTGGTTAGAAAAAGCGACAAGCCTGTTCAGCAAATAGTTAACCGAGTATCTGAAAGAATTTCTAATACAATATTTCAGTCCGAATTTGCTTCATGCAACCCATTATTTTCAAAGGAACATTCGGAGGGCCCTCTGATAAACAACTGTTGTTCTCCTCAGTACAAAATTTTAAAAATTAAGGGGTATACTTTTAAATTAAACTTGTGTGATTGTTATGCTTTGCTCAAGAATGATCAAATTATTAAAATTTCTAATTTTGCAACTGTTCAGGGCAAAACATGTATTATTGGGCAATATTTAAAAAAGTTGTGTCCATTTTTTGATAAGCCCTGTTCTTCAGAATTTGTTAGCATTTGGTGCATAGATGTACGCCATTTAAGTAATTTAAGAATTTTTTATATAAGTGACATAGAAACTAAAATGATGGTTCTGCCATATCAAGATAAAGAATACTGTGTAGCACTATCCTTAATGCATTGATAAATATTTTAAATTATAATAAACTTTATAAAAACTTGTAATGAGATATTTATTTACCTTTTACGTTTTTGTATATAATTTACATGTATTTCAAGGGCACCATACCCTATTCATAGTGCAGTAAAATGGCATGGTGTGTTGTCTTTTTTCCGGACGACAAAACTTATGAAGTTATACCCAATAGTTGGATACTTGAAGAGAAAGAAAGTTATTTTCCTAACATACAAGGCTTTAGATTGTATGAAATTATTAAAAAACGTCAGTCACCTGATGATGACTGGAACATTTTTAGTGTGAAAATTTTAGGTCAATATGGTAAGAATAGTTTTCTTTTTAATGTGGTAATGTTATTAATCTCTTTGTCTTTCATAGATGATTTTACTGTTGCCCAATCTCAGTGTGAAGCTGCCCGACGAGGCGAAGATTTAACCAAAAGAGCAGATATTAAAAGTGACAGTATTACAAAAGGAGGAAAAGGTTCCAGGGTTCGAAAGCCGAACAGCAAATTTAATGAATTTACCAATATAAATACCGATGATGATGAGCTGAACAAAGTTAACCTAACATTACCAGAACTTAAAAGAAAAGGTAAACCCTAAATTCTAGTCTTACAAATGTTAGCTCTTATTTGTAGGGAATAAAAGGAAAAAACCCTTAGAAAAGCAATTTCACGTTCTATTGTTTTAACAAATATTTTTTTTGCAAATCTTAAAAACCTTTTCTATGATTTTTTTTAATTGAATGTGTTCTTGTAGGAAACGAAGTTTCCACATTGGCAATGTGTGACTCTGAAAATAATACCATAGTTATCGAAAATGAAGTGGATAGCTATTCAAATAATGCAGGTATGTTACTAAGTGCATTTGCAAATATTTTAGTACTAGATACATCTGAATTTTAGTACTTGTGGAGAACGTATCCCTTATCCTTCAAAAGCTGGATGAACTTGATGCTAAGCAAGAAGGTAAAAATGATTGTTCAATGAAATATGACTGTAAATAATACATTTTAGAATTTCAACGGAGAATGTTTAGGCAGCAATTTATAATTGAAAATAAAATAAGAGATGTAGAAAATAAGCTTGATAAAATTAATGTTTTAAATGTGCCGCCCAATCAAGATAACAGAGACTATGAGGATGATCAGCTGCTTGAAATGTGGAATCTGTTTCCATTGGATAACAATGAAAAAATAGAAACAATGGAAAGTGCTCTCCTAGACAAAAATTTGTTTAAAAGTTTGGTAATTACCCCTCCTATACTCTAAAAAATAATCAACATAGTTTTACACCCTTTTAAACTAAAATGTGTTATATTAAGTCCACACAAAACCCTGTAATTTTTTTTTTTAATTTAACACATTTTTGGGATTGTGTTTAATTTAACACTAAATATAATTTAACGCTACACTTAAATAAAAAGAATAATTGTATTTTTTTTCAGAAAATTAAAATTTATAAAAAACTTACATAAACATAATCTAAAAAATTAAAATTAATAAAAAAATTTAGCATAGTAAGTTTTTCATAAGAGTTAATTACTTAACCCAGAAGTTTTTTCTGAAAATATATTACAAAAACTGTTCTGTATTAAAAACATAATATGTCTTTATGTAAAAACTATTTTGGGTTAAAAATTTTCTTTTATAAAAGAAACTTTAAACTTGGCTGAAGGACCTAGGTCCAATGGCCTTTTAATTTATGTATTTTTTGAAATTTATGATAATCAATAAATAACTATATTATATAACTATATTAACTATTATTATTTTACTTAAACAAACATATATTTTCAAGTTTAAATAAAAAATTCAACCATTATTATGCAAGCAAACTAAACCAAATAATAAAAATAATATGTTTATTACTTGGTCTAGTTGCATGCATAATAATGGTTGAATTTTTTATTTCAACTTGAAAATATATTGTTATCATAAATTACAAAAAATACAACAATTAAAAGGCCATTGTACATAGGATTAAACAAATTTGTTTTCACAATATGAGATTTTACAGATATTTTTTATAGTTTATACAGGTAAATATTTTTTTCACTAAATAGCTGTTTACTTTGTAGGCAAGAAAGTTTTCTTTAGTGGGAGGTGAAACTCCCAAAGACATAACAAGAAGCATATTGTACTTAATGTTGACAAATGAAATGGCTGCAATGTACAGTTTCGATGGAGCAAAAGGGAAATTAAAGTTTAAATCCCTAAAACTTTTTGAGCTTTTACTGGGTATGTTATAAAATAAGTTTTAAAACCAGACAACAATTGTATGAATTAAATTCTTTTTAGCCTCCATCCGGAAAAATCCAAAAACCACCAATGCAACAGAAAACGAAATTTTGCCAGAGTTGAGGCAATGGTTGGCCCAAGCAAAATTTAGAAAAAAAAAGTAAATTAAGAAAAGTGATACCTACTGCAGAAAGAAATTATTTTTTTTATTTTTGTGATTTTTTCCTGAGAATTTTTGTTTTGTTTATTTATATATTTGTTTATTTTATTTTTTCCAAAGAATTTTTGTTTTGTTTATTTATATATTTGTTTATTTTATTTTTTTATTTAATATAATAATAATTTGTTTATTTATATATATCTATTATTTTTAAAATAAACTTTTTTTTTAAATATTTTTTTATTAAGACCTGTAATAAATTTTCTTGTATTTTTAGTGTGCAAAAAATAGATCTCTAGCTATGGTATTCCACTGTTTTACTATTTCTGCTATGAGAATAACATACCATATCTACTTTTTGCACTCCAAAAAAGAAAATACAGTACACAAAAGTATCGGGTGTCACAGGGCTTTTATAAATATAAAAGAAACATTTTATCAACATTTACAACAACATTGTTAAAATAAATATGCAATGAACTCTAAATATTTGGATAATATTTTCAGATATTTTTGTGATGTTGAGAAAACATTAATAAAATATAAGGTAATGTATATAAAACATTTACAAAAATGTTTTAAAAATGTTGTGGAAAAATATTGTATAAATATAAAAAGTGGGACATCTAAATGTTGTAAAAACATTTTAGAGACATTTAAATGATAATGACTAATATTTCTAAAATATTTGGTTCATTTAGCAAAAATATTCATTTAATATTTTATATATATTTTTGTGTTATGTGGGTTGGAGCTTTTAAACAAATAAAAGTCGTTTTTTCGCGTAAATACTATGAAATACTTTGGTTATTAAACTTAACCTTGGTTAATAGTTAAGGCATTTTTGCGTTTAGAGTGCGTTCAAAAATCCTAACTATGACGTCACAAATACCAGACCATAAAACTATAGTCGTTTTTTCGCGCAAATACCATGAAATACTATGGTTATTAAACTTAACCTTGGTTAATAGTTAAGGCATTTTTGCGTTTAGAGTGCGTTCAAAAATCCTAACTATGACGTCACAAATACCAGACCATAAAACTATATCGCTGAGCTAGTTATTCAATGTGGTTAATAGTCTTTCTCTTTTTAATATATATTTTTCTCTGTTTCGATCTATCAAAAAGTTGTTTAAATTTGAAATTTAAAATATTTTAAGTAGGTACAATTGCTCTTAAACCGAATTTAAACTTTGTATTAAAATGGTAAACAGGGTGTTGTCAGTAAAAATAAATGATAGGGTGATCCATATTGGGGAATCTCCACAAGTGGATGAATTATATGCAGGTTTGTTTTAATATTCTTCCTTATTTTGTATTAAACATGTAGGAGAATTGGATAACGTGTATTGAAAAAACTAGTACCTATAGAAAAAGAATATACTAGGTATAAGAAGAGGCAAAGAAATTTATTTACACCGGTAAGAGCATAGAAATTAAATATAAATAGGTAAAAACACATTTCAAAAATTATAGGTTATGAACAAGTAAACAAATGTCAAATGTTAGAAACCTAACCATGGTTATATGAATTAACTGTGACGTCATGACTTATTTAACCGTAGTATTATATAGTATTTACGCGAAAAAACGACTAAAGTAAGTACCTATAATTATAATCATATTTTGTCGTAAATGCATTTCATTAGTATAATGCCTAGTTCTTTATATTCTTTTAGATATATCTTGGACTCTAAAATATCAAACAGTAATATGATACCTCGTAATAAGGAAGATAGGTACTTAATGAATTTGGTGACCATCTTTCACTCAACTGACAGTGACAGTATTTGTACATAACCTCTTCGGGTATTTTTTGACATAACCGAATGAAATCATTAACAAGACAACTTGACAACAGGGTACCAGTAACCAATAGAAATCTTAGAATGTTGGTCACATGGCGAGGTTTGTGACGTCATAAAAATTTATATTTTTTGTAAATATCTCGAAAACGGTAAACTAAATTGAAATTCTGATTTCACAGAAATGTTTAATATTACAAAACGCCTTGAATAAAACCATAAAAGTATAGGTCAGAAAAAATTTAACTACCCCATTTGGCACATAAAAACGTATTTCTCCATACGCATTTCACTAGGAAAACGACCCACTCCCGACCAGCTCTGATGGGTACAGCGACACGGATTACCTGGAAACTTGGCAGGGCATGGAGGAATGCCACAAAGCAGGCCTGGCCAAGAACATAGGCGTGTCCAACTTCAACATCGACCAATTGGAACGCTTGTCGGCCAACTGTCAGATTCAGCCGGCCGTCAATCAAATCGAGGTTAATCCTAACCTAACTCAGGTGGAGCTGAGGAAATTCTGCAAGGAAAAAAACATTGCCGTGACGGCGTTCTGTCCGCTGGGAAGAAATTTGGCGGCGCCCTCTGCAACAGGGCAGCCTGTAAGTGCCACGAACGACCCTGAAGTGGCGAAAATTGCGCAGAAATATAATAAAACGACTGCGCAAGTTGTTTTGAGGTTTTTAGTAGAGATGGGTATAAGTGTTATACCAAAATCGGTGAATAAGGGAAGGATAGCACAAAATATCGACATATTCGACTTTAGTTTGACTGAAGAGGAGACAAATTATTTAAATTCGTTGAATAAGAATATTAGAGTAAGCCCGATGAACAATTATAAGGACCATAAGTTTTATCCTTTTGAAAGATAGGGAAATAATTATTGTATATAAAGTTGCCATAAAATTGGATACAAAGTTGTAATAAAATTGTTTTATTTTATTAAGTTGGTTTTTATGTTTTTTTTATTCAATGTTGGCTCCATGGTGGCCAATTACGGGTTTTTATTTGTCAACTAAACTTAAATTAATAAATTTAGAAAAAAGTGTTTTCTTGCAATGTTAATGTTACACAACAAACAACAATGTTAACATGATGATTAAGAATTGACCATATGCAAGGAATGCGGTCGATGTTGCCAATGGTAAAAAAATAAAATTCCCTATTGGGAACATTCAATTATATTACGTTGGCTACACTGAAATTTTGAATTTCCCGCACAAATTGACATACATTCTAGTAGTTCCCAGAGATAAAGAAGGTAGTTCCAATGTTGTATAATAAATTAAGGTGCGAATTTCAAATGTGGAAATTATTATTATTATTAAAAAAAAAGATGGAAATTAATTTAGTTTGTGCGGGAAATTCAAATTTTCAATGTAGCCAACGTAATATAATTGAATGTTCCCAATAGGGAATTTTATTTTTTTACCATTGGCAACATCGACCGCATTCCTTGCATATGGTCAATTAAACTATCCCCTTTTTTTGAGGCAATGTTGCCATATAAAGAAAATATGACTCCCCTGTATCTTTTTAAATAATGAAGGAAGAATTTTTTAAACAATTTTCTGGAATTCCTGGGGGTCTGTAGATAATACACCTTCATTTTGTCGCACTAATTGTGGGACACCCTGTATATTCACCCATACCATACCTTTTTTCTTGTACCATGTGTTTACCTACTATTGCAATTTCTTTTAAGTGGTGATGAAGGAAAAATGAATAAAACTCGTTAATATTTTAAAATTACGTGTATTCACATAGCTGTAACTTATTAAATATAAAGTTTTTTATGAAGAGCACTACAACCTAAACTATTTGAAAATAAAATAGAAATAAATCGTTTATAAATTAAATAATCTTTATTTTTTTTGTAACTTTCAGTTAGTATACTTTGGACAAATAAACTTTACATTTTAATAAAAATAATAAAATCAACCAAAAAAAGGTAAATAAAACAATAAAGACTGTTCATTGCTGCGACTTTAGTTAGGATAAAAACTTTGAGCTTATTTTTGGAGAAAACGTGGTGGCAATGAGCAGTGTTTACTTCTGTACATACGAAGCCTATAAATAAATATCTTTGCGCTTTGCGTTATTACATAATAAAAATAATAGACTAATTGTAAGGGAAAAGAATTAGAATGTTTTTCCCTTGAGAAAAAAAATTAAAAAATAACATTTACCAAGCAAGACCAATAATAAATTAAATAAAATCTAAAGAAAAAGTGCTCGGTATCGAAATCGTATAATTTTTTTGAAAGATGTTCTGTCACTTACGTAAATCATAGAAGAGTTTCTTCTCACATCGAAAACAAAAAATAAATATATATATTAATTAATGTATATTTATAATAAGGCATTTGAGACGTGGTTTCTCGGGCCTTATGGCTAGTTGAAAGACCTCGCGGGTGGTCCGGATCTAAAGATCCGATTCACCGTAGAGCGCTGTCGAAAACGACATGTAATCCAGAGCGCCGGGCACGCCGTTGGGTCCTTTGTACGGAGGCATGCGCTGGATGCAGTATTCAGCCTGGTCTGGGGGCAATTCTCTCCTCAGCTCGTCGGGAAGAATGTAGGGCTGTAAATATTGAAAAAACATTCATTCCACCGTGTGACAGTGAAATTATACCAACATTTTTTTCATTTCCCTGCAGCTGTCAAAATGACAATAAAAATGTCATAAATAAACATAAAAAAATGTCAACGTCAAAAATGACAGAAAAAAACCGAAAGATGACGGATAACAATGTCAATAAAATCCGACAAAGATATCAAATATTTAAATTAATTTGTCCATAATATTTTCTTCTTATTTAACGAAAAAACTTGAGGTTAGGTTTGCGGTTATTCGGAAAAAATACGAATGTCAAAAATGAAAAATGTTAGACAAGAAATGTCAAATATATCAAATATTTCCTCCATAATATTTGCTTTTTTTTTAACACGTCAAAAATGACTTTAAAACAAAATTTAACATTTAATGTCATACATGGCTAAAAACAAATTTAAAAATGTTTAAAATTACAGGAAAACAAAAAATAACTTAACAGGTATCAATATTGAGAGATGACAGACATCAAAAATGACAATGTAAAAAAGTCAAAGAACAATAATTTTTAATCTTAATTAAAAATTTACAGAATATGAATGCCAAAAATGACCACAAATAAATTATAACAGTTGTCAATATTGAAAACGACAGAAAACAAGCCTCAAAAATTATAAATTTTTATTCTTAATTTGAAAATAATAGTACCTATACGAAAAATAACATATGAAAAACGTCAAAAATGACAAATGTTTAAAAGTACAAAAATTAAACGTCAAAAATATTTCATCTTAATTTAAAATGATAAACAATACGAATACGAATGTTTTAAAATAACAATATAAAAACAAATGTCGAAAATAATGGATAACAGATGTCAAAAATTGACAAATGTTTAAAAATTAAAAATACAAAACAAAATGTCAAAAACTACAGATGACAGGTGTCAAAAATGACAGATGACGCGTTAAAAATGACAAATGTTTAAAATGACAGAAAACAAATGTCAAAAATGACAAATGTTAAAAAATAACAGAAGTAAAAAACAAATGTCAAAAATGCAAGATGACAGATGTCAAAAATGATGGATAACAGATGTCAAAAATGACAAATGTTTAAAACGACAGAAATTAAACGTCAAAATGATTTTTAATCTTATTTTAAAGTTATAAAAATTACAAATACGAATGTTAAAAACGACAGAAGACATGTCAAAAATATTAAATTTTCAAAACAACTGACAAATTTTTAAAATGACATATGACAAATTTTTGAAATGATAGGAAACAAATGTCAAAAATGACAGATGACAGACGTCAAAAATTACAAATGACAGGCGTCAAAAATGACAACTGTTTTAAAATAACAATAAAAAACAAATGTCAAAAATGATGGATAACAGATGTCAAAAATGACAAATGTTTAAAAGAACAGAAATTAAACGTCAAGAATGATCTTAATTTAAAATGATAAACAGTACAAATACGAATGTTAAAAATGACAAAAACCAGATTACATACATACGTCAAAAATGACAAATGTTTAAAATGACATTAAACAAATGTCAAAAATTATAAATGTTTTATCTTAATTTAAAATGATAAACAACCCGACTGTCAAAAATGACAAATGACAGACGTAAAAAATGACAAATCTTTAAAAATAACTGATTTAAAAAACAAATGTCAAAAATTATAGATGTTAAAATGGCAGATAACAGAAATGTCAAAAATGACAAATGTTTTAAGATAACCATACAATAACAAATCTTAAAAATGATGAATAACATATGTCAAAAATGGGAAATGTTTAAAACGACAGAAAACTTGTCAAAAATGATAAATTTTAATCTTTAAGAAAACAAATGACGGATGACAGACGTCAAAAATTACAGATAACAAAGGTTTAAAATGACAGAAAACAAATGTCAAAAATGACAGATGACGGACGTCAAAAATGACATGCTTAAAAATAACAATGTAAAAAAGTGATATTTTTAAGTTTTTGAGATGTTTATAGCACCTTAGTATCAAGAAAACTACATATTCAATTAAATTGGCCATCAATTTAATTTTGCCAATTTAGTTGCATATGATACTAAGGCGCTATAAACTTACTTTAACCTCAAAATTACTCAATCACCGATTGAAATATTGCAGAAAACAAATATTTAAAATTAAGGTTAATTCGTGTCTTACCTTGTCAGCGGCCAGAATGCGGAAACTGTCGATAACTTGTTCGGCAGTGTCCGTGTCGGTGCTTTCTCTGGTCATAAAGTCCAAGAAGGCGTCGAAGTGCACGTAGCCCGTGCTGTTTGGATCAACCACTGCCAAGATCCTCTGGAAATCGATTTCGCCCTGTCTATCTTTGCCGATCGAGTATCCCAAGGACACCAGGCAAGACTGAAAAAAAGCACACGAACATTTTTAGTTTTTAACCCAAGGTGCTAAACTTGGGGAGATACACTTACTTTGAATTCATCTGGGGCCAAACGTCCGGTCCTGTTCTTGTCGAAGTGGTTGAAGGAGGCTCTGAACTCGTTGAGTTGCTCCTGGGTGATTCCTTTGGAGTCGCGGGTCAAAATTTGATTTTCTACTTCGTTGATGTTGCGGTTGATCGAGGTTAAAAGTTGCTCCCATCCGACTCTCAACGTTTCCATTGTGTATTGTGTGTATCTTAAAGAGATGAAATCATTTAAATGAAGACGTCAAATGCTTTTAGTCCAAACTTGACAACATGACAAATTTTAATCATATATTATATCACGAGAACTATGAATTTAATCGGTTAAACTAGGCTCAGTAGTTTTTTGTTTGTTTTTTTTTGGAAAATGTTGAATGCAAAATAATTTAATAAAATCACGAGACCGCGTAGCGGTCGAGGGGTTTTATTTTTAATTATTTTGCATGAAACTATTTTCCAAAAAGAAAAATCAAATAAAAAACTTACTGAGCATAGTTTGACAGATTAAATTTATAGGTTGAGTGATATACCTCTAGATTATTTCTCGAATTAAAGGAAACTATTTGACAATTCATAAAATCTGACGTATGTGTCAAAATTTATAAATATTTTTTTAAAGAAAATTCCATTAATTTAAGGTATGTAAAAAGTAATAATTGATATTTAGTAAACTAGATAACTTATTTTTTATTGTTTTTAAAAAAATGTTTGTTAAAACTTGTAAATAACACCATAAAATTGTAAACAAAACTCCAATATGGAGGCTAAAATTTAATCGCTGTTAAATAGTTCTAGTGATTTAATCGCCTATTTAAACGAAATTTATTTAAAAATTCAAGGCTTTTGATTGGTTCATATTATAATGAGGGAAATAATCAACAGAAAGCCTGATTTATAGATTGCCTTCCTTCCTCCCCTAAAAGATGAACAATACGAAAACCGTAGCGTTGTTTATAGATTATCGTACGAAAATCTATAAACAGCACTACGGTTTTCGTAATGTTAATCTTTTAAGGGAGGAAGAAAGAAAGGAAGGAAGGAAGTCAATCTATAAATTAATATGCTTCAACGCCTTAAAATTAAGTTTTTGAGTTTTAAGATGGTTTTAGCATTCTAAAATGTTTTGTTAACATTCTAAAATGTGTTTATGACATCCTAAATTTTTAGCATTTTGTTTGTTTCAAAAATGTCAAATTTTTAAAAATGATCAATATTTTCGAAAAATTTCAAAATTCAGTTTTTAAAGTTTCAAAATTTCTTGGCATTCTGAAATGTGCTTTTGACATTCTAAAATATGCTTTGAGCCTTTAAAATTAAGTGTTTATATTCTTTAAGATGGTTTTCGCAATCTAAAAGGTTTTGTTAACATTCAAAATTTCTAAAATTCTAAGTTTAAAAAATTTCAAATTTTTTAAAAATTATCAATATTTTCAAAAAAAATTCGAAATTCAGTATTTAAAGTATCCAAAATGTTCAGAATTTCTTGACATTCTTAAATGTGCTTTGACATTATAAAATATGCTTTGACCCTTTAAAATTAAGTTTTTATATTCTTTAAGATGGTTTTAGCATTCTTAAAAGTTTTGTTAACATTCTTCAGAATTTCTTGACATTCTAAAATGTGCTTATGACAAATTATAATTTTTAACATTATCTTAAATATTCAAACCTTCTAAAACTCTAAAAAAAGTAAAAATAATCAATATTTCCAAATAAATTCAAAATTCAGTTTTCCAAGTTTCCATTGTTCAAAATTTCTTGACATTCTGCTTTTGACAATCTAAAATGTTTTGGTAAAATTCTAAAATGTGTTTATGGCAAATTATAATTTTTAACATTTTGTTAAATATTCAAAACTTCTAAAAATTTTTTTTTTTTAAATAATCAATATTTCCAAATAAAATCAAAATTCAGTTTTCAAAGTTTACAAAGTGTTCAGAATTTCTTGACATTCTGAAACGTGCTTTTGACATTCTAAAATATGCTTTGAACCGTTTTTAGATTATTTAAGATGGTTTTAGCAATCTAAAATGTTTTGTTAAAATTCTAAAATGTCTTTTAGAAATTATAATTTTTAACATTTTGTTAAATACTCAAAATTTCTAAAACTCTATTCAAATTCTTTAAAAATTATCAATATTTCCAAGAAATTTCCAAATTCAGTTTTTAAATTTTCCAAAATGTTCAGAATTTCTTGACTCTAAAATGTGCTTTTAACATTCTAAAATATGCTTTCACCCTTTAAAATTAAAGTTTTTTTTATTATTTAAGATGGTTTTAGCAATCTAAAATGTTTTGGTAAAATTCGTAAATGTGTTTATGACAAATTATAATTTTTAACATTTTGTTAAATATTCAAAATTTCTAAAACTCTAAAAAAGTTTCTAAAATTTTAAAATTTTTAAAAATTATCAATATTTCCAAAAAAAATCGGTTTCGGAATTCGGAATTTCTTGACATTCTGAAACGTGCTTTTGACATTCTAAAATATGCTTTGATGCTTTAAAATTAAGTTTTTATATTCTCTAAGATGGTTTAGCAATCTAAAATGTTTTGTTAAAATTCAAAGTTTACAAATTTTGATTTTTTAAAAAAATTATCAATATTTATTTCCAAATTCAGTTCTTTCCAAAATGTTCAGAATTTCTTGACATTCTGAAATGTGCTTTTGACATACTAAAATATGCTTTGTCGCTTTAAAATTAAGTTTTTTTTCTTTAAGGTTGTTTTAGCATTCTAAAATGTTTTGTTAACATTCTAAAATGTTTTGTTAACATTCTAAAATGTGTTTATGAGATAAAATTCTAAAAAAAATTCGAAAATTTCAAATTTTTTAAAAATTATTTTGTTAATTATTCAAAATTTTTAAAATTCTAAAAAAAAAATTAAAAATAAAAACTCTGGTTAAATTCAAAAAGTTTCAACATTTTTTCAACATTCTAAAATGTGTTTATGACATAAAATTCTAAAAAAAAATCGAAAATTTCAAATTTTTAAAAAATTATTTTGTTAATTATTAAAAAAAATTTAAATTCTAAAAAAATTAAAAATGAAGGAAGGCTTAAAACTCTGGTTTGCTGACCTGTTTTCGAAGATCATGCTCTCTTGCACGGCCTGGTGGATCTTCTCGAGCTCCTCGATATGCGGTTTGTAGGCGTATACTCCTTGCTCGTACTCCTTGAGACGGTGCAACTGGTCCTCCAGGGTGCCGTGCAGTCCCATGCCGATGGCCGTGACGGCATCGAGTTGGCGTTCGATCCAAGGTCCGACCGCGTTGGCCTTTTCGGCGAATTGACGTCTGAGCATTTCGTTGTCTGCGAGAAATCGGTTAAGGAAAACACGAGAAATGTTTTGAAGTTGTGCTTGAGTTTAAATTTTAGCGGGCAACGGAAGTTTGTCAAATATTCAAAATATCTATTCAAAAAAAATTCCAGTTTCAAACATTTTCAAAATTATCAATATTTCCAGAAAATTTAAAAACTCTTAGTTTTTATAGTTTACAATATTTTCAGAATTTATTGACGTTCTTAAATTTGCTTTTGACATTCTAAAATATGTTTTGGCCCTTTAAAATTAAGTTTTTAGATTCTTTAAGGAGGTTTTGCAATCTAGAATGTGTTAATGACATCCTAAAAAGTGTTTTTGACAACATTTTTAATTGAACATTTTGTAAATATTCAAAATTTCTGTAATTTTCAAAGATTTAAAAAAAATTTGCAAACATTTAAAATTCTCAATATTAACAAATATATTCGAAATTCCCAGTCTTTAAAGTTTCCAAAATTTTCAGAATTTCTTGAAATTCTAAAATATGCTTTGACTCTTTAAAATTAGATTTATAAATTCTTTAAGATGGTTTTAGCATTCTAAAATGTTTTGTTAACATTCTAAAATTTTCAACATTTTGTTAAATATTTAAAATTTCTAAAAAAGTTTAAAAAATTTCAATTTTTTTTTAAAAATGTTCAGAATTTATGCTTTGACAATTTAAAATTAATTTTTATATTCGTTAAGATGGTTTTAGTATTCTAAAATGTTTTGTTAACATTCTAAAATGTGTTTTGACATCCTAAAATTTGTTTTTGAAAAAATTTGTAAAATTTTCTAATATTCAAAATTTATAAAATTCAAAAAATTTTGCGTGTTTTTAAAATTCTCAATATTTCCAGAAAATTTCAAAATTCTTAGTTTTTAAAGTTTCCATAATAATAATTCAAAATTTTGTAAATATTTAAAATTTATAGAATTTTAAAAAAATTCCAAAGATTTAAAAAAATTTGCAAACTTTTAAAATTCTCAATATTAACAAATATATTCGAAATTCCCAGTCTTTAGTTTCCAAAATTTTTAGAATTTCTTGAAATTCTGAAATGTGATTTTGACGTTCTAAAATATGCTTTGACTCTTTAAAATTCGATTTTTATATTCTTTAAGATGGTTTTAGCATTCTAAAATGTTTTGTTAACATTCTAAAATGTGTTTATGACATCCTAAAATTTTTGTTCTTGAAAAAATTTCTAAAATTTTCATCATTTTGTTAAATATTCAAAATTTGTAAAAAAGTTTCAAAAATTTCAATTTTTTTAAAAATAAGTACTAAAATGTGTTTATGACATCCTAAAATTTTTGTTTTTGAAAAAATTTCTAAAATTTTCAACATTTTGTTAAATATTCAAAATTTCTAAAAATGTTTCAAAAATTTCAATTTTTTTAAAAATAAGTAGGTACTTTTAAAAAAAATTTAAATTCAGTTTTCCAAAATGTTCAGAATTTATGCTTTGACATCCTAAAATTTGTTTTTGAAATAATTTGTAAAATTCTGTAATATTCAAAATTTATAAAATTCTAAAAATCTTGTATGTTTCCAGAAAATTTCAAAATTCTTAGTTTCTTGACGTTCTTAAATGTGCTTTTGACATTCTAAAATATGTTTTGGCCCTTTAAAATTAAGTTTTTAGATTCTTTAAGGTGGTTTGGCATTTTAGAATGTTTTTTAACATTCTAAAATGTATTAATGACATCCCAAAATGTGTTTTTGACAAAATTTCTTAAAATATTAAAATTTTCTACAATTCTAAAAGTTTCCAAAGATTTAAAAAATCTTGCAAACTTTCAAAATTCTCATATTTACAAATAATTTTAAAATTCCAAATTGTTCAGAATTTTTTGACATTCTGAAATGTGCTTTGACCCTTTAAAATTAAGTTTTTATATTCTTTAAGATGGTTTTAGCGTTCTAGAATGTTTTTTTAACATTCTAAAATGTTTTGTTAACATTCTAAAATGTATTTAGACAAAATTTCTAAACTTCTAAAAAAAACTTTCCAAAATTCTAAAAAAATTCCAGTTTTAATAATTTTGCAGTTTTTAAATTTCTTAGGGTGGTTTTAGCATTCTAAAATGTTTTTTTAACGTTCTAAATTGTTTATAACATTTTTAAGTATCTAAAAAAAATATTAAATTAAAAAGGATACTTTGTTGTTTTCTAAGTTCAGCTTGAAGTGTGGCATCTCTTTGTGGCACAAGTTGCCTAACTTCCCCCCATTTCCTTGTCAAATCCTACAACAAAATACAACATTAATTAAAATTAATTGATTTTATATTAAATATTATGGCGGTGTTTTACCTCCAAATCACCACCAAATCCCTCCTTTATTTATTAAGCAGTGAAAAATATTAACAATAGTTATTTTCACATATAAGAAGTTCATTGAAATGAAAAATCAAAAAATGTCCTTTTATCGTTATATTTTTGATTCCAAAATGTGAAAATGTAAAAAATACTCACATGGGCAGTCAAAGTGGTGTAGGGGTTCTCAAGACCACCAGGTACCTGGTGTTGCTTGACAATGGATTCAACTTCACGAACCAATCCCACAATGCTCTGAAAAAAATGTAAAAAAAAATCAAATATACTATAATAATATTATACAGGGTGAGTTTTTTAAAGTGTTACAAGACAATATCTTGAAAACGGTTCAATATTTTTTTGTGAAATTTTGGTAAAGTAATGAGGACACGGGGGGACATATTTGGACATATTTTTGAAATTTACCCCCCCCACCCCATTTTGAGGGGCAAGGGGTAACTTTGGATTTTTCAATGGAATGATGTATTTTTTTTTATAAAATTCGAATCTACGTAAAAAACTACGTATGTGTGCCAAAAAAAAATTCATTTGCTCTTTTGGTTACGGAGTTATGATTTATTATGTTAAAATACTAAAAAATAATTTCAATGTTTTTATCAAGTCTGTTAAGCTGCACGTTGTTGTTTATTTCCATGGAAACGCGTTATTTTAATCTAAGTTGGTCGAAAATTTTGACATTTTGACGATTAAAGCTTTTTGAGCAATTAAACATGGAAAATAATTTTAATGTGCAAGTTGATATGTTGTTGATTTTGGGGGAGTGTAGAAAAAACTACAGAGAAGCTGCACTAGTGTGGGCAGAGAGGTTTCCTGATAATCGTAAATCTCATATGGCATTTCAAAGACTGGAAGCGAGGAGTCGTACTACTGGCAGTTTGAAACCAAAAAAAACGAGTTCGGAGATATAAAACTGATGAAAATAGTGCAATTGGCGTTTTAGGAGCGGTAGCTGTTGACCCGCAAGTCAGTACCAGGCGGCTTGCTAGAGATGCTGGTCTGAGTCAAAAATATGTTCTGAACATATTGCATTTGTACAAATTTCATCCATATCACATGACACTGCACCAAGAGCTATACGGACAAGATTTTGAAAATCGCGTTGCATTTTGCAATTGGGTCGCCAGAGAAATGCTAGGAAATAACAGATTTTTAAAAAATATTATTTTCTCCGATGAAGCTACATTTCAAAATTGTGGGCAGGTACAAATTTAAATTATCCCTTATCAGTAGAAATTTAATTTCTTTTTTTTGTTTGGTACTTTTCTTAAAGGTAAATAGACACAATATGCACTACTGGGCTGCGGAAAATCCCCACTGGGTAAGAATTCGGCCAAATCAACACCCATGGTCACTTAATGTCTGGTGTGCAATAATGGAGGATAGAGTTATTGGTCCGCATTTCTTTGAAGGGCACTTAAATGGAGAAATGTACACGGATTTTTTAAGAAACCATTTACCGCAGTTATTAAACCAGAACATAAACCAGGACATGTGGTTTCAGTAGGATGGAGCTCCACCTCATTATGCTATTGAGGCCCGAACCTATTTGAATGAAATTTTTCAAAATAGGTGGATTGGTCGAGCTGGTCCGGTCAATTGGCCTGCTAGGTCACCTGATTTGACCCCTCTGGATTATTTCCTTTGGGGTTTTATCAAGGACAAAGTGATGGCGATTGCGCCTACAACATTAGAGGACATGAAGGACAGAATCCGCGTTGCCTGCTCTAATGTAACACCTGAAATGCTGCAGAATGTACGGAACTCATTTAAAAAAAGAGTGAGAAAGTGCTTAGAACTTCAAGGTCGGCATTTTGAACAATTTCTTAAATAAGCAAAAAATAAATTTGTTCTAATTAATAATTTTTGTGTAATTTGTAATTTAATAAATCATAATTAAAATTACTTTCCATGTTTAACTGAATAATAAATTGAGAATTAATCGTCAAAATGTCAAAATTTTCGACTAACTTAGATTAAAATAACGCGTCTCCATGGAAATAAACAACAACGTGCAGCTTAACAGACTTTATAAAAACATTGAAATTATTTTTTAGTATTTTAACATAATAAATCGTAACTCCGTAACCAAAAGAGCAAATGAATTTTTTTTTGGCACACATACGTAGTTTTTTACGTAGATTCGAATTTTATAAAAAAAAAATACATCATTCCATTGAAAAATCCAAAGTTACCCCTTGCCCCTCAAAATGGGGTGGAGGGGTAAATTTCAAAAATATGTCCAAATATGTCCCCCCATGTCCTCATTACTTTACCCAAATTTCACAAAAAAATATTGAACCGTTTTCAAGATATTGTCTTGTAACACTTTAAAAAACTCACCCTGTATATATATATAATACACAATCCTCATTGTGTGGATTGTGATGTAATATATAACTTAAGGTACAATTGCAACATCTCACCACTGTGAAGTGGTAAGTTTGTTATATAAACTTTTTGGTAAATCAGTAAATCAAAAGGTTTATATAACAAACTTAGCACTTCACAGTGGTGAGATGTCGCGAGGCCGCGAATCATATTTACCGTGTACTCCTTGTCGGCTTCGCCGAGGGTGGCCTTGAAGTGCGCGTGCGCGTCGATGAGGCCCTGGATCTCCTCGACGGTGTGCACGATGAAGATGTCGACTAGGTCCTCGCGCGTGCCGTCCAGCCAGTTGTTGAAGGGGGCGGCGCGCTTGGCGAACTCCAGATGCAAGATGTCGATCTTCTCGAGGATGCGCTCGGCGTCGTCCAACGCCTGGCGGCGGCGCTGCGTGAGCGCGCCGAGCCGGTCCCACTGGTCGCAGATGCGCTGGCAGCGCGCGTTCACCGACACGCTGTCGTGGTAGTCCAGGGTGCTGCGACAAATTGTTTATTTTATCGTTTACCGATCGCGAAATCGTAGCAGTTACTCCCGATGATGAAAGTTTCCGAGCGAGCCGATAGACGAGAGGAGTAATTGCGATTCCACGCGAGGCAAACACTATATTTTTTTGGCGAGTGGCGAATTAAAAACTGACTTTCCAATTAAGTTAGAACGCTTAGTTACTACTTTAAGTTATTTAAGCTAAACTCTATAAATGCTTAAAAATACACAATTTAATTCTGACGTTTACATTTAAAGTCAATCGCACTGTCAACATTTTGTTAAATTTTCCAAATTTATAAAAAAATTTTTTTTTTTAAATTATCAATATTTCTAAAAAATTGTCAGTTTTTAAAGCACATTCTTAAATGTGTTTATGAAAAAATTTCTAAAAATTTCAACATTTTGTAAAATATTCAAAACATCTAAAATTCAAAAAATTTCCAGTTTCAAAAATTTTGCATATTTTTAAAATTCTCAATATTTCCAGAAAATTGGCAGTTTTTATTTAAAGCACATTCCTAAATGTGTTTATGACATCCTAAAATTTGCTTTTGACAAATTTCCGGTTTCAAAAATTTTGTACATTTTAAAAATATTTGCAGGAAAATTGTCAGTTTTTATTTAAAGCACATTTCTAAATGTGTTTATGATATTCTAAAATTTTTGTTTTTGACAAAATTTCTAAAATTATCAACATTTTGTTAAATATTCAAAATGTCTAAAAATCGAAATAGCTTTCAAAATTTAAAATTTTTTAAAAATTATTAAAAAATTTCAAAAATCAGTTTTTAAAGTTTCCAAAATGTTCGGAATTTCTTGATATTCTGAAATGTGCTTTTGACATTCTAAAATATGCTTCGACCCTTTAAAATTTAGTTTTTATATTATTTAAGATGCTTTTCATTTTTGACAAAACTCTTAAAATTTTGTAAAATATTCAAAATATCTAAAATTAAAAAAAAATCCAGTCAAAAATTTTGCATATTTTTAAAATTCTGAATATTTCCAGAATATTGACAGTTTTTAAAGCACATTCTTAAATGTGTTTATGAAATTCTACAATTTTTGTTTTTGACAAAATTTCTAAAATTATCAACACTGTTAAATATTCAAAATTTCTAAGAATCTAAAAAGTTTTCAAAATTTCAAATTTTCCAAAAAATTTCAAAAATCAGTTTTTAAATGTTCGGAATTTCTTGACATTCTAAAATATGCTTTGACCCTTTAAAATTAAGTTTTTATATTCCTTAAGATGGTTTTAGCATTCTAAAATGTTTTGTTAACATTCTAAAATGTGTTTGACATCCCAAAATTTGTATTTTACAAAATTTCTAAAAATTTCAACATCTTGTAAAGTATTCAAAATATCTAAAATTCAAAAATTTCTCACTTTCGCTTAAAAATACACAATTTAATTCTGACGTTTACATTTAAAGTCAATCACACTGTCAACATTTTGTTAAATATTCGAAATTTCTAAAAAACTAAAACTCAAAAATTGTAATTTTTTTTTAAAATTATCAATATTTCCAAAAAATTGTCAGTTTTTAAAGCACATTCTTAAATGTGTCGTAAAATTTTTGTTTTTGACAATATTTCTAAAAATTTCAACATTTTGTAAAATATTCAAAATATCTAAAATTCAAAAAATTTAGTTTCCAGAAGATTGGCAGTTCTTAAATCACATTCTTAAATGTGTTTATGACATCCTAAAATTTTGTTTTTGACAAAATTTCTAAAAATTTCAGTTTTGTAAAATATTCAAAATATCTAAAATTCAAAAAATTTTGTCTCAAAAATTTTGGCGCATTATTAACCACTCGACGAAAAAATATATTTTTAAGGACGATCCAAACAAAAACCAAAAAACGTGCTTACTTGAGCTCCTGCGCGATGGCGGCGATCTGCTCGACGCGGTCCTGATGCGCGGCCAAATCGGACTCGAAGGCCTCGTGCTTCTTCTTCAGGGCCTTCAGCTCGTTGAGCCTGCACTGGCGGAAATCCTGGCTCTGCAGCATCTCCTCCTTGCCCCTGGTCCAGTCCTCGTGCGCGTCCGCCTTGTGCTTGAACTTCTGCGCGAGATGCTCCAAGCGCTCGAGGCGCATCATCTCCGACAGCAGCCACTCCTCGAAGGCCTTCTCGGCGCCCTCGAGCCCCTTCCAGGCGTTGGCGATGTCGGAGACCATCTTGCCCTCGGTGGGCATGTAGGCGGGCCGGTTCGACAGCCGCAGCTTGGTCTGCAACGTGTTGAAGTTCGTCTCGAGTTTCGCCTTTTGCTCGACGCGTGGCGGCTTGTGCTTGCGGCGGTAGGTGCGGTACTCTTCCAGCTTTTTCTGCACGCCCGCCAGCGAGTTGTCGGATTGGCGGGACGACAGCCACGGCATGGTGCGGCGGATCCATTCCAACAACTACACAAATTTATCGATTCTGTCACATCTATGTTTAATATTATACGCTAAAGAAGTATCGGGTTTTCGCAACGCGCGCGCCATCTGGTGGACATCAAAAGCATTGCGTGTATTTAAGAATTGAGGGGCTTGAAAGTAAAACGGTTCAAGTGCACTTTATTAAATAAATGGTGTAAGTGCAGAATATCACACCTAAAGAATATTCTAACTTAGTGGTAAAATTATATAAGTACATTTTACATTCCCTGGCGCCATTTCTTATCGTCTTTAAAAACCTGTCAAAATATTTTAAAATATATCTTTGGTAAAACGATTTAAGTGCACCTTATACTGCTAAACATAGGCTATTATCTATAATGCTAAAGCCTTCACAAGTATTTTAAAACATGTCAATTGATTACGTGTTTTCACAGATATTTTTCAGTGTTAGTCCCTACTGACATTGATCCGACGTAGGAATAGAATCGGCCATAGGATGTTGGCTAGCAGACGTCGGACGTATGTTCGCACAAGCGATTCTGATTATGAATAATACTTTTTGTTGTAAAAATTAGCCAAATTTTAAAAAATAAAGCTTTGTTCTAGTACAGTAATTGCATTTAAATTATTTTACCACTAAATTTTGTCTTACATGCATGACGATTTAAGTACATGTTTGTAAAAAAAATTAACAAAAAAGCTAAATTTAAAAATTCCTTTTTCTTTATAATCCTTTTTTGTCTTTAAACAAAACTAAAATATTCACACAGTTTTAAACTCTTTTCTAGAATTTAAAAAATCAAGTTAACTTTAAAGCCATTTATCTCAGAACTAACAAAAATGCACTTAAACCCTTTTACTTCTAGGCCCCTTAATTGTCAACAATACATTTAAAGCATACGAACTGTACATCATTTTTAAATAAATAGGTAGTTTTTTCACAAAAGAGAGGAAGGCAGAAGTCTTACTCAACAAATTTTGTTTAATTGTACAAATAAATCGCGCACGTTATTTGTGTTTTACGTTGCAAGGAAAAAAATAAAAAACTTTTTTAGTACTCGATTTCGATTGATTATTCCTTATATCATTGATTAAGAAACTCAACGCTTAAATGCTCATATAGTTACGTTAGTGTGTGTATTTCATCAAAGGGATCATGGTGAATTATTGTGTTTTTAATCGTAAATAAAATTCAAGAACTAAATCGTTGCATTTTCATGTTTTGCCAAAGGATCCAATTCGGTAAGTACATTTGTTGGTGCAGTATTAACTAATGATAACTTTACCTAATATAATTTATATTTAAGTTTGGACATTTTTAAGAAATTGGTAAAAAATTATTTTTGCACAAACAACCTTAAAATCAACCATTTTTATATTTGAGTTCTCTAAAAAACGCCGACAACAGCATTTTAAACAACAAGATATACCTACGAATTCTTGGCAACATAATATAATACATAATACATAATATAATGGTATTTTGCCGTTGAGTGGAGACTTTCTTAATCGACGCTTTTAATAATGCTAAATGCTGTTTAAATTTTTTAAATTTAGACGACTTATTTGTTTGACGATTTTTACTGAATTGAAATATTTACACTTTTCACGTTAATCACTACTAAAATGTGTATTTATTGTATCCAATAGGTACAATTTATATTTACAGAGACTGTATGCAATTTATTTCTTTATTCAGATTAACACTGTTTATTGGAAAACGGGTAAAAATTCAACCCAGGATTTCCTCTGGAAATACACCCAACAACACAACAAATCGAGCCACGGTTTTTTTTTCGATATTTTTTAACATCTTCCGGCTTTATTCTCAAAAACACTCGTTTGTAACCTAAGCGTTTGACAGCCGATTATTAAAAGTTCTACTTTTGTTACGATGATAACAGCCGAGTGGTGGCGCTACTAGCGATACTTCTTTAGCGTAATTTTCAACGAATTTTTTTTTACAGTTTCTCTACCGAAATCGATGAGACCCGTATTTTTTCTTCTTGCTTAAATTTGTTTTGTCTACCCGTAGGAAATTTTTGAAAAATGGACACATCGATTTTTCTCTTTTTACGAGTGATATTTTTTTTTGAAAATGCTTGGCCAAGAATGTTCGATCGCTACAGTTTTTTTTTAAACTGTAGGTAAATTTTAACTACATACACTAGTAATGTGAAGTAAGTAAATTAAATTATTAAAGATTTTAGAGTAAAATTCTTAATATTTTTGCATGTGTTATATATAAGGGAAGACCCTATAGTGACTTACATAAAAAATATGCATTCAAATATTGTGTTAAACATTTTAAGGTTAGGTACTTACGTCACTGGCCAATCTTTCGTACTCTTCCATGAGACGTTCATTTTCTTGGTTGACCTTGAGTACTTTGCAGATCCTATTGGCGGCGGTTTCAGCCTAAATTTAACCAAAAAAATAGTCAATTTGATTTATCTAAAATTTATGAAAAAATTAACAAAAACATTTTCTATTTTGGTTTGAAATGTTGATTTTTTTGTCTTAAAAACGAGATTTTCTACTATGCTCACATCAGAAAGTTCCACTTTTATGATACCTATATAAGGTATGCAGTCAAATAATTGAGGTTATGAATCGCCAATTTCGTTTTTTCTAAAAATAATACAATATATGGGGAATTTTGATTTGCTTGACTTTTTCTACCCCACTAAAAAAATTCTCAGAATTTTTTAAAACTTTTTTAACAAAAAATAATAATAATTGAGTAATGGGCTTTTTTTAATTTTTCGGTGTCAAATTTCATGACATTTTTTGTTTTTTACAAAATTTTCTGAGAAATCTGTGGAGAAAATATGTTTTACAATAATTTTTTTGAACAATACATTTTCCAAATCAAAAAAATAAAACCAAAATAGACAAAAAAGCATTTTAATAATTTTTAGTAAAAAAAGTGACAATCACCTTCTGTGCACCAGAAAAACAATGGTAGTACGAGGAAACGTACGTCATCACTGCCCTCTCGTCCGGCATTGCGGTATTTTGTAAGTCTGCATGCGAAAAAACAACACAAAAATAACATTAAAAGAACACATCAAAACGGCTGAAAATTAAACGGGATTAGAGCTGAAACACGTCAAAAAAGAAAACCGGCAACATGGCTCACTTAAGCAGCAACAAGTGAGTTTTAGGTTATGTTTAAAAATGGGGGCGAAAACGCTTTTTGTACCTGCTGTGCGCCTTGGAAGGCGTGGTAGTAACATGACACGTATGTCATGATAGCGCGTTCGTCGGGTTTTGGGGTGTTGACCAAATCTGCAATATACGAAGATTTTTAGGTTATATAAACGTCATTTGTGACGTTTTTAACTTTTGCTGGGTGTGCATTGGATGTTTATTTTTATCTTATCTTTGAGATGTTTTATCTTAATTAGTAGATTCTTAATCAAAAAAACCAGTTTGTATAGGTACATAATACGTTATATTAATATAGTAAACCTTGTATAATGTATTATATAATAAAATTAAAATTTTATTTCAAAAAATATTTTTTTTAGTTTTCGCCACAATCCATTATAGGTACTCCTCTTTTGTAAAAAATAAACCTTGTTCTATCACTATAGACTATCAGGGCTGTCATCAAACTGTCAAATTTAAATTTGTTGGTTATGGTAAATTAACAAGGTCTTTGTTGTGTGGTTTGTGGTTTTTGCTGAACATTTAATTATGTAGTATTTGTTTTATTATTAATGGTTATTTCTGTTTCAAATAACTCTAAATATTTTGACAATTCCTTGACAGTTCATTTGGACATCTATCCCTGACTGAAACCCTTTCTCTATGCTGAACCCCCAAATTTTTGACGTCAGTATATTTTTTATGAAAATCGAAAAAAACAATTTTCGGCACTTTTTAAACTAGGGTTTTAAAAATTCCGGAAAAAAAACGGAAAATTTTTAGAATTTTCTCATTTTTTAAATTTTATTCAAAGGGTAATCCAAAAAAATGTAGAAGTTAATATTTCTGAAAATTTCTAATTTTTTACGGATAATATCCGCACACTGATATCGAGGAAAAAGTGAATTTTCGAAGCTGATTATAATCATAATATTATGATTATAATAACTATTCCTTTTATTTTAATTCAGTAAGAATATTCTACCGGGTCGCAAAATATATATTCGGTGCTGTATTAAGATAACTTATATTTACCACTTCGATTTATAAAATTATAGTTTTGTTAAATAACTTTATAATCATTCATTATTTTTTAGTTGGATATTTTTAATGGACTTCTTTTTGCAAAAAAGACCCAACCAACAGTATATTTAACGTTTACGTTTATTTTCTTAAATCAATTTTATTTAATTCAATGTCTAGTTTTATTTTTTTTGTAATAAAGGATTTTTTTAAATTAAAATAATGTTAAGTTATAAATTTACAAAAAAAAACAATTTTTCCCAAAAAGACAATTTTTCCTAGGCCTAGGAAAAAACTATTTTTCCGGTTTTTATCCGACACTTTAAAACCCTACTGCCAACTTAAGAAACACAAAAATATGACGGTTTAAACTTTAAACATTAATTTTGCCATTATAACAGTAAATGAACAATTTATATTTTAACTCATTTACTTTTTATGTTGCTTTTAGTTTTTATTCATACTTTAATTTGTAATAAAGTATTAATTTGTTAATTAAAATACAACGTTTTATTTTTACTACATTGGCACTGCTGAATTTGCTGCCAAGGACTACTGTTATTTATTTATAAAACTCTTCAAATCTACTGAAGGGAAAAAATATTGCGAAAAAAACATTTTTGCAAAAAGTTGATTTTTTTTAATTCCTTAAAAGATAAGATAAAAACATAATTTTTCTTTCAAACAAGGTTTTTTCTTACTTTTTTACCCTTCTGAAGGCACTCCCAAAGATTCAGATTTTTAAATTAATTTTTAATCTGAGTCATGACCACATTTAAAAAAAAAACATAAAATTCCTTAAAAGGTAAGAAAAAAATATTTTTTTTAAACAAGGTGTTTTTTACTTTTTTTACCCTTCTGAAGGTACTCCCAAAGTTTCAGATTTTTAAATTAATTCTTAACCTGAGCCGCAACAAAAAAAATTCTTGAAAGGTAAAATTTTATCCTTATGAAGGTACTCCCAACTTTTTTAAATCCAATTTTTCCAAAAAAAAATCTTTTTTTTTTTGTAGCTTGCAGATAAAAAAACCAAATAAATCTTTTTTTTTTCAATCCTTTAAGACACTACCAGTATTTTAAACGGAAAACTTGAGATAAATTGTTTTTTTGCATTTTTAACGTATTAATACGAGAATAAATGCAAAAGTCAATTTTTTGAAAACTTACCTACATTTTGAAATTTTAAAAATACCGATTCTGAGAAGATAAATGTTGGAATTAACCCAGCTATCATCTTCTAAAGTATTTCAAAATTTGGGAGTTTTCATGAAGCAAGTTGACAAGGGAATAAATAGCAACAGAAAAGCTTTGTTCCAACAACATTCATGGATGTAATGATTCTTGTTGGAACAAAGCTAAAAATGTCATTATTTCTTTTAAACCTTCAGCGACTTGGTTGGCTGAAAAAAACAAAAAGAAAAACAAAAAAGTGTCATCTTACCGTCTGGATCCAACATTCTTGGAATGTCGAGGTACTTCTCGGCGACATCGAAGGCAGTGTTCAAGTTCTCGTACGGGTTGTCCTTGGACAGTTTGTTGTAGTCGATCAGATCGGGCCTGTGACGGTGGATGAGGGCGCAGAACGCCAGACCGTCCTTGAACGACAGATGGAAGTTCTGCACGTTGACGTTCTTGTAGGGCGCGGTCTTGCGCTGGCACCACAGCAGCAGACCCTCCTTGGCGGTCATCTCCTCCACGGAGATGTCCTGGATGGCGAAGCGCAAGATTATCGTCCAGATCATGCCCAACGTCATCTTCAGGTTGCCGTCGACGATTTCTGGAGCAACGGTGCGTTAGAAAAACCAAAGCCAAAGTTTTTTGTTTTCAGTGCGTTCCACCATCTCCAAATACCGACAGTCAGCTAGACAGATAGACCTATTTTGGGTCTTATCAATGTCGGGCAATTTGGTGTATTGGAACACACCAAAAACGAAAGACACCTGAGCTTATATACTCGGTTGGTAAGCCAACAGAGGCGAGATGTAAGAACATCAGGTGATCCGCACCGTCTAACGACGTAGTTTTTTCAAGAAACTTTCTTGACCCATTAACAGGGCTCCCACGGTTAAATTACAAATTTTATTTAGGAATTTAGGAGGTTTTTTGGAGAATTTTAGGAGAAAAAAGTATGCAAATGAATTTATTTAATTAAATAAAAACAACTCTACACTATACTTAAAAAATAAGAAAAGAATAAGTAATTCTTTTTAACAAAAATATAAATAAATATCACTTTTTTTATACAAATAGGTTATATTGACTAGTTTTTTAGCCAAATCGCTAGACGAGTTTTTTTTAAATAAAATGAAAAGTTAGGGAAAATTATTAATTTTGTATATATCTACAAGTAGAAATTTCACCAGACTTTTAATTTTATTTAAAAAAAGCGTCGATAGTTATGGCTAAAAAAGTAGGCCAAAGTTTAATGATGTTATATTTATATTTTGAAAAAAAAAATTAGTTAATAACTAACAATAATTGTAATGTTATTGTTACTAAAAAATCTCATAATGTGGATTTACCTCGAGTATTTTCAGAATTCGGTAAAAACTCTATACTGTTTAAGGGAGCATCTGTTTATAACAAATTACCAAACAATATAAAGGATTTAAATTTAAAAAGCATATGTCGTCTTGTGTGGCGAATTTTATTGAATAAACAATGATATATCGTGATATTTTTTCTTTTTTCTGTGATATTATATTTAAATGATATGTTCCTATTTAGAATCAAAATGTATTAATAAAGTAAAATTAATTTAGATTTAAGAAATGTATTAAGAATTAAAAAATATTTATTAAATTGTATGATTAGAGGTGTCCCTCTATAAACTGTATGTTTCTTGGGATGAAAATAAAGTATTTTATTTATTTATTATTTATAATAGAAAAAATATAAAGTGCATGATACAGCAAAACATTGTTTAGATTGTTTACTATTTTAGCTATCATTTAAAAGAAAATTAAAAATCCTTTTGTTTGATATATAACACGGTATTTTTTTTAAATTAACGAAATATGGCTAAAAATGACAATTTTGTAGAAGTCTAGAAGCTACTACATGGATTTTGTTTTATGGTATATTTTGTTGTTTTTTAAGAAAAATGTAGGTTGTGATACCTATATCATTTTAAAAAGAATTTAATAAACTAGAACCCAAAAATATATATTTTTTAAATTACTTTTTAAAAAAGAAATTTTTTTGCACAACTACCTTAATTGAGGAGCATCCGTGCAAAACCGGCTAAATCCATTTTATTCAGTTTTTGTAATTTTTTTGATGTCGCATCTTTGGGTTCATTTCTATCGACAACCAAGATAATTCTGTTTAAATCCGACTATATCCATGTTAAAATCACATTTAAAAGGTAGCTTTAGGAGCAAAACCGGCCAAATCCACGTTTTTATAGCAAACCCGGCTATATCCAATAAATAATAATATGCGGCTTGGATATGTCGATATTACCTACTACTAAATTTTGTTCTGTTTTTTCATGTTTGCACTAAATTCATTTTGTTAATATTTTTGAATAATAAAGGTTTTTTTCACATATTATTCGTTTTTTATTCGGTTTTCGAGCAAAACCGGCTATATCCAAAACATTTTTTGAAATTTTGGCCTTAATATAAAGTTTTTGAAAACGAAAGTATGTCTTATAAATCAAGTACCACAAAGCCCACAAAACTCAAGTTTGCTTTTTCTTTTATCTGTAAAGGCCAGGAAACCGAGAGTTTTTGCCATTTTCCCAACATTTTATTAAAGTGGATATAGCCGGTTTTGCACGGATGCTCCTCAATTAAACGCAGTCAAGTTGGCCTACTTATATTTAATTTTTAGGAGTTTTAGGAGATTGATGGCAATTTTAGGAGTTTTATAAATTTTAAGAGGTGTGGGAGCCCTGCATTACTGGTAATATTCATAAGAAAAAATTGAAATATTTTCTTATGAATATTACCAGTAATGGGTCAGGAAAGTTTCCTAAAGAAACTAAGAAAATTGAATGTGAATAACGGCGCGTTATTTTTCGAATTTCGATTTTTGACGTTGGCTTACCTTCCGCCCCGATGGAGACCAACTTCACGCCCTTGCCGGCGATGTAGTCGAGCGCCTTGTTCACGTTGGCGATCTTGTGGAAGCGCATCTTGCCCCTGTCTGGCTTCGGCAGGGTCTCTCCGGAGATTACTTCCAGCAAGAGCATCAACTTCAGACCGTTGCGGAAGTCCTCTTCGATGTTGTCGATGCCGGTGCCGGCCTTCCTCAAATGACTGTTGCACCATGCTGTGAATGTCTAAAAGGAGAACATAAATAATATTAGTTTTGTGTTGATCAAATCTTAAATTTAAAATTTCGTCTTTATTATTTTTTTTTAAGTACTTAAAATAAAGCTTAAGGTATTTCATACTTTTAGACTCTCCTAAAGGTACACCCAAAGATTTTTAACCTAAGCCCCGACCACTATACCTAACAAAATAATACCAGAAAAAATCCTAAAAAAGTGGGAAAAAATCATATAGGTATTTTTTTCAAACTAGTTTTTAAACTCTTTTTTTTTTTAAATTAATTTTTAACCTGATAATAATAATAATAATAACAATACTAATAATAACTTTTGATGAAAATCTTTCTTGGGAACTGCTAATAAACTATCTTCTAAAAACTATTGCATGACCCAATTAAGAGGAGTAGTGAATTTACCCACATTAAAAACCTTTTATTATGGAAGCGTCCAATCGATTCTTTCTTATGGAATATTGCGTTGGGGAAATAGCTCCTCTAGTAATAGAATTTTTATAGCACAAAAACGTAGTTTAAGGTCTATGTTAAACTTATCCTATAATAGTCCTTGTAAAACTTATTTTAAATGCTGCCTAGTATTATTATAAAATTAAAAAAACTTTCTTAAATTTAAAAATGGTCGTATCTAAAAAAAGAGTTTTTATTCTATTGAAGAATATTTTGAAAATTAACTACAATTTTATCCTGTATATATATTTAACAATATGTAAATGTTTACAATTTTATATTGCATTTTTAACGTTTTCCTATACAATTTTGTAAATCTATGGCGCCCCCAATAAATATAATTTAAGTAAATTTAATTGGTGCAATTTATTATTTACCATAGTTAATCGACAAATTTCAAATTTTATTTAAAAAATCCAAACCATAGATTTTTTATATTTTAAATTTTTTCTTTGAAAAAAAAAATATTAAAAATTTAAAATTCCATCATTACATCTATTGTACTAGGATACAAAATTTGTTGGCAAATATTAGCACTGGCAAGCCTAAACTTATATTTTAAAAAGGTGCACCAATATATAATTAGTTGTTTTTAATGCAAAATAAATAAAATATGTCAACATAAAAAAATCTTAAAAACCAAACTGTCGAAAATTATCCGCCTTTATTTTAAATCAGATGTAAACCTATTTAAATCCGGATCGCTATCTAAAAGGAGCGGCAAACCCACTACACTACATCAACTTAATTTTAATTACAAATGAGTAACTCGTAATAAGAATTTTGTTTACATTTATATTTATGAAGACATTAGGGAGCATTTAGGCGACTAATTGGTGGATAAATGTGTTAGATTAAATTATACGGAGTTTGGACACAAAAATTAAAGTTTATTACCAACCAACGTTCAAAAATGTTATAAATAAGTTAATGTTGGAAATTTTTAAAAGTCCAATTGATATAATTGACATATTTTTTTGTCAAATTATGTGTTGATATATCCTTAGAAGAAAGAAAGTTGTTTTTTTCTATATGATAGCTTATCGTTTTGTATGATAAAATTTAAATAATAGTTTAACAATTGGTCAAAATTAGTAACTTAAATAAATAAAATCATTACAAATTGTCAATGAGTAATGGCTTAGAAATAATTAACAAAAATAAATAGATGAATTAGAAATTGAAAATTCGAGCATTTCAGTTTATTGTCCGATGTGTTAGATGATTCAGAGATGTCGAATTACGCAAATCGGGCAACCGACCAAAATTTATAAATAAAGCTGGATTCTGCGAGTGAAGGTTCCCGGCTAAAAATAATTTACATAATACATAGATCGGCGATTTTTTTCGAGGCTGTAAATCATACATTTTATCTTTCGAATATTACTTACGAATTGTTTTATGGCAAAAGATCATAAAAATTGAAATATGTGGAATTTCAACAGGCGATAGTTTTTTGAAAAATAAAGGTAAGTAGTTTGACGAATTTTGCTTCCTGTGATATAAAGGGTATCAAATATAAAGTAACGTCAAAAATTTAAAAATGCAAAATTCTGATATTGACTGCACCACCCTGTATATCATTGATTGTAGGTAGGTAGGCATTGCAACACAAATATAGAGAGTAACAGAAAAACATCGACAAACAAAACGGAAAAACCTAACAGTATACAGTTAAAAACCATTTAAATTGCTTACAATGGAATCAGTTGCTTAAAATTACTAAAAAACACCTTTTGCTTGAAATTACTAAAAAACACCTTTTCGACATAGACGTTAGTCAACCGGAAGTACACTATGATAATAATAAAGAAATATCCTAAAACGTTTATTTATTTTTTTACGCAAATTCAGTTTAATATTTGCTAAGGTGTGTACAAGCATCGGTAGATGAGCTAAACGATATCCCAAAGATTAAGTACCTACTAGAAGAAGCTTTGATAAAGATTATTTTTAATAGTATAACATTCATGTAGACGAATATACAATAGATTTCCCAAACTTCTGTAACTTTTGTAACGCACCCCGTATGTATTAGGTATTTAACTTTCGTTTACTCACATGTAGCTTTCGTCCTTACATTTTTGTTTTTACCTTGCTATTGATAACATCTCTGTCAATACATTGTAAAACACTGTTTAATTTGTAGGTGAACGGAGGCATGATGAATTTTGTCTTGTCAACATAATTATTTTAATTTGTCAAATGCGACAGATAAAAGAAGAAGAAGAGGTGGGAATGTATTGCCAACCCCTAAATTCAAATTCAAAGTTTTGTCAGTTTATTAGTTTTATCAGTTTTAGGTAAATACAAGATAATAAAATCATTAACATTAAGAGAAAACGTAAGACAATTATGTAAAATGGAAAATTATAACAAAGTAAAAACCAATCGTTAAAATATTTGACCCCAATTTAAATCAAAATACCAGATGATTCACCCATCAGACCAATTGTTTAAACAAAACGGAGCCAGTGCATTGTTTACTTAAATAATAATTAGTTTTAATTTATGATTTGTTTTTATTTACATATTAATAAATCAATTAAAAATTATAGACCTATAACAACAAACTATACACCTAATTATAAAATTAATTAATCATGCAACTAGGCACTTAGTATGTGTATTTGATTTAGTTTTCTAACCTTGAAAAGTAACATTATCCTATTTATCATAAAATTTATACTTGCAATGGGAAAAATGTTCTCACAATAATTTTATTGTTTAGGTGGGTAAAAACGTTTCACAGTCGACTTGTTTTTTATTGTTACATACCAATAAGGTATATCACATTCACATAAAATGTTGCATTTCTATATTTATTGAGTAAGGGGCCGTTCACATATTACGTCACGCGATTTTTGACCTTTTTCCATACCCTCCTCACGTGAAGTCACAAAACGATAGTAAGCCCCACCTTGACATTTCAATACAAATAATTGAGGTTATGTATCTGCCAGTTTAACGCAAATTTTGTTCCTTTTTTAATATTCAAAGTTGGTACTCCTGTTTAAGCCCATAATTTTAAATACTTTGACATTTGTCATTTAACTGTCAGAATTATAATAATGTTTATTATTAAATAATATAATATTGTAGATAAGGCGTAGAAAAGGCATTTTTGCTTAACGTGACAGCTGCACTTATACCCCTTTTGATTGGACTGTTAAGTTAAAAAGAACTCATTAAAAACTGACGCAACTTTTGCTGACGTCTTTATCTTTTCTAACAGTAAGAAAACCAGTCGTAAACTGGATGGAGAATCTTCATTCTGCAGATGACTCTGTAAAAAATGTCGCGTTGCTGCGTGTTTATTTTAACCTTCCACTAATAACGGAATTACCATGTATAATTATAATCATTACTAACACACTTAATTAAACAATATTTATCGGTTTTGTTGATCCAGATTTTAGGTCAGACACAACCATAATGCTTTTGTATTTTAAAATAGGTGGCTTAATTTTTGTTTAGTTCCTATACAAAACATTCTTTGACACGTAGTTTTTGAGTTATTCATGTTGATACACAGTGTGTTGGTGCAAAAACGTCTACTAAATTTGCCATGTTGCCATGTTTATGACATCATTAAGCTAACGTGTAATAGGTATTTGTTATTATTTAAATAGAACAAAACCATTTATGTAAAATAAAACAAAACAATTACAATTTCCGATAAACATATTTTTTTATATTGCTAATTTAAAAATTGATAGTTTTCAAGGTGAAGAAAAATCGACTTACTCATTACAAAAGGATGATTTTTCCGTTATCGGTCGATAAACTAGTTTACGTTGGCATACCTGGAAATAAACAAAAACAATGTTAGTTAAAAATGATTGGAATTCCTTAATTGGTTTTCAGGTACACCCAAATTTTTACCAATACATATATACATACACAACTTGTGTAACACAAGTAGTAAAAACTGTAATTAATAGTGTATTATGCATCAAGTTTGATAAACGTCATCTTAGTCACGAATTTTAATTAGTTACGAGCAAGCTTGCGCGCGAGTGTTTAATTAAATGAGTGTCTAGAAAAGTTTGCAAACGAGTTGCATACTATACTTTATCTATTTTGCGTTCATATTCATAATGAGATACTTTATCCCACCCAAAATTTTGATTTTATAGGTTGGCTATACTTTAAACAGCATAATATTTTTTATATTGGTTATAATATTTTTATGATTTTTCTAGTACTTAGGAGACTTTTCTGGCAATAAATTTTGTTTAACACCAAAGAAAATCCTTTTTTTCTTCTTTAACAACCGCTTATTGTAAATAAGTAAATTAAGGACAGCATGGCACAATAACTGTCAAACCAATAACTGTGATACCAACTATCTAAAGTAAAATTCGACCAAATTAAACTTAAGGTATAAAATTATTTTTTTTTATAGAATTTTTGCAAAATAGATAAAATAGCATAAAGAACTCATGTCATAAGACGTCTTATCACATTAGTTCCTTAATATACTATTTTCTACGACGTTTTAAATATTGGCGTTGAGAATCTATTTAATACTTTTTTTGCTAA